TTTTCTTCTGCCTTAGGTATGAAACTACTCCTTTATTTAACGTTAGTATTATCTTGTAGGTTTCCTTATTCCTTTTGTTAATAAGCGACTTGATTTGTTTTCTTAATTCCACAAGGAAATCTTTACCACAAAAAGCAGTGTCTGGATCTGGCAGAAAAGGAACTCCAGTATGCAAAAGAGATATTAATTGCTAATCAGCGTGATTTTTCCTGCGTAAAGTGCAATCTAAAGTTGGAAGTTACATTGGATAAACAACTTGGAGACATATCTCAGAAAAAAATTGATAGAGTTTCCCAGACCGATGGATTCTTGCATGCTGAAAGCTTCTTTAGTACTGCCCTTGGAAAAATTTGTTGCTCAGCATGGAAAAGCTGCATCAGATCACATGAGGAGGATATTGCTGTGGAAATAGTGATTGATAGAACCGGAGGGGAAGTTTTAGGACATAAACCAAGTAAAACAAAACTCAGTATAAAAGAGCCAACAGGAAACAGAGGCTCCAGGAGGGGTCGAAGAGCTAACCAAGCTTGTTTGTCTAAAGACCAGGATTTGATATCTGAGCCAACTTTAAGGTTGACTCGATCTATGCGTCACTCAGTCAAAGAGCAATGCCAAAACCGTTCTAATGTGCCTGAAATTGTGTCAAAGAAGCCTAAGTTCTGCAGTAGATCTGATGGTTCTAGGGATGAAAGAGTGTTGTTGGACACAAGAAATGCAGTCCCTGGCTTTTGCATTTGCTACAAAGAAAAATGTTTACAATGCCTCTCTGAAGAAGTAACAGAGACTGGGTCGCTCAACAGTTTAGTAAGTTTGAAATGGGAATTCTGCCATAGGAAGCTAGCGTCCTCAATACTTGTTAGCCTTGGTATGCTCTATTTCCTTATGCATCTGCTCACTCAAACGCGCATGCATTCATATGAAGTTGGCCTTTTTGAAATTTTCCTGTTGAAACAATCTAATAGCATAATTAGATGAGAACTGAGATCCAGTAACCATTAAACTCATCCATTGTTGATATAAAGTAATGGGTATGGAAACCTTGAGTGAGTTTCGAGGCCTAATGAGTTTGATCTTATTCTCCATTTCCATGTTTTTTTCTTTTCTCATGTGAATTATGAAATTGTGCGGGCTATTCATTTTTTCATTCTCCTTAAAACACCCACACATGGTATATTAACGTCTTACATACGAACTTTTGCTAGAAGATGAGTATCTCTGCTTACAGTTTAGTTTTCCAATTCAGGAAAATGTTTGGCAGACTCTGGTAGAGTTCATCTAGCTCATGAGGCTTTACTGCATAGTATCTCTGTTTTATTAAAAAGTAACTGGTCCAGCCACAACCAGCCTTCTGTCAGTCAGCTACTGGAGTTTATTAGGAATGAAGTTGCAAGAGATGTATTTGCTGTTGATCGTGCAATAATACTATACAACTTGAGCTGGTTGAATTTACGGAATTACCACTGCAGGGAGAGTAGGTATGTGAGACGTATATCAGTTATATAACACTTGTCTATTATTGCCAGAATTGAGCTTTTGTCCACTCTGATGCAAAATATATGCCATGTGTATGCTAAATTGATCTAGTATACTCTTATGAACAGTTATCATCCTTAGCCTCTTGAGTTTTACCTTTAACAGGTCTATTTGCTGTGATCTGTTTCGTCTTTCATAAAACTGGTGTCATGTTAATGTGACTTTTACCTTTAACAGGTCTATTTGCTGTGATCTGTTCCATATTCCTTTCACAAAACTGGTGTCATGGTTAATGCTAGCATTTGTACTCAGCAGAGAGGTTCCCGTATTATTTCAAAAGGTACAAGCTTGGGTTGTTCACCGGTAACGTGCCTTCCCTATTTTGTTTCAATCTTAATTATTATTGTTTGGTATAAAAATGTTTTTTGTTCCCGATAGGTTTCAAGATTGCTTGCCTCTTTATATCTGCTTTCTTCCTCGAGTGCTGAATTCTCATTTGAATATGACGGAAATGAGCTGTCCGCAAGTCATTGGGTCTCATTTTTCCATCAAGCCTCGCTTGGTACCCATATCAGCTACCATTTCATTTCAAATTTGAGCCGAAAACACAAATCACGGTGCTTCTCCGATAAAGAGGTAACTGAGGTAGGTTGAGTAGGTTTTTCAGCTTCTGAAATTCTGGATTAACCTTGGTTTATTGATAATATTTTGATGTGTTTATTGCTATTTTTTCAAAGTTGGTGTTTCATCTTCTATCTGACAGCTTTTATTTTCAGTGCACAGACGCCACTTGCTCGAGTTGCATGGTTCCTGCGGATTTGGACTTACCCAGGTATGAGATAAATTAACTTAAGCAAATCAGACAGGCTTTATTATTTTCTGTTGGTTGACTCTATTTTTCCTTACTCTCCATTGTAGGCTTGCTCCTGAGCGTACTGAAGATCTTGTACAATTCGCTAAAGAATTTTTCATCAATCTTCCAAACTCAACAATCATCTGCATTAGTTTGCTAGGAGGTGCATTAAACCTATTATTGCAGGAGCTACTGCATGTTCGTTCACCTGTTTGTGCATGGGTGCTCATATCACGCCTAAACCCAGAAAGCCAACCGGTTGCCACACTTCTACCTGTAGATTCAGTTCTAGAAGGTAATATTAACTGCATGCTGGTTGATCAATGGTGTTTATTCTTTGTACTCATGATTTTATTGATTCACTAGACATGTCAGATGACAGTGCAAATCGTAGCTCTACGGAAGCAACTCAAGTCAAGAGTTTAAAAGGGCCCTGGCTTTGTCCATGGGGTGCCACCGTGGTTGATAAGGTAGCTCCATCATTTAAATCAATATTGGAGGAAAGCTACGCATCTTCTTCTACTCCAGAAGAAGACACAAAAGAGAGTAGATGCATTTGGTGGAAAAAGAGAAAGAAACTTGATCATCGCCTGGGAATATTCCTAAGGTATGATGGCTCTCTTTCTATAACACGTGCATTTATATATGTCTAATTTACAGTCATAGGACTGTGTCTGATCCATTTTCTGAATTGACAACTTGGTACGGGTCTGTGTGTTTGTAAACAACTTATATAACCATCCTTTTGTTCTAGGAATCTAGAAGCTTCCTGGCTGGGTCCCTGGAGGTGTCTGCTTCTTGGAGAATGGTCGAACTACAAATTGCCTGACTTAGTGCAGAAAAAGCTGGTAAATGATCTCAGGTCCAAGTGCAAAATGGAAGTAAATGAGATGCTTTTGAAGGTTATTCTTGGAGGTGGGACGGAAAATTATAAAGGAGAAGCATGTGTTGCTCAGCTTTCTTTAAGAAATGGTTGCTATGTAGGTAGAGGGGGATATCTTTATGAAGAAGAGAGCTGTAAAACTCCTACTGCTGCGTCTAATATATCTGAAAGTAGGCATGAATTGGCCTTAAAACTGATACATGATGCAGTAACCAAACTTGGGCAACAAGACGAACATGAAAACAGAGAACCTATCATTCTTGTGTTAGATCCTGAGGTTCAGGTTCGTCAATTATATCCTTCTCACTTCCCTGCACATGTATTAGAAAGTTTACTGTCAGAGAAGTTCTGCTTGGTTTATCTATTGTGATTTTCGGATGAAAAACTTAGATCTTGCCCGTAAAGACTGCTGTTAATTCTTGCATGAGAAAAAATATTCGGTTCGATGAATATAATTTTTTTAAGCTATTGGTTTTCAGGTTGATAAGATGTTTAAGTTGTTGATGCAAATTTAACTAACTTGCTGATTTTGATTAGATGCTTCCTTGGGAGAATATTCCGATACTAAGGAAACAGGAGGTGTACCGCATGCCTTCTGTAGGTTGCATATCTGCTGTACTAGAGAAGCGCAGTCTCCAAGGAGAGCCGGAAAGATCTCATGTTGCTTCCTTCCCTCTTATTGATCCGCTAGATTCATTTTACTTGTTAAATCCTGGTGGTGATCTCACAGATACACAAGACAAGTTTGAGAGTTGGTTCAGAGATCAAAACTTTAAGGTGATATACAAGAGCATACTTATACTAAACCTTATTGTGATGCTTTGTTTTCAAACTTTCTTGGTTGTGTATACTTTCAGGGGAAAGCTGGATCAGAACCAAGTGCTATAGAGTTGACAGAAGCATTAAAAAATCATGATCTCTTTCTTTACTTTGGTCATGGAAGTGGTATGATTCCTCTAGCACTTCTAAACTTTTTAATCGCCATCTTTGATGCAATCTTCGTTTACTTGAGATTGATTCTAAAAGATCCTCTGCTTTGTATGAAACGGCAGGAGCACAGTATATACCTAAGCGTGAAATAGAGAGGCTAGAGAACTGTTCAGCAACTTTCTTAATGGGGTGCAGTAGTGGTTCACTATGGCTAAAAGGCTGTTACATCCCAGAAGGCATACCACTCTCTTACCTCCTAGGTGGATCTCCAGCCATTGTGGCAACTCTATGGGACGTAACAGACCGAGACATTGATCGGTTTGGGAAAGCGTTGTTGGAAGCATGGTTGCAAGAGAGGTCAGATTCTTCGGCAGAGGGTGGTTGTAGCCAGTGTGAGTCACTAGCTAATGAACTTGCAGCTATGAATCTTAAAGGAAACAACACCACCAAGAGGTCAAGGAAACCGTCTTCGCGGAACAAGCCAGTTCAATCAAATGTCGATGGGTCAGGGAAGATTGAGTGCAACCACAAGCAGAGACGCAAAATAGGTTCATTCATAGCTGCAGCTCGAGACGCGTGCACCTTGCAGCACTTGATTGGGGCTGCACCGGTCTGTTATGGTGTACCAACTGGTATCACAAGGAAAAAAGGAATTGATGCTCTTCTTCCTACTTCATCTTGTTAGTTGGTTAGTCCATTCTCAACTTGGAATACTCATTGTTTGGTCATATAACAATTTTGAGGGATATATATATATATATATATATTTAGGAGTTAGGACTTATGACAACACAAGAGAAGAGAAAAGAAAAGGACATACATTCATCCCTTCTTTATATAACAAAATTGTAAAAAATCACATGGTGCAGTCTCTTCAAATTTGATGTTATAAAAGTGTTAGTTATATCATGTTTACAGAAATAGAATTTTATTTTCAATCTTTACAAGAGGGCATTTCAAACTGTTAACAGAACTGATTCCACCTCTCTCTGTGTTCCCACCTCACTTCTTGTGATTCCACTGTAAAAAAGTATTGTCAAACATACAAATAAAATGATTCTATTTCGATTGATTTGCATCTGTAAGACTGTAACATATGAATTGCGAAAGCGAAACAAACCATCAAAAAGCTCTCTGAGTTCTCGTATTGAAGAAGAAATGTGTTCTCTGAGTTCTCTGATGGTTATTACTGGTACCTGAATAGAAATATATCACACAATTTTTACACATCCCATGATTGGTATTTGGTAGTCATCCTTCAAACTGTCACTTAACTCATCACAGTTTCAGTTGTAAGAAAATGCACCATTTACTTAGATCTGGTGGTTTCAACTCGACTAAAGTATTATATACATGATCGTTCTTGTTTGATATTGCTGTCCCCTACACTACACGGGCTACACCCATGAGTAAATGGTATTGGGGAAGTTACTGTTTTCACCCTTTTTAAGCTATATTTCTGCCACACCTACTTGCTATATAATATGGTGTGGAGTGATTTGGTGAATGGTTACTTTTGAGGTAGCTCTTATGTAGTTTTTGGTGTTTTATCCGTTGTTTAAAAATTTGTTAGGTTTTGAAGAGGTCCTCGGTCATGTTTATGGGCAAACATAACAAAGGACAGGCAGAAGTGGGAAACAAAAGACAGATAAAATGGCATAAGGTTTCTCTCTTCTTATGTTTTGGGGAAAGCCATGACAATGTACTTGTACTTAAGAACTAAACAGAGTATATATGAGTTCTGTTTCTATATTTTCTCTGCACACTTTTACGACAGTTTTATACTGAGATATGATATCAGGACTTGCAAGCATTAAAATCACCTATACCTCTGATCCAGTCTCTCCAGCCCAGACTTGTCGCTGCAACTCCCACGCCATTTGAAGATCGGGACTGCCATTAGAAACATAAAAAAAAAGACAGTGAATCTTAAAAGTGTTAAAGATGTAGAAACAACAGGAAGACAATAGTCTAAACAGATTCAAATCTTAAGTCCTCAGAGGTTAGAAAGTATAAAGTAGGAGATACTTACTCAGTATTATCCATGTCTTCACTGTTGATTCCGCAGAAAACATTCTAAGAAAGACAAAAAACAAAGGATTAAAATTAGTAAAAGCCATGTTATTAAATTCCACATGTAAGGAAACAAAAGTACAAACCTCAGATTTTTTAATTGCGTGCTTTTGACCCCATTTTCGGTTTTCGCCACTGTCCCTCTTGAAGACCTTGAAGTTACCAGTAATGAAGACAGAATCGCCATTAATCTGAAAATTTTTACACCAAACCACAGCAATCAGGCTCGACTTTGGAAACAGGATAATCCATCTTCTCTTTACAAGGGTAACTATTAAATCATTCGCAAATACCTGGCTTAATCTCTCCCAAACCAAGTCTTGCTCCCCCAGATAGCCTTGATCAGTAACCAAAGTAAAGAGTTTATCGTCACGCTGCAAAATGAGAGCAAAAAGAAATTATCGAAATTAGAACTAACCTTCCAAGATATCTATGTATAAACTGTTGAAATCACTTTGAAACACACTTCCTGATTATTAACTCTACAGCTTTACAAATAAGTACTAAATAACCTTCAGCATGGTAGAGAAGTGATTGTTGCGGTAGAAAACACAAAGTTCATCTTCTTTAAGAGTATCTTCCAAGGTAAAGAGCCTACGGGAAATGATAATCAATAACTATTGAGATAAAACCAGTGTAGCCAATTACAGAAAATCTTAAACAATACAATCACGCACCCGTGCCAAGTTAATTGACTGGCATTATCTTTCAAGAATCCGTTGATCACTTCACCTGCAAATTCAACCATGCTGAAGTTATGAAATGTATGGACTTATCTTTATCCACAAAAGATATAATGCATGTGTATGAACTTACCGTCTTTTCGCGTGAGCCCATTTTCTCCTGAGGAATCAGACACAGCCTTTCTTTCGTTTGAGTCTCTGTGAGTATCAACACCAGACACTTCCCTATCAGATAATGTCAAGGCTTTAAACAACGCTTCTTCTTCTTCAATATCTCCCTTTCTCAATCTACCATTCTCTGCACACGCAGGTGGAGAGTCAGCAAAAGATACTGATTTCAAGCAATGTTGTGAACAGATCATTCTCCAGTACCTTTACTGTTTGGAGCCTTAACAGTCTGTGTATCCAAGGCAGTAAGCTCATTCAATAATGCATCGTACGATCTGCCTCCAATTGCAGTAGCGATTTCCACATCCTGAGAGGCAAGAAGCCGAGGAAAAGCAATCAATACTGAAACTTTTCCATTACTACCACGTACAAATTTACAAACTGAAGCCAAATGATGTACCTCGGGATCAACTAGCCATCCATGATACAAGGGAATGTCAAGTGAATCAAATATAGCTAGCTTAGGTGTAAACACAAAATCCTTAATGCTGCAAAAGCAAGTAAACATTATGATAGGAGATTACCACAAGTACCAAAAAGTTTTAACAATATAAACAAAAGGATTAACCAACCTCTTGAATTTTACATCGACAATTATTCCCTCTGCAAGGCCATCGACGAGCTCAAGATCAATGCACTCATCATAATCTTTCCTCTGGCGTGAGAAAACAAAAATTACAGTGGTCAGTACTCCTCATTCTTCAAGTCGTCAGGCTAATGAACAGAACAGGAAAAGAACATTACTTCAACCAGTACTTCACCCACACGATTCAGCAAAGTCTGTTCAGATACTTCAAAACAGTCAAGATCTAGAGTGATTTCGCCTCTCAAGATAAGAACATTACCTGTAAACAAAACAAACTCTGTAAACAGAACCACAGTAAAACAAACGAGCGGATCTAATTCTAATCCAAGCCATCGATTTCAAGATACGAAGAACCTACATTCCCAATATTGTTCCCTATTCTAAGTTCAAAAACCCTAGCGAGAGAGAGAGATAAATCAGAGAACGGTTACGTACAAATGGAGATGAGAGCACATGGTCCGTTCTCGTCTTGGAGAATGATACGCTTCGTCATTGAACGGTACTCGATCTCCTTCGTCTTGTAAAAGACAACTTTGGGAGATTCTTTCTTCTTCGCCGCCTCTTTCAGTTGCCATTCCTGATTAGTCTGCGTCGTCTCTTCGGCGGAAGAATCCGAGTCCGATTCCGAAGAAGGAGGAGAGTAATCGATCGCCATTAATTGAAGAAGAAGGTTCACGAAGATGATCACTCGAATCCGAGAAACTGATCGTTTGAGAGTGATCGTCGTCAAAATCGAAGAAGAAAACAATTTTCTCAAGAGAAATGAAATGTAATCCAAAGAAGCGAGAAAGTGAGAGAGAGAGAGCATGGGACTGGCTTTATATAGTGCATTGGGCGACGAGAAAAAAACAAGAAAAAAAATCTTGAAGGAAACAAACCGGAACTCAATCAAACCGTAATTACTGTGGTTTTCCTAAACCGAAATTGTTGTGACGGTTATTAAATCTAACCCGTATCTTTGTTTTTTTTTTCTCCGTATCTCTTGGGCTCATGAAGCGTATTCCATACTAACGTAACACTTATGTCAATGCTTATTGCTTATAGAGTTATAAGTTAAAACGATACGTATTTTAACTTTTTTTTTTTTTTTTTTGTATTTTTTGGTAAAAGGTTACGAGTAATTTAACTTGGTAGAGAATAAGAATTAATTAGGGGGAGTTATTCGGAAAATGATTTTTAAAGATTGTTAGAATCTAAGATTATTTTGTTATTGTTTTATGAATTCTTAAATTTTTAATAAAATTTTTTGTTATTGGTGTGTTGATTTTGTAATTTCATTTAAAATTCTTTGTTATTCAAAAAGTTGAGTACTTATTGATTTTACAATTCTATTAAACTCTAGTGTTATTGGGAATATGATTTCCTACATATTTGGTCATTAACAACAAGTTTCAAAATACTGCACTTAGCATAAGTATTTGTAAAATCTACCATATTAAGAATGTACTAAACTCTAAAAAATTTAGCAAACATTTATTATAATCTACAAAAATCTTTGAGAATTTTAAAATCTGTAAAACTTTTGAAATTCACAAACTATTTTAGATTCAACCTCCCAATAACCCCTAAATGGTTACTATGGATTTAGAGAGATCAACCAATTTTTTACCAGAGTAGCTTCAGTCAGTCACATAATAGCATAATAATACTTCTATATGTGATACGATTATATAATAAACAACTCTATAATTGATAAATCCGTATATAATTAATTTTCCATTAGTATATCATTTGAACCATAATATTAAGTAAATGATCTCATACGTTATGCTATGATCATCATATTACACCACCACCAAGATGACGTTGATCCAGAATAGGAAAGATAATTAACTTGAAAGAAATATGGGAAGACCTCGAATAGATTAATTAGGAGATTTACTAGTTGTCTACTTTTAGCTATCGTCAACTATATATATGGGCATATATGTTACATCATTATAAATCATTACATTTGATTCTCACTCGCTTATATAGTTTCTTTCTTGTATTCTTATGGAAAATAGGAAATGCATGTGTAAAGAGAATATACACTTGGTAGTTAGTAGTACGCTCGGCTCAAATAGGTGAAAGAGATGTGGTCCTCTCGTAGCGTGCGACAACTGTTCCAAGATATGGAAGAATAAACAAATGTTATCTTTAAAACGTATTATTGTGAAAAGCACCCAATAGTGCATAACCACTTGCTGATGCTACAGTTATAAAATACTTATAGAAACGAATAAAGTTTTTAAAAAAAATGAAAAGCAAAATGAGAGAAGAAGTGAAGTGGTGTCAAGAAGCGCATCAAACAAGAGTCGAAGCTTTGCCCCACGTGAAGACATGTACATGTGCAACCATCTTATTGGTCTCATGGTCGTTGTTACAATAACATCGATTGTGTACGGACGTCATCGACGACGGATGATGGGGTTTTGTTTATTTATCGCTCTTTCTTTTGCCTAAAGTTCTGTTTCATCTGTGGACATTATTGTAAACACACAAAAAGGAAAGAGTTTTGTGTTTCAACTAAACTAAAAGGGTCCATATATGACCATGATTCTTGGCACTAAATATTATACTTTTTGTATGTTTGGTAAATTCAAAGGATACAACACTTGCATTTTTCTAGCTTTTGGATTATGGAGATCGGACGGTGTGCGTTTGTGGAGAAGAGAGATGATCAGACGATGTGCGTGCGTGAATGAGTGAGTAATTTAAACTAAGCTTATTTGTCCGAGAGGAGCTGGCAAAGGACAAGGATCAGGTGCAATAGTTTAAAAAACCCTATGACTTTGACGGACACCGGATCTATAGGTTGTCGGTTTTTATGGACACGTGCCAAGATCTCCCCCATTACCTTCAACATCGCCATTGGTTCCCCCCCCACACCACCACCACTTAATTACGTTTTAAGCTAGAGAGGTAGATTTTTGCAAATTACACCAAATCTATAATATCATAAATCGCTCCATTTGTATAGGAATAACAAGTATTTAGTCCCAAACAGCATGATTATTTTCCTTGGCAGTTCATTGGAAAAATAATTATTATTCCCCCGCCCACAAAAATAGCTACTACTTGTACTTATTTTATTACTATTTTTTGTACAAATTATTCTTCATTTTTTAGTTTTTTACCAAAAGAAGAAAGAAATTACGTGATGCTATTTCCAAAAATAAAAGCGATTCACTGCTGCTAGCCAGGTATAGCTAGGGTTATAGGCGTAAGAGGAAAATGGCAAATTGTCAAATATATCTATCATATATATATATATAGATAATAACTTTGTTTTTTTTTTTTTGTTTCTTTATATTTATTTAGTTTTCATTTCTTTCTCTCACCCTCCTCCATCATAAATCTAGGGCTTTCCAAGAATCTGTATCACACCCTCTTTCCCAAAAACCTTGCTATTTTCTTTTTCTCTCTCCAACACATCAATCCAAAGCTCATCATACACATACAAACTACAAAGAGAGTGTAAATCTCCAAATCCATCCTCAGTTTCTGAGTTGATCTTTCATATTTTATTTAATAGATTTTTTTCCTTCTTGACATGGTTAAATCAAAGGCCAAGCTGTAGTTGTTGTTGATGTTCTTGGTCACTTTTTCTTGATAACTATTCGTTTTCTTTTAATTTTAGTTACATAAACTTTTCTCTTGTGTGATCTTGAACAGAAGATCTGGAGAAGAATATAAATCAGAAGGATGGTGAGGGGCAAAACGGAGATGAAGAGGATAGAGAACGCAACAAGCAGGCAAGTGACGTTTTCCAAGAGAAGAAATGGACTCCTCAAGAAAGCCTTCGAACTCTCGGTCCTTTGTGATGCTGAAGTTGCTTTGGTCATCTTTTCTCCAAGATCCAAACTCTATGAGTTCTCTAGCTCTAGGTATGTCTCCAGCTTCCTTGTTTCTATAACCTCCTTGTGATGCAACATCGATTTATTCTCAGATTCGACTGAGACTCTAATCCGGTCCCATTTTCACCGTTACTATTCGATGTATTTGACTAAATAACTATCAAGATCTGATAAGAGTAATATTAATGATATAATGGTAATTTTGACTTTAGAAAAAGTAGATCGGAGAAAGAAAATGGAGTATAATTTCATAGGATTGAAACTAATGAACCGTCTTATTGCAAGATGATGTATAGTCACCAGATCTTTATGGCACTACAATCTATGATGTGTGTTTGTGTATATATATATATATATGTATGTATTTTTATCCCATCCACTTCTCGCTGTAGATGAGTTGATCTGTTTGACTTTCTCTATCAAGTGAGATCTTTTTTGATATGGAAACAGCTTTAGTATTACATATACTTATGATACTTATCCATTTAGAGACTTCAATGCTATATCTAGTTAATTACTTTGTTTGTATGTAGCAATATCAAGAAGACTATTGAGTATATATAGTGTATTTACTTAACTCAAATTAGGCCTATTTATTTATTTATATCAACGAATTCAGCATCTTCATGAATTAGGCAAAACAGCCATACTTGGAACTAACGCTAAATTTCCTTACTTAGACATGTGTCTATATATGTATGTACTCACCTACATATACAGTGTCTGTGATTGATTTTGTCATGGTTCAATATAGATATATATACACATTATTAATATATACTTTTACAAGTACATGCTCAAATATCATGGATATATATTACTCATTTATGGGTGGACAGTTATGTCTAAGCATAGATGAGTACATGATGTAACACATTTGTATTCTGGTACATATATGTCGGTCGACATGCTTCTATTTGTATATGCATTATCTGTGAAAATGTGGCAACAAAGAGACATTTTGCTTCACTTTTCACCCACAAATAGCAGTGACGGAGTCAGCGCATGTGTGTAGCTCAGATTTATATTCATTCTTTTTATGTTTTCCCTTCTTTTATTTATTGGGTTACAATGCTGATTTGTTTCGGTATAAACTTATGCTGATTTTTAATAGAGTAGAAGGATTTAGAGACTTCAACATTAAACGTATACTTAAGTGTCTTTTGAGCAAAGCTAAAAGAAAACAAATTAATCACAATTAACTAGGCACTGTCAACCGCAGAATCCAGTTGTTAACCCACTGTTTAATGTAATATTTTAAAGAATAATGCTTATTAATTTCTATGTTGATCGGAGCATTTCCATGTGCATCTCTATATATATGTACTAGCTAGTTAAGATCGATAAACCTCTGTATATGTATAGAACTGTTGTATACATGTATGATATTGGCGTATTGTATAATACATATCAATATGTATTGCTATAGTGTTTACTAGTTTAATTTATGCATTTAATTTGGAATTATGGAAATAAGCTAAACCTTTTGTTTTCTTTTAACCATGTTTTGGGCCGGGGGTCAAAACATGAGATCATATCCTAACTGTTGGGAACAATGCAACGAGCCATGTTTACATGATTCTGTCTGTCTCTCTTTTACACATTATAATATTATCAATGATAATGGTCATGCATGATGGCGTCGCTGCGTAAATAATTATGTAAAATTTCATCAGAACTCTTTTACTGTTTTTTTGTCACACACATTCTGATACAAGCATTTATGATATTATTGATTTTGCTTGTTCCAGTTTGATGTGAAAACGTTTTGACTCTCACATTTTCGTTTTCTTTAAATATTTATTTGATTCTCGGCTCCTTGGTTATTTTCAGTATAACGAAAACAATAGAGCGATATCAGAGACGAGTAAAAGAAATTGGGATTAACCATAAGGGAGATGCCAATTCTCAGGTAAAGCTATATATACTCTTTTCCAAATCTTTCATGGTTTTACAAATTGCTGATGAATGAATAATCTTTTACTATATATTTTTGTTGGTATTATGTTTTAAATGTTTCAAACTACTATTTCTTGACAGCAAGCGAAAGACGAAACACGCATCTTGACAAAAAAGATTGAACAGCTAGAGATATCTAAACGGTTTGGAAAATCTCATAGTACAATCTTATGAGAAATTTTCAATGGATTGTATAGACACTACTGTAAGATATTTTGATTTGTAAAAATGATTGTAGAAAACTGCTTGGGGAAGGCATTGATACATGTTCTATCGAGGAGCTGCAACAGTTAGAGAATCAGCTGGAGCGAGGCTTGACCAGGATAAGAGCCAAGAAGGTACGTATTCTTTTACAATTAAGTCCGCATAAATGTCATGCATATGACACGAAATTGTGGAAATTAAATGATGTCATTTGTAGATTCACACCCACTCAATTAGTCAGATATTCTTGTTTTTTTATGAGATTTTGAGAATATGCAATATTTATAATGATGATATACTGTATTTTATGTGTTTACATGGCCTCTCTAGCTAATCATATTACTATCCTTAGATTAACATTGTAATAATAATGAGTTATCAGCAATTCAGTTATTCTGATAGTGTACTAGCTAGGATATGTGGTTTAACGATTCCTGTAGTATATATATATGAATTAATTTCAATGTGGGAAATTTGCTTACATCTATTTGTATATTCAATTCTTTTCAGTACCAATTACTCCGTCAAGAAATTGAGAAGTTGAAGGAAGAGGTAAAACACAACATTCATGTTTCTAAAGCTTTTTCTTTCTCAAAATGTGTGTTAGTGTGTACATATATGTATGTTCATAATAAGATAAAGAATCATCGTCTTCAAACTTTTTTAAAGAAGTCTTTTATGTTCCTTGTTAAAATCTTAGGAGAGGAAACTCGCTAAGGAAAATAAAGAGCTGAAGGAGAAGGTACGTACACATTTTTAGTTTCGAGTTTTTAAATGCTGCTATTTCTAGTGTATAAAAGGTAAAATATATATGGATTATGATTAAGAGAGTTTTGGTGAAGTGGCTTGGAATGGGAGCAACAGTAGCATCATCACAATCAACGTTATCATCATCAGAAGTGAACATAGATGACGATGACAATATGGAAGTGGAGACTGGTTTGTTCATTGGACCTCCTGAGACAAGACAATCCAAGAAAGTCCCTCCTCAAATCTAATCTCACGACTTCACAATGAATGTATCAACAACTACCAACTCTTTTTTTTTTTTTGTATTATATTTTCGTCCACAAGTCTGAGATATTCAATAAACTCTGAACATAGTGTATGAATTTGTTCTTACCCAAGCAGCTAAACTTAAGAAAAACAAAAATCACCTGTACAGTACGTTTCTATCACTTGTAGTTGTGTCTATTTGTACCAAATGAAAGGACTTTACAAAAAACACATTTCGGAAAAACCAATATCATAATGATCATCATTGTACAGCGAATGCAAATTTGGTAGCTCATTCTGATATCTGTTTCTGTAATCGGACAAGGTACATAAAAAGAACAACTTGAACTAAGCTAAATAGGTTAACCATTAGTTACGTAATCTCGAAATCTGAAGAGAATAAAAATTGATTAAGCGACATAGCATTTTAGGAAGGGGTCCACGACTAGGTGTGTGGGGGAGTAAGCACTGTCGCTTTCCGGCGAATTTGGTTCTATTCAGACATCTGACATTTCCTCTTTTTCCACTTTCTTTTCTTTATAATTTGTTTAGTTTACGTTTCTTTATTGCACTTTTCTATATTCTCCTCTAATTCAATGTACATACAACATATCTTTTGTAAGTTGTAACAAATCTGAGTGCCGTGTGTTTCAAGCTTTTGGCCAAATATGGGTTGCATCGTTTCTTCTCGGAAAAAGAAACCGGCAACAAAAGGGTTCCCGGAAAACCGTCCTCGCTTCCATACTCTTCCATCAGAAAGAAGAATAGCTGATGATGATGGTCATGATCAATCCCAAAAGGTTTCAGAACTGTTGCAGATGAGTGATACTTTATTAGGTCATCCCAAGGAGCTTAAGAGAGAAGAAAGTGTTCTTGTTGTTAATGTTCATCCTCGTTCATCGGAATTAGCTGCCTCCGGTTGGCCACCGTGGCTTATCTCTGTAGCTGGCGAAGCACTTGCCGGTTGGATCCCTGGCCGTGAATCTGACTTTGAGAAGCTAGAACAAGTCTCTCTTTCTCTTTTTCTTTTTCTTTTTCTCTGCCTTTCTTTGTTGATTCCCATTTTATAAAGAAAGACATACTCTCTGTATTTGCAACAGATTGGGAGAGGAACATTCAGTAAGGTGTTCAAAGCTAGAGATCTTCTTCGTAACCAGACTGTGGCTTTGAAGAGAATCCGGTTTGATCTCAATGACTCAGAAAGCACCAAGTGTATAGCCAGAGAGATCATGATCCTACGCAAGTTGGATCATCCAAATGTCATCAAACTGGAAGGGTTAATGCTAGTAGACCACGATTCCTCTACCCTTTACCTGATCTTTGAGTACATGGAACATGACCTCTTGGGACTCTCTTCATTACTCGGTGTCCAATTCTCAGAACCTCAGGTACTTTTTATCGCTTCTGTACAGACTCTCTTCATTACTAGCCTACTAGGTGTCAAATTCTCAGGTACTCTCTTTTTCTTCTTTTTCTTCTTTGTCAGGTTAAATGCTACATGAGGCAGCTCTTACGAGGGCTTGATCATTGTCACACTAATAATGTACTCCATCGGGACATAAAAAGCTCAAACCTTCTGATCAACGGTCATGGAGTCCTTAAGATTGCAGATTTTGGGTTAGCTACGTTCTTCGATCCTCATAACAGTGTTCCCTTGACAACTCATGTTGCAACTTTATGGTATCGACCTCCTGAGCTTTTGCTTGGAGCCTCTCATTATAGTGCTGGGATCGATTTGTGGAGCACAGGCTGCGTGATAGGTGAATTATATGCCGGAAAGCCTATTCTTCCTGGAAAAAACGAGGTAAAACCATTACATTCCAATCAGTCTTGTTCTTACCATAGAAGCAAAGTCTCAGAATTTATTCTCTGTATTACAATGTTAAGACAGATCAACTGCATAAGATATTCGAGTTGTGTGGATCGCCTTCAGATGATTATTGGACAAAACTAAAGCTACAGCTGTCAGCTCCATTGAGACCAATGTTTCCATATGGATCACGTATAGCAGAGACATTCAAAGATTTTCCAACTTCTGTTATTTCACTTCTAGAGACCTTGCTCTCAATAGATCCAGATTTTCGAGGCACTGCAGCTAGTGCTCTGAAGAGCAAAGTAAGTTTGGATTGGGATCTTTTCATTTTCCTCTGTTAATTGCTGGTTTGTTCTTATGACTCCAACTGATTACCTTCTTCCACCGTGAAACAGTACTTTAAAACTGAGCCATTGCCTTGCGATCCATCTTTTCTACCAAAATACCCTCCCAGTAAGGAAATCAACCTTCAAATGCGCTATAAAACAAGAAAACACGCTTCACAAGTTAGAAGGACAGACGAACCACAAACTATCCAGCCAATACTTGCAGATTCTTCTCTTACAAAACCGGTGCAGGTATCTCTAATCTTTTATTTCTTGGTTTCTTTAGTGTTTTGGCAGATATCCGAAATAAAAGATGATGTCTATGCAGAGAAAGTGCTCAAATTCTACGAGCGAAGACAATTCATTTACAAAGTCTTACGAGGAAGACGAGTCAGCCAGTTTACCAGATGATTCTGCTAGACACATGCAAACATCTACGGACACAATAACTGAGGATGAAACTATACCCCACGTCTCTTACACGGACCCATCTAGAGAAGACCAGAATCTAGGTGGATCAATGAATATGGAGGAACACATACCTTGGCCTATGAGTCCGTCTAGAGTTAACCCAACAGCAATTCTGCCTAGCCTTTACGAGAATGGGACATCTTCTTCTGGAGGAGTAGGCATCAGACCCACTCTGATTGAGACATATACTGTCATTTAGATTAAAATGGAAAAAAGAAGAAGATTCAAACACAAAAATAAACTTTCTTGGTCAATATCTTGCTTTTATTCCTCAAAAAATGTAGAGCATAACTCAGCCGCAAGAAAATCCAATCCAAAAGATACACTGTTTCAGGAGAATACTTTTAACAACTCCAAACCACCACATTAGTTCGACGGTTGCCATTGAAGGGTTTCTCCAGCAAACATAGGGACAATCTCTCCGAAGGAGAAGCTGAAAACGTCTGGAACCTTCCATGGAGATTTCTTCAGTGTGATCTTTGATGAGTTTCTCGGGAGGCCATAGAAATCAGGGCCATTGAAGCTTGTAAAAGCTTCCAACTTGTCAAGAGCACCAGCCTGAATGTTAAAGAAGTAAAAGCTATGAACATAAGGAAACCCCAAACTGGGAAGGTAAATTGTCTGAAGTTACAACGTTTACCTCATCAAAGACCTTGGCGTATAAGGACAAGGCAACAGGAGCGCTGTAAATACCAGCACATCCGCAAGATGATTCTTTTCTACTCCGTTCATGTGGAGCACTATCTGTACCGAGGAAGAATTTCTTGCTTCCACTAGTTACAGCTTTAACAATGGCTTCTCCTGTACAATGAAACAATGACCTTCAGAAAGCTCTGAAATAAATGAAATCTTAAAGTTCTTAAGAAAAGTGAAGAACATACGGTGTATTTCTCTTTTGAGAACCGGAAGACAGTAGTTGTGAGGTTGTAATCCACCTTGGAAAAGGGCATTTCTGTTCAGAAGGAGATGTTGTGGTGTGACTGTTGCACCCACAGACCCTATAATCAACAAAAGGGCATGAGTTAGGTAGATTTATATTAATCAAAAGACAAAAAATGAAAAAGAACATAGTTACAAAACCTTCTTTGCAAGATTCAACAAAATTCACAGCATCCATGGTAGTAATGTGTTCCATCACTACCTTCAGCTGTGGAAGGCGTTGGATCAGAGGCTGCAGAACTGTATCAATGAAGATTTTCTCGCGGTCAAAGACATCAATACTCGGATCTGTGACTTCCCCATGAACCTAACCAAAACATTTCCTCAGACAAGACACTATACAGTACAAAAATAAAAGTCTAATGTAGTGTGTGATTTATTTACCAGCAAAGGCATGTTTTGTTTGACCATCTCTTCTAGTACCGGTAAGCATTTTCCAAAAAGGTCCGTAACACCATCTTGGGAGTTGGTTGTTGCTCCAGCAGGGTACAGCTTCACTGCATAAACCACACCACTTTCCCCTAAAAACGAACAGATATACAAGAATAAACTGAGTAGTCGCAAGTAGAATCTCAATCTGAAAGATAAAAAATGTAACTGACTACTTTGCAACATGATGGACAAAGCACAGGTTGTACTTACTTGCAAGCTTGATCTCGTCAGGTTGAGTTTTGTCTGTCAAATAAAGTGTCATAAGTGGATCAAAGCTAGTCCCAGATGGCAAAGCTTTCATGATAGATTCCCGGTAAGTAATGGCAGCTGCAGTAGTTGTAACAGGCGGCTTCAGATTTGGCATCACAATCGCTCTCTTAAAAGTACTCGCACTACACACATTTACAGACACCATTAACCATCAAATACAACACAAGAGATCAACGAAAAACATTAAGATTGTAAATTTGAGGATCTCATACATAACAAACAACAACTGTTCCTATATAAAACACCAACAACAACCAAAACAGTAATGTGAAAAAAGACACACATCCACAATTACACTCAAAATTGCAAACAAAAGGAAAAAACAAAAAATTGCAGGAAGTTATATGACCTGTGGGAAACAACAGCCTGAAGAAGATCACTGTCACGGAGATGAAGATGCCAATCATCAGGTTGAGTGATTGTCAGTTCCATTCTTACTGCTCTTGGCTTCACTCTCTTACAAGATCGGTCAAACTTCAGCTTCTGAGATCCAAATCCCTAAACACAGTAATATAAACTTTTACAGATGCAAATGGAGACAACTATATGCTTCTTCTAAATTTAAATAAAATTAAAAACTGCGTCACGTGGATTGAATAAAAATTGGGTAAAACTTAAAACAAAGACTCAAGCAAGAGTAAGGAAGAGTAGACAGTCCCGTACATATACACTACAAGGAGAAACCAAAGTCTTTATCATGTCAAATCTCAAGGCTTTGCAAGATATTTTCACCTGTTCAAAAGGGCAATAAGACAAGACATGACATTCAATAAGTGAACAAAGCAGTGATTCGAATTTTTTACAGAAGTTTCGATCTATCTTAAAAAAAAAGTCATAATTAGATTCGACCCGAGTTCAAATATATTCGAAATAATGCAAAGAAAAAGCTCATTTATACCTGATATGTGAAGATGGCCTCAACCTCAAGGGAAACGAAGAAGACGAAGAAGGTTACCACTGAGTGGGATTAACGAATGCAGTCGGATGTCAAAATCGATTTTGTTTTGAAACGGCATCGTTTAGTGTTTTTGGTTGTGTTCTCTGTAATCACAAATGGTAACAAGTGATTCGTCAAACTACTAATCATTCTAACGATAAGTCATAACAATTTGACCAATACTTTTAGTTATTTTTACTTTTCAACTACAACATAACATCCATGTGTCCTCGCCTAGGTTCTTTAGCAGAAGTCCAAGATGATCTCATCCCTCAGGTAATCTTAAAACCTTCATCATCAAAAAGAATCAGACACCAACATACCTGTATAATCTCATCTGGAATCAAAACATGACTAACCACAATACTAATTTCTTCTTCTTGCTCTCGCTCATCCTCTGTTTTTGCTTTACAACAGGTGTTGTGTTTGTGTCTGCTCAAACACAACAGTACTTGGAGGACGGATCTTTCACACCAAACAGCACTTTCAACAAGAACCGTATCTCTCTCCTCTCTTCTCTTCCTTCTAACGTCACTGCTCGAAAAACCTTCTTCTATAATGCTTCTCTTGGCCAAGATTCGAACAGAGTTTATGCTCTAGCTATGTGTATTCCTGACTCCAAAACAGAGGATTGCTCAAATTGCGTCGAGACCACTTCGGATGGACTTATCAAAAACTGTCCTAACAACACCCAAGCTTTTCATTGGTCAAGTGGTGAAAAGACTCTCTGTTTCGTACGTTACTCGAGCCGTTCTTTCTTTGGCTCAGCCGATATGGACCCGCGTCAGATTATTCCCAACGTCACGGATGTCAAATCGAACTTGAACGAGTTTGATAGAGTTTGGCAAGATTTTATGCTTCGTGTGGTGAACTTAGCTTCTTCTAGCTACTATGAAGCTCAGATTAGTCCCTTGGGATCTGAATATAGGATGATGATCTACACGATTATGCAGTGTAGTTCTGGTATAACGAGTGCTGATTGCAACACCTGTTTACGAAACAACGTTGGCGATTATCAAAACTGTTGTCGTGGGAAACAAGGTGGTCTTGTTACTCGTCCAAATTGCTTTTTCCGGTGGGAATTTTATCCTTTCTATGAAGCTTTTCATAACATTTCATCCCCCGCCAAGAAAGGTAAAAAAAAAAAAAGGCCAATTCAAGAACTTTAATACTCTGCTTTTGTTATGTTTCTATATACTGATACGCTTTCCTATTATTGATTTCGAAGATTCTCCAATGGTGAAAATTTTGGTTCCAATTCTCGTCGTCGTTTCACTATCCGTCCTTGGATTTGTTCTTTACCGGAGGTGGAAGAAGAAGAAGGACGTATCTAGAGAGACTTACCATGATATAGGCTGTGAGTTTCTTCAGTTGTTTGTAACTGTTTACTAGCAAAATCAAGATTTCATGTTTCTTTCTTTGATATGCAGTTACTGAAGTTGATGCTATGTCTTCACTGAAGTTCGAATTCCGTACCGTTCAAGCTGCAACAAATGACTTCTCGGAGGACAGTAAACTCGGGGAAGGTGGATTTGGTCCAGTGTACAAGGTGATAACCTCAGTTTTGATATTTTACTCGATCATTTGTATCGAATTGCCTTTTCTCATATCAACAATTAAACAATGTGTAGGGAAAGCTTCAAAACGGTCAAGAAATAGCGGTAAAAAGATTAGCCATACGTTCAGGACAAGGAGATGAAGAATTCAAGAATGAGGTTTTGCTATTATCTAAACTCCAACACAGAAATCTAGTTAAGCTTCTAGGATTTTGCTTACAAGGCGAAGAGAGGCTTCTCATTTACGAGTTTGTTCCCAATTCAAGCCTTGATCATTTCATATTTGAGGTTGCTAAATCGAAACCAGTAGACTCTCAATCTTTAAGGACTAACTGGAGCACACGGTACTACATTATCGTCAACATTGCTCGAGGGATTCTCTATCTTCATGAAGATTCTCGTCTCAAGATCATTCACCGTGACTTGAAACCTAGTAACATTTTGTTGGATTATCAGATGAACCCTAAGATTTCAGATTTTGGGATGGCGAGACTGTTTGATTCGGATAATCCGACACAAGGCCTAACAACAAGCAGAGTCATGGGAACTTAGTAAATTCTCGAATATTAACTTACTGATAATTTAAACTCGCACTTTCTTACCTCAACATTCTCTGCTGCAGCGGGTATATGGCGCCGGAATACATAGCTCAAGGACGATTTTCAGTTAAAACCGATGTTTACAGTTTCGGGATAATGGTTCTTGAGATCATATGTGGCCGGAAGAACAATAGCTTTCAACCAAGCGGTGTACCTTTTCATGTAAGGTACTCTTTGCGTTAATTAACTTTACCAACAAGCAAAAATTATTCTCTTTTTGAGTAACTAATTTTGTATAAAAAAAACCGGTATAGGCCTGGATGAATTGGCGTGCGGATCGAGCACTGGACATTGTCGATTCAGTGATCACAAAGAATGTTTCGAGAAACGAGATAATGAAATGCATCAACATTGGACTTTTATGTGTTCAAGAGAGTGTGACAAAAAGACCAAACATGAACTCAGTTGTTCATTGGCTCAATAGTAACTCACTGACTCTTCCGGTTCCATCAACCCCTGCGTTTGTTGTCCACGACGAGTCAAGTGAGGCTTCTCGAGTTTCACAGGTCACGGTTTCAATCACTGATCCTGAGCCACGGTGAAGATTTGTTATTCTACGCTTTCATAAACTCTGCTTTTGTAGATTTTTGTTATGAACTTATGAGCCTCGTAGATAAATAAGAAAGCCAAAGCATTTGAGGTCTAATTTACTGAGTAACGAATGATCAAACTAAACCGGAAATAAACCGGACATATTTGGGTTGGACAACAGCATGAGTTAGAGCCGAACACAATGTCTCTTTGTCGCAACGAGATGACTAAGTTATCCAAAAAGACGGTTAGAGCCACTTGTTAGCCCCACCATGACGACACATGGGTAAGCTCATGCAAAGATTAGAATACACGTGGCACTCTCTCGTGTTCAGAAAAATTCCAAAACAGTCTTCAGATTTGGGCACGGAAGTGTGAAACGTGAAGCAACACCTTTTAAACAGAAGAACCAACCCAATACGCATCAGAAAGAACCCTAAATTCCAGGAAGATCTCAATAGGAATTTACAAAAACCAAAGCTTCAAGCAATCATCAAAGCAAAAAAAAAAAAAAAAAGCTTAAAACTTGGATTTTTAATTTCTTTCTTAAAGCTACAAGCTTTCTGATTGTGGTTTCAGTGTACGAACACGCAAGTTATCGCGTGAGAAGTTTGGTTCCAAGCCTCAGCAAAAGGGCTTCTCTGTATTTAGGGCTGTTTTGTTTCTGTCTTAATTTCTCAAAAATTGAAGCTTTGATTTGGTTTCAAGAGAGCAGAGATGTGTAGTTTGTCGGCGAATCTATTGCTACCAACGAAGCTGAAACCAGCTTATTCTGACAAACGGAGTAACAATAATAGCAGCTCACTCTTCTTCGGCAATAGAAGATCCAAGAAGAAGAATCAATCGATTGTTCCCGTAAGGATTTGTTCTTTAAATCATTTTGGATTGAAGTTTGTATTTATCTATGTCTATGTCTGAATTTAAGGGATTTGACTGATTATTGAATCTAAGGAAGAACGTAGTCGTATAAATTTGAGGTCTTTTTGTTTGGAATTGGGTGCAGGTTGCGAGGTTGTTTGGACCGGCGATATTTGAATCATCCAAATTGAAAGTATTGTTTTTAGGGGTTGATGAGAAGAAGCATCCATCAACGCTCCCTAGAACGTACACTCTCACTCACAGTGACATTACGGCTAAATTAACATTAGCTATTTCCCACTCCATAAACAATTCTCAGGTAAAAATACCTCTTTCTCCTCTTAACATCTCTATATACACAGTAGTAGTATTATGTAGTCTATATGCCTCTGTTTTTAGGAGTATAATATTTAGGGAATTGAGCATTTCAAGCAAACACTAGGCTGATGCATATCTATTGTTAAGCTTTATATATCTATAATTTGGCTCTATGGTATTAGCTTATGTATGCTTATATTATTTCCCATAACACTTCTCCTCAGAAAGGTTAATGTAATTGGGATTCATTATTGTTGCTAATTTAGTGACTGATGTATATAAATGTTTTGTGTATAGTTGCAAGGATGGGCAAATAGGTTATACCGAGATGAAGTTGTGGCAGAATGGAAGAAAGTGAAGGGGCAAATGTCGCTTCACGTTCATTGTCATATAAGCGGTGGCCATTTCCTTTTAGACCTCTTTGCAAAGTTTCGGTACTACATCTTTTGCAAAGAGCTACCAGTGGTAAGTTCCCATTATTCAAAAGAAACTTATTCTTCTTGTTTTCATGTAAAACATATGTTTGATTTCTATGATTGTTTCGGATATAGGTCTTGAAGGCTTTTGTACATGGAGATGGAAATTTGTTGAACAACTATCCTGAGTTACAAGAAGCTCTTGTTTGGGTTTATTTCCATTCGAATGTTGATGAGTTCAACCGAGTTGAGTGTTGGGGTCCGCTTTGGGAAGCTACTTCTCCTGATGGTCACAGGAGTGATACTCTACCCGAGATTCGGTGCGCGGACAAGTGCAGTTGTTGTTTTCCACCCGTTAGCTCGATCCCATGGTCTCATAGTCTTAGTAATGAAGGTGTTAATAATGGTTACTCAGGGACACAGACTGAGGGAATTGCTACTCCTAATCCGGAGAAACTCTAGTGATTTGATATGGAATTGCAAGTTTTTCTCTTTTGGTTTATGGTAGTTTGTAAAGTGAAAAGGAAATGGAAGATTCCTCTTGGTGGATCTAGTATTGGTTTGGTCTGGTGTAAATAATATGGTATAGGAAGATGATGATTGTTTGTAGGTTAAAAATAGTACAACATTAAGTTAAAACATGTTTGATATTTTGTATCTTTTCTTTAAAAGTCTTTGGCCATAGTAGCTGTATCACATCCACAAGATCAAAATGTAAGTATGCGACCGATTAACTAGTAAAGGGAAATAGAGTGGACCAAAATCTCGAAAGTTAGTTCAGAAACTTAAAAGGTAATAATAGAATGGACCAATTCTACAAAAATTAAGTTTAGAAACTTAAAAGGAAGGGTAAAACCTTATAAGTAACGATAATGTGAAATAATAAAATTAGTGAAGTTAAAATATGAAAACATTCATGAGTATCATCAAATGTATCATCACATCAGTGAAGTAAAGTAATAGACGAATACTTAGGACGACACAGGTCGACGGTATAGCACGTGAAAACAAAGGAGAAACGTGAAAGTAAAGAGATGGCAAAAAGACTTGGTTTCATCAAGGTTTACAAAGCGTATCAGCCACTTCTTGCTTCTAATGATTCCAAATCATTTTCTTGGATTTATTTGGTCTCTTTCTTCAAAATCTTATAACCAACCATATAGTGATGACTTTCTAATGTGACCCCATTCGTCTATCTAATTTACAACCAAATACAGAAAAGAAAAGTAATATAATGGAATTGGTAACGAATTATTGCATTTATTATGATTGGCTCAATATAAAATGTTTGTATTCGTAAGTAAATACAAGAAGCTATATTTTGATATATGAAAAGAAGAATTGAATAAAGATATACACTTTTTTGGAAAATTTTGTGAATATGGTGGTGGTGCATCTTGACGAACCCAGAGAGATCGATCCATCGGTGATTTTAAATCAAAGGGTTAGATCCTTTTGCATCCGTGTAAAGAAAAAAGAATTTAATGACTCTCTCTCCGTGACCGTGTGGAAAAGTTGGTTGAGACGACCAACTCAACTCAAGCTGGCAGCTGTTGAAGAAATGAAGAAGAAACTTATAACTTTGTCTGTGTGTCTTGTACTGAAAGATACTTTCACCGAATTGTTGTTCTACCAAAGAAAGATGACCCGATTTCACTATCCGTGTTCTGTAACAGAGTCAAAAAAATTTGGAATCAGTTCCTCTAGAACATTGCATTTTGAGATGATTAATTGCACAAGTAGATTAAGTTTTGAGTATTTTTACCTGAGATTTGGGGGAAGGGAACACATTCCAGAACCTTAAGGTTTCGTCTCCTGCTCCTGTTACTATCGTCTGTCCATCGGGTGAAACCGCAAGGTACAGGACACGGTATGTGTGACCGGTCAGAGTTGCAATCTAAACAACCAATATAAACAGAGTTAAGCATATGATCCTTAATAATGAAGAGTATTAAACAGAGAAAAAGGTCATAGAGAGTTCATACTTTGGACATAGTTGGGTATTTCCAGACAATGATTTGGTTTTGGGAGTATCCATGCGTGCTAACCAGCTCGTTTACATTCTTAGACCAAGCAAGATTGCATACCTGTAATATGCAAGAACAAAAGAAGGTTATTAAACGTGAAATGATGGTTATGTTTTGTGAAGCCATGTCAAGTTAAGAAAACATTTACCTGACTGCAAGTATCTATGGAGCTTAGATGAGTATTCGTCGTTGTATTCCAAAAACGTATGCATCTGTCAGCAGTACCACCACCAGAAGCAAGAAGCCCATGAACATGAGGAGACCAAGCAATTGCTTTTACCGCTGCAGTGTGTTCACTATATTTTAAAACCGGTTGTGTTGAATGCTGGTTCCATACAAAAAGCTGCAAACAATTTTAAACCACTTTAGCCGTGCTAGGGGTTAAAAATAATAGACTAATGTAACCGCAAATCAAGAAATACATACCCGATTGTCGTTTCCACCAGATGCTAACTCTCTGTTGTCATAAGACCACTTGAGTCCGCAGACCTCGGACTTGTGACCTGCCAGTTTACTGACATGATCTTCTTGACACCTTATGTCCCTCTGAAGGATACTCTTGTCTCTACTACCAGATGACAGAACCGATGAACCCCATGCCAGGGCTCCAACTCTTAGACGATGACCTTCCATTGTTCTTGTTCTTTTGCAACGCGACGCATCCCATATCTGCCAAAACACAACTAAAGTGAATATTACATAGAAAGAACATCATAAATTCTTATATGCGCTCTATTACTTTCCATCTTAACCCAAAGGATTTATAACTTCACTTAAGGCAAGGATATAACTTTATTCGTGAATATCTTCTTTATAAAGAAAGATATCTTTGTAATAATCCCTTGATATTGTATCATTAATGGTCCTACGGTTCATAAGAAAAGGTCTAATCATGTTGTAACTGTAAGTAGTTACTTTACAGTATATCTTCCAGGTTCAGAAAGTTGCAAAGTAACGTAAATTATTAGTTATATGCTTAGGCCAAACAGTAGACAAAAACAAAAGAGTAAATGAGATCTAACCTGAACTTTCCCGGTACTAGTTCCAACAGCCAGATGAGTTCCACGTAACGCCCAACCAACTGAGCAAACACTATCATCTGCCCCGAGATCGCATAACTTAGTTACCTGTTAGATTTCAAGGAACAAATCAACATCAAAACAATCTGAAACTATGTACTATGATTTATTAAAAGTGACTGCAAAAAAAAAATCTCACCTTGCTGCTACAAGCATTCCATAAATAAACGCAGTTCCCTAATCCCACTGCAAGAACATTTTGTGCAGACCAATCCACAAGATTCAAATAAAAATCATCTTGCAAGGCCGGTGCATCAAGTACCTAATCACAAACACAATAAGAAAATCCTCTGTTATCATCTGTAACAACATTGCTCATAAACAAATATCCAAATCCAATGTCAAAATCAAGCTACATCACATAGAAAACCACTCTAAGAACAGTAAAAAACAAGCATTCTTCAATAATGCTTCCATCTAAATCACTCTACACTAAGTAGAACCTCAAAAACAAGAATTCTAGACCATCAGAGAACAAAACATCACCAAGATCACAAATTGTGTGATGCATTAGTGAAATCAAAGATCAAAAGTGAACTAGATCAAGAATCAAAGCTCCCCCGACCCCCAAATCTTCAGACATTACAGAAAAAGACAATCAAAAACCACACAATGCCACAAATTACTCAAAAGAAACAAGACATGATCCAGATTCAATCTTCAAAACACAAAACAATCCACACAAATCAAAACAATCCAAAACCAACCACAGAAGCAAAAAATCATCACCTTATAAGGCGATCGCGGGACTTTCCTGGGAGCTTTGACCGGACTATGACAAAGACCAGGAGCATCATCAATCCCAAAAGGAGAAAAAGAATTAAGAGAGCGATGAGTCTCCGTCTTAAACCTGAAAATATTTCTGGAGGAAGAGAAGCCAGTAATATCTCTCTTCTCCGGCGTCTCAGGACCAAACATGGCGGCACGCAACAGAGTCGCGTAAGAGCCAGCTCCGTCTTCCTTACCGTCTTTACTGGGAGAAGGAGACAGATCGAAGAGAGCGAAACTGGATCCGGATCTACTGGGTATAAATCTATCAGAGTATATAGACCTCGACGGTGATTGAGATTGGTTAGCATTGATCAATCGGTTGATTCGTCGCTCAAGTGAAACCACCGGAGTGTTCATCGACGGTGATTGATTCAAACGAGATGATGAAGACGAAGAATTCCAATTCCTCGCTATCACATTGCTTGCGCTAGGATCTTCATCATCCATCGTTTTGACCTTTTTTTTTTTTTTTTTTTTTTTTTTTTTTTTTTTTTTTTTTTTTAGTCTTCAGATTTAACAAAGGCTTCTCCTTTTTTTTTTTTTTTTGTTGAAGTGTTGTTGAGACAAAACCTTCTCTTTGTTGCCTTTTTATTGTAGTTTTTTTTTTTTGTATATAATAATTATTATAATCTTTTTTACCTTTTTGACGTTTTTTCTATTTTTATTTAATTTTTTCCTTTCCCGGGAAATCTCAGGGAAAAACAGAAAACGACATGTGAAGTTATGCGGTTTTAAGCGGATCAGGTAAGGACCGTGAGGTTTAAGCTTTCTGATTACTGTCTCTCCTTCAATCTTAATCGTTGGATTAAGAGAGTAAAAAATCAAAAATGGTTAATGGGCTTGGGCCTAAGATTGTAGTTAATGGCTTAATACCTATTTTTTACCCCTTTTTAACCTTTAATGCAGTTAAAAGTCTAGTGATCTTGTAGAATCTTAGATGGCAGGCGTTGACAACAAATAATAAAATAGTTGATCAAATGTTGTAGATCTATGTCAAATCAAGCCAAAACATGCTCATTTTTATATATTAAATATTAGATCTGATTTGTCTTTTTTTCTTAATTTTCATATCTAAGAAAATTGAGATACTGTACAAAGAAAAAGCCCAAAAGTTAAATCTTAAAGATACACTAGAAAATTTCCAATTAAGAAAGATATAGTAGTAAAAATAAGAAAATTATACTTATATAGTTATTAAAAATACATAATCTAAAATGTATTTAATATTTTTTTTTAATAAAGCAAAACACTAAAAACTGAAAATATGACACAAAGAAAAACAAAATCTTACTAATATGAATAATATAGATTGCAACTTGCAAATGAAGGTGGTGATTTGTTTTATAATTCCGTACTGAGCATTAACAATATTAGCTTACTGTCTAAAGAAGAAGATGCTTGTAGATGTGTAGATGTGTAGGTGGAAAATTCTATTAACTTTCAATAATTACTATAAACATTTATTTTCTTTACCAAATCATAAATTTTTTATATATATAAAGAGTTACTAATTTAGCAAAAAAAAAAAAAAAAAAGAGTTACTAACAAAAATCAAAATGAGAAAGGAAAACAAAAGCTTACAATATGAAAGTTGGAGGTACTGTACTACTATCTCAGTGTTTTTATAATTAAATTGCATACATTTCACTGACCATTTTCAAAGTAAATAAAAAAGCAAAAGATTGTAACCATCTAAACAATAACAAAATGAAAGAAATTTTCATTTTGAAACAATTGAAACTGTTTGTATATAATATATATATATATATATATATATATATATATATATATATATATTTTTGTTAAGATACTCAATTAACACACACAAAAATAAAGTGAAGAAATTATAATAATTATGGATGATTATTATTTATTCAAATGAGTGTGTTTATACCTATCATCGGCCATTCTAGGAAGAGTTCTAGTTCCAGAAGCAGTAGGAGCTCTTACATGACCAACCATTGAAACCTGAAGAGCTTCCTCTTCGTAAGCTCTTCTCTCCATTTCTTCTCTCACTGCTTTCTTCTTCACTTTCACCAACATAGCCACCACCAACATTCCCAAGAGAATCGCCCCTATCCCTGACCCAATCACACTCCCCACCGCCACTTTCCACCGGCTCAGCTTTCCTCCTCCGTTGGTGCCGTTCACCTCCGTAGATGACGTCACTACTCCACCACCCTCACTGTCATGGTCATCTTTTTGAGCTTCTGTTTTCATCACGAGAGCGTAATGCCCTTGCCTTATCCCTTTACACACATAGGGCGACACTTGCTGGCTAAACGTTGTGTTACCGTTTCTTGTGAAACACGCACACAAGACTGATGAGTTCTTCTTCATCGTCTCCTTAGGGCTAGGGTCAATACTTGACTTGTTGCTCAAGAAATCGATCAAGATTGGGTTTTGATCGGTACCCACAACGTTAACCTCGTAAGGGTTCGTGGCCACACCGTCAGGGTTTGCATTGTAAGCTAACAACCCAAGAACAGGTGACACGAGCTGGTAATTTTCACCGGTTAAGTTATAACCGGTAGAATAGATTGAAGACCAATTCGAACCAAGGTTTTGTCTGATTAGCATGACTCTCTCAGGGCATGGCTCCACCGTGACTCCTGAACCAATGTTAAACTCTCCTAGTTTTGCACCGTATCTTCTCAGACTCCCGCACCTTAACTTCACCGTGTCGATGTCTATACCAGAGAAATTAGAAGGGAGAATGATCTTCTGAGTGATGCCAGTGTTGAGATTGAGCTTAAAGTTTCTAAAGGTGTAATCTCTGATCATGAGATCAAGGAGATGTGTAGATTGAGACTCAGATTGGTGGAATGATAGGAGAAGTATGATGATGATTAAGATATTAAATATACAAAAACAGAATGAATCCATGAGAGAATCTATAAGGTTTCTCAGAGGAAGTGAAGAAGAGGAAAGAAAAAAGAAAAGGTTTTGATTGTGTTTTATTTTTTTTTACTTTGTAGGGATGTGGTTTTTGTGGACAGACATTATAAACACTTACACTTTGATTTGTCAGATTACTCTTTTTACCTTTATACAAGACATGATAATTGTTAAATAAGCATATGACCGTTTCTAACGTTAGGCTTTATTTTTCAACATAAAAGCAATTGATAGATAGGTCTTAGTGGAGGAGTAAATTAGATCAATGATGATAGAGGCATGGGAAGATGATGATCATGATTACACTTCTGTGTGTTAAAATCTAATTTTTATACCCAAAAAGAGAGAGACATTGGCGTGCTAATGTTTTGTGTGACTTTATCCTCTTTTGTGTTATGTTACCTTTGTCTGTCCTTTCATTATATGCTCTTGACTTTTCTGGTTCTCATATCTTTCAATTCATGTTACACACCATTTGAAATTTGTGACTCACTAATTCACACTATGCTTTACTTATACTTGCTTTTAGTTGTAGCATATGAAGATTCACAGCCTTGCTTATGCTAATTTGATCTTAATGGTTTAATCAACCTAAGGTTAAGCGAGAAGGTGAAAGAAAATGTTATTGAAGTTTAAAGTTATAGGGTTGGCCTTTCATAAATACAAGAATTAAAACCAAACTATAATTAAGTTCTTTTATTTTTTGGGTTAGGTCAGTTTTGATTTAACTATACTATTGATTATATTACCTACAAAAGGTTGATGAAGAAGTACTCATATATAATATTTCTCTTATTGCTTACACAATACTTACAAATCAGAGAACATGTGAAAGAGAGAGAGCTAACATGGAAGATCTTACATATACATTAACTTCGAATCTTATTTTTTGCTGCTTCTGACAAAACCCATTCTTCTTTTTCCATCTTCAATCTTGTTGGTGGCAAAATCAAATTTTACTATCTCAGATTTCCATGTGATTTCAAAGAGAGTAGTAACTAATCAGAAATTTACTATATATATGATATGTGTGTACCTCACAGGGTTCAAGCTTGGCTTCCTTCTGGCAATGTGATCAACCGAGACCTTGCGTCATACTCCATCGCGGTTCCACAACTAAAACCAATAAAACAGAGATTAATAAAGATTCATAATGGTGTTTATATGTGAACAAGATCTCAAGTTAAAATCTTACTTGGTGCATTTGACAGCGTTGGTCTTTCCACCGCTTGAGATTGACAGAATTGTTCCAAAGAAGGAGACATTCTCCGTTCCACAATTTGGACAAGGACCCTATGATACAAGAACATTTATTAAGGACTCTTGTTGCTTTTTTATTTTTACAATCTGATCAATGGTTTTTACCTTCAAGATCAAGAAGTCTTTGATGATCAGTTTGGTTATTGATAGAGCCAGATATACAATCAGAGGCACAGCAGCAAACCACGTGAATATAAAACTGAATGGTTCCGGAAGCTCCAAGATGTATGTGATCTCAAAACCTGTAATGTCGTCGAGGAAGAAAAATCTGCAAGTATCCAATTGAAAGAATAAGCAAAGAAACTAATTGGGTTTTATATGATGTGAATGTTCGAATAGAAAAATTATATAGAGTACTCACAGCCCGAGAGCAACAACAGTTGCTGGAACATTCAACAATAACATTTTGAAATAATCTACAGCGAGATCACTATACACCTGCATTTGAGGAAGTGCACAAAGATTGTAATCAATATCTTTATACGGTCTAACCTTAACAATGAGTCTTATGTTACATTTACCTTTTTACTACGGAGACTGCATCTTGGACCCTCACACACAATTTCGCTACCATCCATCTGTGGAATATAGAAAGAATCATAAAATCGAACCTTAAAAGGAGGAGACTTATATTTTGATTGAGAGTATAGAAAGGGAATGGAACCTTTAGTTTCAGTTTCAGTTTATCATATTCTTCATCATTCAAGATTGGATTTCCAGAGACATAAGCCATTGAAGCTTCCAAGAACCTTTGTTCATCAGAACCTATGTTTCATAAAACCAATCGATCAGGACTTTAACTCCTAAAGAAACCAAAACAAAGATATGAATTTTTTAATCTCGTAGTAGATTACTTAGCATCACAACACTGCTTCCTTCCCACATCAACTCTTCTTTAAGGTTATCAAACTCTTCATTAGACATGATCGCTTTGCCATCGTAATAGAAAGACTGCAAGGAAACACAGAAAAGCAATTCTCAGGCTCTTGAATGTTTAAAGGATCATGTTTAGGAAACTATCAAAAGGATGGTTTATGTAGCGTTACTTGCATCGCTTGGAGAAACTCTTGCTCCATTTCACCAATTGTTTTCTTCTCAGCCTTGTTGATGCTACAGTAAGGCAAAACATTGCTATCCACGTTGTCTCCTCCCCCTAACAAAAGCAAAAGAATGTAACTGAGAACTCCATAACAAATGTAAAGTTGATCCCTTATAACTGCAACATATAAGTGATACAACTTTTGATATTGCAGACATTTAGAACAGAGATAAAACTCTACACATTCAAGAAAGTCCAATACAAACAAACATTTGCTAAATCAAAATTATAACCATTGAATCAATCAAACCCTTCTAGAGTCGAAATTTAACAGGGTTGGAGATCAAAAATTCATTATTTTCAGAACCAGAGACCGCTAAATTCGAAAAGGTTAAAACTTTCAGAACAAATTCGAAGCTAATAGCTTTGTAAATGGAAAACTAAAGCGGAGAGATCGAATTAGAGAATTTAAGTGGCAAAATCAAGACCTGATTGCTCAGCGGTGGCTCTAGGAGGGAGTAATAAGACTCTTCTTCTCAAGGAAACTGATTTTGCAGGGGTGAGCTGAGCCAACTGCTGAGTCCTCGACGAGGAAGGAGAGAAAGAAGTGGTGGTGGGTTTGCGAGAAACGGCGGAGAAAAGTCGAGGGCTCGTCAAGCTGAACAACATCTTGCTACCCATTTCTTCCTTGGTAGAGAAAAAAAAAACAAAGGGAGCTCTTTTTTCCTCTGTTTTTTTGTGTTCTTCAGTAGAAACGGAACCTGTGGTTGAAGATGTGTTTACTGCGAGCTTCAAAGCTTGTTTTGATTTTGATTTTTTTAATTATTGTTTTGGAAAAAAAAAATTGGAGGCCAAAAAAACAAAATGAGGAGATAATACAAGTGTGGAGTAAATTCCTAGGCAGATCTTCTCTGATATTTTCTTTGAGTTTCTCTTCTCATCCTGGAGCATAGAAATATCCACGTCAGCATTACATAGATTTTTCCTTATTTAAATTACAAAATTTTATTAGTTAGTACACTTTTTAAAAGCCAAAAACTGTTGTTTTTAATAAGTTTTTATGTAATGGCAGCGATAATACATCAAAGTTTTGTGTAAGTATTTTACTGGAATTAATCTCCTAAATTTAAATCATATAATAATTAGTTAATTACATATAGCATTCAGAGAGCTTTAAATTATAAAAAATGGATTCTCAAATTTAGAAAAAAGAATAAAATCAATGTGATGGCACTAAAAAATAAAATAAATTGAAACCAGTCAAATCCCTACTATAGTAAAAGAGAAGTACAAAAATACTTCCGGTTCGGGTCAAAAACAAAAAACTAACCCGAAATTATAATGATAGATACTTAATTTTTGGACTAAAATTCGGATATGGACATTAACTATTAAAAAAAAATCAATTACTAAAAATTCCCCTTATTTAGGAAACTATAATAATGATACATGCATATTTTAGAAATCTAAATTAATTGTGTATATTTAAATATAAATGGCGAATAACAATTGCACATTTTAAAGTAATTACGTTTCTCATCACCTTAAAAAGATTTTAATATTTATATAATATTCTAATTACCAAATAAGTTTGTAATCTTTGATATAATGGTTAATCATTTGAAAATATGATTAAATACCCACCCAAAATATTAAAGTTTCCAAATACAGTATTAAAGGCTACGATTTAATTATCCATTTTAAAATGAAAATATGAATATTTAAAATATATATATTTTCAAAGAACACAATTATTAACTGTAAAGTTTTAATAAAAATTAGCATTTAAAATAGCTTCCGAAAACTTATATTTGAAAACTATATTTTTGGAAATAATAATGACAAATTTAAATTTAGAAATAGCATTTATACAAAGAGATCTCAGTTTTAGAAAATATTCTAATAATCAAAACAATACAATATTGGTTTAGTTGTCTGATTATTTATTTTCGGAGATCTAATTAAATTTTATGATTCTAACAAACAATATCTAAGTGTGAAGATTTAATTACCTAAAAAATATACAGATATATATATATATATATATATATATATAAAAAGAATAAAATATTTTCATATTGAAAATAATATATTCATTTTTATTATTTTAAACTCCTTATATACACCATTTAAATAAATAACAAAAAATAAAAATTATTTATAGTAAATGAAATATTATTTATACTTTTGGAAATATAATAAATATTTTTATATTTTGTATTTTACTAAGCATGTGAAAAAAAAAAGTAATTAGGTAATTTATGTTTTACAATGGCAAATTAAATTTCAAAATTACTCATTTAAATATCAATAAATTTAAAATTTAATAATAAGTAATATATATTCATAAGGTAATCATAGTAAAATATGTTTACATGAAGAATTTCTTTCCTAATCTTAATAATATATTCAATCACATAAAATTTCTATAAGACTCCCAAATTAATTTCCTTTTATAATAAATGCTTACGAAAGTCATTTCAACAAATAAATTAATCCTAACGATATTTTTGGAATTTTAAAAAAAGGAAATCAACTTAAATTCGAAGACAAGTTAATCTCTATAAATACTGTTATTCATCTACCCAATTCATCTTTTCCTTATTTGAAAATACTGGATCATTCCATATCCAAATTCTCTCTTACTCATTTTTTATTAACATGGTTCATCTATATCATAAAGTTTATCATTTGCATTTTTGTTATTTTAGAATTTGCACGTGAATGATTTATTATTCTTATTTTTTGGTATATATTGGCATTTCCAATCACTTTCATTGGATAATGCTTTTTCAAATATTATGCATTTATGTCGATGATATTTTTAGTAATACACGACTGGTTTGTAAACTCACAATCATATAGTCAAATGGGTTATGATTAATATTTTTTAAAAACATTTTTTACGAGTTGGTCTGTTAAAACATACAATATAAGCGTGTATATTTTACAAGTGGAATCATTTAAAGTTTTCATATACTCGATTTCTTCTTTTATTATAACTTTTAATTATATATTAGATAAATATTTTCCCATGCGTTGTAGCGCGGATCCGTTTCTAGTTGTTTTGTGTTATAAGAGCTGATTACAAAATTAATCTAAAATCTGAATTATTACACACACACTATTGGTAAGAGCTAGTAGAGGCGGACACGTGGAGACACGAACTAGGCACGTGCACGCGGACGTTGAGGTAACGCCGCCAACTAGTGTAAACATTATTGGGCTTTTGGAGTTTTAAATAAGTACCCAAGCCCATACCAATGCGGGTCTTTTCGACCGTTGGATCTTAACAATAACTAAACCTATCAGTCAACCCTAACAACCTTCAGCTCGTTGACCGTGGAGTGAGTCACACACTCACTTACCTTCCTCACAACAATATCACTAACCACCGGTAGCTTTACATTTTCGTAATCCCCTTACTTCATTCTTCTGTATTTTGCACTACGTTTTCTATTTGCTATATAAGAGACTTTTCACGTTTCATTTACTTGCAATAAACTCAAAAAAAAACATATCTTACTCTGTTTTTCCCCTGTTTTGAATTAGTTTCTTTACTTACTCTGTTTCCTTTGTAAGCTTTGAGATAAGATAAAGAAGGATGGTTGAAGTAGAAAGAGTTGAGACTTTAGCAAAGAGCGGAATCATATCGATCCCGAAAGAGTACATTCGTCCCAAAGAAGAGCTCGAGAGCATCAACGATGTTTTCCTCGAAGAGAAGAAAGAAGACGGTCCTCAAGTTCCCACTATCGATCTAAAGAACATCGAATCAGAAGATCAAAAGATCCGCGAGAGTTGCATAGAGGAGCTTAAAAAGGCATCTTTGGATTGGGGAGTTATGCATTTGGTCAACCATGGTATACCAGTTGATCTGATGGAGCGTGTGAAGAAAGCAGGAGAAGAGTTCTTCGAGTTGCCCGTGGAAGAGAAGGAGAAGTATGCGAACGATCAAGCCACCGGGAAAATTCAAGGGTATGGGAGTAAGCTGGCTAACAACGCGAGTGGACAGTTGGAATGGGAAGATTACTTCTTTCATCTTGTTTATCCTGAAGACAAGAGAGATCTATCACTTTGGCCTAAGACACCAAGTGATTACATGTAAGCCTTTTGCTTGTTTTACTTTTACTTATAAGTTATAACAAAAAAATCTTGTTTTGGTTTTTATAATCTTTTTGTTAACGTTTTTGTATGTGTATGTAGTGAAGCAACAAGTGAGTATGCGAAGTGTCTTCGTTTGCTAGCAACAAAAGTCTTTAAGGCTCTCTCTATTGGTCTAGATTTAGAGCTTGACCGTCTAGAGAAAGAAGTGGGTGGTTTGGAAGAGCTTCTTCTACAAATGAAGATCAATTACTATCCAAAATGCCCTCAGCCTGAGCTAGCACTTGGCGTGGAAGCTCACACCGATGTAAGCGCCTTAACCTTCATTCTACACAACATGGTTCCTGGTTTGCAGCTTTTCTACGAGGGCAAATGGGCCACTGCGAAATGTGTTCCTGATTCTATTGTGATGCACATTGGAGATACTTTGGAGATTCTAAGTAATGGGAAGTATAAGAGTATACTTCACCGTGGACTGGTGAATAAGGAGAAGGTTAGGGTATCTTGGGCTGTGTTTTGTGAACCACCAAAGGATAAGATTGTTCTTAAGCCGTTGCCGGAGATGGTGAGTGATGAGTGTCCGGCTAAGTTTCCTCCAAGGACATTTGCTCAACATATTGAGCATAAGTTGTTTGGTAAGGAACAAAAGGAATTGGTGCCTGAGAAAAAGGAACATAAGGAATTGGTGTCTGAGTTTAAGCATCATAAGGAATTGATGTCTGAGAAAAAGGAACATAAGGAATTGGTCTCTGAGAAAAAGGATCATAAGGAATTGATCTCTGAGAAAAAGGATTATAAGGAATTGGTCTCTGAGAAAAAGGATCATAAGGAATTGGTCTGTGAGAAAAAGGATTAAGTTTGTGTCTGTAGTCTTCTTATATGTGTAAGCGTTTCTTTTGTTTTGTGTTCTTGTCTTTATCATGTATTTGTGTGTATTTGATTGAAGATGTGAAGACATCTTTATACGGCTGGTGTCATTGTGATATTTTTTCTACCTTCATTTTCTAAATTGTTTACAATATCTCTGAAGTGATTATAGCTTTTGGAAGGATTAATCTCCTCACTATAAAGTATAAAACATTAACATGTTCAGTCATATCAATGGTAAAGATTTGTAACCGAGATTACAGAAAAAAAGATAAGAGTAACCCAAGAAAGATATATCTAGATCTATGAATCACATGTTGTATTAAGAACTTGAAAGTATTTTGTGATTTACATTTTTTGTTTCTTCTGTTTTATGCTACTAAATGTAAAAAACAGATGCCAACAAAGCAAAGAGAGAGGGCTATGCAAGCTCTTATTAGGAGAAACTGAAGAATACAGATTGCTTCACTTTCTCCTTGGTCTTCAAGACAAATTGGTCTACTTCTTTGGATTTCAAAATGTTAGCATTGCGTTGGAGGAGTTATACCACAAGATCAGACTGATAAGAGAACATATGTGAATTTACATATAAGGAGACGATTCCAGATTTTACAAACGCGTCTTCTGTACCATCAGCGGATGCCTAAGCTCCTGCAAAATGAAAACAACAATGACATCAAAGGTATAAGAATCTATGTTGTTCCAGATTTTGGATCAGATGCATATTTTGAAAGTTAGTGGTTGCAGAATTGACTTTATGAGCTTACCTCCTGGCAGTCCATTGCTGGTTTGTTTCGGGAATTATTCCACTATTACTAAATTGTATCTGTTGTCCAGCTGAAAAGACTGGGTTTCCTGGTGTCATTCTTGTGACCTATAATGGATGAGTATCGATTCAAGAAATTAAGATACCTCAGTCGTAAAAGGAGCAAGATCCTATCTTTTACAAGTATAGAGCTTACCTCATTCCTAGCTTGGAAAAGGTTCATTCTATTTTCCTTTGAGACCTTATACCAAGAGAAGATTGCAAGTCAATTATAGAACTTGAAAAATGGCAAAAATAAATCAAGTGAAATTGAGTTTACAAGCTGCACCTTTGGTTGAAATAATCTTGTGCGAGATTCATTGTTTGGCTGGAGCTCGGATTTGATGGAGAGCTGTAGATTAATAAAACCAGGTCAAAAACTAGGTGACTAATAAAATAATTAGAGTGCGTTTTGGAAAGATCATACATGAAACCATGAGCTGTACCTTGCTGAAAAGGTCTGTTGGTAAATCTGGCTGAACTCTCTTTTCTGACTGAAAGCTAAACTCCTGTGTAGCATTCCGAAACAATTAATGTACTCATTAGGAAACTCAATGTATAAATATACCAGAATAATTGGTAATTAAGACTAGCCATACCAAAGGTACTGTTGTTTCCCGCTTGCTATTTTTAAAAATCCCCATGTCTCCTCTGCTTGAAAGTATCTATTTTGGCAGAAGTGAACCCCAATATTAGGTGTGAAATTTGTAATGCAAGCAAATGAGACTTGCAAAGGATAGTACCTTCTTGTTCAATGGGCGAGCTTTAAAAACATGGTTTCCTTCTGAGACATCATGCTTGGGTGTATCCATTGCGGTTGGTCTGCAGAAAAAGATTAAACATTTTAAGTTGATTTGAGAAATCAAGCAATCCTTCTTGAAATTTTTATGTGCTTTGTGGTTTCATACCTCCTACTTTCCCTATGAGCACCGTCAAGCACATCACTAATATTAGATTTGTCTAACACCTGTCAAAAAGAATTTTTGATCCTATTAGAGGCAGCTCTTTGAGAAGGATCAAGTTGTTTAGATGAAAGGTAAGAGCAAAGGACACAGGTTAAACTAAGATAAAGAAAAATAGTTGTTACCTTATACGCATCATTTCCATGATGAGACCTTGTTGTAACTGCTGATGAATGTTGCATAGCCCTTTCTGAAGTCTTCAAATGGAATTCCTGATAAAAAAATGGCAATAAATTAAATCTAAAGCCTGACATCAGAATATGGTGTGGATAAACTATAGCAGCTGTAACAATTTCATTTTGTAATGCTTACTTGGAATTCTGGTAGTTTCGGAGTGCTCTTTTTCCAGATAGGTAATGAGGGAGCATCAAATATCTACATATCACAAACAGGAGCTCAATAATGCATTCATTGGCATAACACATTTCTCAGTAATGTGAAGTTACAAACCTTTCGGTTAAATGGGCGTGCTTTGAATCTATATACAGTTGTTGACTCCTGTTCTAATTTCGCATCATTCTTGTGTCTGAAATTAATCATTAGCAAAATATTCGGTGAGATGTGACATTTCGGGTAGCAATTCAGTTTGATTAAACATTTAGCTTCTTACCGTATCCTCTGAGCCCTCTGTGATGTAGCAAAATCAGGCTCATGTGGGATAGTAATCTTTGCCTTGGCTTGTTGTGCGTTTCTATCAAGAGTTGTATCCTGCAAAACCATTTAGCACATAATTAAATGATTTACATTTCAGTACAAGCTATCTGCCACCGGAAAGTTTTAAATATTTCCTATACAGACTCTTTTAAAACTCTATAAACAAGATCAACAGTATTCAAGCAATATAAAGCAAACCTTCTTTGGTATCTTGTGGACAAAATTCATTTCCTGCTTTGTATCAGCAACCTGAAACAGAGAAGAAATTACTTTTATTGCCACTACTTTCAGCACCTAAACTCAGATATACTTAGTACATAGTTATAAGGAACTATACACTGCTCAACTCGGAGTACCATAATAGCCACCCTATTAAAAAAGAAAAGACAAGAAGTAGAACTGATAAATGCTTAATACTCTACCTTACGAAGAAGACCTCCATCAAGCTTCTGTCTTTTAGATGCTTGAACTTCGGTCCCAGATGTCCCACAATTGCCTTTATCATGAATTTGATCTACTTGCATATGGAATTTACTATACCAGCAAAAGAAGCAACGTATTAGGTGAGTAAAATTAAGTTGGCAAGTAGAGAAGTAGCAAGATTTTTTACCTGGCATTATTTTGTTTTGCTAACTGGCTAGCAGTAGGTCTCATTAAAGTAGAGGTCCTTGGAGTTGATCTGACGCTGGACTTGGCTCGGAATTTAGGTTTATCAGTGTGTTTGTGATTGCTAACCGTCGGCCCTGATAGAAGTAGAGAAAGTGAGACCACAAGCAATTAAGAAGACGGTATTTTAAAGGGGGGCAACAAGTTTGAGCAATAAAGCATATACCAAAGATGGTCATAAGGAAGGATGGACCACATTTGATGGTAAAAGAAAATTGGAGCTGATGATAAACGTTAAATTGGTGTTCAACAAAAACTAAAGAGAACATAATTGGTACTACTTGCATGGTCATGTAGCAATTATAGCAAAAATAATCACCTTTGCAAATGGGGTGAATTGGAACTTTCTTCAAATTACTACCTTGCTGGGAAGAAAAAATCCCAGAACGCATTCTACTTCCTGAAAAAGCAAAGAATCTAAATATACACCTTGTAGTTCTTTAACATTATGCTTCCATTTCCATTTCAGTTAACTAAAATCCAAACCTCATACTCAACTAAAAGAATCATCAATTCACCTGTCTTATTCAAATCTGTGGCTAAATGATTTCGTTGCTGAAAGATTCTTTTATCCTTATCACAAACATCTGCTGCGACTTCTTCATCCTCTGATCTCGTAGATGCCTCAGTCTTATCATCATAAACCTCCTCTCTAAGTAACAGCTTCGTTACAAAAGCTGAAACACAAAAAAAAAATCAATTACAAAGAATCGGAAACAATAGTGATTGTTGACTAAAGGAGGCTATAATTGCTCTTAAACTAAAAACGCATGTTCCCAAACGATTCAGCAAATTTCACTACATTGCAAATGACGAAAGGCAAGAAAAAAAAAAAAGTGAAAACTTGAGACTCACGAGAAGGAGCGTAAGACGGAGCAGAATGAAACCAGAACTCAGCGTGTTGAGACTCAGCCGGTAACTCCTCTCGAGTGAAATCGTACCAACGAGCCGCATCAAACTCGTACTCCAGATCGATCTCTCTAGCCTGAAACACCATTGGCTCTATTTCCATATCTTCATCCATCTCCATTTCTCTCTCTCTCTCTCTCCCTAAAACCTCCACAGTCACTTTCTCTCTCTTTCCTTGGGGGAAAATGCAACTAACTCTAAATCACTGATCGGTTCTGGAAAAAACCTGGAGTTATACCAAAATGGAATTGAACAGACAAAGCCCTAAATTGATCAGGAATCTCTCTGATTCATTGGGTCTGATGAACGAAGGAAGAAGAAGAAGAAGGAAGCAGAGGGAAGAAGGCAGGAAAGGAAAAAAAACGGCACAAATTTCGCTGTTTTCAGAGGATTTTTGATTTAGCGACAAAACGGAAATTAAATAAATATATATTGTTAATTATTTTTTATTCAAACGTCCAGCAAAAAACGACACCGTATTTGAAACGTACTCGAAGCACAAAAGCATGGACGCTCCGGTTTTTGTAACGACTCGAAATTTTGAATTCTAATCCGACTTGAGAAAAGACGATATTACCCTTATAAACGAGAGAAAATGAGGGTGTTTTGGTAAATTTTAGTGGGAAGAGCCTTGTACATTATCCTACGTGGATTGCATCTTCGAGGCGCGTATGGGACTGTGAGCTTTGTTTTACTGGCTTTCGACGACACTGAGAATTCCGGCGGGATCATTCTTTACCCTTTAGTTTTCTCTCTATTTACCAATATCTGCCATTAACGGTTGTGTTGCTTTTGTCTTGCATACGACCTGACAAAATGCGCTTTCTCAGTAAAACAAAGTTATTTATGTTCATGGACAAATATATATATATACAAACAATTTTAAAAAAAAAACTTTGGAGATTAAAACTTATATATGAATAATAATGTATCCTAAATTCCTAGTCTTCCCTATAATGTGCATTGGATTCAGATTATTATGATTATCTTGGATAGTAAATTGCTTGGGTCACGATAGAGACAGAGAGGCAGAGAAGCTTCTCCACTGCAATTGAATCATTCTTTTTTGAAGTAACATTAACAAAATGATTTATACAAGTTTGATAGTATTAAATATATTTTGAAATCAGTTCATATATGAAAATGAGAAGTGGACACACACACACACCCAGAGCATGACGTTGACTGTGAATTTTTAATAAGGCTTATCCATCATTTTTGTCTTTTTAATAAGGCAAAACTTGACATTTAATAGGTTCGATTTTTTGGTACACAAAGACCCAAATTTGTGTAAGAGAATAGGACAAATTATCAATTTCTTTGGGGGTTCTTGGGGGTAGGACAAGATTTTTTTTCAAAATCTTTATATATGTTTTTTAGGCATTAGTTTTGTTCAAAGAGTTTTGGGTTTTGGACCAAAGCTACTTTTGGGAGAGTACAAAAGATAAAACATTTATTTGGGGACGTGTTGGTTGGTTACTTTGCTCAACATTTTTATTACGTTGTAAAATGAAACTCAACCAAATATAGAAATATAAGCCTAATCTTAATACACACACATACGTATACGCATGTTAATCATTTCTTATATATATATATGTTCATCTACTTGCTTTTTTCTGGTAAAAGGTTAATTCATCTACTTACTTCTATGTATGATGCAATATCTGCTTACTGCTTAATTAGTGTCTATATTCATTTAATTGGAATCACATGATCCACATGACAATTCTTTCCATAATCATCATATTTCTTATTCTATCCATCATTTAATGTATGTTGAAAAAGATCCAAGTTACATTCAAAACTATCATACGTTACTCTGACATGCTTTAAATAACTTTATTTTTGATTCGACAGACACGAGAAAAGTTACATTTAGTATCCACCACACCACAGAGAGTTAGAAAGAAAAAAGATTCTTCTCATTCATGTCAAACTTAAGAATTGACTACAATAATTACAAAATAAAGAAAACTTGAAATTGTGTTAGTTTTGTTCCTCTGTTCATACTTGCTTGTTAACCCCTTTTTTTCTTCTCATTAAAGGTTGTTAATAAAAGAGGTGAAAGAACCAAGGACAAAAACAACCAGAGCTCTTTCACATCTTCGAATAGACCTGTACTGTGCATGGGGACAGGAAATGTTTCAGATACAAAACAGCAAGCAGAGAGACAAAAGACCAGAAGCTCAGAGGTTTGTCACGTGGTTTTACAGATTTACTGCAGCAATGCTTCCTCTTCTTTCTTCATAGTCTCCAGCTGTCTTTTCGCATACTTCGTGATGAGAATCGTTGTAGCCACTGTTGCTAAAAAGCCGATAATGTTGAGAATAACCTGTGTAACCGAGAGACCCTGTTCTTCTGCAGAAGATGCTTCTGCTAATGTCCTTACAAGAATCCCTCTGCAATACGGAAACAAGACATTTGACTGATCAGTGACACTGGAGGATCCAACAGTGGACAATTACTTACTTCTAAACAGCTATACTTATGGAAGCTAGATGCTATAATCATATATAAAACTATTCTACAATCATGACATGTGACGATATCCCACGTTATTATTCTCTTGGGACGTTTACTGCTGATTAGGTGAAATGAAAATTGATATAAACATTACTGGACTTATCAAATTGTTTTTTTTGAATAAGAGAACGAAACCTGACTTACGTATATATAGCAACAAAAACCTCAGGTACCATGCCTACGAGAGATCCTGTTATGTAAGGACCGTACTTAACACGAGTTGCTACAGCACAGTAGTTATAAAGAATGTACGGAAATGGAGAAATCCGGATTAAGGTTACTAATCGGAACTGGTGAAGCCAATTTCCTTCACCAGCAGCTCTTAAAACGGCTGCTTGATCAGGATATCTTTCTAGCCATCCCTGTTCAATCACAAAACGAAGCAAACAGATTTTATTAATATTTCAGTTTAAGCAACAACATCGATCAAAGTCATCATTAGAGCCTTTGAGAAAAGGAAAACAATGTTAATCCTGGTTTCTGAATGTCAATCCAACTACATTTACAGATGCCACATCATTGATCAAAGACATCATTCTGAGAAAAGGACAACAATATTAATCACCCAAATATTGAACCAAGATAACCAAGTTTCAACCTGGGGGAAGCTTCTTATTTACTAAAACCTACCTTATAACTTTCTAGCAAAATATAACTTGGATACACTATGATTATATCAAGCGAAAAAGGAAGAAGCTTTCGAGGGTTGACACATACTTGAATTTTGTGGCAGAAGAGTTGTCCAATAAAGTAAGGTAGGGATACACCAACAGCTGCAGCTGAGATAATTAGTAGAAACCCATAGCCATAACCAAATGTCATCCCAGCAATCCACATTGATGGTGTAGATGGAAGAAGTATTGTCGGGAATATTGCCACGGATGCAAAGACAAGAAGACCGCACACAGGATGTGTAAAAGTCCTAATCTCCCATTGTATAATCGGGATAAGCTCCTGCAGATCAAGAAAAGTAGGTAATCCACCTTATTAGTAACATAGTAAAATATAACACACAGATAATAATCTCTAATCCAACATGCATGAACTGAGACATGAATCATCAACATAATCGAGATTCTTAAAACCACAGAGAGAACCTCAACTTTAATTTCCAGACTATAAGCATTCAAGCAATACATAGAGAGTACTCATCCAATTTTTCCACAAGATTGAATTATCATGAGTTAAGACATTAAATCAGACCCAAATCGCTAAAAGAACTAAACTTTTTGAGAATGATAAACACCAATGCAACAGCGAATTAAGAGCTAAAATTGGAACTGATTAAAAAAGTTAAAAGCCAAACCTTATCCATGATCAATGGACCGATCCATATGTAACCAACGATAGCCAATGCAGCAAGAAGGCCGTATAAAACAGAAAGCTTGACCCAAAACCAAAACGGCGACGAATCAGCTTTTTCCTCTTCCTCCTTCTCCAGCTCTGAGTCTTGTCCTTTCTCTAAACCCTCACTCAATTTCACATAAGAACCACCCTTCTCCTCATCGTCTTCGTCTCTCATCCGCAGCTCAAGAACCGGCTTTTCGTCCTCAGGAACAGTCATCGAATATAACCCAGAAACAGAAAGAGACAACAAACACTGAGCTTGGAAAAAAACCTAATCCACTGGATTTTTCCGATTAAACGGGAAAACCCAGTGATCGGAAATTCGAAATAGATGAAAATGCAATCGAACCAAACAGATTTGTGAAGTGGGAAAGACAAATTTTGTGGGCAAATCGCACTAAAGGGAAGTTTTCTCCTCGATTTCTGTCTTTTGCTTGCACCGATTTTATTACCCCTACCACTAATTTCCAATTGCGTCTTTCTCACTACACATAAACAAATTCCCAAAAAATTTAAAATAATATATACTTTAAAAATTATAAACTATCCCATTTAAGCCCAAATTGACCCAGCCCGTTAACCTCTAAACGAGATGGGCCTGTTCGCGTCGGGTTTAAAAGGTAGGTTTGTGATGATGTGACTGATTCTTCTCTTCTTCTCTTCTCTCTTCTCCCAGCACTCTCGGAGTTACGCCATTAATTCCTCAACCAAGTCAAAAGAAAACAAAAAAACAAAAAAAACAAAAACAAAAATGAGCGTGATCAATCCTATAGGAACTCTACATGTAAAGCCAACACTTGGTCTTCTACCACGAGCTGTTTATCATCGCAGTCAACAGATTCAGGTTTTCCCGCCCAACACCTTCACGAACTCTTCTTTGAGTTCTTCACTTCGCATTGAACCGATTTCTCAAGGTTTTGTTCATATTTTTTTTAATCGATCTCTGGCTTGTTTGGTTTTTGGGTGCCTGAAAAATCCATCCTTTTTTTTCTCACTCATCGTTTTCTTCAACGTATACGCAGTTGGCGGATCGAGGAATTTGTGGCGTAGTTATGTATCCGACAAGTTCTCGGATATGGGTTTGAATCCTGGAGCTGATTCATTTGAGGTGAACTATGTGATCTTTCCCCTTTCTATGTTCGGTTTGATCGTTACTTGATGTATGTCATCTTGAAGTCAAACTGTGGTTTTGGCACTATTGAGGACTTGTTATCATCTAATAAAGTTTGAAAATCTGATTAGCTAAATCACAGTCCTGTCATTTTCTGATGATCTCAGTCGTCAGGAATTTATGTTACTTCTAAGAAATGTGGCTTGCAGGTTATTTGGTTATATTTATATGTTTTGTGTTCTGTCTCAGATTTTCAGTGAAAAGGCTTCTATAGTGGATACATTGAAGAAAGCAAACTCTGTTCTTCCTCATGTGGTGTTGGCGAGTACAATATTAGCTCTTATCTATCCTCCTTCTTTCACATGGTTTACATCGAGGTTCTTGCCATAATCCATGGAATTAGAAGATGGTCTAATTGGTCTTAGACTTGGAGTAGTAGACATCAGATTTTCTAAAGAGCTCTTCTTTACTGTCCTGTTATTTTTTAGGTACTTTGTACCAGCTTTAGGATTCTTGATGTTTGCGGTTGGTATCAATTCAAATGAGAAAGACTTTCTTGAAGCCTTCAAAAGACCAAAAGCTATTCTACTTGGTTATGTTGGACAATATCTCATTAAGCCTCTCCTAGGTTTCATATTTGGCCTAGCTGCTGTTTCTCTTTTCCATCTCCCAACTCCAATAGGTCAAGCTCATTTTCTCTCGCATCACTCAAGAATCTTTGCATATCGTGTATAACTGACTAATCTTTCTCAATCTCAGGTGCTGGAATCATGTTGGTTTCATGTGTTAGTGGAGCTCAGTTATCAAACTACGCAACTTTCCTAACTGATCCAGCATTGGCACCTCTCAGCATCGTCATGACATCTCTATCAACCGCTACTGCAGTTCTTATCACACCAATGCTTTCACTATTGCTCATCGGGAAGAAACTACCTGTTGATGTAAAAGGAATGATATCCAGCATTCTCCAGGTCGTTGTCGCACCAATTGCTGCGGGATTGCTTTTAAACAAGTGAGAAAAAACTACAACTAGAAGGATATTATATCAGCACAAGTTGTTTCTCAAAGTTTAAAACATTTTTTCTCACTTTTGTGTCTTCTTCTACAGGTTATTCCCGAAAGTATCTAATGCAATCCGACCGTTTCTCCCAATTCTATCGGTTCTTGACACAGCTTGTTGCGTTGGAGCACCACTGGCATTGAACATAAACTCGGTCATGTCTCCGTTTGGAGCCACCATTTTATTTCTAGTAACAATGTTTCATCTCGCTGCTTTCCTCGCTGGATACTTCCTTACTGGTTCCGTCTTTAGCAACTCTCCAGACGCAAAAGCCTTGCAAAGAACATTGTCCTTTGAAACTGGTACTGCATCTTTTGGTATTAGAAGCTTTCTAAGAATTTACGATTTTGGTTAATAAAGATTTCAGCATAGAAATGTGTGTGTTTTTGAAATTCTCAGGAATGCAGAGTAGCCTTTTGGCTCTAGCACTTGCCACTAAGTTCTTTCAAGATCCTCTTGTGGGGATTCCTCCTGCTATCTCTGTAAGGTTTCAGCAACATCGACTTCACATTATATAAACCTCTTCTGATTATTAATAATTCTTTTGGTTTTGCAGACGGTGGTAATGTCATTGATGGGTTTCACTCTCGTTATGATCTGGTCTAACGACAGAAAGTAATAACATTTAAACAATGTAATTTTTTGTATCACTCCGCATTTTGATTATACATATATCTACCACGAACATTTGGAACTTCTTCTTGTAATATAAATCAATCCAGTGTTTGAGATTTAAATTTACCAATCTCCATTGTCATGTAGTATTTTTTTTGTCAATTTTACTTTGTTTCTTGTGTCTGTGTTGGACTTGGGAAAATAATAAAAGACGGTTCGGAGGCAAACCCGGTTTAAATTAAACCAGAACTTGGAAAATTGAAATTTGGGAAAGAAAAAAGCTCAGCCATGGCGATAGCTTCAACAGCCACGGTTCTCTTCTGCTGCGCGAAACCCAGTTTCCGGCGAATTCCGATCAAGACCCGTTCATCACCTCCTCTCACTACCTTAAACGAAAGTCGGATTCGGAGCCGAACCTTAGTCCATGACTCGATTGCGTTGTCGGGTCTTATCGGAAGTGGTTTGGCAGCGGCTGCGTTCGTCGCGGCGGGACCAGATTCTAGTGCTATGGCGGCGGTGGATTCACTTCAGCTGAGTGAACCGGAAAATGCGTTGTCCTTACCCACTTGGGCTGTTCATGTTTCCAGCGTTGTCGAATGGTTCTTCTCCTTCTTCTCTTAGCTCTATTGATTCCAATTTCACCTTGACAACATTGACATTTGATCTAATAGTGACACGTTAGTGTATCTGGTGTTGTGGGGTTTTTGAGATTTTGATTTTTATTTTCAAGTATTCATGTGCTCAAAATCAAACCATAATGAGAAGAAGCTTTCATCTTTATAGTGTTTTTGCTTTGAGACTGATCTCAAAGATCGAGACTTTGCATTTAGAAATTGAATTTGTGATTACAGTACTTCATAAATATACTTATTTCAAATCAGATCGAGAGTTTGAGCTAAAAAATGCAGTTGGAAAATGTAATTTCTTCCTAACTCTGGTGTTGTTTGGTACTAAAGGATTACAGCGATGGCGTTGGTTTGGAAATATGGAGAAAGAAAGGGTTATGAGTCTTGGAAAGGTCTCTCATGGGGAATGGTGAGAGCTCTAAGCTATTTTCCTAGATTTCTCTACATATTTGTATTTTGATAGCTTCCATTGTTTCATTTCCTAAGCTTTCATGGTTGAAGAATAGACTGTTGTTGTTCTTGATCAGGTACCTTTGCTTGGTGGAGCTCTCTGCGCATGCACATGGCATTTCTTTTACAATGATGAGTCTCTTGAGGTAAAGAAACTTCTTTACTCTCACTTTGCCTACAAGTCTATTTCTCGTTGGTAATCAGATTATTTGGAGAATCACTGGCTAAGCTCTTGTTTAAGTGTGATTTTGTTGTATCTTCTTTACTGCCACTGAATGTTGTTTACATGGTGGGTTGGTGCATATTTAGGTGTTGGTTGCGCTTCAAGGAGCACTAACTGTGATCGGTAATATTACGTTATGCATCGCTGCCTTTCGAATCAACAAGTTGTCATCCAAAATCGAAGTCTCTGAAAAACCCTGAGGGATAAACGCATCTTTGTGTTAGAAGAAACGTTGAAGGAATACCTATTGTCCCATCGGGTAAAGCCAACTTTTGCTTGATATGGAACACTTGATTAGGGATGAGACGAAGGTTTGTATGATTTGTTTGCTATTTGCCTACTGCAGGAATCTGAGTGTAGCCTTCTTGGTGGGTAAGAGAAGCAACTGGATCTTCGAGAATTGCCAATTAGTAGAATGATCTTTGCTTTATTGAGCGTGTATATATATAAATATTGTATCTTCATGATTATTATACTCCTAATGAGCTAGTCCAACGCATAATCTGTTATTGTGAGCATATTTCTTCTGCGATCTTTGTAGTACTTATGTCATTTTGGGTCATAGACTTGGTCACTTGGGTGATCACAAAGTTCCATGAGGACCATGACTACATTCATTTATCAAAGAAAGAAATGTGTTTTGCTCATATTGATTGGTTACAAGAGGCAGCTACTTCGAACTGAATGAATGCATTAGTTGGAAATTGGTGTTATTCCAAGGAAAAGTTGACTCAAAATATAAAATTTACTCAGCACATTCAAAACTCTGCATGGATGCTTATTTTGCTTTAATTCGTATCTTGCTTTAACATTTTCATATTATTCAAAATCTTGATTATAAATAAGTAATACATGCCCATAAAAACTATAACATGTAGTAATATAAATCTGTTTGTATCACACTCTCACATATACGATAAAATCTTTACGTGGGTGGTTGAGAAGTTCCTGGTAGCGACAAGTACTTTTATATATACAGGAAAAAAGTTTTGAATAAAAATTATAAAATTTTCCAAAATGTTTGATTAAAATTAGAAAATGGAGCTCGATCTCCACTTATATCTTTACAACTCGTTAATCGTGTGTTTGTTTATTTTAGATTAAGCCAAAGCGTGAAGATGAAGGCATATCTTATCTGTATAATCTTTATCTTCCCCAAAAAGGTCTACCAATAATACCATCTTAATCATTGCTTAAACAAACCAAAATAGTATATAATACATTTAATTTTAAAATTTTTTTGGTCAACATCATTTAATTTTGTTAATTTACCATTTTTTGTCCATTAAATTAAGAGTTAAGAAGAAAGGAAATGTACACACGCTTAAACGGAAAAGACAGTTTTAACCATACAAATTTGTAAATATTACAAAAGCAGTACCATTAGTTGTCCAATCGACGGCTAAGATTATGAAAGGTGTACCATAAGGCGGTGTAGGGAAGCAGTACACCGACAATAAACTAAAAAAGCAAAAAAAGGAAAAAGAAAAAAGGAAAAAAGGAACCGTAACCCCGTGTGTGTGACTCAGACAAATTATAAAAACAGATGTATGTTCCTCCATAGTTACGTGTTTCTGTTTTTCTCCTCTTCGATTACGAAAGCTCTGCGCGTTCTCTTTTCTTCTTGATTAAGAAGGACACATCTTACGAGGATTTACGTTTCTTTTATTTATCTCTCGAAGATCAGAGAAACAATTTGTATTTTTAATTCTTTCTTTATTAATTACCAGAAGACCGATAGAGATCTCTTCTTCTCGACAGGTAAATTCGCCACCATCTCTTTCTTCTTGTTTAGATTTGATGTTTTGTTTGGTTTTAGTTTCGTATTTTCTGATCTGAAGAGGGTCTTGTGTTATCTTAGAATCTGTACATCAGAAACTCAGATCTACTTTGATGCTTCTTTGGTTTGGATTTTTCTTTTAACGGAATTGTTCTAAACGAATCAAGTCAATGTTATGTACTTGGAACAGATCATTATCTTCAAAAACCCGACAACCTTAAAAAGATCTTCTGACATATTTTTAAGGATTTGTATGTTCTTTCTTTTTTTTTTTTAATAACAGGGGAATTTTTAGACCTTATGATTGAAACTGCAGTTGGAATATTCTGAATTTGACTTTGTTTTTTTTGTTTGTTTGGGTGTAACTTTTTTTTATGTACAGGACCAAGAAAAAAAAGAAACAGAGAGTAATGGGATCTGAACAAAACGATAGCACAAGCTTTACTCAGTCACAAGCTTCAGAGCCAAAGCTATGTGCAAGCGGATGCGGTTTCTTTGGATCACCATCAAACATGGATCTATGTTCCAAATGCTACAGAAGCTTATGTGCTGAGGAAACTCAAACAGTAGCTGTCAAAGCTGCTGTTGAGAAATCTTTGAAGCCATCATCTCCCTCTCTTTCTCCTCGACCTCGTAGCCTCTTCATAGCAGAACCGTCTGTGAAACCCGAACATCATCCGGAAAAGGCTGTCCTTGCGGTAGCTGAGCCATCTGCTGCAAGAGGAGGAGAAGAAGAAGAAAAAGAAGAAGAAGCGGTTCCTGATGAGAACAACGAGCCGTCGAGACCTGCACGACCGAACCGGTGTTTGTGCTGTAACAAGAAGGTTGGGATCATGGGGTTTAAGTGCAAATGCGGCAGCACTTTCTGCGGGGAGCATCGGTATCCCGAGACTCATGATTGCAGCTTTGATTTCAAAGAGATGGGGCGTGGTGAGATTGCTAAAGCCAATCCCGTTGTTAAGGCTGATAAACTTCAAAGGTTCTGAATGAAATTCTTAAGTTCTTAAAGCATTTGGTGGTTGTTACTCACTCAATTGTATTGGAGTGTATTTGGATTGGTTTTAATGTATTGTTTCTCCATAGGGAAAGAGGATGGATTTGGTTCCATAATAAAGTGAATCGATGAAGTTGGTTCTTCTTGATCTTGATTTGTTTCACTAACGTCAGGATGTTACTAACTAACTCAAGTGGTATGTTAACAATGCAGGATTGAGCATTAACATCAGCTTAAACTGATAGTCTGATCAATTAGTATAAACACTAAGAACAAAGGAAAAATGTTCTAATCTTCTCGAAATGCAACACATGTTTTAAAACTTAATTGGCAATGAGATCGACTCATTTCACTTTTTACAATTTCAATATATAGTCTATAGACATCACAAGCCATATATGTACACACACAAATAATCTTACCCGATGGACCTTTCACGAACGAATGGTTTGGAGTTGACAATGGCAAAGACAGCCATCAACGCAGCGCTCACAAAGTGTCTTTCCCATCTTAACCTTTCGATAATATAATTAAACATCTACCACGCAAATATATTACTGGGAGTTCATAATGAGCGTTGAGAATCTCGTTCATCTTAACCTCCCAATAATATTTTTACATAATAGACTAGTGTGTGTTCTCCCTATTGTGAAAATGGGAGGATTATAATTTACAAGTAAAGCTTTTAAGAAAATTAAAATGTGTCTTTCCCATCTTAAAGTCTCAATAATATATACATGCAAATAATATTACTGAGAATTCAAAATGAGGGAGAAAGAATCATCATCCCATGAATATTCAATATTCTGATTTTGAAAATCCCAGTAATATTTTTTGCATAATACTACCAAATTACAGACTCACATAACAGCGATAAAGATATACATTGAACGAACACTTGGTTTGCTCTCACCCTTTTTATCTTTGTGAAAATCATGTTTCCCAAGTGAGCTAACTAATTCATACCAGATCAACTATAACACAGATTTCATGTTTCTTTTTATAAACACCACAATGATACATGACATATAAATTAGAACTGCTCAACAGTACTATTTGAGTTTTATCTTATTTGATCAACATGGATAGCATATTGGGCCTGAAAAATATGGTACTTGAAATATAATTATGGATCTGGAACTTGGTATGTAAGCCCACTTGTAAGATTGAGAGGAGAAATGTTGTCTGATTTTAGTTTTATTTATCATACATACATAAGATAAGATCATTAACTTACGTTCGTGTATAAGCAACACTTTGAAATAACAATGATGGAATGATATTTTTGTCTTGATCAAACTTTGTGAGATCCTAGCTTAAGATTAAATCTCACCTTTTTGGATTAACTAATATCTGATTTGGCCTAATCAAACTCTGATACCATATAAAAAGTTATTAGTTTCCGGTTTAAAACATTTTGATTTATGAATCAGAATGAGTGATCATGTCTTCTATATATACTAGTGATGAAATTTTTACATTTCCCATATGGTACTCACGAGCAAGCTCACGTGTAAGGCAGCAGATGAACAAGTTTATTGTCTCCTTATCCACAAATCCATACGTATTCGAACATGTATGACACAAAACTTGCTTATGTAGGAGAGAACATGCATATAAAGTCCCATACCTCTTTATTTTTTTCTCGTAAATTGTTTAGCATCCCGTTTAAGCCGCCGGTATTGCAGCTTTTCTTTTAAGCATATATACTCACACACACACACACAACTAAAATAAATATATAAAGATCGTTAATTAATTATTCATGTATATCTAATATCTAGTTTGTTTATTTATTTATACATGTTATAATGTTTACCGTCCGAACGAACGACATGTGTATAACACATCTAGCTATTATCATGTACTAACCAATTATTAGGGTAATCATTATCCACATTGACCTATTGATTAATTTTGTGTCTGTGTATAATTAATTAAGCACGACATGAAAACCTCTCGTTATAATATTAGTAGTTTAGTACGTATGTTTTAAACTTACAGATAATATTTACGCTTCCATGTCAATATATAATATAACTACCAACACAAGGTCCTTTCTAATTTTGGAAACGAACTTTTTAGTCACTTCAATATAACAACATACATATAAATAGCCGAAAATCATCCCAAGTTATTTATGCTGATATATATATAGCATATATATAAGTAAATATAAATTAAAGTTGTTATAAGTAGAAAATTTTGAATCTCCTCAACTTTATATGTGATAATGTGAAAATCTTCTATATTGAAAACTCAAACTGGGAATGCTGATTTGTTAGTTAATGTATTATGTATGATAAAGTGTTACGATTGAGCAATAAGATAAACTGTCGATATAAACACCATGAAATGTTGATAAGAAAACCATACTTAGAGCCAACGACACACACAAATTTAATGCAAACTTAGCAATGAGAATTCATTAGAACAAAAACCAAGACAAAAAGAAAAATGTTACTCAAATCATCGACATAGAAAAGGTCTATGGCCTAAAACGAACCAAAATAAAAATTTAAGAAAAAAAAGAACCTGATTCATCTTATGAACGTTGACCAAACATAATGAAGCTCGACTGAATCCTGATTCTTGATCATAGTCGACTAAAACCATAGTCTTATTAATTAATGTTCATGAGCTAACCCCTTTTAATCATATAGATATATCCACTAAACTCATGATTCTTCGTTAGCTAGCTAGCTACGATGATGAGTGTGTGTGTCTATAAATATATTTGATCAATAAGGTGGCCGTCCTGTTGACCAGTACGACTGATCATGCTGCTGCTGCTGCAACTGAACCGAACCAAGAAGGTTAGGTGGTAACCCTTGATGACCCGACATAGCTTGTTGCTGATGTTGCAGTTGTTGTCCCATCATAGGCGGTGACTCCATTGATCCTCCTCCTCCTCCTCCTCCGCCGTGAACTGGCGTCTGCATCTCATCTTCCTCTAAAGGCAACCTCTCATACGCAGCATTGCTAAAAGACGCAGCCATGACAACTACAGGACCAGCACATAGCAAAGGACCAACCACGCTTCCTCCGACGACTTGTCCTTGTCCTCCGGCGAGGTAAACACTCAAACCGGTGGCTGTAGGAGGAGCAGGAGGAGGTAGAAAAGAGCCAGAGAGAGAAAGAATCTCGAACCTTCCGTGAAGGCTAACGACCGAGCCAGGAGAAGGATGAGATCCAGGCTGACGTATGGTGACGTTCGTGACGTTTCCAGTACCGCTCATAACGCAAACGCCGCGTTGGCGTCTGCGTGCGAAAGTTGCAACGCTCTCGACTAAATCACAGCCGTCACCGATCTCCATAACGTGTGTTCGAAGCGCGTTTGCGCTGTCCCGAGTGATGATGATAGGTGGTTTTGGTTTGTTCTTGGATCCAGCTGGTCTTCCTCTTGGTCTTCTTGTCATCTGATGATCTCCTCCTGAGCCACCGCCTCCTTCTCCTGAGCCTCCGTGTAAGTCTAAGTCTTTACCTTCACTACCGCTGTTGTTAGCGATGTTGTCTATGTTGTCGCTTGTCTCCTCACGATCCATCTTGATTTGTCTGTTTAGTCCTCCACCTGATCCTCCTCCTTGCTGATCATCTTCGGTTTGGTTTCTTTGTTGCTGGTGATGATGGTGGAAGAACTCTTGCTGCTGTTGTTGGAGATGTAGTTGAAAGTCTCTTGCGTGGAAAGGAGGAGGGAGAGAGCTTTGTGATCCATGAGATTGCACTGGATCCATGATCAATGATTCAATGGTGGAATTGGATCAAATGAAAGAAGAGAGACTGATCGATCTAAGAACAGATCTTTTTTAAGTTGACCTTTTTGTGTTCTTGATAATTAAGTTGTCAAAACTAGCTAGCTAGAAGAAGAAAGAGAGAGAGAGTAGTAATGATGAACAACGAAATCCAAGCTGGATCGTCTTCAGCTTCGTCTCATCTTCCTTTTTGATTATGTAGGGTTTCTCTCTCTTCTCTCTCTGTCTCTATACCTAGTTTTGTTGTATAGCTTCTCCCCTCTTTTTTGAGTTGGAGGAAGTGAAATTTGGAAAGTGGAAAAGGGGGTTTTGGTGGGTTTTTATATATAAAGTAAATACTGAGATGTGTGTGGGTGGGTGGGTCTAACTTTGGTTTTTGATTGGTAAGCTAGGGTTAAGTAAAGGGACAAGATAAGAAGCCAAAGTTATGGGATTTTTATTATGGTGCTTAATTAGTTAATTATGTGTATTGACTGTGATCACCTTGAACCTTAATATTTCGTCACCGGTTAGTAAGTCACTATCTAAGTAACCATCAAAATTTGGCAGAACAATATAAAATATGATGTATAATGTATTGTTATCTTGTAAATTTTTTTGAGCCATCGAATTTATTATATATGTGATCACTATATCCACATACAAAAAAAAATATTGCATGGTGACAACAAAATAAAAAAAATAAAAAAATAAAGAAAAGAAAAAATGATTGCATGTCCTGATGATTAGCTATAGAATTGTTACGATTATATGATTAATCAGTGACTATATATTACACACACCAACGAACAAAACTTACAACTCATTCAATGATAATTAGTATAAGAAAAATCAATCACCTATATGTTTATACGTTGGTTGGAATATATGTTTAACGTATGATTGATTTGTATATGATCATAAATTCATAATGAATGTCTTTGTGTTGTTGAATTCATTTATTCGTTAAAATATATTTGAATAAATAAGCGCATTATTATAAGTGTTAATTATATCTATACCTTGCCATCAAGGTTTATAGATTAGTGTTGCGCGTTGAAAAGAAACTATATAGGCTTTGTATCTAAGTGTAGCCTTTACTTAGTTGTAGCCTTTACTTAGTTGATAGTCAAACGATACATTTGTCAATATAAGCCAGATCTAAAGTTGTTTCTTTATTAAAAGTATGTTCATATACACATGTCTATATGTATAGAGAGAAAGAGAGATTGGACATTGGAGAGAGTGAAATGAATAACGAGAAGGTGCGAAGATGTCGCTGACAATTACAAAACTACGAGTGAGAGTGAGGGAGAGAGATAGAGAGAGTTTTAAAAAAAAAAAATTGAAGAAGGATGAAGAAGAAGAAGAAGAAGAAGATAAGAGAGGGAGGGAGAGGGCATCGCATGAACTGTTGGGAGAGAAAAAACACAAACTCCGATGTGTTAAAGAGATGCCCTTTGTCGGCTCTCCTCATGATCTTCACCCCCTCTCTCCACGTGCCCTTCTCCTCCACACTCCTTTTATTTTTCTTTACTTCGATACAATTTTCCGATCTGTTCCAACCAATAAGCATGGTTTTATCTACGTATGGATGGTGGCATATTGGTATTCTCCATAAGGCTTAAGGGTTTAAATTTGTTATAGTTCTCCATACTTGATTAATCTAGGGTGTAAATTTTGCGTTATGAAAAAAAATAAAAAAAATATTTGCGTTATGAACCATTTAGTCACGTGAATTTTGGTTTGACAGTTTATATATTGGGTTTATGGGATTACTTTGTTTTTATAAAAGAACCTACTCACCAGTCTCCTCTCTTAAACTATTGATGTGAAAAAACAAAAATAGTACTCCTACTAAACTATAAATAGTCGCTGACTTTTCTGTTGATTAAACTTAAGACGGAAAACATGAAACCTAATGTAAATCTATATATTGCAGATTTTGCTATAATAAAAATGTGAACGTGTACCAAATGACAAAAATATAATATTGATGCTTTGTTCTAACTTTTCTAGTCGTGTACAATAAATGATATATATACTCCTAAATAAATAAAAACTAAGCTAACCATTGTGCGTATGAACCATCAAGCTAGAATAATAGAATGTGTTCAAAGAAGTGTTTAATTAGTAGTATAGTATTTATTTTGCATTTTTCCAATAATTAGTTGGTTAGTTAGTAATTATTGATCATATTACAAAAATCAATAAAATTGTTGGAAAATGAGACCAACCTGCTTATTTCTATGTTAAAAATATCAAAAGCATGAAACTTAGCAAAGCAAAGTTTTCTCGAGTTCACGAGCTCTTAAAAAGAGAAAAGGACAGCTTGCTCTCAATCCCGAATTCTACGGATAATTAGTTGATTGGTTAATTAAAATTATATTTTGGGTTTCATTACTTTAGTACTATAACATTAAGTAATCGAGACATTAATACTGTTAAATATATATTGACGTCATACTCTGTATATATAGATAGATGCTTTGCCTAGCTGTATTATTGCTATGAATTGTTACAAGAGTTATGGGTTTCTCATACCAAGATTTATGGTTTTCTCATTATAGTAAAATTTTTTGGGGTCAACTAATTCAAAATTATGATTTACATATTGTAGTAACTGATAAACTAATTAATTAGGTCAAAGTTGGTAAATAATTTAGCTAATTAACTAGTAGTAGTAGTAAATCTAAAATGTAAAAGTATACACGTGGAAGACACCTAATTTGCGTCAAAGCTTGTCGTGCTTCTGCTTTTATTCTCACGAACCCAATTAATGGTCCCCCTCCTCCCCCCACCACCACATTACATAAAACAATTAGTGCATGTTTGTTTATGAAATGTTGAAATATATGAATTTTTTTCTAACTCTTTTTGACCTCAAGTGGATGTTATATACTAATTTCTAAGTAAATTCTAGTGTATAAGCCGTTTATATATAAATTAGCTACTTCTTTTTTTTTGTTTGTCAAAGATAAGAATCAAATATATGGTTCTTTTCAGTTTTTCTTCTGTTTGTGATTGTGTATTTGAGATAGAAAGAGAGTAGAAGGCTAGCTAGTGTCAAACTTGGGACGAGGGGAGGCATGTGGGTTAATTAATGATTAAGTGGGTGCTTTGAAGGCTATTAAGACGGCATAATTGGAGACAAATTAAGCTAACGACAAAACTATAAAAGCTTATTAAAGAAACCTCACATGATTTAAGGACTTCTTTCCATTATGAATCTCATTAAGTCATGATTTCACATGTACATACATACATTGATATAGAGTAATCACACTGATCAGTTTATAAACATGGGTTCACCACTAACATATGAAAATATCCATAACTTTGAGCGTAGATTAGTTTGACCTAGTTCAGTTATTAATCTATACATATGAATATGTATTAATCTCTAGATAGATGTTTTATTTGGATTCAATCTTGTTTTTAGGATATAGAAAAAACACTCATTATAACTAAATGTTGAACATTGTCTGAGATGGAATCTTGCATTATGAATTTAAACAGTATATATATGCAATAAGTTAATCGTCCAACTATTCAGGAGCTCGTTAAGGGTCAAATTTTAATCTTTTCATAAAATAAATATTGAACAATAGTTAATCACTCTTTTGCTATTGGCTGACCAGAATGTTTCCGAACAGCTTGTCTTAGTTCTGCCAAACATTAGTTAAATATACCTATCTTAAGATCGAGTATTACTATAATGGCTTAACCGCAAGATAAACTAAAATATACATACGAAGACATAAGAGTTTTTCTAATCAAGTTTTTGCTTTCCCAGATATGGCAGTTGTCCGAAGATATATTTTATTAACTCTCTCTGGCTGGAGAGAAAGAAAAAAACAATGTTAACCTAATAATGATGGGCTAAGCTAATATAGTTGTATGTCAACAAAAGATTCCTTCTAAGTTCTATCGTTCTCCAACGATTTTTGACAATGCTTAATACGTAAGACCATGATAAATTTTTAACCGTGTTCGTTCTCGCGAAGCAGCAGTGACAAACAATTCTCTAACACAAAACATATACTATTTCATAAACAAATATTTGTATGTCCTGTCGGAATGATTAAGATGACAAACAGTGACATGATTCGTGAATCATCCAAGTTAACCGTCCATAATTTTAACGTCCATTGAAGGTTAGGAAACAAAACATGTAAATTACTAAAAATATTTAAAGCTACAAGTTCTAAAACACTAATGATTTACAATATTTACATGTTTTGTTGCCTAATCTTTGATGGGTTGGGTCGCCAAGATTAAAAAAAGATGGGCCATCATTGTCCAAATGGAATAGTTTGTCGATAATATAATCAAATGACTTGAAGACTTACGGTATAAAGTATAAACGAATAATAATATTAACGTATCCAAAAATTCATTACTTTTATTCATTTCTTATCTCTAATTCGATGTAAGAATATATATTGTTGTTGGATGCAAATTCTCAAGATCCTGGTACCACATTCCATTTTTCACATACTTTTTGTTTCTTTAATTAGTCATCGTATCGTTAGCTATTTAGTTTTGATCATTTCTGTTAAATAATCCCTACTATAGTAAAAGAGAAGTACACAAGAGATTTGGGTCGGTTTTTTTAAAGAATTCCGGGTTAAATTTTCAATCGGATACTTGCCATTATTGCACTAAGAAAAAGACAGCTTATTTTAAGGAATTATGGTAAAATTTACCTAAAATAGATCTCAATCTTTAGAAAAATATTTAAATATGTAAATTATACCACAATCTTGTGATTTTATTTTTAATCGATTCAAAATTTTATTAAATATCATAACTATAAAATCTTAATAGTTACGATTTAGTTATTTAAATATAGAATATGAATTTTTGAAATATGTAAAATTTTAAATAGAATATGCATGATTCAAATAATAAAATTACATATTCGTTAAAAATAGGGTGGTGTATAAAAAATCTATGTGTGAACATTTATTTACCTAAATATATGAAGATTTTAAAAATATATATATATAACCAAAAAAGAGATTGCTATATAAAAAGTAAAAAAAAAACGTATTTACTATTTTAAAATTAAGTGTATATATAGCAAAATCTAACACCATTTTAAAGATGACAAAAAAAAACTTTGCTTTACCGACTATATAACACCATTTTAACGCCATTTTAATATAGTTTCTAAATTATTTTTCGAATTTATAAGGAAAAACATTAATACATAAATGTAACCATAGATCCTAATTATTAAAAAAATCCATATACTAATTAATCAATTTTTATTCAACTCTAGGTTATTTTAATACACTTTGCCAAAAATTTGACACCAAATAAACAAAATAATAACAAATACTATATAACACGTTAAATAAAAACCCAAAATCATTCCCCCGCGCTATAGCGCGGATCCGATAATAAACCTATATTAATAATAGCTCGATAACTCTCCGCCACCCTATAGCGCGGATTCAATAACAAAATTCTGATACACAAAATAACAAAAACCGACACTTTTCCTCCGCGCTGTAGCGCGGGTCCGGACCTAGTTTAACTGTATAACTAAAGTGATTCGCATAAAATGAAAGCTGCACTTTACTACCATTTCGTAATAGATTGGCCTAATTTTGTTTTTGTTTTTTTTTTCTTTCTTATGGTTTTGTTTATCACTGATTCCCGAAAACAATGATAATCTTCGTCATTTCATATAATAATAAACCAATCGTATCCTCTGTTTTTGTGCTACTTGAATTGAAGATCCTCTTCTTATTCAAAAACCTTTTTTAAGAGGCAACAAAATAAAAAAGTTAATATCCAATCATCCAATATAAAAAAAAGAAGAAAAAAGTTGGTATTCTTGATTCATAATATATATATATATATATATTTTTTAATTGAAAACTGATGCCTTGTGCAATTATTTGTTGCCTTTTTTGGAAAAAAAAATATAAAGCCAAGGTCACTTATCTTCTTCAAACACATATTTTTGTCTTTGTTATTTGTATGTTCAACTATTATTTTCTCAGTTTCGTGCGGTTCTTTAAATTTTTATACTAGTTTCTATTTCTATCAGTGAGACAAATTCTGATTATATTCACCAACTGTCAATGTATTATTGTACACAAAGGTTCATTTTGATCATGAATATATAATTGCGTGGTGGTTTAAGATTTTGATTTCGTTTACGTTGATAAGTGACTAAGTTTACAAATTGAAATTAATGTATATATAGAGGAAATATATATATATATATATATTTTTTTTTTTTTCTGAAAACACAACTTTTAGATGAAAGGAAAAGAAGAAAAAAAAAAAAAAAGGTGATTAAAGTTCCATTGAACTGTTGATGTAATGGAAAACTCTTTAGACTCGATTCTCGTCGAAAAAAGAAAGAACACCATCCACACAAGTAAGACTACATTTGGCAAATATCAAAATCTTCTTACATGAAACTTTATTGTTTGCTTTCACGTACTAGTTCAAGTTATTAAAATGATCCAAACAAAAAATATTTCTTTAACTATGAAGACGACAGACACTAATCTTTATTTTATATGAAGAGTTTATTCATTAACCTTAAAATATGTATATAAGAAGATAGAAATGAATAAAGTCAATCGTTTCGTTTGTTGTTGGCAAAAAAAAAGAAGATAGAAATGAATCAAGGGAAGAAAATAAAAACTCTTTTTCTAATTGCACAATTTGATATTAAGAACAAATATGATTGAAAAGTGGGAATGGGACTAGTGAAATGGATTCATCATCACCAATGCACTTAAGGGTCATGTATAGGAAAACCCACCAACTTGTTCAACCTCTGCTCACTCCTATTGGCCGTTACAAAAGCTTCCTCGAGAAATTTGCAACAACATGTTTAGATTATATTGAGCTCATCACTCTCTCACGCAACTCATGCTTTTGATCCATCAGCTTTTATAAAATCCTCCACGCAAACAACAAAACCATTGCCCACCTACACAAAACAAATTTCATACTTCATCAACAAAACAAACAACAGGCTGAAACCTCTTTAAAAATTATTTCCCATATTATTCATTTTTTCAAGGAACAAGAATGTCAGAAACACCAAAGTCAGAGCCTTTCGATCTAGAAGTCTCTGAAGGGATTTGTTCAAAGACCTTGATGCAGAGCATTGTTCATGAGCTGAAGCTGCAAATGAGGATTGGTTTGCCATTGGTGGCTATGAACTTGATGTGGTTCGGTAAGATGACCACCACATCTGTGTTTCTTGGCCGTCAAGGTGAGCTTAACCTAGCCGGAGGTTCTTTAGGGTTTTCCTTTGCTAACGTTACTGGCTTTGCTGTATTGTATGGGATCTCTGCTGCAATGGAGCCTATTTGTGGCCAAGCTTTTGGAGCCAAGAACTTTAAGCTTCTCCACAAAACACTCCTCATGGCAGTGCTCTTGCTACTCTTGATTTCGGTACCAATTTCTTTCTTGTGGCTCAATGTTCACAAGATCCTTATTGGTTTTGGTCAAAGAGAAGACATTTCCTTCATAGCCAAGAGATATCTTCTTTACCTCCTTCCTGAGTTGCCAATTATCTCTTTGCTTTGTCCTCTTAAGGCTTATTTAAGCTCACAAGGTGTTACTCTCCCCATCATGTTCACAACAGCTGCAGCCACTTCTCTGCATATCCCCATCAACATAGTCTTCTCTAAAGCAAAAGGAATTGAAGGAGTTGCAATGGCGGTTTGGATAACCGATTTCATCGTTGTGATTCTTCTAACGGGATACGTGATAGTCGCAGAACGATCCAAAGAGAACAAATGGAAAGAAGGTGGTTGGTTTGACCAATCTGCTCAAGACTGGCTCACACTGATCAAGCTTAGTGGACCATGTTGTCTCACTGTGTGCCTTGAGTGGTGGTGCTACGAGATCTTGGTCCTTTTAACTGGGAGGTTACCAAACCCAGTGCAAGCCGTATCAATCTTGATCATAGTTCTTAATTTCGACTACTTGCTTTACGCTGTGATGCTATCGTTGGGTACCTGTGTGGCAACACGAGTGTCCAATGAGCTTGGCGCAAATAATCCCAAAGGAGCTTATAGAGCAGCTTACACTACACTCATTGTGGGTGTTATCTCAGGCTGCATTGGGGCGTTAGTGATGATAGCATGTAGAGGAGTTTGGGGGTCTCTGTATACTCACCATGACCAAATAGTCTTAAACGGTGTAAAAAAGATGATGCTGATAATGGCAGTTATAGAAGTTATAAACTTCCCATTAGTAGTTTGTGGAGAGATTGTTCGCGGAACAGCAAAGCCGTCGCTAGGAATGTACGCGAATCTTGGCGGATTCTATCTCTTGGCTTTGCCGTTGGGGGCAACTTTGGCGTTCAAGGCTAAAAGAGGGCTTGAAGGGTTCTTGATTGGGTTTTTAGTTGGAATCTCTGTATGTTTCTCAATATTGCTCATCTTTATTGCAAGGATAGATTGGGAGAAAGAAGCTGGGAAAGCACAGATCCTGACCTGTAACACAGAGGAAGAAAGAACTTCACAAGGTTCAGAACATGATAACATCTCAAATTAAACTTGAAGAAGGTATCTTAAATGTGTTAAAGAGGTAGAAAGATAAGCTTAGTGAGCTATAAGTAAGCCTTAGAGTGGACACAACAATGGAGGTAGATTACTTGTGAAGGAAATGTCTTGTGTTTGACTAAACTCAACAAGGATCTTGGTAAGTCAGCCATTTTGAATCAAATTTGTTTTTTTCTTATATGAATTCAAAGCTTTTCAACTATATGTTTCGTTGCAACATGAAAGTAAATAAAAGCTGTATAATGATTTGAGAAAGAGACCTAAAAAGTAGAGTAAAAAGTAAAAGAGAAACGCCCACCGTGGGGCTCGAACCCACGACCACAAGGTTAAGAGCCTTGCGCTCTACCAACTGAGCTAGACGGGCTTTTGACAGTAAACCACTGTAAATTTCAAATACTCTTATTTACTTGACTAATCTAGCTCTCATTGCTTTCCCATATAAAGAACTCTCTTTTACAGCTGAAATCTAAAGATACTTTCTTAAAAACTTGAAAATCAAAGAAATGGATTCTCAGTAAAACATAACTTGTCCAACATTGATTCAGTTTACCAAAAGATAGGATTCAGCTATATACAGACTAAGTTAGCTTAAGTAAAAGAATGAAGACAGACCCTTGATGCAGATTCACACACACCTACCCTGTAATGCATAAGTTATTATATATAGGGAATATCACTTTGACCAACCAAATTCTCACTCACAACTTTATTGTAAGGATAGATTGGGAGAAAGACGCTGACCTGTAACACATAGGAAGAAAGAACTTCACAAGGTTGAGAACATGATAGGATCTCAAACGAAACCTAAAAAAGTATCTTAACGTGTTCAGGGATAGATAGATATGCCTAGTGAGCTTAGGTTAGCTTTAAAGTGGACAAAGCAAATGAGAAAGGAAGTAGAGAAGGTATCTATTGGCTATGAAAAGTAAATGTCTTCTGTTTGAGCAAAACCAACAAAAATCTAGGTAAGTAAGCTTTTTTTAGGGAAGTTGTGTGGTCATTTTGAATCAAATTTATTATCCTAATATCAAATTCAAAGCTTTTCAACTATATTGTTGGATGCAACATGAAAGTAAATCAAAGCTATACTGATTTGAGAGAGAGAGGCCTAAAAACTAGAGTAATAAGAAAAAGAGAAACGCCCACCGTGGGGCTCGAACCCACGACCACAAGGTTAAGAGCCTTGCGCTCTACCAACTGAGCTAGACGGGCTTTTGACAATGAACCACTAATCTAACTGCTATTGCTTTCCCAGATAAAGAACTCTCTTTTACAGCTGAAAAGTGAACTTGGGAACCAAACCTTTACACGAACTTGTCCAACATTGATTCAATTTACTAAAAAGACAAGATTCAGCTATAAAGACTAAGTTAGCTCAAGTGGAGACAAACAAACAAACCTGGATTTAGTTCTTTGATTTTGATATGACAGACCAGAAACAGAAACAAAACGCCCAAACCCTTGAGGCATCTTCATTCTTCACACACACACACACCTACCCTGTAATGCATAATAAATGCATAATAAGTGATTATATTCCACTCTGATCAACCAAATTCTCACTCACTCACTCACTACTTTGAAATTCCCAATCCATCATATAATCTGAAGAGACAGGCTTTATTGAGGAAATTTCGAAATCAGAAACTAACACCTGTACGATTCCTGGATAAAGATCAAAAGAAGAAGAAGCTATCAAAATTAACTAAGATCACGAAAACCTACACGATGATTTGAGCTGGATTAACGATACCAGAAAGGATCGGATCCGTATCGCATTATATCTTCTGGTGCTGTTAAGGCTAAGGAATTGAGAGACAGTATTTGGGGTGATTGGAGAATTCCCCAAGAAGAAGATGACACATCTCCGACTCCGAGGAGGAAGAACAATAAAACGACGTCGTTTAAAAGCAGTTGACTCTCTTCTGCTCAGATACGCTTAGTGGGCTTCCGTTATAAATAATTTGTCGGCCCATTTAATATTTTTACAGAAAAGTCAGAAAAGGCTCAGTGGGCTCCCGTTATAAATTAGTAATGTTTTTTTTAAAGATATTAAATACAGTATTTGACGTATTTTATTTTTATGTTAATATTATCTTCTTCCCACAAAGAAAAAAATCTAGCTCCACCAAAAAAATGTAGTGTATATATTAACTTATCAAAAAACAAAGATAAGATAAGTCTATCATTTTTCATATTTTATTGTATCAATATCTGGATCCATATTGCAAAAGTTTGAATTTTTTTTGAATTCATATCTAACTTTTTTTATATTTATATCTAACTTTAGAACTAATAATATCTTGGTCAAAAATGAACTAAACGAAATTGTACAGTACTTGTAGCTTCTTCCATCGAGTAATTTTATTATTTTTTAATTTGTTCATTGAAATAAAGAATGACATATACCAAACGAAAATAAATATCTTCACCAAAATACAGCAAAGTTATTGGAGTACAACCAATATTATGGTTCTTGGTTGTTTCGGTAGACAAAGAAGCTGAAGACATTGATTGTGTCTTGTGAGTGCCATGTGAATCGGAAACACATATCCGAGGAGAAGTGTGGGGCACTCAATCACAATCTCGACTTTAGGGCTAATAATGCTTAACATTAATCTTAGGTTTTTGTTTCGATGTTTATTATAATTAGTAGTGAAATAATTAACTAAGTCTTGAACGTACGACCACGTTTATAGATCGATGGATAGAGAGACACGCACTCGAGTTGTTCGGAGTTATTTTATGTTATGTTTTTGTCAACGTTTATTAATTGTTTATAGCGTTGAGTTTTATTTGTTTAAGAGGCGATTGTGCCGATATCTCAAAAGCCGGTTTTAGAGTTTTTAGACTCTTTCTTGTTACAATATGAACTTTTCTTGAATTTAGGTAGCTCGAATTACATATTACATTTTCTTGGAATCTATATATCGCATTGTTTCAAATTTCTATTATTGGAGTTTAACTTTTGCTAATAGACATTATAAACGAAATTTTTATACAGCATATAAAACTTTTGATATGTATGCGATACATATAACTGAAAATATACTACCATTTTTAGTTATACATGAGGAAATGAATGAGATCGACTTGCAGATTTTGGTATATCCGGCAAGAGGATGATGAAGTGGTTTAATATCCCATGTGATGCATCGTTCATATGTGCTTGTGATGTTCCTTATGTACTTAACACATATTTATTTCTCTTGCGTTATTATTTTACTAAGTAGTAACTTTAGCGTAACATATAAGAAAAAGGTGAAAATGTAGTTGTTGTACCTATCTATTTTTTTTTTTTTTTTTTTACCTATCTTAAATTTTCGAACAATTTAAAATACTTTGAATAAAAATACAACAACAATACTCCTAATCTTGGTATATGATCATGATCAGGCAGTTAGTTGTCGCTGTAATCATCGAAACTAATGTAAGGTTCAATTTCAAAATCATATAAAATCATCTTGTCTGAAGAACATTCTATAAATATTTTTTGAAAAATGTTGGCTACAGCTGTAGTGTGTAATACAAGTCTTAAAAACGAATATATACGTATTAAATTGTTAAAAAGTGATTAGAAGATGTCACAATCTTTATAATAGTGTGAGTCAAATATTAAGAAAAGTGAAATGATATAAGAAATTGGCCGGTTCAAAAGTCTGAACTTACAAGCCAAATAATAGTCCCACGCCACACTCTTCTCTTCCAAATGTCTTTGACAATTACTATTTTTCTAATCTCTATACTCTCCGCAGTACATTCTTAATTCCCGACTCTTATTACATTCTAAATAAATTATCTCGCTCATTAGTCATTTACTCAGTAGTATCAAATGCGAATGGAAGTATAAAAAAATATGAAACAAAATGTTAGCATATTATTTTATTCGTTATTCCTGCTATACTGAGTCTGACCATTGAGAACAGTTGCATGCAGTGTGAGACCACATGTTTCTGTCTTTTGACCAAATCCTAATCCTCTCTATCTGTCCTCTGATTCTTTTAAGATTTTTTTTAAAAAAAACAAAGAATCTATAACTCGACCGTGATCGACGGCTCAGATCTGACACTATAAATATCAAATTCCACATAACTAAGTGCTTCCCACTTTTGCACCACTTACTGCGACGATTGCGGATTTTTGTGTGTGTGTGTATCTCAAGAACCAGATTATCAAATAACAACTATCCATGTTTATTCTTGATTTCTTTCTAATTGTAAAATCCATTTACGATTTCTACGTACGTACAATAGTTTTAAAGTTTAGACCAAACGCTAGAATATCATATTTGGTTTTTGACAATAATCATACGCCAAAAAAAAAAAAACCATGTCCGATCCTGGATTCAATATAAATAAAAGATAAAACGCATAATTGTGTATAAAAAATATCAAGAATAGGCGTGACTCCACAAAAAGACAGAAAACGCACATCGGTGCTAGAAGCACTCAAGCAGCCACCACGACGACTCATGTGTTTCGATTTAAGAATTCTACTGGTAACCATTAGAGGAACAAAAGGAAAAAGAACAAAAAGAACAATACGGAACGGAATAAACAACTTTTGAGGAACGAAAGGAAAACATGAAGAGAAGAACAAAATAATAAATGGTAACCAAACAATAACACTATCTTTTATAATATATTTGATTAAATAAATCAACTTTTAATAATAATACTAGATATAATTTATATATAATGAATTTGACACTAAATTTAAAATATATTTTTGAATGAATTTAAATATTTAATGTTAAAATTAATAATTTATATTAACCTATTATAGATTATAGTAATTTTTTATTTGTTATTTATGATATAAACATCTCTTAAATATGTTTTACTATCCATACAAATTTTAAATAATGTATAGTAAGATTTTTTAACATGAAATTCATATCAAAAATATTTTTTAATGTCAATACATGATAAAAATATGAAAAATATTATATTATGAGATTAAAATATTATTAATAAATAATTTTTTATTTATTTTAAAATAAAAAACGAATTTTAATATTTGTTTTTTTTTGTTCCATTTGTTCCTCATCAATTTTGTGGAGGAACATTTTTGTTCTATTGTTCCTCATTTTGTGAGGAATGTAGAGGAATGATGTGGAAAAATGATTCCTTGAAAATGGTAAAAAAATTGAGGAATGAAGAGGAATGTCACATTCCTTCTCATTTTTTTCCTAAATCATGGTTACCAATCGAAGCCTAAATAAGTCTCGAACACCTTCTCCATATCTTCTCACGACACTTTCAAACTTGTTTTGACTATCAAGTTTTTTTTTTCTTGCTTTATTATTGCCTAGTAATTATTAAATCTTCCGTTACTAAATCATTAAGTAAACGGTGACAAGAATTAAATGATTAACAGAACAACGGTTACGAATGATAATTTATGACTAGTATAAACTTGACGGTGAGGGTTTTATGAATATGATTATGTGACAAGATAAATAAATAAAAGAAACTAGCCACGCCGACCAAAGTCGCTCACATGTCGAATGGTACACAGCTAAACACATATGTCCAACTTCTTCGACGCGCCTTCAACTACCTCCCTTTAAAGGGCCGTTTCTTCTTAGTTCGTTCTTACCGTGCTCACATGATTTTTCCACCATTTTTTTCAGTTTTTTTCAACGCGTTTTCAAATTATAAAGATAATAATAATTTACACAAGACTTATATTTCTCTTCTAAATTTCTCAGTTCCAAGCTTACTTTACTAGAATTGAAAGAAAAAAATCAGATGACCAAATTTTATTGTGCTACCAAATTGGTTTATGTTTTGTTATTTCATAAGTGAAGTTGAAAGTTGAAACAATAACATTTTTATATGTGAACTAAAAAATGATTGTAAACCCGAAAAACCATATCTGAGTGTGAACGTGAAAAGTTGGGCGGGAAGACAACCGACTAATCCGCGGGAACAGGGGAGACATCAATGGCTGTTTTGTTTTTTGTTACGCAAATCCCGTAAACTCTTAACGGCGTTAAAATATTTGTTTCAACTTACAAAAACGTCGTTAAATTTACCGTTGACAAAACCCGCGCGTAAAAATCTTACAACTCTCTCACTCTCTCTCTCTCGCATAGTGAGACATGCATGCCACGTAGGAAGGATCCCCCGACCAAAGTGTTCACTTTGTGCTCGGTTCTGTCCATTGTACGGCCGAACCATTGTTTTTTATATATATAAATGTAAATAATTTTTTTCTTTTTTTTTTGTGTGTAGTCATTTTAGTTTTTTGTTTAAGAAATAAAATAGTTAGACAGAGGGAAAAAAAGGGAAGGTGGGTAAAGAATCCAGGAGACAAGAACGGAAAGTCTTCTAAATAAGAAGATTTTTTAGTTTTTTTCCTTTTGAAAATTCTAATGGTTTAGATTTTATTTCCTATGGGAGCCCAGAGTTTTCCACAGCAGGAACAGGTCAGCGTTTCTTGTTTTTTTTAATGTATTTTTCTCAGAGCTCGGTCCTAACGCCTACTTGATATTTTTAATTTTTATATACTTTTTTCTATTTTAATTTTTATATATATATATTACCTTTTATTTCTTATCCTATTAAATTCTAAAGACAGACTTGGAAGTAACTCTGCCCCTGGAGAAAAAAGAAGAGAGAGAGAGAGAGAGGCTCTGTATAAGCACATGAATTGTTCTGGTTTTATGATAGTTTTCTCTTAACATCTAAAGAAGAAGAAGAAAGATTAAAAGGTGTTTGTGTCTGAGTTTATAAGGATTATTGTCTGGAACAAGGAGCAAGAAGAAGAATTAAAGAAGAATAAAAAAAGAAGAAGATGGAGTTATCTGATTGCTCTAATGAATATGAGAAGCTCGTTGTTCGGATGAACATGCCCAGGTATACATCTGTATATTTCTTTTAATCTTGTTTTCTCTTTTCTTCTACTGCTGAACATCACAAAACAAATGATGTTGTAGATTCTTTTTTCTTTCTTCTATGAAGAACACACACAAAATAAAAAGATTCTTGTTCCCAAATATCAAGTTTTTTTTTTCCTTCTACTCTTTGTAAATCGTTCAAAAACTTGATTTCTTTGTTAATTTATTCATCTATGATTGTTATATATTTAACCTCGTAGAAATTAATTTTTTTAATCATCATAAGATGAGTTTTTCTGAAACAATTAAGGTTTTAAAGAATTTTCTGGAATTAATAATACAAAAGTTTCTCCAATTTGTATGGAAGGCTTCGTCATATCCTGGCTTTACCGTCATCTAATAGTATAATAAACAGTAATTTTACAAGTCAATTTTAATTGACAATTTCAATAGATTTTTTTCTTATATAAAAATTGTTCAGTTGTTTGATTCATACACAACAAACAGTGAGTTTAAAAAAGGGTCACTGTCTTTTTGGTCACTTGCAGGGTCGTAATTGACAATGGCGTTTGCCCTAATTCAACTGTCGTCAAGGTTGGTTTTTTACCCTCACGCAACTCCCTTCCTCTGTTTCTTTCTTTCTTCCTCTCTTCTTTTCCTTTTAATTGATAATGATCTTTTTAAATTAAATTTTCTTGTTTTTTTTTTTCCTTTTCTTTAAAGATTGATAGTGCAAGAAGTCCAGGGATCTTGCTCGAATCTGTACAGCTCCTCACAGATATGAATCTCTGGATTACAAAAGCTTACATCTCCTCTGATGGAAAATGGAATATGGATGGTAAATAATCCCTAATCTTACGTTAATTATAAACTAAATTAAGGAATTAATAATAAATCAGTTATTTGATTTTGTATTTATTTATTCTTTCAGTTTTTCATGTGAGCGATCTTAACGGAAACAAATTAACCGACGAGAACTTAATCCGTTACATTGAAAAGGTAAGTTTTTAATTTTCTCATTAATCACTCTTTAACTACAATATTATATCGCTAACACTCGTTTTTTTAATTATTTACAGTCGATCGAGACGTCTCATTACTGTAAAACCGAAGGGTACACCGGTTTAACCGCTCTAGAGTTAACCGGAACAGACAGAGTTGGTTTACTCTCAGAGGTTTTCGCTGTTCTAGCCGATCTTGAATGTGATGTTGTTGAGGCTAAGGCATGGACGCATAACGGTAGGATTGCGTCAATGATTTATGTTAGAGATGGCAACTCGGGAACTCCTATCGATGGAGACTCCGACCGGATCCAACGAGTAGAAGGACAACTACGCAACTTGCTAAAAGCAGACGATGGTTACCAAAACAGCACGAGGACATGTGTTACGTATGGTGGTAACACTCATATGGAGAGAAGGTTGCATCAAAGGATGTTTATGGACCGTGACTACGAGAAGAAGTTTGATTCCGAGAAATCTCCGATCGTCTCGGTACAAAATCTTGAGAAACGTGGCTACTCTGTTGTGAACTTGCAGTGTAAAGATAGGATGAAGCTTTTGTTCGACGTTGTTTGCACGTTGACGGATATGGCTTACATTGTTTTCCACGCTGCGATTCGAACGGTTGGGGAAACGGCGTTTTTGGAGTTCTATGTAAGGCATAGTGATGGACATCCGGTTAGTTCAGAACCGGAGAGACAACGTTTGATCCAATGTTTACAAGCCGCAATTGAAAGAAGGACGGTTAAGGTATGAAACTATGAACAACTCTTGTTCGGTTCACACAACTTAAAACTGATTGGTTTAGTTTAGTAGCTGACTTACAAGTTTATAACTCTTAATGTAGGGAGTGAGATTGGAGTTATGCACTGCGGATAGACCGGGACTGTTAGCGGAAGTAACACGAGTATTGAGGGAGAACGGATTAAGCATTGCTAGAGCCGAAATATCGACTAAAGACGGTATAGCGAGGAATGTGTTCTATGTGACGGATGCAAATGGTAACCTAATAGATCCCGAGATAATCAGATCAATTAGGGAGAAGATTGGGATCAATGATCTAAGTGTTAAAGAGCCGTTCCTGACTAGCTGCCGAGAAGCGGTTGAGAAGGAACAACATCAAGAACTGCAAGATCAGCAAGGACGCAATGGAGGAGGGACAGTGTTGGTGTCACTAGGGAGTCTAGTGATGAGAAATCTATACCAATTGGGTTTGATCAAATCATACTTTTAAACCGGAGGTAACTAACTGGTCCATATAGACCAATTCAATCGTGTGTGTTGATAACCCACGCGGTTGAATTGGTGTATATGGAGCCGATAGTGAACCGGTATGGATTTGGTTATGTTGTTTTTGTGATATCGGGATTGTTTGGTTGTACATAAAAAAGGTGGGAAGTTAGTTAAGAATTTGGTGGTCGGTCTTCATGTTGGACCAATAGGTTACTAGAGGAAGGATGTTAGGTAAAATCTTGGGTAACATTTTTTTTTATAATGTGTACATATTTTATGATATAACCTATGGTTGTTAGAAGATTAGTTTTGTCAATAGTGAATCAGTCAGTGTGTTATGTAAATTACATAATTAATTAAGGGTTAGTTTTTATACGCAAAGGAGACAAGAAGGTCCTACATGTGTGAATCTTATAGATTCGTTTTGTTTTTATAATCTCAAGTTATCTTAGCATGCTTATAAAAAGACTATTATAACTTCAAGATGAAGATAAGCTTTACATGTGACCCAATAAACTAAACAAATAATTAAGACTTATGGTTTAGAAGAAAATGATAAATAAAACTATTGGCCATGAACATTATGTGTCGTCTCTATGACGTAAAACCTACGTATGATTATGACAACAACTATAATGAGTCATTTTGATTATGGACAGATTAAATTAACAAACAAAATATATTCATAAGATATGAGTTGGTGTGTTTATGTGGTGGTATAGTGTTTCAATGGATCATGAAACTGAATTTTAATATATATTTCGAAATCATTCGTATTAATGTTATTATTTATATATGTTTTTTGAAAAATGATGGTTGCATTATTGTTGAGAAATTGAATGAAGTCAAACAAAAACATTTGAAAAATTGGAAAAATCGTACACATGTTCTGTACTTGAATGCTGTGTGTACAGTTCTTTATGTAACGAAATTAGAAAAAAGTGAAAAACGATCCAATAATAAGAAGTTAAAGAGAATAACATATAACAAAAGAATCTAACTTTACTGTGGGCTTTAAAAGCAAAAGATGCAAACCAGCTAAGCATCGTTAGCCAATACAAGGGATACACGTGCCTTCTGTGCATCTGAAACTTGGACCAACCCGGTTCTGTATTTCTGACATGTTGCCATATACCGCCGGTTAAAGCCAGGTTCGCATCATATAACCTTTACACAATAACGAATATGAATATGAATGTGTATATGATATACCTCATAAATTATTTTAGAAAAAAATCTAGTTTGATTGGCACCAATTATTGGAGTCAAAACAAGAAAAGGATCTAACTCATCAAAGTATGTATCATTTTTCTTTCAATTGTAAAAATGATTACAGTACAATTAGTTTTAGATTTACATAATGTGAGACGTTAATACACAGGGCTTATGAGACCCAAATTAGTTACATTGGGCTCCTGTTTTAATTAGTTCATGGTTTATCATGGTGCACAGTTTACCTAATCGCATTTTATAAACCGGAATTATGTAGCACGTTGCAACTCTTTGACATAATATTTATGACTATGAAATATTTCTTATTTAATTAAATATGACATTCTTAATTGATCTATCTTATCTTTATGTTTCTTAGTTAATTTTCTCTTTTTTTTTTTTTGGAAATCGTCAATGATTTTGTGGTCCCAAAATACATATTATATTATTTTGAAATGATTATGATTCATAATCACTTCCATTTCGTTAATATTCAAACAAAAATGTAGTCGAAACCTTTGAAATCTATTCCTATATAATATATAGCGTATGCTTTATATTAGCACATAATGTGATAACATCTTATTGTTGACAAATATAATATTATCACATAATGATACATTGCTTGGTAATTCGAAATGTCAATAATTAGTTTGGTATACAGAGCATATATATATATATATATATACGTGTGTGTGTATATTCAATTCTTAAATTCAAATTCTGAAATTCGCATGTTGATAAATGTATATGTTGAGGATTATATAGATAGATTGGTAGTTGAAAATTAATAATAATACATCATATAATATTCAGAGTCATTTGTGTGAATTATGATACGTCCCAACTACTCCATATTTCTAAAATAGTTTTGGTATTGACTTTGAGCTTTCAGTTTTATTATTTCAAAATTTTATAATTTTAGTCGCTAATCCTCGTATATATATATCGACATGAATTTGTTCACCGTACTATATCTGTCAAAAGTGTATGATTGATACATAAACACAAAGAGATGTACGACCATATACAATTAACAATCTATAGTGTGTGTCCTTCGGAAAATGCTATTTTTCAAGATAAACCGGTTTTTGTTCTTCTTTTTTTTTGTCGACATTAAAATATATTCTTTAAGCTTCTAAATTCAATATAAGATTATGCAATCTGAGGTACCTCATAGATTAACGAGTGACATAGCTTCACTTGGTATAATCATCTTGCAACGAATTGAAGGCACTTCACAGTCATATATCGTATATAATTAAATATAAATATTTTGTTCACTGCAAAATTTGAGAAGATTAAGAACAAATAAAACACTAGGAGCATCAAGAAGACAAAAAAAAAAAAAAAAAAAAAACTAACGAATAACGATAACTAGTGTTGCGTACCATGGTCACATTATCAACGATATAGAACACCAAAATGTAGAATCTGTTTCAAGAGTCGTGCTGCTTTTAAGCTTAAATAGAAGAACTAGAGGACATTTCAAGAAATAAAATTTAGCTAGCATAGAAGTCACATATTTACGTAATTTGTGTCGTCTAGCAATATTTACCATCTATATATATTGTTTGCTAAAATCAAATTTCTGTATATTCCAAAACAGCAATGATATAAAAATTCACAAAACAAGAGAGGAAAAAGAGAAAACAAACTCTCATCTACAGACCACCTTTATCTTTTTATAATAAAAACAAATAAAAAATTAGTATCACCCACTTTCAGTTTTTATTTTTTAAACTTATTACTAACATTTAATAAATATTCTCTCTTTTTAATTTATTAATTTCCCCCATCGGATTCCAGCTAAAAACACGAATTCCCATTTCTATAAATGACAAAAGGATATTATATTTTCAAAGTTAAAATATAAATTATTGTGAGTTGTATTATAACGCCCTATTAAATACATTTCCTTTTCACGAAAACAAATACATTTTTTCTTTTTGGTCTTAATTTATTCAATATTAAATTTAAAAACGGACAGACAAGGAAAAAGTTAGGAAGGAAATGAACTGAAAGCCTGAAACTAAAAATAAAAATATTAAAAATATATATGAAACGCTCTTTTTGAAAGAAAAAAAATCTTTGGTATTTCCAAAAATTCAAAATCAAATATTCATTGCCGTCAAAAACAATATATTTATTTTCTTTTTTCATCTAAACCACACAAGCATAAATAAATCTAATTTTCCTCACTTTCCTCTCAAACATTTCCTAATTCCCATCCAAATAATTTCCAAAAGCTTTTTAATTCTAAGCAAATAGTAATATTCTCTTCAAGAAATATATTATCTCATATAATTTCTTGATGTTTTTCTTCTGATTTTCAACAAAACAATTTTCTTGTTCTTGTTTCTTAAATTTCTTGAATGGTTTTAAGCTTTGGATTTAGAAAATTATTTTAGGTTTTGTCAAAAAAAGTTAAAAAAATAATCCTTGTAGAGATATGGAGACTACCGGAGAAGTTGTAAAAACACCCACCGGGAGCGACGGTGGCGTAACGGTGGTGAGATCCAACGCGCCGTCGGACTTCCACATGGCTCCGAGATCAGAAACTTCAAATCCACTTCCCACCTCCCTCTCTCATCCTCCTCCTCCACCTCCACCGCAGCAAAGCTCCTTCGCTCCTCATCCGCCGCCACCGGCGACTTACTCAAGCGTACCGGTGAAGAAGAAGCGGGGACGCCCGAGGAAATACGACGGAGCAGCGGTGACGCTATCACCAAATCCGATATCATCAGCCGCACCAACGACTTCTCACGTCATCGATTTCTCCGCATCGGTGAAACGTGGCAAAGTGAATTCAGCACCAACTAGTAGTGCTCCTGCTAGCTCCTTCTTCAGACCAAAGTACCAAGTCGACAATTTAGGTAATATAAACTTTGGTCAATCTTTTTTTTTGCTTTTAGTAAATCTTTGTTACATCTTATTAGACTGAATCTTGAGTTCTTGCGACTTTTAAAGTTTTTAAAAAGATATATTTTGGGATCTTTCTGTGTTCTTTTTAAGAGACATGCAAAGAAAGCTTCTTCCTACTAACCTCAACAAGTGGGACCTCTTAAAACTTTTAATACAACTTTTTTGTCCGTACATATACGGTTGTCTATACGTATACATATACGGTAATTAGTATATGTTGTGCTTTGTGAAGGTGACTGGGCTGCTCCTTCCTCTGCCGGAGCTAATTTCACGCCGCATATTCTTACCGTGAACGCAGGAGAGGTCAGCATCACATTTATAATAGTAGTTTTAAGATAATACTATGTGTTTATGTTATGATTTATGAGCGAATTGATGATTAGTGGGGGATTTGGAATTTTTCTAGGACGTTACGCAAAAGATAATATCGTTTTCACAACAAAGGTCTGAAGCTATTTGCGTTTTATGCGCTAACGGTGTGGTGTCAAGTGTTACACTTCGCCAGCCTGATTCATCCGGCGGTACATTGACCTATGAGGTATGGTATTATTCCATCTCAATCACTCTGATTTAGTAGATGATAAAGACCGTAACCAAACTTTTATTTCAATTTATTAACCGATTTGTTTTTTTTTATTACTTTTAAAGGGTCGGTTTGAGATATTGTCACTGTCTGGAACATTCATGCCTAGTAGTGACTCGGATGGGACAAGAAGCAGAACAGGCGGGATGACTGTGTCCTTGGCTAGCCCTGATGGACGTGTAGTAGGCGGTGGTGTTGCTGGCCTGCTCGTTGCAGCTACTCCTATCCAGGTGGTTGTTGGAAGTTTCTTAGCCGGAACAAACCAGCATGATCAGAGACCTAAGCAGCAGAACCACAACTTCATGTCGTCTCCGATGCCGATCATCAGGCCTTTGCCCTCTTCTCTCCCCATCAGTACATGGACACCGCCTTTAGCTTTTGATCCGCGACACAAGCCTTCTCATGACATTAACATCAGTTTGACGTGATTGCTTCCTCAGAGAGCTCATAAATCCTCTGTAGTTCAGTTCCCATATTAGGACTCTATGTGCCAGAGTCTCAGAGGTTCTAGGTGTTATGTTTGGTCTGTAACTTAAGATTGTTTTTCCAACTTTTTAGTTACTTATCTTTTCATTTCACCCTTTGGCTGTAGAAATTGGATCAATTTGCAAATGATTGCGCTCTTAGTGACACCAACTCTAATCCACATAAACAATAACCATCCACCACATCCAAATTATATTTATAGGTATAATTATTAAAATAAAAACTAAACACACAATTATCACCGCCCATGCTTTCTTAACACGAAAATTGTATAATGCTCATGTGTTTTGGACATTTGGTATGAAATGAATTAGCTGAGCCGTATAGTAAAGATGACACTTTTCAACAGCAATATAAATATATGAAAGCAAACCATATTGATCAGAAAAGAAATTTTGAAAGTGTTACACATACACACATAAAGGGTTATATATTTATCACCTCGCACACTAGTATTGCATTTTGGCCATGCTTTGGAAAATTTGTTATGAGTTAGCTATAAGCCATTTGGTAAAAACATGATACTTTCAAAAGCGATCAAAATAGATGAAAGCAAAAATTATTTGTGATCGATATGGTTTGCTTTAATCTATATATTGCTTTTGAAAGTGTAATGTTTACTAAATAGCTTGGCTGAATCCTTACCAATTATAAAGAGCACGGACAATATGTACAATACGGTATTGTCAATACAAGTGTTAAGGGCCCTGCGTAATCACTAATTCCTAGGTAGGACGGTCTGGTTTTGTTTTTGTATTTTTGTATATCTTCAGTGTGCAATTTTTTTTTGTTTTGTATAAATAAAGAACTTCTAGGGTAAAAGAAAACAAATAAGCTTTACTTATAATGTCGATTTTTTTTTGGTTAAACAAAATTTCTCTCTCTCAAATTGTCCATGGAGATAGAGGAGAAGCGTCTCGCACGACACACACCCACCACATCCTGATCAGGGTGTTTCAACATGGTTTACAGGGATCACAAGCTTTACTTATAATTATTAAAATAATAATCTGCAACTAAATACGTACGTATCAAAATGGTTGAAAATTTGATAGTAATTTTGGTGTCATACATTTGCTATGTTTTGTGGTAAATTTAGGAGTTTTGCTAATCTACTTATATATTGTTTTGAATGTATAACTCATACCTTATACCTCTAACTCATACCTTATAAAAACCATATTTTTCAAGAACATGACTAGTGTATGATATGAAAATTACTACCAACTTTTCGACCATTTTGATACATGCTGTGTGCAGATTATTATTTTAGGAATTATAAACTAAAAAGAGAATTTTTTTAGTAATGTACATGTTGGGTGGTTATTTACTTGGTTTATCTAAAAGAAAAAGGATGGATGCGATGATTGTAACTACATGTAAAATACTATAATATAGAGGGAAAATGATGGATCGTAAATTACATGCAACTATTATCATTCTTTTTTTTTTTTTTTTTTTTTTTTTTTTTTTTTGTAACGCTTATTAGATATTGTTTCGAAGATTGTGTATACGAACGAATCATCATTTTCGTTAAATAGTTATTTTTGCCTGATAATTCGAGAGATGCGTCAGCACTCTCCTAGATATTGCAAATATTTTGTTATGTTATTAATAGGGAACTTCTAGGGTAAGTAAAAACATAACATATTAACAATCCTCTCTCTCTCTAAAATTGTCCATGGAGATAGAGGGGGAGAAGCGTCTCATACGAGATACACCCACCACATCCTGGTCCGATCTTCCTCTAGATCTCGTGATTTTGGTATTCCAACGTCTCAGCTTTGCTAATTTCCAAAGAGCTAAATCGGTGTGTTCGTCTTGGTACTCTGCTTCGAGACAATCCGTGCCCAAAAACAATCAGATCCACTGGCTGATTCTCTTCCCTAAAGAAGACAACAAGGACAACAACTACTCATGCACGCTGTTCAATCCCGATGAGAAAGACAAACATTACAAAACACAAGATCTTGGTGTTGAGTTTGCAAATAGACGTTATAAGGTGGCAACCTATGGAAGCTGGCTCCTAATAAGAGATACTCTGAAGGAGATGTACCTTGTGAACCTCTTTACCAACGAGAGGATCAATCTACCTCCTGTAAAGTTATTACGGGAAGATTATGAGTTACATACTACAAGTCGCGAGAAAAAGTGGCACAATGGTAGGATTAGGTCTGTGCTATCCCCTGTGTTTTGGATTGACGAGGATACCAAAGATTACGTTGTTATTTGGGGATTTGGAATGTGGTGTGTGGTCTATGCCAAGAAAGGAGATACCTCGTGGAATAAGATTCCGGATATTTCTCAGTGTTACCACATGGTTTACAGGGATCACAAGCTTTACTTCCTAAACTTCAATGATGTTTTCAAAATCTTCGATTTGTCTGGAGAGATTCCACAACTAACCTTTCAATGGATGGTTTCTCGGAACAAATGTGAGTCAGTTCGTCAGCCGAATTGGGAATGGAACAGTTGTATCACAAGACTTGTAGTCACATTGACAGGAAAAGTCCTCAAGGTTGAACAAATGTGGGTAATGAAATCTAGTACGTGGTCCTTTAGGGTTTTGGAGGTTTATTCACCAGACCTCCAGAAGAAACAACAACGGAGGATTCATTATCTGAGAGATGAGTCGATTCTTTTGGATCAAGGCATCACTGTGCTCGCCAATGACGCTGATGGATTCGCTAGAAATACCATCTATTTCAGTGATGATAGGCAAAAGATCATGTTTACCTTCAATCTTGGGACACAAAAGACGGAGCCGCTGCACACATTTGATATTTCTTCATTTCAATTCTCTGGAGCTCAATGGTTCCTACCTAGTTTCACGCTTACATGATATTCTTGATGCTCTTTAATTCAGCTTTTCATTTCTCTTATTCTCTCATGCAGATTTTAATAATTTTTTCATTAGTTCTTCATTAACTTGGCTTGCTTTTAATTTCTTTCATTGTTTTAGTTTTTAAAGATTTTGTAACACAAAAATTATAAAACCCCATAAACCAAATCCAAATTCTAAAAACCAAAAACTATAATCCAATCACTTTAAAACTTGCAAATTTGGAATCTATGTTCAATATCCGGTAACAAGTATGTATGGGAAATTGGGAACGTATAATAAATCTGTAAACTATATATATAGCACAGTTTTTTATATAAACAATGAAGTGCTCTTGATTATTCTGAAGCAACAACACAAACTAAAATATTTTATGTGCCACGCTCAAAAGTGTACTTTGGTCTTCTATCTCATTGCACACATACCAATATGTTCCATATCTTTCTCGTTCTCCTTATGATTTTCCCAATGAACTGAGCTATGCACGATCCGATCAAATTTGACGACGGAATAAGGCTAGTTCTCACCGGAGCTATCTTAGTGAACGAACCTCCGGTTTGATCATGAGCTTTCTTTCTCATGTAGAAGCTTCTACTTCCTAATTCTCCGATTATTTCTCTTTTCTCCAAACCTGAAAAAAAGTTACATCTAATTTAATACAATCCCTTTGCTTTATTGTATAAGTTCACTCATCACTCATGAATTATGTGATTTTATATTTTGTTTTGTTTCAGATGGTCGTTGGAAGTTTAAAGCTAAACTAAATATTTTAATCCAACCTAACCAATCTAATACACACATCAAACTGAAAACAACTGGTTTAACTGTTAGCATCGAGTTATGTAATAATATCTTACACTGGATGCTGAAATGTGACTGATGCAATTCGAAAGCAGAATCTCGATGGAGCTTCGGTGTTCGTCCTTCTTCGCAGTACTTATCCACTACGATCTTGATCGTTTCTTCGACATTGGAACTCAATTTAACCATTGCTCTTACAGGTCCAGGACTTCCTTCTACTGCTACATTGATTACTACTTTCGGTGCTTCTCTTTTATTACCCTGATTTTATTTGGTTTCCAATAAGGTTACATATGTAATATTAAAAAGTATTAGGCAAATATTGAAAACTCTTATAACTTTGTGGACTAGATGTAAATTTATTTTACAGAGTTTGAAATCATGAGTTTGAAAAAACGAGTCTGACCTCTTGATTGATCGGAGATGAAGACGACGGCGGCGAAGATAAGCTCGTTAACGTCGGAGAAGAAGCGAAAACCTCAGAGCGAATCCTAGGCAAGTAAACGATCGGTTCAGATTGAGATTCTTCCGTCTGCAAACCTCTCATCGGAGACGGTCGCCGCAAATCACTACTGTCTCCTTCACGGCGACGATTGATGAGGCTCGGCTCCGAGAAGCTTCTCTCGAAAACGTGTTTCGTCGATTTGGAACGATTATTCTTATCGGAAACGCACCGTGAAGACGTACGTCGACTCGTTCTAGAGCTCCGGCCACCATTTCCAACGGGAGTCGGAGCTTTTCTCCGGTGAATCGAATCAGACATTTTTGATGAGTTTGCTTAAGGAGAAGAAAAAATAAAGAAATTGAGAAGGTTTTGTGTGAGTTTGCTTGGCAAAGAAGCGAATTAAGAGAGTTTATTCTCTCTGCTTTTGCTTTACTCTTTCTATCTTTGTGTTTTCTTTCATTTAAGCTAGCCGACCAAAAATAAGAAAATATTTTTATTTTTATTTTATTTCATGTCGACATTATAGTATGATATCTGATTCTTACGTAGTAATTTGTGTTTAATCAAAATTTTAATAGTAATGTGTTCTTGATTGGTATAAGTCTATTATAAGAAAAAGAAAACTTGGAAAAAAAAGAAGAAGAAAAAAATCTCAAAAATGAGTTTCTTGATGCATCGTTTTAGAAGATTACTTGAGAGACTCAGAATCCTATAAAGTGTTGTTATAGGGAACGAAACTATTGGATTCGCAGAAAATTCGACACGTTAAACCAAGACAACGAGAATACCCAAAACCATTTTTCGTAAACACACACAATTAGGTGATAGTGAGAAGAAGCACATCAACACTATACTAATTTGGGAGTAGTAATACATAGAAAACACATAAACAATTAGTATCTAACTCGTTCTTTTTTTATTTTTTTGACGAAAGTGCTGAGTGATGGAAATATATTATAAGATGATGATAAACTAAAACAAGATTCATCATCAACAAAACGTCAAGAAACCAAGATGATCGTAATAAAAAAAAACAAGATTAGTGTGTGTACATGTGGCTGAGATTGGTCCGAGGTTTGTTATCACAGTTGAAAGAAATAACTTTTGGGATTCTTATAAAGTCATTTTAACGAATGGTGTTTGGTCGACTTCTCTCTTATGCCATACGCACTCACGTTCGTTCACGCGTAACACACTTGTTTCCCAACCAAGTATTTATTTAACAACGATCTTTTGTATATTTGTATTTGTAACCCAATTTTTTTTAAAAATATATAATTATTGTTAAACTATACAATAGTATGTATTACTACATATTAATTAGTAATGCATTAAAATATCAGTTATTGTCATGACGAAAATTGTACGACTTTAGATTTTCAAATGTAACGTCACGTTTCGTGATGTGATACCATTCTATATTTTACTTATATATACAATTGGCCAACAGGCTCATTTTGTTTCAACGTTTTTCTTTATGCTGTCTTAGAAATTCAGACACAGGCCACAAAAGTCATATAACATATCCATGAATTTTCCCACAAATACATATCCGTGACCTATTAATTAGGGTACGTTGTGTTGTCAAATAAATTAAACAATCTGTATTATGAACGAACCCCTCGAAAGAAAATTAAATAGAAACAACATGTTACATGTTATGAGCTTTTGTGTCGTTAGTTCAAACCAGTTGAATCCATATATATATATAGTCGTGCCATGTTTTGAAAGAATCGTACGACCTTCTTTGCTTTGACTGAAAACAACGTACCAAAGATAATGAAAGAAAACAAGACATTTTTAGATTTGTAGTTTTCTTTTATTGGGCTAACACTAATTTACGAATGTGTGTACTTGAAGAGGTTGAATTTAAAAATGGGCTTTAGTAGGGCCAATTTTTTTTTTTTTTTTTTTTTTTTTTTTTTTGTAATAGAGTTCATAACCGCAATTAATTTGGTTTTTGGACATTTAAACTCGATTAATAACGTTAGAGTTCTATAATCTTTTAGGCTTAGGCTACATAATTTTCTCATAGGGAAGATTCAAGATTGATATTATTAGATTCAGTTTCACGAGAATATTACACTATGTCATTGTCAGGTAACGACAACAAACAACTTATAACGAAAAGTTCGAGACACGTTAGTGAAGTTGGTTTATTCCGGTTTATATTTTAAAGCAATCAAACCGATAATAATGCCACGTCATCAGTCTACATTTTTGCCAACTCAGTCTTCTATAACAGACAAAAAAAACAATCCAGCCACTGCCAACGACGACGACACTCACACACTCTCTCTCTCTCCGACACAATCCCGTCGCCGTCACCGGAGGGAACGAGTTTGTCGACTACTACGATGATCCCTTACGCCACAGTCGAAGAAGCGTCCATAGCGTTAGGACGAGACCTCACGTGGCTGGAGACTCTCTGGTTCGATTACTCCGCCACCAAATCAGATTACTACCTTTACTGCCACAACATCCTCTTCCTCTTCCTCATCTTCTCCCTCGTTCCTCTCCCTCTCGTCTTCATCGAACTCTCTCGATCTACCTCTCATTGGTTCGATCGGTACAAGATTCAGCCCAAGGTGAAGAACTCCTCCTCCGATATGTTCTGCTGTTACAAAGACGTCATGAAGATGTTCCTTCTCGTCGTTGGTCCTTTACAACTCGTTTCTTACCCTTCGATTCAGGTATCAAAAAAAGTTTTGTAATTTGATTTCAATCGCTTCTGATCTTGGAATTGATGATCTGCTTTTATAAGATTTGATGAACCAGATGAATCTTTGGATTGGTGTTGTTGTGTGTTTAAACAGATGATTGAGATTCGAAGTGGGTTGCCTTTACCATCGTTGATGGAGATTGTGGCACAGTTGGTGGTTTACTTCTTGGTAGAGGATTACACTAACTATTGGGTTCATAGGTTCTTTCATTGCAAATGGGGTTATGAGAAGATTCACCATATTCATCACGAGTATACAGCTCCTATTGGATATGCTGCTCCTTATGCACATTGGGCTGAGGTTTTGCTTCTTGGCATTCCCACCTTTCTTGGACCGGCGATTGCTCCTGGTCATATGATTACCTTTTGGTTGTGGATTGCTTTACGGCAAATCGAGGCTATCGAAACTCATAGCGGGTGAGGAAGACATTGGTGTTGTAGATAGCTTTTCCTTTTTTATCAAGTTTCTAGCTTTTTTATTGTATTTCCTTGTGTCCTGCATCATATCCACTTTTGAATTTAGTTTATAGTGAGTTGGGAATGTAAATGTGGGATCTTTCAATAGTGGCTCAATTTTTTGGTGGGGCTAAGGTAGCCTTTTAGATTTTGAGGATTCTTTAAGAACTGCTTAGATAACCTTTTGGTGAATATTCCTATTGGCTAAGGAAGAGAGTATCCTTCAAATGATAAGTATCTTCTCTGTTCAGAGAAGTATATGACCAATATGATGTTTGCTTGCTTGGTGGATGAAGCCTGTTTCTCAGAGGATATTAGTTGAGTTCTTTCTTTTTCTCTTGTAGGTATGATTTCCCATGGACTCTGACAAAGTACATTCCGTTCTATGGTGGAGCTGAGTATCATGATTATCATCACTATGTTGGAGGACAAAGCCAAAGCAACTTTGCTTCAGTTTTCACTTACTGCGATTACATCTACGGTACTGACAAAGTGAGTGTTGAAACTTTCAGTTCCTTTCCAGATAGCGTCTACCAATTCTTGATACATTGACAATGTGATTATATTGTTACTTTCATTAGGGATACCGGTTCCAAAAGAAGCTTCTTCAACAGGTAAAAACAACTACTCCCTAAACTGAGACTGCACAATATTTAACTTATCTCTCAGCATAATTATAAATGCACTATCAATTGCGAGTTCACATAACGATTCATAGTTTTATATCCTATTGATAATATGGTTTTTCTTGATATTTCATTTGCGTAGACTCCTCTACTTAATGTGTATCTTTGGAGTTGCAGATCAAGGAGTCGTCCAAGAAGAGCAACAAGCAGATCATCCGGGGAGAGAAATTCGATTAGTAAACCTGAAACTCCTCACAAGGGTTGAAAGTTTCTAGAAGATGACTGTTGAAGCAGCCACAGAGCTTTAAAATGCTCCATCCTTATGACATTTTCGATCTGAAGGTTTTCTTTAAAATATGCAAACTCTTTTGAGATACTAGAATATTGTTTGGTAGAGGGAGAAGATGAAAAGGAATGATCAAAATCCGAAACTGTGTTGGTGAGTTTTTTTACCTGTCTTTGTTTCTTTATCCATATCCAGAATTTGGAATAGGTATGAATTGTTAGTTATATATAGAGGAATGGTCTTGAAATGTATAAATTTCTTTGCCCTTTTAACAAGTCCAGTTTCCTGAAATGATAAGACTATGAATTTCTGTTTGAATTAACAATTTGTTCTTGCCAGATTGAGATTAGTTGATAATAGATTAAACTTGTGAAATTATTTAGTAACGTCGCCAAGCCTATCAACAAAGCCCGTCTAGCTCAGTTGGTAGAGCGCAAGGCTCTTAACCTTGTGGTCGTGGGTTCGAGCCCCACGGTGGGCGTTTCTTTTATAAACTATGTTTTTTGGGGCTATCTCAGAAAATATAGTGTTTTAGTGTTGCAACTCACACCAATACAGCCACACGGCAATTATAACAACAAACTCCACGATTTTAAAAGGAACGATACCGATAGATGCATTGAATATTAATATTCACACTTGTAAAGGAACAAAACCTAATTGAAAAAGGCCGAAACTAACGAAACACACGCATTTAGTGAAGCTTTCTCACCAAACTTGAAAACAGTTTTAAGTAGACATCATTTATGTATGTATAGATCGTAGTAGGTACAATAACTTGTTATTAGTTGTTACCAGTACCAACCATGAAACAATCTCCTTCTCTTTCGTTCTACTATATATGTCGTCCTAAATTTACCATGCAGACGTAGTAAATATGCTGGAAAAGAAATCACTCTCCATAATCAGTTTTCTTATCCACAAAAATTATATATTTGGAATTCTTGATATCTTGAAAATTTTGATCCGCTCCATTGATTTTTTTTTTTTTTAAACAATAAATATGCATGTGAGCTTAAGAAACGCATTTACAACACGTCATAATAACTTTACAATAATTCAAGGACATGGGGTAGTGGTTGTCAGGTTTCATATAATCTGAACTACTTCAATGAGTTTATACTCTAAAACTAATCCAAGAAAAAAGGCTTTATTGAAAATTAATAATATTAGGGTTGCTCACTCATATTTTGTGTGTTAACGATTTTTTTTTCTTATTCTATACGTTTGGTTCACTGTTCCGCTAACACGAGAATATAATTTCATTCCGTAGGTATTTAAGAAAATAATGAAAAAACTTAAGCAATTCAATTTTTTTGTCCATAATGATTCTAAATGAAAATTTGCAATAAATATTTAGGAAAATATTATATATAACCAAAAACTAACAATCTTATTAAAAAAAATGCGTTCCGTTTTAAATACTAAAAGATGAGAAATATACAGTAAAGAGATAAGATATCATTTGTGTTTTACTAACAAAGTTACAAAAGAAAAAGAAAAAAAAAACACAGAAAGATTGAGGACCCAATTTGGCGGACTCATCAATGGGGAAAAAAAAAAAAAGAAACGTACCAAACCAAGCTCTCTTTTTTTTGGAAAATATTGAATAACAACAAAATAGACGAAATTTAAATTCTTTGACATCTGTGTGCATTTAAAATAATTTGTACACCATCCTCATATACATATAGGGTCCTCAAAACATACTCAAGCCACACACGTTATGATCACTCTTGTACTATGAGTTTAACTCCTAAATAGTGCTATACATAAAGTGATAAAACACACAAGTTAATCCAGAATAACACAACAGTCTCACGCAAACATGATCCCTTATGGCACTGTTGAAGAGGCGTCCGTGGCTTTAGGACGTAACCTGACTAGGCTCGAGACGGCTTGGTTCGATTACTCAGCCACCAAGTCCAATTTCCATGTATATTGCCACACCATTTTGCTTCTCTTCCTCGTCTATTCCCTCGCTCCTCTCCCTCTTGTGTTTGTGGAATTGACCGGCTGGTTCGAACAGTACAAGATTCAGCCCAAGGTTAAGTATTCGTTGTCTGAAATGTTCCGATGTTATAAACAAGTCATGAAGTTGTTCCTTCTTGTCGTCGGCACATTGCAAATCGTTTCTTATCCTTCGCTCCAGGTTAATTATTACCATTTTATATTTCATTTATTCATTAAAAAATACCCTAAGATATTATATTATTTGATATATACATGTGTATGTGTATAGTATTCCCTATTTTTAGTGTTAGTCTTGCAACTTTTTATGTGTGAATTTCAGTTATAAACTTTTATGCTAAATTTAGGGTCATGTAAAGCAAACTGCAAAAGAATCTATTAGGTGATGTCAAAAAAAAAAACTATTAGGTAAAAGTCTCTTTTTTTATTATTGACACATGTAGATTTTGCCATTTGTAAAGAGATAAAATATAATTTTACACGTCACACGTCATATTTGAGTTTTGTTTTGTTCCATTTTCAAGGTTTAGTGTTGATTATTTAGTATGTATTTAATTTTTAAAAATTTATATGTAGAGAATTTTTAAGTGGCAAAAAATGGCAAATCTACAAAGTTATTAAAGAAAATGGCTAATCTATAATATTTAAGTGAAAAAGCATTTTTTCTTACAATAATCCTAACCGTAAATTCAAATGTCATATTAACACATGTATGCATATTCCCCTTGTTTTCAGATTTTGGATTTTATTTGCTACATTTTTTTTGTTTTGTTAATGATGATGTTCTTAAACTATATGTACTCAAAAGTCAAAAGGAAGATTAATGTATATGTTTATGTCAATTTACAGATGGTAGGGATTCGAAGTGGTTTGCCATTACCATCGTTAATGGAGATAGTAGCACAGCTAGTGGTTTACTTCTTGATAGAAGATTACACTAACTACTGGCTGCATAGATGGTTGCATTGCAAATTGGGTTACGAGATGATTCATCGAATCCATCACGAGCACACATCGCCGATCGGATATGCATCGCCGTATGCACATTGGGGAGAGATCTTGATCCTTGGGATCCCAACGTTTCTTGGACCCGCGATTGCTCCTGGCCACATTATCACCTTTTGGTTATGGATAGCTTTACGCCAAATAGAGACCATTGAGACTCACAGCGGGTAAAGCTTAGAAAAGATCTACAGTATAATGTCTTAGGATATCTTTTGAAAATTGTGAACGTGTTATCTTTCATAAGTGCAAAGATATATATTTGACCTCTGAAACTATATATAATGTCACTATCGAAACAATGTTGTTTATAACAAAAAAAAGAAAAATGCACTTGTTTATTTTGTTTGCAGATATGATTTTCCATGGACTCTGACAAAATTAATTCCATTTTATGGTGGAGCTGAGTATCATGACTACCACCACTACGTTGGAGGACAAAGCCAGAGCAACTTTGCTTCAGTTTTCACGTACTGCGATTACATCTATGGAACTGACAAGGTGAGTGAGTGTTGAACAAACTTCAGTGAAATCAATTCTTGTTACTTGCTTGCATATTTTTTTCAACTAAACATTGGCCAATGTGTTGATATACATATTAGGGCTATCGAATCCATAAGAAGCTTCTTCATCAGCAGGTTAGCTTTTTATATATAGCTTCATATATGTGTGGTCTTCTTCATAGTTTATTTTATTTACGAAAAGTGAGTTTTTCTCTTCTTCTTTTGGGGCGAATCTTATACGTTGAAGATCAAAGAGCAAGCTGAGGAGAAGGGTGGAACGAAATTTGATTAGTACTTTTTAAAGAGGGTTGAAAAGTCTCAACAGGTTGAGATAAGAATAAATAAAATGTAAAAATAAAGTATTATATGATCTATATTGTCGCTCTCTAACAATGATTAAAATATATATATTTTAAAAATAATATATATGAACCTTTAAGGGTATCTAATGAATGAAAATGCTCTTAGCCTTTCGTTGTACTCTTCCTTTCATGTTTCTTTGTTTTTGAATTATTGATCAATATTATATTATAATCGTGTAAATGATTATACATTCTAACTCCAAAACATTGTGTTGTACATAATAAACAAAAAATAATAATCTAGACACAATAATCTCTTCTGAATATGATCCCTTATCCAACCGTTGAAGCGGCGTCCGTGGCGTTAGGACGAAACCTGACCTGGTTGGAGACGGTTTGGTTCGATTATTCAGCTACCAAATCCCATTTCTATGTATATTGCCACACCATTTTGCTTCTTGTCCTCGTCTTTTCCCTCGTTCCTCTCCCTCTTGTTCCTGTGGAGTTGACTGGTTGGTTCCATCGGTATAAGATTCAGCCCAAGGTTAAGTTATCTGTATCTGATATGGTCAGGTGTTATAAAGATGTCATGAAGCTGTTCATTCTCGTCGTTGGCACATTGCAAATCGTTTCTTATCCTTTGATCCAGGTTACTATAGTTTTATGTTCTTATTTACTAATTAATTGAAACAAACGAACCAATCTTAAGTGTTAATTTTGCAACATTTTAATAGTTTATCGTTTAGTTTTAATCTTCTCCGGCTGTTTTTTTTTAGTTAAACACATGACCCATTATTTTTGGGAAATTCGAACGTTACAAATTGTGATGTTCTTGAAATATATATACTCAAAAGGAGATTGTATATGTGTTAATACACAGATGATTGGGATTCGAAGTGGATTACCATTACCATCTTGTTTGGAGATAGTAGCACAATTAGTGGTATACTTCTTGATTGAGGATTACTCTAACTACTGGATTCATAGATTGTTGCATTGCAAATGGGGTTATGAGATGATTCATCGAGTCCATCACGAGTACACATCTCCGATCGGATATGCCTCCCCGTATGCGCATTGGGCCGAGATTTTGATCCTTGGGATTCCGACCTTTCTTGGACCGGTGATTGCTCCCGGACACATTTTGACCTATTGGTTATGGATAGCTTTACGTCAAATCGAGGCCATTGAGACTCACAGCGGGTAAACATTGTCCTGATCAAACACAAACTCGAGAAACACAATCATAAATATTTGGATTTTGAAAATTCTGGACTATAATATATGTCACAATTGGAGTATATGTGGTTTTATTACAAAAATGAAACTTTTCATATTATTGCAGATATGATTTTCCATGGAGTCTAACAAAGTACATTCCATTTTATGGTGGAGCTGAGTATCATGACTATCACCACTGCGTTGGAGGACAAAGCCAAAGCAACTTTGCATCGGTCTTCACTTACTGCGACTACATATATGGAACTGACAAGGTGAGTGAGTGTTGAACAAACTTGACAATGAAATATCAAAACTTTGTTCCTTGCTATGAAATATTTATCAACTCTTGTTCCTTACATTTATATTAATAAGCATTGACCAGTATTGTTGTTACTCTACGTTTATGTAATTAGGGATATCGAATCCATAAGAGGCTTCTTCATCAGCAGGTTTAACATTCTCAACTTCAGATCATTAGAGTTAGCTTATTAGCTTCATAATTGTGACCTTATCCACGGTTCATTTATTTTTGTTCTAGGTTAAAGAGGAAGCTCAAGAGAAGAAGAGAGGAATGAATTAAGATTGATAAAGATTAACAATAATGTTTTTTATTAAAATTTTAATTTCATTGACGGTTCATTATGACGGTCGCCATAATGTTTTTATTTAATGCGTATTATTTACTTAGTTATTGTATTGGTTAATTAGGATCTACTCTTATTTAGTAATAAAAGACCACATTAATGAGATACTAATTGTTTATTTAATTTTTGGGGGCAAAATATAAAATAAATTGTTCTTCTTTTTTTTTTTTGTAAACAAGGAAAATTATCCATGAAAATCAAATAATTTTTCAGCTCAATTTCACCCAAAAGTTTATAAAATCTCTTCCTCAATTCAATAAGGGTTTGCTTCATATTTTTTCTCCGACCAAAAGATTCTGTCTTTTATATTTTCTGAAGAACTCCGACAATGGCGTGGAACGTATTCAAGTTCTGTACAGCACTTCGTGCCTTAGGTTCGATTATGATCGTAGTTGTCATCGGGATCATCGGATTCACATACTACGCCGTCGTCGTTGCGAATTACGGACCTTCTCTATTGATCGGTGGTTTCGATTCGTTAGTAGCTCTTCTGGTTCTTGCTTTGTTTCACTTCCTGGTAAGCTCAATTTCTCCTTCTTCTTCTAGGTCAATCTTAAATTTTGAATCTTTTGTTTGTTACCCTTTTGAGATCTTTGCTTTTGATACCCTCTAGATCTCTGATATGTATATACTTGATCAGCTGGTTGGATTATGCCTTGGTTGTTAAAAGTTGTAATCTTTTGGGTTCTTTTAGATTTCACCAGTTTACACAGCTTGGCTTTACTTTGATGATATTGAGTCAAAGTTTTGCTTTCTTGTATACTAGTTTGAAGCTATACATGGAGATAATGTAACTTATATGTTGGTGTTTTGCCTTTTCAGTATCGTATCGGATTCGTATTACATATACTAGAATCTAAATTTGGGCATTAGTTTCTTTGTGTTTTTTTTTTGTGGTAATATGCTCAATCTAGCTGGTTGTGTGGATTTAGATTTATGACGGTTGGATTTCAAGTACCAGTTATGGTATCTTTCACTTCTTGTAATACAGATGGCAATTGAATTAGGAAATCATGGATTCTATAGGCTAAGCAAGCAAGCAATCAAGTAGTCATCTTTTTTTTTTTTTGGTTTAGCAATCAAGCTGTTGGTTTCTCATGTCTTGTAATAGATTATCTACGTTTGAACTTCTATGGAGAAATAATAAGGATGCAAGGACTCATTGTTGATGATTGTTGTCTTCTGTGCAGCTTGTAATGCTATTGTGGAGTTATTTCTCTGTTGTTGTGACGGACCCTGGTGGTGTTCCAACGGGTTGGAGGCCAGAACTAGACATAGAGAAAAGCGATGGAAACCAACATTCGACTGGAGTAGCTAACCAGGCACCTTCGGTTGGAGATTCCTCGTCTCATGGTGTAAGATACTGCCGAAAGTGCAATCAATATAAACCGCCTCGTTCTCACCATTGTTCAGTATGTAAGTCCCATCAATGTGTGATTATTTTCTTGGAATCCAGCGGAGTATCTCTTTTTCTAGTTGTGAAAAAAGCTTTCATCTTGGGGTTTCAGGTGGAAGATGCATACTAAAGATGGACCATCACTGTGTTTGGGTTGTAAATTGTGTTGGGGCAATGAATTACAAGGCTTTTCTCCTATTCTTGGTATGTCCACTTATCATACCATCACTGAATGAAGTTGAATTTGGCTTACAATTATAGTTACGTGATTATACATGGATATGATTTGAACTTTAGTCTTGTGATGATTGTTGAAACGAGGGAAATGCAAGTAGTTTCTTCTGTTGTGTTTAATACTAACTGATTCACTTTAGATCCATGCTTCTGATGTTTATTGACACAACCCATCCTTCCACATGTACCGCAGATTTTCCTGAACTATTTCCTTATACACTATCAATCTTGATATGTTCTGTTCATTAATGTCGCCATGATCTAATGCATTCCCAATATGTTAAAATGCAGTTTTACACATTTCTTGAGACAACAGTGGTTGCAATATCACTATTGCCAGTTTTCCTCGTATTCTTCAGTGATGGAGATGGTGACATAACCGTTTCACCAGGAAGCCTAGCAGCCACCTTTGTTGCATTTGGTGAGTTCAAAGATATATATCTCAATTTGCTTGTTTGTTTCAGAACACCTTGATGTTACCACTTCTTCTATCTGATTCAAAACCTTCCCTCGCTTGTTTGCCAGTATTGAACATAGCATTTGCGCTCAGTGTCCTAGGCTTCCTAATTATGCACATAATGTTGGTCGCTCGTAACACCACAACTATTGAGGTAAAACAACTCTCACTTGGTTTTGCTCTTAACTTGGTGTTTCTCAGGGATCTCCGTGCATGCTTAGGTAATGGCAATAAACTCACTGACTAAACTAATGGGTTATTATTATTTTTATCTCAGGCATATGAGAAGCATACAGTTAACTGGCCTTACAACCTTGGTCGTAAGACAAACTTTGAACAGGTTTTCCCTCCATCAACTTTGTCCGCCTCAAAAACTCTGCTTTTATGGTCGATTCTCTGAGTTAAAACAAGTAGTTTCCGGCTAGTGAAATGAAATCATTGGACATATACACAATAAAAGATTTGACAAGTTTGTTTCTTTCTTTTGTTGAATCAGGTATTTGGAAGGGATAAAATGTACTGGTTCGTGCCATTGTACACTGAAGAAGATATGAAGAAGTTGCCATCACTTGGAGGGTTAGACAATGCGAGCAGGTCGGAGACAGAGCCACTTCAGTTGCTATGACCTTATAAACTTGAAAATTTTGGAATTAATTGAACTCTGCTTTGTGTATGTATCAATATACCTTTGTCTTGTGTATTACAGATTAGTGCCTTTTCTTGTGGAATATATATCTCTTTCTTCTTTCGTGCAAAGAAACGTCTTTCTCAAGTATCTTTACACACAGCAAACATATGTTCCTTTGATTTCTCTATAGATAATAATAACCATCATGCATTGATGATATCTATCTTCATTACTGCTAAGTCCAAGTGTTACATCAAATAGCAGTAGATATATCATATATAGAAATAGAATCACCACTCCAACTCCAATGGTTGTAAATCTCACACTATACCAGCCTTGCACAACTGAGACTTACTAATGATTTCTTCTTTTTTTTTTGGTCAAAGTACTAATTAATGATTTAACTAAAGGAAAACAATTAAAATTAAAATTAAAATTAAATTATGCCCATGTTTAGAAATAAATCCTTGGAAATATTACATAAATGGTATGCCTGTAATAATTAACTAATAATATCATGACAACTGTAATTACAGATTACAGTTTTGAGAAGGTGTTATCACATTACACAATATATAAAAAAAGAGTTAAAAAGACAATTGTCTATTTCCCCAAAAAAATTTGCTCTGAGATTTTTGGAAAAATCTGAAATCATTATTCAAGGTATCATCTTTGAATCACTATCCTCTTTGGTTTTGGTTTTGTAACTGTAAACTTCTCAACTTTTTGGAGTTTCTTGGTTATATTGTAGTGATTGTTAGGGCTTGAAATTGAAAGATTTTGTGTGTGTGCGCGTGTGTTTACAGTGAACCTGAAGAAGTGGAGATGGACGCCAAATCAACGAAGTTAACAACCCGTAAGGTAACACACACCACTAAAACCAAAACAACTTTACTTCACACACACTTCAACTTTCTTACTCAGAGATCTTATGGATAAATCGTTAGGGTTGAATTTGCACCTGTACTTTCTCATATATAATCTTAAGGTCTTGGTCTTGTTTTTTTTTGTTTTCATAGATAAAAGCTCATCAATCTATTGAAGATAAGTTTTGCTAAATCCGTTGGTAACCAGATAGATATTCATCTTAAGGAATTATGCTTTCAAAACCCTCTTTGCCTAATCAATGCATGTGCTGCTATGTTGTGAAATCATTTAGTTATCTTCTTCTTTGGTTCTTGTTCTCAGAGATGCTTGTCAATATATAGCTTTTTCTATAAGAAGAAGTCTTTCCTATGTTATATATATCTTTTGTTGAAACATCTTTTCTATCTACGGTTTGTCTTGAAAGTGTTTGTGTTCTCTAGGCATGTTTTCTCGTCTTGTCATAGATTAGACAAGCTGTGTGATCAACTTTTTTTTTGGATTTCAACCTCTTGTAGCATGGTTCTTGTCTGATTCTATTTATCCAAGTAGCTTGTGCGTATGTGAGTGTGGTTCTCCTTTTCACAGAGATTCCATATTTTTATTGTGCAGAGAGAAGCTAGTACTTCTTCAAAGAGGGGTACTATTGATACCTACGCTGTGCAGTGTGAAACATGCTTGAAGTGGAGAAAGCTTGATAATCAAGAAGAGTACGAGGAGCTCAGGAGTAGAATACACGAGGAAAAGTTTGTGTGCAACCAGAAAGAAGGTATGTCCTGTGAAGACGATGCTCGAGAACTAAGATATGATACCTCCAGAACATGGTCCATTGACAAGAATGGTTTGCCTAAGACACCAAGAGGGTTCAAGAGGATGTTAATTATGAGAAAGGACTACTCGAGATGGGATGCGTACTACGTAGCTCCTACTGGGAAGAAGTTCAAGACTCGCGCTGAGATTGAAGCCTTCATTGAGGCCAATCAAGAGTATAAGTATGCAACGCTTGGAGATTTCAATTTCATAGTCCCAAGGGTGGTGCGAGACACTGTCCCTAGTGGCATACCTGTCAAGAACCCCAAACCATCCAAGAAAAGCGTCTGAGTCTACAAGCTTCTTATGCTGTTGAAGGTGTTCTCGGAGTGATTTGGGATCTCTATATATGTTGTATCTGGTTTACTCTTTTAAGGGGTTTAGTTGGACTTTTGAATGTTCTTTGAAACCCATATGCATTTGACTCTAATAAAGGATGACATTTCCTAATTCTCTTTTCGTTATGTTTCACAAGTCTAGCATGAGTCGTCGCTCCTTTGTATATATTAATCAACTAGATGATATTATCAAAAAATGGAAACTCAGAATATTCTCTCAGTGTGTAACCACAACGAAGTGTTTCTATAGTAGACTTGTTGAACCTAAGCACCGTACCATAGTCTAGCTTTGTGTTCTCAAGCAGCATGTAAATACTCCAAGCTCACCCTCTGCTCTAAAAGTCTCCATATACTGAAACTGGCCCGTACTCTTACACAAGCATTGATTTACACACAGATGCTTTAAGATTATGTAATCTGCATGGTTTCTTTATTGAGTATGTCTGCAACGCCAGGTCGATCTCAAATGTAGAGTAAGAGCAAAATGGACTTACGTATCTTTTTTTCAGTTGATATTGTGGGCTCTTCGTTATCTTTAACATATAACTTAAGATAGTAAAATGTTATTTTTAGTATAGGGAAACATTATCTATCTATACATTAAATAGATTTAACAAAGATAGTAAAAATATTAAAAGTTATGCCACGTTTAGACATAAATCTGTGACTTTAGAAATAAAGAAGAGCAAAGAGCAAAATTACAGGACCGGTGTCCGAGCCCAAACCATTCAGCCAATCACAACGCGACTTCTGTAAAACACAGAGTTCCTGAAGATAAATAACAATTCTCAGTTCTTACAACAATATTTATAACTCGAGACTCGAGCTCTCTCTCTCTCTCTCGTCTTTCGAATTTTGTTTGTAAAATCCCGATCGTTGTTTGATTGAGGTATGTCGATGATCTTTTCGATCAATCTCTTCCAATTTTGTTGTTTGATTATGGTTTTGTGTTTTTGAGATACTCAATTTGGGGTTTTCTCGTTAGGGTTTTGTAATTTTTGTTTCATTTTTCCGATTTGGAATTAGCTAAGATACTCTTCTTTTGTAGTTTGGTGAGTTGTGGTCTGGAATTTGAGATTTTTTTTTGTTTTCATTTGATGTTGTTGTCTGGATAGCAATTTTGATGAACATGTAAATTTACAGATTACTGGAATATAATATGTGATATCGTGTTTGATTACATATACTACTACTTCCTTGATCTTCATGTTATTGTAAACTTGTTTGCTTTCTCTCATGGATTATGTTATTTGTTTTGTTTGGTAGTGTGTAGTTGAGTTATCCAGGGAAGATGAGAGGAGGTGGTAGAGATCCTTTTGGTGGTTTTGGAGGAGGCCCTTTTGGTGGTTTTGGAGGTGGCCCTTTTGGCGGATTTGGAGGAGGCTCTTTTGGTGGATTTGGAGGAGGACCATTAGGTCCTCCAAATCTAATGTCTGGTCTTTTCGGAGGAAGAGATCCGTTTGATGATCCTTTCTTCACCCAGCCTTTTGGTGGTGGTGGCATGTTTCCTTCCAACTTCTTTGGTCCCAGCATGAATCCTTTTGCGGAAATGCCTCGTCCTTCGGGTTTTCTTCTCAACAATCAGCCACCAGCACCGCGTATATCGCGTGGACCAATTATCGAAGAGATTGATTCGGATGACGAGAAAGAAGAAGGAGAAGAAGGGAGAACGAGTCTTGGGAAACATGGTAGGTCGAGCAGTGAGGCGGAAACTGAAGATGCTAGAGTGGAAGGTGATACTTCTTTTTGTTTTCTTTGTTGTCTACCTTAGTTATGAAGGGGGATAGAATTTGATTGTTCTTTGGAACTGACTGTGTTTTGTGTTTGCTGTAGAGAGAAGGAACCGACATTTGCAAAACATGAATGCTAATGCGGAGAGAAGGAACACACAAGTGCAGAACATGAATGTGAATGCTATGGTGAACAATGGACAATGGCAACCACAAACCGGGAGCTATAGTTTTCACAGCTCGACTGTTACATACGGTGGTCAGAACGGCAACTACTATACTTCATCCAAGACCAGAAGAACAGGAAGTGATGGGGTAAGTTATTCACTTATACTAGTAATATATTTATATGTGTGTGTGTAAGAATGTTAGCTTATGCTTACTACTAAAACCGGTCTTATTGTGAAACAGTTAACTCTTGAAGAAAGCAGAGAGGCCAACACCGCAACGCGGGAAGCATCGCATAGGATTTCGAGAGGTCTTCATAACAAGGTAGTTTATAGTTTTATACATTCATAGCTGAGGATAATGAAATAGTTATCTTGCTTTGTTGGATCATATATAAGTGATCTTCTTATGCTTCCAGGGCCACACAGTTGCGCGTAGACTTAACTCAGATGGTCGTGTTGATACAACACAGACCTTGCACAATTTGAATGAAGGTAAGTAACACTCTCTCTTTAAGCTTCAGAAATATTCTATTGTTGATGAGAGATCCTTATATACCGTTTGCTTTCAATTGCAAAATTCTGCAGATGAGTTGGCTGGTTTTGAACAGACTTGGAGTGGAAATGCTAGAAGGCAAATGCTATTACCTGGTCGTTCTGGTTCCTTTGGCAGTAAGTATTCAAAATTACACCTTTTTTGTGTTGTACCTTCCTCTGGAAACACAGAGAAATCATTTCTTTGATTTTCTTACAGGTGGTCTGGTAAACAGAGAGCAACCAATGTTGCTTCCTTCGACTGATCCAAGTCCTTCTCATGCACAAGCAGAACCACCCCGGAGAACAAGAGGACATGGCAGAAACTAATCTAGGACGATATGTTCGGTTTCTAAAGGCTTTAGTGCATGTAACCAAAGACTTATTATTTTACTTAGGTTGCATCATTATTATAACTTGTATGATGACCTGAGGATGAGGGTTTTAATACTGCTCTCCTTGATGATAATTATATGTATCCTTTGGTACATTAATCAGTTCTTATTTTCAATTTTACAAAACTCCTAAATAATGGTTATGACTTATATGAGTGTGCTTCATAATTTGTTTTGGCTGTTCTTTTGTTGAAAATATACTACAAACTTTTTGAAAATCATACTTAAAGATATATAACAAAATCGTTTAACATGTATATTTGATATCCCAATAAAGTCAGGCTAGTGTTGTTATTTGTCTTTTCCCTTTGATAAAGTTGTAATGACTTTGGATTATCTTTATAATTCAACCGAACCAAAAAAACAAAAGTTTTCAATTTACTACTTTTGGAACAAAATAGACACCTTCCACAAAATACAAAATAGAAGGAAAAGTAAACGAATACAAAATCGAATATATTGTAGAAACGTACCACTTTATTCAAGGCATTTATAGTTAAGGTCTTAAGGAGAGCATAAGCAACAATGACGAAGTCAACACAACAAGATAAGTTAGTAATAGCCTTTCTCTTTGTTATTCTACCAAGGAAATATAAATAAGCTTAAGCATTATTGATTGGCGAAACATAAACACCAATTTGTCCAATAGAAAATCTAGATGACTTGCCATGGAACCCAACAATCTTGTGACTAGCTTCTCCCAACACAAACGATGTGCCCACATTCTCATAACCGTCTGTATAGGCTTTTAACACTTGATATGTAGCCTTGTTTGTCTTGAACTTAAGCATCGTTATACCAATGTACCCAGTGCCATAGTGTCCATGAACAGATGTGATGTATTCATCTTGAGAGAGCAAGATCTACAGTGACAAACGAAAAGACAAAATATAAAATTACATATATGAAACATTAGGTTTGGGTAATAGTTAATTTGAGAAGAGTGAAACGAGAGACATTTTCTTCTACGAACGGAAACTCGGAAGTATCACCGTGAGGTTCTCCTGATACAATCTCCGTTCCATTGACGTACTTAAACTTGACCATCTCCACAGACTCATGGTCTTGTTTTACTTTTATCTTACAAACGTTGTCGTGGATACCATCATCCCACTCGTCCCCGAAGTTCCCACCTCTTGCTTCTAGTTTTTTGACCGGAGGAGTTATCATCACCGCGAAATGTGCTCCGAGAGCATTGAGACGGTCAGGGAAAGACCTTCCTTGGAATCCGACAAGCTTATCAAACCCTTTTGCTTCTAGGACAAATCTAGTACCAACCGCTTTTCCAAATTCCTCACGGTCTCTCTCCACTGATGTTATGAAGGTTAAAGACGATATGAAACCACCTTCATCGTCGTAAGTTCCCTCCACGGATTTGATATATTCGTCATTTTCATAGTCAAGCACAAACTGCAAAAAGAAAAAAAAGGATTCATTAAACAAAAGATATAAAAAAGAATATGAATACAAGAAATCAAGATAATGTACCTCTTTACGTTGCTGTAATTTGTTGCCGTGAGAGAGAGTTATCAATTGGTTTCCCTTACCATACTCGATTTCAAGAGAGCTAACACGATCACTATCTTCTCCAACACACATTTTCCTCACAATGTCGTAAACACCATCATCAAATTCGTCTCCACTGTCACCACCGAAAGATCTCACTTTCTTTGACATTGTTATCCTAAAAGATTCACAAAACGTTGTTGAAGCAAAATAAAAAGTCAAGAACGGGAAGTAAATTCCAACAATATATAAATGAGAGGATCGAGACTTCATAAACATATATATATATATATATATGGAAGGAGAAATTAAAAAGAAGAGAGGTTGGTTTGTGACCTCTTTATCGCAGCTTTTCTGATTCTAGGAAGAAATGATGAAAGATTGAAAGTGATGAATGAGTCTGGTGGGTGTGTATGTGCATGTATATATATTGAAAGGATTTGGTACGTACACCGCTTGATATGTTACGTAACTACAATAATACTATTATTCTACAATTTTGTCATTTATTTTTGATATTTGTAAAATATTATGAGGTTAGAGAGAGTTGTAGAAAGATTTTTGATTTTTGGTTGGTTATCACTAGTTTTCTTATAATACCACTTGAGAGAGATATTCCTATGAATACTCATGAGTTTTATTTTTATTTTTGTTTTTTGCATGTTACAAATGATTTTTAAAATATATGTTTAAGAATATGAATGAGGCCATCATGCCTATGTTTAATGGCATCTAGTGTGTTAATAAATGTATGCAGGATTAAAGAATTAGTATATATAACATAACACACATATCGTGTAAAAATAACAGATTATGGGAAAATTAAGTACCAATACAAGTCAAGTCACCAAAACTCTCAATATGTCCATCTTTCTATTTTCTATATTTGAAGATTATGGAAAAGTAATAACCAAGTTTTTACAGTCGTAATCCACGCATACTCGCATATTACATGACATGATATACAACACGTCACAATTAGTCCACTAATAATTTGATTCTCATTTTGCTGCAATTTCTTTTTTTCTTTTTCTCATTGTAGTCGTAGAGTCATATAAAGACCATTTCTGTTTATAGAAAATAGTTAAATACCACAACGAGGTTAGCGTACAAAATGAATGAATGTGTCTACTGTCTACTCTCACTTTTTTTTTTGTTTTTTCTTGGCAATCTCTCTCACTTTTTTCTGTTTCTTTCGAATAAATTGTTTCTGGCGGGCGATTCGAGACTGATATTGTCGGTGGAGTGACTAGAGAGGCCTATTGTGGATCACATGTTTAACAAGTCGGATATATACTCATTCCTCGTACGTTACGAAGTCAAAATCATGCGTGGACAAAAGACAAAAGTAAGTGGCTCATTACTTTTTGGATTTGTCATTTTCTCTCTTGTCTGAAAAGAGATATTGAAGACAACTATTTCGTTGTTATTTCCGTATTTGAAAACAAATTACTGTAGATGACAAAAAAAGAAAACAAATTCCTGTTCGTATTGTGAACGATTTACAATTTTAGTAACCGTTTCTATTTCTAAAAAGTAGTTTAAATTTTATTGAAATTCATGCTTTTGATGCAACTTGCAAGAAACTTCGTAACTGTTTAGGTGAAAAAGTTTTCCACTTTGTGAATAATTGATTCTTACAATTTAAAAATCAGATTGCAATGAAGCATTGAAATACAATGTAGATAAATAATGAAACTCTGTAAGAATATAAAGCAATGAATCAAACTTCAATTTCTTTTTGGAAGAAAAAATGATAACTGGTGTAAATATTTATTCAAATTTAAGAGCCATAAGGCATACTGAAGGAGAAGGAGAGTACTAGGAGACCATGACAATAACATAATAAGGTAATTTAGGAGAGTCTAAACATATATAATAACTTTAAGGGTTACCTATTGGCTTGACGTAAACACCAATTTGTTTAAGAGTATCATATGCAGACCTGCCATGGAACCCAACAATCTTGTGACCTTCCATCCCCAGCACAAACGATTTGCCCTCATACTCGTAATCTTCACTTTCTTTTCCCAACACTTGATATGTACTCATGTTTGTGTTGAACTTAAGCATCGTAATGTACTTGTATCCAATCAGTTTAGTCACTTCACGCGACGGTCCAGAGAGTCTCAGTTTTTGACCGTAGTGTCCTTCAACGGATGTGATGTATTCATCTCCAAACCAAAGCTTAAACTACCAAAACAACATAACATTATGTTTATATAAAAAAATGTTCGTTGGTTAATTTAAGTTCGAGAATAGAGCAAAGCATATACCTCTTCTGTCTCATCAGTCGAGCTGATCTTCACGTGATCGCCTCCTTGAACAGTTTGGTACTTTCCATTGACGTACTCAAACTTGACCGACTTCACTACAGCGTGCTCGGTTGTTACTATTATCCTGTAAACACTGTCATGAAACCCATCATCCCACTCGCAACCATGTTCCCCACCTTTTGCTTCTAGTTTCTTCACGGGAGGAGCTTGCACCACAGCAAAATTTGCTCCGAGAGCAGTGATACGATTAGCGGAAGACCTCCCACGGAATCCGACAAGCTTATCATACCCTTCTGCCATGAGGACGAATTTAGTACCAACCGCTTTCCCAAACACCTCAGAGTCTCTACCCAGTGATGTTTTGAAGGTTAAAGACGAAACGAAACCATATCTATCGCAGAATCCCTCAACGGACTTAATGTATTCGTCTTTTCCATAGTCCAGCACAAACTACAGAACATGTGTAACATTAAGTAGTGAATAAAAAAAGAACATGAAATTCAAGAAACCAAAATGTATGTATGTATTTACCTCTTTACGTTCTTGTAGCTTTTTGCCGTGACGATGACTTATCAGTTGATTTCCATTAGCATATTCGAATTCAACAGAGCTTAAACGACCACCATCTTCTCCAACGCGCACTTTCCTCACACAGTCGTACACTCCATCGTCCCAAGAGACCCCAAGGAGCGCACCATGAGGCTCTAGTTGCTTAAAATCAGAAGAAACGAAGATAAAGTGAGCTCCAATACCGCAAAGAAATTCACCAAACCGACCATGGAGCCCGACAAGTTTCGTTCCGTTTTTGCCTTCTAACACGAACTCCTTGCTAAGCAACCCGGGCGTACCAAACACCGGAGATGTTCTCCCGTATGATGTCTTGAACTGAATCTCCGATACTGCATATTTATACCTTGGATCCTCACCAGATTTTGAAGTTGGTACAGTGAATTTTTCAAATGGAGGTACTAACTACAAAAAACAGAGCGAAAACAAAAAATAGAAAACAGAGCAATTAACAGATTCGTACAGCCATAGCAAAACAGAGTTAAAACAGAGCAATTAACAGATTCGTACAACCACAGCAAAACAGAGTTAAAACAGAGCAAAATAAAACAAGCACCTTGAATTTACTCAGGTCCGCGCAACTGGCGACGGTACGAGTCCCATAAATGTAATCATCTCTAACAGTTCCCCAGATCGATGTGATGTATTCATCTGGGTAGTTAACTTCAAACGCGGTCTTAAACGGAGAGAAATAACAGAGCACACAGAGCAAATTTTAAAAGCAAAGAAGATATATAAAACACGTAGAGAAAAGAGAATAATGTACAAAATATGTAAAGACAGACCTTTGTTAGTCTTCCTGTATTTTTCCCGTGTTCTCGTTGCACGACCGTTCCATCTTTCACGTACTCCATCTTGATATAGCCGATCCCCTGACAGCATTCTCCGACAATCACTTTCCTTACATAATCGTTAACACCATCGTCGAACAAGTCTCCACTGATGCCACCGTGATCTGGCACTCTTGTTGTCATTGTTTCTCCTGAAAATATTCAAGATTGGTTTTCTAGTATCAAAGAGCAAACTCAAGAACAAGGAGCAAAAATGTATAGATGAGAGTAGAGACTCAAATAAAAAAAGGGAATGTTAGGCGAAAACAAAACTAGAGAGAGTGATTTGTGACCTTTAGAAATTCTTAGCTCTTAGTCAAGGAATGTGTTTGTGTGAGTGATGAATGAGTTGTTGGGTTTATGTGTGTATTTATCCTGAAAATATTTTGGATGGATTTTTTTTTTTTTTTTTTCTCTTTCTACAATTTACTCATTTTCCTATATTTAGTGAAGAGTGTTGTAAGCTTAGAGATAATTTCTATGTAATTAATGGTGATATTCATGATTAAGTTACTAATGTTAATCCGTGACATTAAGACATATTCCAATTTGACTTTTTAAAAATGGGAATTAGTAAATACACGATAAAGATAAGAAAATTGAGCATGAGAAAAGACCATTTGTAACCGTTCGTTACAAGTCCATGAATCAAAAGATATGTAGACCTTAGTTTTAACATTACATGTTATCTAGTCAAACTATTAAAATCACAAAAGGCTGTAATAAAACAGAACATGACGGGACGACCAATATGCAACATATGAAATCCGAGTAAATTTACCTCCTTAGATCTCTTTCTTCGACTTCTAAATCCTCTCCAGCACCGGGATTCATTGTTGTTGTCTTCAGACTCAATACCCATTTCGAAATCAAGCCAAATAAAAAAACTCCCAAATCAACCCTAATCGCCTGTCTCGAGAGAGAGTATCGAGAGAGAAAGAGAGAAAGAAGAACATAATGAAAAACGACGTCATTTTAGGTTAAAATTTTGATTCTTATTTTCCATCTAAAACGACGTCGTTTCAAGATGTGTTATGTGGCAGATGACATGGAATCCACATCATCGATATTAGACAGATAATTAATCTTGTCAAACATTAAACATGTTCTTGTATTAATTAGCATGAAATGAAATCTTCAGCTACTAAATTTAAATTTTCAATAACCGCAAGAAGAATTTAGCATAATGGTAAATCAAATGTATGAAATTAAAGTAAGAAAACTTCACAGAAGAAAAAAAAAACTATCATGTAGTAGTTACTTTTATAAGTGAGATCTCATAGACTATTTAACATATAAGTGAGATCTCATAGACTAGTGGGAAAAATTCAATTTATAAACCGACCCGGTTCTTGGTCGTGTCTTCTTACCGTGCTCACATGATTTATTCCTATTGACCCGGTTCTTGGTCGTACTCATGTTCATTTATTTATATACATAAATTCAATTTATAAACCGACCCGGTTCTTGGTGGAGATAGACAAAACAAACAAAATCCAAACATACTATTTAACCGGAGAATTATACTACAACTCAAAAACAAACTTACTAACTACAAAACAGACTCATTCACTCTTTCCTCATACAGTTCATCTCCTGAAGCAATGTCTCTATATCAGGCCTATTGTTTGGTATCTCTTGTGTACAGCTTATCCCAATCCTCGCCATTGCAACCACCTCTGGTTTATCGAACGCTTCACGGAGATATTCATCGATGAACCCGTTGAGTTCTCCATTCCCAGCTGCAATTCTCAGTGAGCTTGTAAGCATGAGCTTCCCAGAGATTATCTGGAGTATGATGACTCCAAAGGCGAAAATGTCGGTTTTCTCGGTGAATTTTCCGGTTGTGACATATTCAGGAGCTAAATATCCCATTGCTGCACTTGTTTTGAGTGCTGAGAAGACCATATCATCTGCTAAAAGGTTGTGTAATCCCGAATCTGCAATTAGCGGGTTGAGCTGCTCATCGAGCAGGATTTTCTCGACAGATATGTTTCGATGAACTATTGTAGGCTTCTTCTGTTGATCACTTCCATGTAAGTAAGCAATACCTGCAAGAGATTTTTTTGTGTTTAGATACATTTTGTTCCTGCAACAATTCAAGAAGTGATACTCAAAGACTTAACCTTTTGCAATCCCTTTGATGATGGAGACTCTTGCAGACCAATCAAGAACATGATTAGTTTCTTGTTCTTGTAAATCAAGAAAATTTGAAAGCTTTCCTTTTGAAGCAAAATCATAGATGAGGAAACACTCTCCTCTGCCTCTAGAACAGCAAAATCCGCGTAGCTTTACTAAGTTTTCGTGTGACAGTGAAGATAAAAGCTTCAAACCGTTCATGAATTCGACTTCCTCATTCTTGCAACTGCTTATGTTGATGCTCCTGATAGCTACAGGAGAACCATCTCTGAGGACTCCTTTGAACACTGAGGTGAAGCTGTTTCTGCTCATCAGATTAGCTTCTGAGAAGCATTGTGTTGCAGATTCAATGTCCTCTAAGTTAAACCTGAAGCTACTATTAACAACAAAGAGATGAGGCTCTTGTGAGAACTCAGCTCCATTTCTGCTATCTCCAAGCGGATCCCATTCTTTAGTGTAGGCAAGACTCACGAGAGGCGATGCGCGGAAATCTTTTTGTTGATCGGTGCTTAGTCTTCCCTCGGAAAACTCTGGTGTGTTACTAATCTTTTGTTTCCTTCTTCTGTAGCGAAAGAAGGTTAATATACCGGCACCAATCAATGTTATAGTGACGGTAATCACGCTTGAAATCAACGCAACTTGAGCGAGTTTTGATGAGGATTTATGGCAATGTGTTTGATTGCAATGCTTCTGGAGATATACAGACTCAGAAATGTTGTGAAGACTTGATTTATCAGTGTCTATTTCACCTGGAGGCTGCTTGAATTCAATATTTGCTTGGTCGAAAGCAGAACAAGCTCTCAAAGAAGGGAAATCAATACCACATAATCCAGTGTTGTTCTCAAACTGGAATCTTCCATTCAACTTCTTGAGACCTTTCACAAAAACATATTAAAAGAGAAACCAAGTCAAGAAACTGAGAGACACGGTTTACAAAGACATTTCAAGAATCATCATCACTCACCAGTAGGTACAAAGCCAGAGAGAGTATTGTTTCGCAAGTCTAGAGTATCCAACTGAGGAATGTTGGCTAGGGTTTTTGGGATTAGACCTAACAGATAGTTGAAGCTCAAATCAAGCCTGTTTAACATACTCAAGTTTCCCAAACTCCAAGGAACCTCTCCGGTTAGTTTGTTGTGTTGCAGAGACAACACATTTAGTTTCTTCAAAGTTCCAATGCCATTTGGTAACTTCCCTGTTAGGCTGTTGCAGCAAAGATCCATAACTGCAACAAAAGACAAATAAATTAAAGTTCTGTGAAGTGTGGTTTAGGTAATTCAGCTATGTGTAGCTAAGCCAAATTTATTCCGGTTAATCTAAACCGATTTGGAATCTACCAGTATAGTAAAACATTGTAAGATACTAACCTTGCAAGCCAGCCATGGAGCCAATCTCTGCCGGAATCTCGCCGGAGAAGTTATTAACATTGAGATAAAGATCTGATAATTCAGTGAGATTCGTGATTTCTTGAGGTATCTCTCCAGAGAGACTATTGTAATGCAAGTAAAGACCTGACAAACATTTGAGCTCTGCAACTGCCGGAGACAATTTTCCGGTCAAACGTTTCCCTTGTAACGATATGTTTGCGACTTTCAGGTGCTGGTTACAGGCGATTCCTTCGAAAGATCCGTCACAAGGGTCGCCGTTAAACGTCCATGATCGGAGAAGCTTGTTCTCAGGGTCAAGCGACGATTTGAGCTCCATTAAAGCTTTCAGCTCTGCATTTCCTAAAACAGTTGGTGGAGCTGAAAAAAAGATTGAGAGAAGAACAAGTAACGTGACTCTTAAGGCAGCCATTCTTGTCTTTCTGAACTTATTTTTTTAGCTCATTTATATAGCAGAGTACTCTGTTTTATAGAGCAGAGTAATAAAGGAACGAAATTTATAGAGCAGAGTACTCTGTTTTGTTCTCTTTGCTATATTAAGAGAAAATAAAAACTTTTGGAGAGGGACATAACTTGAGAATCTAAGCTGGGTGTTTTGTCTGTTTCTCGGATTTGGAAAAACTCTATCTACCGCTCTCGTGATTAAAAGTTATTCCGGAGAATTTTCTGGTTTTTGGAGAGAAGAGGAAGAAGAGGAAGAAGAGAGGCTTAGCTGGTGTAAAGAGGGAAGACAACACAACGCATTGAATACACTGTCTGTGTGAGACAGAGACGTGTACTGCTTTTTGAAAAGGAAGGCCATATCTTTGATGACTTTTTTGGTAGAGTTTTTAACAGTTAATGTTCACATTTGTGAAGTGGTGATTGAGATGTAATTAGGTGTTTGTTTATTTATGTCTATTACTAGAGATCTTGGTTTACATCACTTTCTTTTGCATTGTCTTATGATTTAGACTCATTTTTTGCAACATTTTTAGTATATACTTCTAAGTTTTTGTTTTAAAACAAAACTAGTAAAACTCTATTTATTTTTATTTTTTTGCCTACGTAAAACTCTATTTATTATCATGCCTTAATTTGCGTATAAAACCCATTACATCTATGTATCATGTATGGTTATATAAATAAAAAAATTGGTAAAAGTGTAGGAGTGGCTTTGATGTGCGAAAACGATCTAACGAGTTTTAAGTTCATGTTTGGGCGATTGGCACTTTGGCTTGTAGTTCATAACTTTTGGAATCATTTCGAAACTTGGATCATCCTTTTGCTTCTTTGTCTATCTATCACTCCTTCGCATTCTCTGCACATGCCACGTGCACGTGTTTACTCCTGTATACGCATACACATACTACATATACGTGTATCCATATATAAACGAGTTGATTTTTGGTTTGGTATGTTTGATTAAAGAATGTTTTGTTTAGATCTATATTTCTAATAATGTTCTAATATGATTAGACTGTTTTAGTATTGTATATACGGCCTACAAAAGTCAATGATAATATCGAGATTTAGAGGACAATCATTCCACTAGCTCTTCTTCTAGCTAGTTAACTATGGACTATAAAATAAATTGATCTAGAGATGCGCTTATAGTTTGATGATACATACTATTCGCTGGTACATGTATTCAAAGTTTAAAACCTAACTTGGGTTTACTAGTACATGACAGTTTGACTAACTAGAAGAATCAAGAATCCAATGTGGGTCTCCAACATTTAGATATCTTTAGGTATGCTCTTTTATTTATACACAATTATTAAATTACATGTACGGTCAGCTAGTAATTTCCAGTTTTCTACTGTGTGTAACCGACAAAAATTAGTGAAGTAATCTCAATTAGACTATCTAAGAGCAATGCGAAAGCATAAAACCTTATCAAACGGGCCAATGGCTATTTTCAGCTCTTGTCTTGAGTACATGAACCAATTTTTCCAAAGAATCGTATTATATAGCTTACAACAATTTGAAGTTTTAAGATGTATACTAAACCTATCAGAGAAATATTTTTAAAAAATCATTTGTCTTTTATTTGTTGGCATTTGAAGATGGAGGAAAGAGGACTTTTGAGATGCTTTATCATTTCTTTAATTACTTTGACCTTTACTTGATTGTTTTACTACTACTTTTTGTCATTTTCTCTTTTTTTTTTTCTTCCAATCTCTACTTGTTTGAATGTAGATGATGTGTTCTTTTATAACTTTTGAAAGTTTTATACTGTCCTTTTTTTTTTTTTTATTGTTCTAGCTTCGTCATTAGATTTTTTATGTAATATATATACGCATACATCTACGAAGTATGAACACATTTATGTGTGATCTGATCTAGAACTCTAATCTCTCTAGAAGATTCAATGACTCTATCTATGCCTTTATGTTATACATTAGAAAAAGTACTTACTTTTAGTAGTGCTTCTTCTTTTCATAGCTGAATTTGTATGATTAAGGAAGACTAATGCACTAATCCCTCCACCATTCTCGGTAGACATGTTATTATAACTTTTATAACTTTTATAACTTTTAAAAGTTATTATATTATATTTAAGCAACTAAACTATAAAACGAAAAGCTCCAAATGCAACACAAAAAATTTGAACTTTAACAAAAGCTCACTTTGAAATTTGAAAGCGTTGTTACACACCCATCACAAAACTATTCTCAAATCATAATTTAACAATCGTATAATCTGACTAAATAAAACACATGTAAAGAGTCGAGAGATAATCAATCTCAAATTGGATGAAAAATGAAGAATGGATACAGAATCAATTAGCAGCAATGTTCTTATCACCAAGTACCAAGTCTTCTTTCTCTCGCCATACCGCATGAACCTCGTCTGTGCGAAACCGTTGTGTAAAGGTAGAGTCTTGGATCGGCGTTTCAGTACCGTTAACAAACGCGAGTAGACCCGTGTAAGCAATCATCGCTCCATTGTCGATACAGTAACGGTCATCCGTTGCAAATAGCTTTCCGTTACGTTCAGAGCACATAGTCCTCATCATGTCCTGCAAACGCTCGTTACACCCGACACCACCAACTATCAAAACGTCTTTCTTGTCACAATGCGCCATCGCTCTTTCAGTGATCTCAACCAACATTGCAAACACAGTTTCCTGCACGTTCAACAATCATAAATATTACTCTTAAATAGTCCAAAACTTTGCATTCATGTGGCAGGATTTATCATTTAAGAGCAAGTGATAGTCTTACTTGAAGGGAATAGCACAAGTCTGCTGGTGTGCACTCGTTATTTTTGAGTTTCTCCTCTGCGGTAGTTTCAATATAACTCAAGATTCCGCTGAACGATACATCCATACCTTTAACAGCATACGGAAGATCAATAAAGTTTTCTCCTTTCTTTGCAAGCTAGTAAAAATATAAAAACCGAGTTAACATTGTTCTTTAACCTTCACAGAACTGAGATTACTTTACACTCTCAGATGAAATATACCTGCTCAATGTTATAACCAGGGCTTGGATCATTAGAAAGCTTCAAGACTCTAGCAAACCGATCCAAACAATTGCCAACAGCAATATCAATGGTCTCACCAAAAATCCTGTATCTACCTTCACTATAAGCAATCACCTGAGTATTCCCACCACTCACATACAGAACAACAGGATCATCAGCTCCAGTAACTACTCTCCCCATCTCAATGTGAGCCACACAATGATTCACAGCAACAATAGGCTTTTTCCAAAGCTGTGACAACACCCTAACAACAATGGCTGAGACCTGCAACGGCGCTCCCATCCCAGGACCTTTCGTATAACAAATACAATCAATTTCTTCAGGAGTAACTTGAGAAGTTTCAAGAGCTGATTTGACTAAAGGAAGAACATGGTCAAGATGATGATGTGCAGTCTCTCTAGGAAGGAAACCGTGACCAGGCGGTGTTATATACGTATGCCGAGGATTCGCTAAGATTGTACCGTCTAATGTCACAATTCCAACTCCAATCTTGTTAGCTGAACCCTCAAAACCTATGGCTATCATCTTTTTCTTCATTTATTTGATTTAGACTGAAACTATCTACACATAGAAAAACAAATTTAGAACTAGGTGAATTAAAAACCCAAACTTCACTCGGAATCAATTCGAACTTAACACTAACTACAGCCTAAACGTTGAAGACGATGAACAAAATTACTTATTTCATGGATTAGTATTGGTATTGAGAGAGACCCAGCAATCGTATAACCTAAGATTCGTTTCCTCAGATGAGAGAGCCCTAAACCTTGGAAATTTTTTTAATCCTAAACCCAGAAACCAATTCCACTCGAGGCACAACACAACGACTCATGTACTCTAGTTTGAACTGAAATCAAAACTAACCTGAAGCTGCGTGATGGCCGGAATCAGAAGTAGCTCACAAAGCTCAAAGCTCAAAGCTAAACAAAATCAGACAGAGAGCTAAAGAAGAAGAAGATGGCGATGGAGGCGCCGGGAGCAGAAACGACGACGCTTGAGTTTCTCCCAGGAGGATGTGTAATACGACAGCGTTTCGTATGAAATAAAAAAGATATGAGCCTAGCCCATTTAGCTCCAATTTTGGGTTATGGTAAAACGGACGACGTTTGGGTTTTTCACCTAGATAATTGTTTTAGAATTGCTGATGATCTTGGTTTAATTAAACATTGATACCAAAAAAAAAGTATTCCAAGTTATTATCTATGTTTAATTGTTTCCTAACTCAGGAGAGCATGAAATAAAAAAAAAAGTTTAGGAAAACATTGATTCTTGATTTAGTAAATTGAGTTATTGACTCGGTTTATTTTTTTAATCGTCTAGATTCATTGATTGTTGCAAATTGTGAAAATTGTTGAATAAACAAATCTAGTATTTGATCAATTCTAAAGATCTTAATATGTAATTTTGATTATTATATAATGATAATAAATAGGAAACAGCATATGAAAATTAACAAAACAATATATAATAAATACCAAATGGTTGACTTATATATTTGGATATACATAGATGAGAGTAATTTTGTTTGGAAATTACTACTTACCATTATAAAGTGTTATATTTGACTACATACTTCTATTTTGGGCAAGATAATATCATCCTTTGCAATGCATTAATTTTTTTGGGGTCAAATTTTCATGCATTAATTATATCAATTTTATATTTCCTAAGATGTATTTTATTTGTATATACTATCAACATATGATTTTTGTGACTATAGGACCATTCTATATTATACTTTATGGCATCAATTATTTGGATACAAAATAAAGCATTATTACTGTAGTGAAAACTTCATTTTATTCAAATATAGCCACAAAAGTGACATTAACATACCAAAGCTTTTCACAAAACATGACCAAAAAGTAAAACTACAAACAGTAAGCAAGAAAACTTAATTCAACTTCCCCAGACCAAACTTCCCAAATTACTTAATTTAAGCTGTGTATAGTTTTGGATCAGACAACCTTGGAACAGGAATAGCCACGAGCGGAGACTTCAGCTTAAGAAGAAGCCCAACCTTCTCTTCAACCTCAAACTTGTGTCCTATAGGAGCTTTCCAATCAAAAGAGTGAAGAAGTGACGCAATGTTGAACAGAACAAGTCTCTCGGCCATGTTAATAGCCGCGCAAATCCTCCTCCCAGATCCAAAAGGCAAGTACTTGAAATCACCCCCATTGAAGTCAAGTGAGTTCTCCAAAAACCTCTCCGGTTTGAACTCGTTTGGTTCATCCCAATGCCTAGGATCTCTATGTATCGCCCAAACGTTGATGAATATCTTGGAGTCTTTAGGCACAGTGTATCCCGCAACCACCGAGGTTTCGCTGTTTTTGTGAGGAACAAGAAGAGGAATCGTAGGGTGAAGCCTAAGATTCTCTTTCATAACCGCTTGTAGATAAGGAAGCTTAGGTAGATGTGATTCTTCAATGATGTTGTCCCTTCCAACAACATGATCCAGTTCTTGTCGGATCTTGTTTAAAACTTCTGGTCTGGTTATGATTTCTGCCATGGAGAATTCTGATGCATTAACCGATGTGTCCACTCCACCAAGAACCATATCCATGAGGACAGCCTTGACATGAGTCAGCGAGAGTGGAGCTTTCTCATCATCGTCTTTGACTCTAAGCAAGTATTGCAAAAAATCTTCTTCTTCTTCGCTCTTATTTCCCACCATCTTGACATGACTCTCCATAACACGATCGAACAAGAGATCAAGCTTCTTCACATGGCCTTTCATCTGCTTAACCAATCCCTGGAAATCGAATCTTGAGAACAAGGGGAAGAAATCTGAGTAGTTTTGAGCCCCTTCAAGGTCGGAGATATCAGATATTAGGGTTTTGAGCTCATTTCCTAAGCTTCTTCTCTCATCTCCTTCAACGGTCGCTCCCCAAATCATTCGTGTCACGATGTTGAAGATGGAAAGGAAAATTTGTTCACCGAGGTTGACCGGAGAGCCGTGGCAGGCCATTTCCGACATGTAAACGATGGTCTGTCTTGTTTCTTCGCGCCGAATGGAGTAAGAAGCTTCAAGTGTAGGCGTAGTAAACATCTTCATGACGGATAGCTTACGGAGTCTCCTCCAATGGGTGCCGTAAGGAGACCGGAGGATGTCTTCTCCACCGTAAGTGTTGATCTTTCCAACTTCTGGGAGATCGTGGTTGGCGAAAGTGATGTCATGGGTTTTGAGAACCTCTCGAGCCATATCCGGGGAAGATACGACAATTGCGAGTTTGGATCCGAAGTGGATTTTCATGAGAGGGCCGTGTTTTAGGGTTAGGGCTTGGAATTGCGTGTGAAGGACGTCAAAATTTAGGAATGGGAGGTTCCCAATGATCGGCAGTGGCCAAGGTCCCGGAGGCAACGGTGGTGCGTTTTTGGATTTGAACTTCCCCTGAATCCAGAAGTAGCAAACAACGGCCAAGAGAGCAGCGGCAGTGAGCATCATAACGGAGCTGTGCAGATCTTCTGTGTTGATCATGTAAGACTTAGTTCCCATTTTTGTCTTCTGAGAAAGAATTGAAGATCTCACTGTGGTTAATAGTTTGGAAGGTTTTGTGTTGTTTGGTGGACATTTATGTAGTGTAGGATCGGAGATAGTGATTGCATTGTTTTTAATTTGTTTTTGTTATCCTAATCTATAATTTGCAAGAGTTTGAGGCTGGAGACACATCTACTTAAAGGGGTAAGCTAATTAGTATTAACCGACCCCATATTTTTTGTTGTTTTGCACCCGTTTCATTTTATCATTCGTTTCTTAAAAAGAAAAAAACTTATATGAGGTAAAAGCACATTTACTTTAAAATTCTAATATCCATATCATCCAGTGATGTAAATATATCGTAAATAATTAGAATCATGATCTAAGATATTGACCCCTCCAAGTGATAACTTAATGTGAGACCATATTTCGTAATTCTATACATAGAATACAAACCTACGCTCTGGTCAAAGTATAAACTTTACTCATATATGAAAGACCAAAAAAGAAAAACAGAGCAACCGAACATAGAAGAACCAAACCTATCATTTGGTTAGAAAAACCTTGTGCTTCAAACATGCCCATCAGTGGATGTGGATCTATCACTGCGTTTTGAATCTATTGTAGGTTTGTTTGCTCATTCTTATTGTGAGACTCATCACCGTAATTCGTCGTGTCCTTATTGAAGAAGTTGTTGAATATTTTAGATATTTTTCAATTATACTCTGAGATTATTAATAATAATCTATGATATTCACAAAATATACCAATATATATATATATATATATAATTGATAAAAATAAATACAACGCCAGTCTTGACTGAAGTCATATTCAATTGTTTAAGGATAATATATAGTATAAAACAAGAAAGAGCCAAACGAAGGTTTTGTGAATGGACAAGAGCACTGTCACTTGTGTTTCTTCTAAAACAAGTAATCCAGTTCACCCGAATGGTAGAGTTTCTCATCTCGGATTTTAACGGCAGTATCATTATGCATGCTCTCGTTTTAGTCTGTGTGTGTACATTAGTAACTTTTAAGTGTTACAGATTTTTAAATTATTGCGGTTTTATCATCACAGAATTAATAAACATAAATATATATACAAGGCATTAAATTTTTTAAACTTCAACCACAAAAAAAAAAAGAGAGTAACTTACAACAACAAAAAAAAAAAAAAAAACTAAAAAAACTAAATTCAACTTCCCCAAACCAAACTTTCCATATTACTACTTAAGCTGTGTAGAGTTTTGGATCAGACAACCTTGGAACAGGAATAGCCAAAAGTGGAGACTTGAGCTTAAGAACAAGCCCAAACTTCTCTTCAGTCTCAAACTTCTGTCCTTTCGGAGCTTTCCAATCAAAAGAGTGAAGAAGCGACGCAATGTTGAACAAGACAAGCTTTTCCGCCATGTTAATCGCAGCGCAAATCCTCCTCCCAGATCCAAAAGGCAAGTACTTGAAATCACCCCCATTGAAATCAAGTGAGTTCGCCAAAAATCTCTCTGGTTTGAACTCGTTTGGTTCATCCCAATGCTTAGGATCTCTATGAATAGCCCAAACATTGATGAAAATCTTGGAGTCTTTAGGCACAGTGTATCCCGCAACCACCGAGGTTTCGCTGTTTCTGTGAGGAACAAGAAGAGGAAGCGTAGGGTGAAGCCTAAGAGTCTCTTTCATAACCGCTTGTAGATAAGAAAGCTTAGGCAAATGTGATTCTTCAACGACGTTGTCCCTTCCAACAACTTGATCCAGTTCTTGTCGGATCTTGCTCAAAACTTCTGGTCTACTTACAATCTCTGCCATGGCAAACTCTGATGCGTTAACTGATGTGTCTACGCCACCAAGAACCATATCCATGAGGAGAGACTTGACATGAGTCATGGACAGAGGAGCTTTCTCATCATCGTCTTTCACTCTAAGCAAGTATTGTAAGAAATCTTCTTCTTCTTCGCTTTTCTTTCCCACCATTTTGACATGACTCTCCATAACACGATCGAACAGGAGGTCGAGCTTCTTCACATGGCCTCTCATCTGCTTCACCAATCCCTGGAAATCGAATCTTGAGAACAACGGGAAGAAGTCTGAGTAGTTTTGAATCCCTTCAATGTCAGAGATATCAGAGATTAGGGTTTTGAGCTCGTTTCCTAAGGTTGTTCTCTCTTCACCTTCGACAGTCGCTCCCCACATCATACGAGTCACGACGTTGAAGATGGAAAGAAAGATTTGTTCTCCGAGGTTCACAGGAGATCCGTCACGAGCCATTTCCGACATGTAGACAATAGTTTGTCTGGTTTCTTCACGGCGAGTGGAGTAAGAAGCTTCGAGTGTCGGCGCAGTGAACATCTTCATGACGCAAAGCTTACGAAGTCTCCTCCAATGGGTGCCGTAAGGAGACCAAAGGATGTCTTCGCCACCGTAAGTGTTAATCTTTCCGACTTCGGGGAGGTCGTGGTTGGCGAAAGTGATGTCGTGGGTTTTGAGAACCTCGCGAGCCATGTCGGGGGATGAGACTACGATTGCGAGTTTCGATCCTAGGTGAATCTTCATGAGAGGGCCATGTTTTAGGGTTAGGGCTTGGAATTGCGTATGGAGGATTTCAGAGTTTAGGAATGGGAGGTTTCCAACGATGGGAAGTGGCCAAGGTCCCGGAGGCAACGGTGGTCCGTTCTTGGATTTGGACTTCCCTTGTATCCAGAAGTAACAGACGACGGCCAACAGAGCTGCGACGGCAAGCATCAAGGAGCTGTATGGTTCCTTCGTGTTGAGGATCTGCGAGAGGTTGATATTAGAGTTAGTAGACGCCGTTCCCATTTTTGTCTTTGGAGAGTAATATGTCACTATGTTTTGATTATTGGTTTGGAGGTTTTGTGTTGTGTTGATGTGAAGGTAGAAGAATGAGGGTGTGGACATTTATATTGTAGGCTTAGAGAGACTGATAACATTATTTTATTCTTCCTCAATATTATATTAGAAGATCAAAACTTCTATGAAATTTCTTTAGGTCTCTTGATTTTTTCATATTTTAAACTCAAAAAGTGGAAGATTTGAGACGCCGTTGATAGTGAAGGTACAAACTACAAAGTTACACTTACTAGTCCAAGTGAAAAAAACATGCAAAACAAAAAAAGGATAAAGCCTAGACGTTTTCTTTCATTAATGAGATATTAATTAGTAACATAAAGGTGGAGAAGTTATATCTTCTAATCACTAAAAATTTAAATTTTTTAAGTTAAAATAAAAATTAAAAACAATTGAAAAATATCATATCATAAAGATGGAGTTGTGGGAATAATAATAATCTCTGTTCATCTAAACTAAATTACTGATACTATGCTATCATAAATCTATGATTAACGTTATGTACTGTATTAGACGAAAATAGTAAAATAAGTTAGATAAAAACACAGCGCCAATCTTGACCAAGTCGCCCCCAGTTTTGAAGTCTCATTCAACTATTCAAAGAGATAACATGCGACAAAACAATATACAACAGAAGCAAGTGATGGAACAATATACTAACATTGTAAAAGATCACTAGACTTGTCAATCAACATTCAAAACTTTATCATCCATTAAACAATATCAGTAGTCATAGGTTGAATTTGACTTATTAAATTGTCTGTATGCTGATTTTTTATGTTCTGCTTTAGATAGTTTCAATAGTTTTGGACTCTTTTGTTCAGGTTTTTATTGTTATTTTCATTTTCTTGCCTCGGTTGTTGTTATTTGTGATGACCCGGCGGCTCGGCTAGTCCCACCGGATCTAGCTCAATTACATTCCAACACAAAAAAAAAAAAAAAAAATATTAAATTATAATTGTGTAAAGCAATTGATTCTAGTGTTCTAATTAATACTAGACATGATCAAAACCAATACAAGCACTAAAATGCACCATTATGCTGCAACCAACCTTTGCAGTATCTTCTGCGGCATGAATAAGAGGGTAGGCATATTCAGTTCATTTCTAGTATGGTTCGGATTTGGATTGGTTTGGTTAGTGACTTCTTAACATTTTCGATTCATTATGATTTTATTCGAATTTTTTAGCGGTCGACTTAGTTTTTTTTGCTAAACTGTAAATATCATATAATGAGGATAAGTGTTACAAGTGTAAGACTTAGGGATTGAACCTTGTCAAAAAAGAGAAAAACCAAGGAACAATAATCAGGATACAGACTTTAGAAAGGAAACAAAAGGATCTTCATCGTAGCCATAAGGGCATGAGTTTCTTGAATTTCGTCATGTGTCTTCTTGCTGTGATCGAGTTTCTGATTTGCCTGTCTATGTCTTTGCAGATGATGGATGGCGGGAGGCGGAGCTGGTTGTGGATCAGGTTATTCCGTTGTCTCCAAACAGTGTAAATCACACATTGAACAAGGAGGAGGCGCAACGTGCGAGGAGAGTTTGCAAGCCTGTTCCTCGTCCACTCCAACATCTCGTCCCAGCTACTTAAACACGTCTCGGGTAATTGGAGGTTTGTAAAGATGAAGGCCCAAACCTCACGGGTGTAGCTGCATTCGATAAACAGGTGCAGCCTAGTCTCCTCAGATGAGGAACAAAGGCAGCAGGTTGGAGACACTGGCAGACCCCAAGAGGCCAGTCTACTCATTGTGGGCAGCCTGTCGAGGTTTGCAAGCCACATGTTAAAGGCGTGCCTCGGCGTAGATCCTTTAAACCAGATAGAGGATGCCCAGTCCTTCACCGGGCTCTTATGGCGGATGGCCTCCCAAGTTTTTCCTGCGTTGTAACCATCATAGCTTATACCATCAATGACCCAATCAAACCAATCATCATCATCTGAATCTGTTGGGAGGGGAATGGTTGATAAGTAGACTTGGAGAGCAAGATCTTTATCTGATCTCGGCCTTCTCAGCTTCCAACCCTGGGAGTCAAAAGCATCTGAGATTTTTGCGTGGACGGGAACTCTTAAAGAAGTTGGCCCAGTTTCCCCGAAGAGCTTGATTAAAGGCCCCAAAGAAGTCCAGCTGTCAAACCAGAACCAGCCAACCGACCCGTTGCCAACTTGACACTTAATGAATCTCATTGCTAGCTCCCTACGCTTAAGGAGATTTTTCCAGAGCCACGAGTCACTTGGTTTTGCTTTAATGGCCCAAAAACTGACTTTGTCCAACTTATGGTGGTGATTTTGCCAAGCAACCCACAAAGATCCACTATTGGAGAAGAGTAGCCAAATAAGCTTGAGAGACAAAGTGGTGTTCTAAGCCGAAAGTTTCCTGAGACCAATTCCACCTTCACACTTAGGGAGACATACTGTGGACCAATTAACCTTTGCTTTGTTGTGGTTGTCAACTGAACCAGACCAAAGAAAGCTGGAGCATAGCGACTCAATCATTCTGATGCACCCTTTTGGTAACGAGAAAGTAGACATCCAGAAATTTACAGTCCCATAGATAACTGAGGAGATGAGTTGCCTTCTCCCAGCAAAAGATAAAGCTTTTACAGCCCAAGCTCTAAACTTGCTTGATATCTTCTCAATCAAAGGGGAGTATTCATTCTGCCTTAGCTTCCTGCTCATTAGGGGGAGCCCTAAGTATCTCACCGGGAGATTCCCAAGAGGGAACCCGTAACTGCAGATGCACATGGTTTCTGAATTTGATAGGCCAGCATGGAAAAGCAAAGTCTTGTCCCTGTTCATGTGGAGACCAGACCAGCCTGCAAAATCCTCAAGGGTCTCAAATATTCCATGGAGAGAGCTGCTACTTCCATCAAAAAACAGCATGACATCATCCGCGAACATTAAGTGGGAGATTTTTAAATCAGAAGTCCGAGGATGATAAGAGATGTAACCCGAGTCAAACCTAGACTTCAGAAGCTTAGAGAAAGTGTCCATAACCAGCACGAATAGGTAGGGCGAAAGCGGGTCCCCTTGTCGAAGGCCTTTGTTGCTCTTAAAGAACCCATCTGAGTGACCATTAACTGAGATGGAAAAAGTGGGGGTACAAATACATTCCTTGATCCAGCCTATGAATTTCGTAGGCACATCCAGGGCTTGAAGGGAAGAAAGCACAAAATCCCATCTTACCGAGTCAAACGCTTTCCTGAGATCAACCTTTAACATTGCCCGAGGAGATATTGTTTTGCTGTTGTAACCTTGGACAATTTCCGTAGCCAGCAACACATTCTCAGAAAGTAGACGCCCAGACAGGAAAGCGGACTGTTCTGGAGAGATCACCAATGGCAGAAGAGATTGCAGACGGCCAGCCAGTAACTTAGCAATAACTTTGTAGACCGTGTTTAAACAAGAGATAGGCCTGAAGTCGACGACTCTGGAAGAATTCAGAGATTTCGGGATAAGAACCAAGGAAGTAGCATTCCACTGCTTGAGGAGCTGACCCGAAACAAAAAATTCAGAGACTGCCGCTGAAGCTTCATCGCCCACTACGCTCCAGCAGGAAGTGAAGAATTCAGCAGAGTACCCGTCTGGACCGCTAGTCTTATTCCTAGGGAGGGAAAAAAATGCCGCTTTTATCTCTTCCAAGGAGAAAGGTGCTGCTAGCTTGTCTCTTTGAGAGTCTGAGCAAGAGTAGCTGAGGATATTTTTGATGTCATCTTGAAAAAACAGGGGCTCTGACTCTTCTCTACCCAACAGGTCACTGAAGAAAGAGATGCAATGACTTTGGATTCCTTGCTGCGTTTCGATACGGGCACCACTATCATCAACCAAAAAGTGAATATGATTTGCAGCTTGTCTTAATGAGGCCATTCTGTGAAAATATGCAGAGTTTTTATCACCTTCTGCAAGCCAAAGGATCCTTGATCTCTGACAAAAGAAAGATTCTTCAGCTTCAGACAAAATAGCCCACTTTCTAGTAGCTTCCAACTCCAGAGCTGCTAGATAATCAGAAGGAGCAGCCAAGAGCCTGTTTTGAATATCACAAAGGGCATTGGTCGCTTCCACAACTCGCTTTTCCAGGTCTGAATAGTTTTCCTTGCTGAAATCCCTAATGACCTTTTTAATTTCCTTAAGTTTGTAGGACAATCTGAACATGTCTGACCCCACAACATTGATAGAGAGCCAGGAGAAGCAAATCAATGGTAGAAATTCAGGATTCTTAAGCAGGTAGTTGTAGAACCTAAAGGGCTTTTTCTGTCTTTGCTGGTCTGTGGACAAAGAAAGAGAGATAGGAGAATGATCTGAGAACTTTGGAGTCCCGAAGAAACCTGTAGAGAGAGGAAAAGCGGCTTGCCATTCATCATTTACAAGGATCATATCCAGCTTCTTTGCCATTGGGTTCACTCTCCTTTTGTTCCACCAAGTGTAAGAACATCCCCGAAAAGTAAGATCAGATAAATTAGCTTGCTGCAGAGCATCAGAGAACTCTCTAGTAGACCGATCAGAATTTAGGCTAGCAGGCGATGAATGTTCTGAGGGGCGAAGAATTTGATTGAAGTCTCCTAGCACCACCCAAGGGAGACCCACCACTCTACTGTCAGAAGCCACAGAGCACAATTCGAGCCACAACTCTCGTCTAGTATTCAGGTCGTTGGAAGCATAGACACAAGAGATCACAAACACGGTGGGATTATCAGGGAACTGTACCTCAGCCGTGATCATTTGAAGGGAAGTAGCCAAAATCTTCACCTTCGCACTAGGATGCCAGAAGATCCAAATTTTTCCTAAGTCTGAAAAAGAGTAATTAGCCGAGTGAGACCAGCCAGGCAGAAGATCATGTAAAAACTTACCCATCTTCACTTCCTTGACGTGCGTCTCTATAATACTACCAAACAGGGGTGGAGTACTCCTAACCCACTTCTTTAATCCGCTTCTATGGGATCGCTTATTGAATCCGCGGACATTCCAACAAAAAATGTTACTATACATAAATTATTTGCGTTTTGGGCCAAAGCCCCTGGAATCTCTCCGATTCTTCTTCGAGACGACTTCCAAAAATTCATGTTCCTCTTCAGACAGAAATCCGCGAGCCTCCTCCTCACTAGAATTGATATCCGTGGAGTCAGAGTCTCCTTCAGAGGACTTCTGAGAAGACTTCTGAGAAGACTTCGCAGAGGATGCTCTCACTTTCTCTTTGTCTTTGGGAACTGGCCTGGAGTTGCTGTGTTCACCAACAGCAATGATAGAATGACGGGAGAGAGGAACCACAGGAAGAAGGGGGGGGAGAGGGCGCACTCTTTATCACAGAGGGTAAACTCTTTGGAGCAGGTTGGGACTGAGGAAGAGATGGGTGGAGAGAATCCAACCTTTGCACAACCGCAGGGGCTACTGCTACAGACGCAGCTGCAGGAACCACGCCTGATGAAACATTTGGCTTAGGGTTTAGGGGCTTCCTAGCTCCATTTCCTTTTATCCTTGGGCAAACTGCAGCTGGATGACTTGTGGAGTTACAGTTCTTGCAGGTGATAGGGGCTGTTTTACATCGCTTTAGACTATGACCCAACGACTCGTCTAATCTCGCCTGAGTCAAATTGAACATTCACACCTTCAGGCAGCGGCTTACGGGGGTCGATAAACGTAAAGACCTTGGCCACCTCCAAGTTTGATTTGTCTTTGGTGTCAGGATGGAGGCAATCAGGATGACCAACTAAACCCGCTATGTGTTCGAGACCTTCCTCGTTGAAGCACTGCAGGGGTACGTTGCGCAATTCCAACCAGATTGGAGCAATGGTCAGCTCAGGGTTCACCGGAGCCATTCCAGGTTCCCAGTCTGCGACGAACATGGTTTGGCCGTCTATCTTCCATAGACGCTGGTTCATGACACGACGTCGAGTCTGAGCATTGGTGATTCAAAAGAGGAACGCATTTCCTTCTGTCTTCAATACAGAAACTCCTTACAGTGAGGACAAATAGGTGGCATCCAAGGGCTTGAGACAACGACTCGTCTAATCTCGCCTGAGTCAAATTGAACATTCACACCTTCAGGCAGCGGCTTACGGGGGTCGATAAACGTAAAGACCTTGGCCACCTCCAAGTTTGATTTGTCTTTGGTGTCAGGATGGAGGCAATCAGGATGACCAACTAAACCCGCTATGTGTTCGAGACCTTCCTCGTTGAAGCACTGCAGGGGTACGTTGCGCAATTCCAACCAGATTGGAGCAATGGTCAGCTCAGGGTTCACCGGAGCCATTCCAGGTTCCCAGTCTGCGACGAACATGGTTTGGCCGTCTATCTTCCATAGACGCTGGTTCATGACACGACGTCGAGTCTGAGCATTGGTGATTCAAAAGAGGAACGCATTTCCTTCCGTCTTCAATACAGAAATATCTTTAAATTGCCGACTCCAGAAACCGTTGACTATTGTGTGAACAAGAGATTGCGGTGGAGGGTCGGAGTAGAACTGTCCAATGATGAAGGACTCCCAAGATTTCTGGTGCTTTTCAATAATAGAGTTTGGAATTTTCACACATGCTTCACCGTTAGGAAGGGTGAACGGTGTTCCTTTCTTCGATAACTTCCGAGAGGATCCTTTGAAAAGACCTGCCCACTCGTCGCTTGGAGGAGGGACTGAGGGAGGAAGCGTGGCTGGGGTCACCGGAGTAACGGCTACCGCAGTAGGGTTGGAGACGATGGCACCACCAAGGGCCTTGTCTGCAATTGGGAGAGGATCGAGTACGGGGACAGAGACGGCTAAGGCGACTGAGGCGTCTGCACTTGGAGGCCGTACGGTGTCTGATACTGGGACTGCTGGCTTTGCAATGGCTGAGCTTGTCTGGGCGACAGAGGCTGAGGCATTTGGTATAGAGGCCGCTGGAATTTCAATCGCAGCCGATGAAGAATTCAGATCTGGATCTGACGCACTGGTGGCTTCTGCTTCTGGGATGGCTGAGACTGACGCCAAGGCCAGATCTGAGGCATTTAGAGGAGCAGACTCACTCGGAGACACATGCTTGGTAGCGGAAGGAATCGAAACGACCGAGGTTGAAGAGGAGTGACCCGGCGAAGCAGACTCCTTCGAAGGGGGTGACGCCGAGCCAGGAGGCTTCCGTTTAGGTTTCTTTATCTTCCCCATGAGGAGAGGAGGGCCTGAAAGCGAGAGAAGGAGGGGATTCCGACGCCGTGAGAGACGCCGGAGTTGGGATACGAAAAAAGTCAACTTCGCTGTTTTTTCTCCTTAATCACCTTTTTTTTTTTTTTTAGTTTTGATCCTCTCCGGTCGACTTAGTTACGTCTTACGTTAAATAGTATGTTTATGTAGTGTCTAAGATTGAATGCATAAGAATTTAACCCAAATGCTGAAAAGGCTAATTAAATGCTATTTACGAGCTCTAATCATACCATGGCATTTTGGTCAGTCCAAGCCACACTGTGGGATCTACATAAATACGAAATTGCCAGTCTAGTATTTCTTTAAATGCTTTTCAAATCGTTGGAATGTAGTGTGATTAATTACTCTTGTGAAGACTACGTGTACATGTGTGTGCGACCTTAACATGATTATGAGAGTAAGACCAAGAACACAAAGCTTCATGGATACATCCTGATCATTCATTCGTGTGTTATATATCAACTTTGCCATAGAAGTCAAAATCACCAAACAATCCGTGAAATGTCAAATTCTGAATAGAAGAAACCTTGAGAAGGATAACAATCATGTTGATGATCACTGTCTTACGGGTCTGGGCCTAACATATTATATAATTGCGGTACAAGACCCAACAAGAAGATCCAACCCATTGGAAAACATTGTGCCAATGGCAAAAGATATTATCTTTATATATACAACCAGAGTTTTATTTGAGCACGCAACATCTCATGCAAATTATGCAGTACACAAATGATATTATTTGTTAAACATAAGTTCATATTTGGCCTTAACTGAGATATGATGCTCAATGCATGACCAGGCCACCAGGGGTTATCTATCTCGCGTTCTTATGTATAAATATATATAATGTATGATTTAACACTATTGGTAACATACTGATTAACATGTAACGTAGCTAAAATTTGAATATAGTTTTTATTTGAAGATGAACTGTAAATATAATAATATTAAACAGACATACTAATATACTATATTATAGCAATTCTTAGTTAGTTGGTAATTAAATACATAAATCGAAATATGGTCTACAAGAAAGGGGACAAAAGTGACTTGACTAACAATAGTGTCATCTCTTTATATTTACAGTTCCATATACATACACACGTACATAAGCACGAATTTATTATATATATATATATATATATATATATATATATATATATATATATATATATATATGCATGCATAATATAATGACGATGGCATTACTCGTAAGTTACGTAAGTGGTGACTTGGAAATGGGATTAAAGCAAAGAAGTTGATTTAAAACTTTTGATTAAGGGGACAAGCGATGATCAAGAGTCTTGAATCTTAATTAATTCATAATTAGCAAACGAGAGTTTGTAGAGAAATAGAAGAAAAGTGGTGGGGTTTAAGGCAGAAGCCTCGTTTCCTAATCCTAAGGTGTTCAAATGTCACTTTAACAAAGTAGACATGAAGAGACTCAAGTTTTTCCAAGAAACTGTAACTTCATAATATATTCCATTTCATGAAACAAAGATTCACATATTTTCACTTTTCACAAACTCAACGACCACATTCTAATTAATCATGTTTCTAATCACATATGTTATTCAATTGCGCACAAATGACCAAGTCGGAAAATCACATAAAATGTATATACTTCGAAATTAAGACTAACTAGTTTTTTTTTTTAACATGAACCTAAAATTGCAAGTAACCCACACATAAGTCGCAAATATTAGGAATGGTCTAGAGCTATACGTGTACACCTATGTGTCGCATGCATATTCGTCTATATTTTATCTTCCGTACCGGCGACAATTACAGAAGTGTTATGTAACAAATTTGATCATATGTACTTGTTTAAGTAATTGGGTTAAAACTGTATGAGTCGCACGTGTGATTGCGTACATTCGCACGCACCCTATCCTTTCACATTAGTTCCAAAGTCATTTTCACCAACCAAATGCAACATCTCCAACACTTCTTTCTGTGATCTTATTAGCATCAGATTTGACAAAGTAAGACAAATTTATATTTTCTTAACCTTAATCATTTCTAACCAAAAAAAACTGAATCATTATTTATTTGAATAATCTTATTTCATCAGATACCTTAATTCTTCAGCTGACTTTTAAAACTCTTAATAACTCTATTTTATATTATATTAAAATGAATAATTCAATAACCATAGTATATATGAATACATAGATAAAGTAAAACACAAAATATCTTCTTTGAAATTGTTGTACCTTCCCCATCATGACATCTGTAAATACATACGTTATATTTACCTTAATTAAAAACAAGCCTGATCTATATATATATACATATTTGTTATTTTGTACGAACGAGTAATGCATAATTCTTATTTTAGATCATTGCTATTCTTCTATAACTAATGATAAAGTAGTGAAGACGGGTATATATAAAGTTACTCTGTAAATTTCTTTAATAAATTTCAAAGAACTGTTCTAAGAAAATTGATTAAGAACTCAAACGCTACATCAAGAGATGAGAGATCTATAATGGCGACATGCTCGAGAACCGCTACTAGTAAAAATGTCTTGCCATAATGCCACTAACTTTTCGGTAATGTATATTAACAAGAATTAATTAGTAAAAGTCTTCTATATGTGTGTATATTTTTAACAAAAAAGTATGTATATAATTATTTATATATTATGTAACGTTTTTTTTTTCTGAAAACAATCGTGGGGTAAAGGTGTGAGAATTAAGGTTATATATAGGTGGGTGAGCTTTGGTAGGCTTTTGACATAACTTGCAAGCTGTTGAGATTTTCCATCCTCAATAACTTTTAGATTTCTCATCTCTCTAGCTCCCATCTCTTTACTCTCTATTTCACATCCCCATAATTCATAATACACAATCACACATTAATATAATATTTAATGGGGAGGCAGCCATGCTGCGACAAGCTAGGGGTGAAGAAAGGGCCTTGGACGGTGGAGGAAGACAAGAAGCTCATAAACTTCATACTCACCAACGGCCATTGTTGCTGGCGTGCTTTGCCAAAGCTGGCCGGTCTCCGCCGCTGTGGAAAGAGCTGCCGTCTTCGCTGGACTAACTATCTCCGGCCTGACTTGAAGAGGGGCCTTCTCTCTCACGATGAAGAACAACTTGTCATTGATCTTCACGCTCATCTCGGCAATAAGTAAGCCTACATAACTAGTACTCATAAATTAAACCCACAGTTTCTTTTGTGTTGCTTCTACTTATGATTTGTGTCTTTAGGTATATCGTTCCATATATGAACAAAAGCTTACAAATTATCAAATTTATGTTAAAATTGCGATTTTACGTTGTAAAAACACTAGAGACTTAAGATAAACATTGGTTTAGATCTCGACATCTCGTATGTTATTCATAAAATATAAAGTCAATTGCATGTGATCCAACATGTTTAGTGTATGTATGTGTTAAGTAAATTATGCCAAATATATCAATTAGATAGATCCAAATAAGTTGGTCAAATATGTAGAATAATTTTTCGATTTGCATTAATTTTACTTTGAAATCAACTTCAAGACAAAGTAACGTCCTTCTCTTCCAAAAACAATGTTAACTTATTTTGTCAATCTTCTTGTGTTTATATTTCAAGAAACATATCCACCAACACTTCATAAAATATTATATATTCTTGTGATTGAGAATTTTTTTATTATCTTATAGGTGGTCTAAGATAGCTTCAAGATTACCTGGAAGAACAGATAATGAAATAAAAAACCATTGGAATACTCACATCAAGAAAAAACTTATTAAGATGGGAATCGACCCTATGACCCATCAACCCTTAAACCAAGAACCTTCTAACACCGACCCGTCCAAAACCATTTCCTCGAATCCAGATGATATCTCAAAGGAACCAAAGACAGCCAGCACAAAAACCTTGGACATAATTAGTGGCACGACAACAACAGAAGACGAAAGCAGTAGCACGGTTACTGATCAAAACAGTTCGATGGATAATGAAAATCATCTACTTGACAACAATTACAATGATGATGAGTTGTTTAGTTACTTATGGTCCGACGAAACTACAAAAGCTGACGCCTCGTTGGGTGATAGTAACTATGGCGCCGTTGGTGGAACATTATATGACAGTAATAATATTTCCACCACCGTTTCAGATCTTCCGATATGGTCACCCGAAGGAATCAACGACAAAGATTGGATGTTTCTCGACTATTGTCAAGACTTTGGTGTTCATGATTTTGGGTTTTGACTCTTCACTATTGACATAGTGGCAGCTCTCTGGAGATGAGTCACAAGCATATAATGTATATGTGTACACTATAAATGTATATGTAGTAGCATAAAAAATCCATGTAAAGCAGTAAGGGTGCACCGTGGTTTTCAAGTATTGTTAATTAGGGTATGGTGTAAGGTTTTGTCAAAGTCAGGACACCACAAGTTTATTTAGTTTTCTTTTGTTTTTATATTATGGTGTAGTCAAATAATTCACATAATGCCAAAAGCCTAAGAATGAATAATATCATGAAAACATTGTGAATCGTCGTAATCAACGTTTGGATCTTTTTTAACTTAAGTGACTTAGAGCAGTGGCTCTAATTTTTTTTCTAGTTTATCATCATTGACTATGTATCTATTATTTTCAAACTTTTAAGGAGATTTTTATTGATGTTCAAAGACGATATGAGCCTAACCAATTAAAAAATAAGTATGAATACAGTATGTGACCTGAATTAAAATAACCATTGTAGTCATTAGTCAATTTATTGGTTTTGATTCAATATAAAGTGAGTATACAACCACATAAGTCCGGATTTATGTACTTAACGTATGAAACTAACACATGATCACCCATTGGTCTTGGCCGTAAAACAGTTTAGATTTTCATATCGTTTCAAAATATGTCCACTAGTCCAAAAAATTATAGGAAAATAGATTTTCTAATACATAATTCCCTAAATAGGTGATGAAAATAAAACAAATTTTGTTTCACAGTTATGTTTTCTTTCTGTAGTAATGATCATATGTTTTCCTTGTTGTTCGATATGGTTATTAATTAGTCCCCATTTTTTGTAGTCATTCACACTTTCGGATTTGAAATCAGGCTATGACACAACACGACTAATCTAAAACTTGGTGATCAAAAGTCATCAGTTACTAGATACTAGTAAACTGCATGTTATATAAGATCAGAGTTTTAAGTCAAAGAGTATCTTAATTGTTTTTAGATTCAACTTCACAGTTTTAGCCCTTTACTCCTTTAAGGTCAAACAATTGGAAATGAGATGGGGCAACCTGCGACGAAAGTTAAATGTGAATGTAACAAACCGTCAAATATATTTTGGTCTCCATGTCTTTGTCAATGAAACTATACAATGAGTTCAATTTCTTCTTCTTCTTCTTCTTTCACATTAATGCCCTTAGAAAAAATTAATCCAAAGCAAAAGAAAAAACATCGATTCATAAAATAGTCTTACTCTTTACACTTTTGCTTCTTATAGTCAAGACTACATTTTGTGGTAAGAATTGCTAAGTTGTCTACTCCACAGAGTGTACACTGGACGTTCCAATTTGGATTCCATGTTTTGTTTTGTAATTTTCCAATGTAAATAAATTTTACGAACAAGTCACATCTGATGCTCCATCCAAGTGTTCAAAACAATAGGAAGTGAAAAAAAAGATGTAAATTACTAAGAGAAAAGAGTTTAGCTTCTGTTCAAGTTCCTCTGCAACGAAAACATAAAACGAAAAAAAAAATCTCAACATATCTCTCTCATCATCTCTCAAGCAATTAAACACAGAAATGGCAAAGAGAAGAAACTTGTTATTTTGTTTACTTGGCTCCTCCTCCAAATTTGCCCATCATCTTTGCAATCACCGGAGCAACCTTCGGATTCGCCTGATGCTTCGCTAGATTTGCAGGGTTCTTCATCACTGTTTAACATCCAAACAAAATATTCAAGACTCAGAAAATACTCAAAAACATTAGGATAGTAACATCAACTGCAACTTTAAATCGAGTCATACCATCTTGAAGAGCAGCCATGACTTCTGGGTCGCTAAACGCAGTCATCAGCTCAGGATCCTGCTCACAAATATCAAAACCATTAGTAAACTTACAATCCCTACTTATGCAATAACTTCATCAAATCTGAATTTTTGTTAATTTACAGTCACTCTTACGTTCAATATTTTGCTGAAGTCCATACCACCGGGCATACCACCACCGCCTGCACCTGGCATACCGCCACCCCCCATTCCTGGCATACCGCCACCACCCATTCCTGGCATACCGCCACCACCCATTCCCGGCATACCACCCATTCCTGGCATACCACCCATTCCTGGCATTCCTGGCATGCCGCCCATTCCTGCAGGCATACCGCCCATTCCTCCCGGCATACCTCCTGGGAATCCCCCGGGCATACCACCCATACCTCCTGGGAATCCCCCGGGCATACCACCCATACCTCCTGGGAATCCACCAGGCATACCTCCTGGGAAACCGCCTCCTGATGGTCTGCTTGATGATGACTGTTCTTCTTTCTTAGCTTTATCATAGGCAGCCTTACAGAAAAAGAGACATGAATAAGCCCCAAAAGGATATTTACAAAACCCAGTAATATTGTCAATAGTAATATTGTCAATATAAAACTGACACTCATATTTTGTTCAAAAAAACTGACACTCATATTATCAAAAGATTATTACTCTACGAAGCTACCTGTGCTTCAGCGCGGCGGCGTAGCCTATCACGCTCAGCCTTTTTGTCCTCTCTTTCCTTACGTAGTCTGTCATACTTTCTACGGTGTTCCTCGAGCTTATGAGCATTAGGTTCAACCTAAAAATGTCAAGAAAGTTTGTAAATGAATCACGCTAAGGAATTGTTTCTGAAGCCAAACAGAAACAGCAGACAGGCAAGCCCGTGCATACCTTCTTGAGCACAGCACTAATTTCCTCATCATAGTCTATCGTAGAAGCAAGGTGAAGGTCTTTTGCAGCCTCGGCCCATTCTCCAAGCATGGCACGAGCCATCCCCCGTGATTTGTATCCTTTAGCAGAATCAGGATTAATCTGCGATCTCAAACATAAAAAGATTCAATACCATCACTAGAACACAACATTTCTGGAGTAAATGATAGAATACTGTACCTCCAGTGCAGCATTTGCATCTCGAATAGCAGCGTTTGGCTTCTTTAACTTAATGTAGACACTAGCTGAAACACAAATATAAACAATTAGGTACAGAAACCCATCAGATGGATGTTATAAAGTACAGAATCAGCTTGTACTCACCCCTGTTCCCATACATAATAGCTGAAGTCGGATTCAAAGTAATTGCCTGAGTTAAATGCTCAATTGCTTCATCAAAATTTCCTTCAGAAAGGGCCTCCATGGCTTTGCCCTTAGCTTCTTGAGCAGCTTCACGATTCTCATCAGTCACCTCCACTGATGAATCCCCCATCTGTATCAAAAACCAAGAAGAGTTAAAAGAGATAAATTAGAAAATCAAAAGCTTAGGTTTTATGTTCGGCCATCATTGTACCTTTTGAGGAGGATCATTATCAGGTTCAACAGTGTCTCCTTCAAGCTCTACATCAGATTCAACAATCTCATCCTCTTCTTCTACTTCCTCCACTTTCGGTTTCGGTTCTTCAGTTTCTTCCATGTCATCATCACTCTCTTCTTCCACTACGAAACTCTTCTGTTAAACAAAAAAAAACAATCAAATCAAAAACAAACTCTTCTACAGAACAGAAACACACTCAATTGAAATCAAACATAACAATGGTTATACCGCTTTAGTGTCTTTGTCCTCTTGATGATGAGCACCAGTAGGTATCTTAGCACCAAGACTGAAATCATGAAAATTACAAAAATCATTCAAAACCCAAAATTTACAGAACAATAGATTAGTGCTCAAAGGTAAACACTTTTAACAAAACTACAAGAAATTTAAAACCAAAGACAGCTTCTTTCATATACAAGAGTGTAAAGGGTTTATCAAATTCGACAATAGATTGAAACGAGAGATCAGAGCAATACACTTTCTACAAACACAGACTCAAAAGACCAAAACTTTACTGAATCTAAATTCTAAACCAGCACAGATGAAAACTAAAGCATAAGAAAAGAAAAAAACGATTAGATCGAAGCAAGGAGCAGATGTAAAAAGTACCTCTCGAGATAGTCGCGGAAGAAGGAGAGTGAAGGAGTAGAGAGAAGGGAAGGGTCAGACTTGCATTGATCGATGAAGACCTTGAGCTCACTAAGCTTCGTCGCATCCATCTTTTCCGATCCGGCGAGAGAGATACAAAGAGTGTTTGTTTAGGTCTGGTGTGTGTGTAAAAGTCTCGTCTTTTTCTTTATAAGTCTTTTGAGTTTTCGATTTGGAGAATTTGGGGAAAAAAGGAAGTGAATAATAAAAGAGTTTCTTCTAGTATCTTCTCTTCTCCTTCTTCTCTTTGCTCATGGTTACGGATAAGCATCGCCTTGATTTGGACCGGCTAAAACTTTTTCTTTGGTTTTGGGATAGTAAAATAAAATTGAACCGAACTGAACCAAACCGTTATAACTGAACTAAATTTTGTTTTCTGGACCAATATGAGGTACTAAACCATTTCATTATGGAACGACGATCTATTTCCCCCTCGGAACTTTCGTATACGAACAGTTCCACCCACACTTTCAACCTTTCTCTGTATTTCCCTCGAAACAAAGTTTCACAATTATTTCCCCCCACATCGAAAGTTCGAAATCTTTTTTTCCATCGAATTAAAGTTCGAAACTGATTTACACATCGAGCTGGGTTATTATTGGTTTACTGTAGACCAATCTCCTCTTAACCATCTGAAACAAAATTAAACCAATCATAAACCAATTTAACCAAACCTAAAACCGATTATAACCTAAAGAAACAAAAAAATCCCCAAATCAAAAAAAAATCCCCAAATCAAAAAAAAATCCCAAATCGATTTCATCTTCTTCTTAAGAATCCTAATCACCAAATCGTAACTTCATCTTCTTCCCAACTCTTCTTCTTCTCTGATTTGATCTTAGCTCCTCCGCCGATGTCCCTTGTTGAGATTGAGATAAATGATGTTCCTATTAAAGAGTGATTGATGTTCCAATGGACTTTCCCGATGCACTTCTCATTGTTCTGCTTCCATTCGAATTGAAATTGGAGTAGATTTAAATCATAGATTTTTAGGGTTCTTAGATTTGGGGTGTTTTAAACAAATGAAAATCTAGGTTGCAGGTTGGGTTTATTACTCAGACCCTGATTCCTAATTTGATTTCGTTTCTGGGTTATTTCGGGTTTATGTTGTTAACCGAGTAAACCAGCCATTATGGGGAAAAAGGTTTCGAACTTTCGATGTGGGGGGAAATAACTGTGTAACTTTGTTTCGAGGGGATTACAGAGAGAGGCTGAAAGTATGGGTGGAACTGGTCGTATACGAAAGTTCCGGGGGGGAATAGATCGTCCTTCCTTTCATTATACATGTATGCAATGTTATTCCAGACTTTCATTTTGAGTTACAGTAAAACCTCTATAAATTAATAATGTTGGGACCATGAAAATCTATTAATTTATAAAGGTATTAATTTATCGATAAATTAATAATTATTAATTTATAGAGAGATATTCCTAATTTAGAAAATATTTTCAAAACAATATTTAAAAATAAGATTTAATCATGATAAATAGTATTTTATATAATCAATTACAAATAAAACAGTAATTATTATGTATTAAAAGAGAATGCTAACTATTTTTCATATAGTAAAATATTAGAAATAAAATCTAACAAAAACTAATGTGTCTATATATACATATATTTTGAAAATTTTACCTAATTATTAATTTATAATATTGATGGGACCATATATTTACAAAGGATTTTTAAAAAACTATTATCTTATTATTTTATCGAAATGTGTCTAAAATTACACTGGTCCCAAGTTGGGACCGGAGAAATTTATTAATTTATAGAGATTATTAATTTATCGAGTATTAATTTATAGAGGTTTTACTGTACTATGGTTTTTTATACTTATTTTAGATTTAGAACATAAACCGAACATAAAACTATCCGGTTTGATTTTACTTTGTTTCGATGTAGTATTAGTTTGGTTTAGATTAAATTCAGTTTGGTTCTAACTTCCAAGTAGAAAAATTCACTTTAAAATAAATTATACATTATCTCCCTTCATATTAAAATAATGAAATTACATATCAAAATAAAATAAAAAAGTTACTAATTTTTTTTTTTCCAAATCTGCTTCATTTAAAAATCTTTAAATTATAATTGAGTATCAACTTTATATACAAGTATAGAGATATTTTCTTTAAAAGTTCATTTTTTTTTATATAGGAAGCATTTATTGTTCTTTGAACTTTTTTAATCTACCTTTCTATTAATCATGTTGAATAAAAATTCTAATCAACCCATCAATTCTCATAAATATTACTAAAATTTAATTAAATACTAAGTTAAAAATTAATTCAATAATTGATTCATATTTATTCTCAAGTTTCTAGCTGGGTGTTTCGTGGGCCATTATAAGTCCGTTACTAAGGCCAAAGTATAATTAAAAAAAAATGATAAGCCACCAAAATTCATAAAAAGAAAAATAAGGTTAAACACACTAAAAACGCAAATGAAGGTTAGATGCAAAACATGCAGTCAAATAAACGCATTATTTTAAGATCACATATTTTATTTGATAAAAACGAAGAAGAGGAAGAAAAAATTAGATAAAATTTGGTCGGTTCGTCTCCGTCCAGATTGATATGAATTAATTATAACAACAAAAATTAAAACATAACGAAGACAAGACTTGCAATCAAACCAAAAACAGCCATTGATGCAGCAACCTTGTTCGTTGCTCCTCCATTGACCTCACTCTTGCTATTGTCTTTGCCATTGCTGGTGCTGCTGCTGTTACTGCTGCTGCTTCCGGTTTCTCCTCCTTTCACACAACAAAAATCAAAAATCCATTAATGGAACATCACCATGAACGTATGTGTGACCTTGTTGATATATGTAGCAATGTGTTTTTAGTATAATTCCATCATTACTTAGTTTTATTGTAACTTTCCAATGTAATTACGGCAATAAATGGAACATCATCTTAGAAATTGCATTCTACCTTGTGGAAAATGATACTTATGTTTAGCCGACGTAAAATGTAAATGCGTAATCCGTGAATGTCTAGTTGCAATATTTTCTAACGTAATTTTTTCAACACATATAAACAAAAGAATTTAAAATTTGGCATACCTTTGCTAGTACCGTCGCAAGAGTATTTGTCGAAAACGCCACATTTGGTTGTGATTCCGGCGGAGTAAGGTCCGGTAATGTTCACAATCTTTGGATTTGCAATGTAGTTATCACAAAGGCAGGTGACTTGCGTTGTGGTCGCGGTTTTGAGATCGTTGCAACATTCTTCCGTTGGTGTCACTCTTACGGTTCCAAAACACTTTTCGAGCAGGTCAGGCATCACCGTGGCACATTCAGGAGTCATATTTGGAAACATCGATGACTGCGGCTCAGCTAACAGCGGAGCAATCGCAACCGCTATAAACAAAACCGCTGCAAACGCTGAAACTTGGTTAGTGTAAGCCATTTGATTATGTGTAAAACGTTTGTGGATTGTTATCTTTCTTTGTTTTTCGTATGTGACTTCTCAAAAACTGCATTGATTTATAGGAGTCCTGGCATGTACATTATTGATGGGTTCTCCTTTAGTTTATTTTTTCTTTCATAATCCTTGTTTTATTAACATAGTTGACCAAAAACCTACGACTTTCAATCTCTACCCATGTTCCTCGCATTTTATGTGTTCTTGAGGATATATATTTTTATGTTATGACACATGTTCATGTATATATGGAGAGAAATCAAAATAAAACTATAAAAGTAATATAAAATGGAATGTTTAGTGAAGAAGTTGCTTAGGACAGAATGTCGAAAAATCAAATATAAGCTGGACGGCGCTGACAACTCAAAGATATGTTTTCATTAATATAACCAAGATTCTTAAGATCATACAACTAAGTAGCAATCTTTAAAACGTAGGATTTATAATAAAACTGATAATTTGTTGAAATGGATCGACAGTTCATTCTAATGATGTGTGTGAAGAAAGCCCTCGACTACTAATAAAATTCCAATGCCTTTGACGTGTATGTAAAGTAATAATGGTTTCATAGGTGTAAAACCATTAAACCTCAATCTACATGATTTGGAAAGAGTCGGAATCGTCGCATTTTCTCAGCTGAATCAAGTACACTATCTTCTACTAAGGCTCTTACCGATCGCACTATGCGTAACAGATTAATCTCCTTCTCGCCGAAGGACACTTCTCACAGCATATCTCTCCTTGTTTTCTACTTTGGTTGTATCATACAAGTTGTATCAATGGCCCATTTTAATTGTGGCTAGTTATCATTTGTGTTATAAATGTTATCTTCTCTCTGTATAAGAGCTAGGTGTGTTTTTGGGGTTTCATTGTAAAATATAAACCTTTTCATTTGGCATAAATCTTAACATTTAACCCAAAAAAACAAACGATTAAACCGAGATGGTTTCATACCGTGATTGTTTGAGGATTAGAACGTAGAAGATACCCCTGTCTTATGGATTGACCGATCATATTACCATAGAAGATTTATATATCTGTTATATGATAATAATTACTCTCATAAAATTATATAAGCAAATAATATGATTAGAGGGTTTGAACATTTCTTTACATATCATCATTCTTTTTCTTTTTTTTTGTCGACATATCATCATTCTTTTATTACATATATCTAGGATATCTCATTACAAAGTGTTTGGAAGGTAAAATTGAAACAAATTAAATGAACAGACTTGCAACCAAACGAAAAAGACCCATTGATGCAGCAATCATGTTCGTTACTCCTCTATTAGTATCCCACTTTTATTTCGTATGTGACTTCTCAAAACTCAAAAATACATTATCACATATATAGAAGTGAAAAGTAACATTATTGATTATTAGTCAATACAAGAAAATATAATTTTCTCACGTTGATGTCTTGATGATCTGTCCATTATATACCCATGAACCATTCAATTTGACCCTTTCAGAATAAGATTCCAGCCAGCAAAGATATTGCGCCAAGCATGGTTTGGCGTTCGCCTTGAACCTACTAGTACATATTAAACCATTTGTACTTACTACTAGTGGAAGTATTTTTTTTGCCTGCGAGTCGTCGCTGCTTGTAGAAGAGGTCTCACGTAGGATTGATACATGATACAAAACTGCTGGTGTATATTTTGAATTGATCAAGTACTCTTTTTATATATGTTTTTCCTTTGATTTAATTTGACTTGATCAATAGTTTCCAAAAAATATATTAATGAATTATAATGTCAGTGTCCTAAATATATCATAACTTTTCTTAGCTTAAGATTTCTAAGAGCCTATCAATAATGATGCTCTAACACTGCATTGAATTTGAAAAACCAAATTGAAATAAAAGAAAAGAATAGACTTGCAACCATTGTAAGAAAAAATATCATAACATTACAAAATATTATAAATGAAACGTCTTATAATATATGGGATATGAGAGAATTACAATGAATTTAGAAGGCCAAATTGAAATAAATTAAAAGAAGAGACTTGCAACCAAACCAAAAAGAACCACTGATGCAGCAATCATGTTCGTTGATCCTCCGCTGGCGTCTCCTCCTTTACCACACACAAATTAAAATAAAATAAAAAATTAATAATCAAAATAAAATAACTTTTGTTTCAAATTGCATTAAGAATATACAAAAATAAATTCTTATAATCACCAAAATAAAATGAAAAAAATAAAAAAAAGGAAAGAATATTGAAGTAGCTAGCTAGGTACCTTTACAGGCAAATTTCTCGAAAACGCCACAGGACTGATGGACTATGTCGTAGCGAGCTTGGGTGACGCTGGTGTTGGAAGATCGTGCGAGGAAGTTGTCGCAGAGACAAGTCACTTGCGTGCTGCTCGCCGACTTGAGATCATCGCAGCATTTTTCAGATGGCTTCAAATCAAAATTTACGTAGCAAAGTTGGATAATGTCTGGGAGATTCGCCAGCGCACACACAGGATTCAGCTTTGGCATTGGCGGCATAGACTGTGCCTCCGCCATCGTAACCGCTAGAAACAGCACCACTGTCGCAACCGCAGCGGCTGCCCTAACTTTGTTCGTGTGAGCCATGATCGCCGGCAAAAACAAAGATTTAAAATATTATTTATACTTTGATTGACTAGTGGTTTTTTGTTTTTGTTGTTTGTTGTATGAGACTTCTCCAAAGTACATACATTATCATATATATAGAGTCTTGAACGTACCTTATTGATATAACTAATTAAAATAAATAACATAAGTCGTATTGTTTTTTGGCTTTACAATGTTGACCAAATGTGTACGACTTTCTTGTATTTTTCATTTGATTTGTTCTGTGATAAGAAAGCAAGGAAATGGAACTAAATTTCGGGTATGGCATTTTGTTTATGAAAACGTGAGAACCACTTTTGCTTTGTACAACCGATGCAAAACAAGCAAAGCAAAATACCATTCTGTTTTATGGAAATATAAAATCCATTTTCGTTTTTTCTATTTTAGTCTATTTCGAATTTAACATATTGTATGTTCGTTAGAATCCATTTAACGTATTGTATGTTCTATGAAAGGCTAGTGGGTTATCAATTATGGAAGATTGTATGCGCAAGAGAGGTGGAATTGCTTATTGCCTAATCTTTTTAAGGGTTGGGGAGACGTTTTAGAATTATATGTACCATATAGGGCACATCTTATAAAAAAAAAAACAATTATTAAGTTAAAAGCTGGATAAAAAGATATATATAACAGTGAAATGATGAAGAAATTCATACTGTAATAATTTATTTTTTTGGTCTCTAAAGTTAAGTATAATAAGATAAATAAATTAAATAAAAGCCATAAGTTTATATATTTGAGTTAATCTTAGTTGTAACTTACACCACTAAAAAAAGAAGTATTTAACCTTTTTCTTGACTTTCTCAGAATTGTTAAGTTTCTTCAAAGTTACTTATTTATTGCTCTGAAGTTTCAATGGCTAGGCACACATTTTATATTAATTTGATCACAAATTATAATTTAGTCACTACTTGACAAGTTACTCCCTTAGAAATACAGTTAAAAAACATAAAGTACAGTTTTCAATTCCTTGACTTTCTCAGAATCATTCAGTTTAATCAAAGTTGCTTATGTTGGTCATATTGTTCTGTAAACAGCTTTCCTGAAAGTTTCAATGGCAGAGTACTAATTTTTTTTTTTTTTATTTGATTAAAAGAACCACAAAGAAAGAAAGATTCTGATGTAAGGAAAAAATCAAATTAGTATGATCTTTGAAGTTTGGTTTAAAAAAAAAATATAAAAACGCTAGAGAGAGGGGTCGAACCTCTGACCTTGTGGTTAACAGCCACACGCTCTAACCAACTGAGCTACTCCAGCTTGATGTTGATAGTATTTTATAGTTTATATAATATTTAACAACCATATGTGATTTAGGAAGTTAATTTATTTATTTATTTATTTAGGAAGTTAATTGGCATCTCTACTCTAGTACTCTTTTTCGTATGAAGTTTAAACCTATGATTCGAATTAGCTTAGGAGCTACAAAATCATTTAGACTTAATGTTACAATCTTAGTTTATAGTATATTTGTTGAATCTACTAAAATATGTAACAAATTCAAGATCTGAACCACAGTTTGTTTTTTCTCACGTAGTGAAACCTTGGAGTTAGAGTATTAACACTTATCCTGAGTCCTGACCTTCGATTGTTTCACATGTTAGATAACTTTACATATCATAAGATTCATAACTAACCCCATGTCACAAAATAAATCTTGACCAACCCATGTTGATATGAGATTTTTATGATACGTGATAGGTACCATACAAAATCACTTGTGCGAAATAAAACAAAACAACAAAGACATAAAGTCTTAGATTATATCCTGATCAATACGATAAACTGATTATTATCTCATTACAAATCTGTGTTTGATGAATAACATAGAAATTGTATGGCTAATGCGTATAAGTAACCTAGCAACTTGATGATATTCACACAAACTTGACAATTCGACTCTTTTGGTAAAAAAAAAAAAGAAGAAGCTAAAACTGTAAAAACAAAAAAAAAGGAAGGTAAAAATTAGAGAATCTTAAAAGTTCTCTTCCGTCGGGAGTGATCCCATGCGGCGATCCTCATCTGAACTTTCTCAAAATCCGATACACGACAAGGTATCATAATCCGACCCGGTTGATCAAACCCGTAAACCCGCTCCGCCTGCTCCAGCAACTCTCCGAACAGAGGATGGTTAAAGTAAATCACCGGAACCACCACACGCCGCGTATCGTCGCCGGATTCCCCAACGTGAACCACTAAATGTCCTTTCGGAACTGCCGGCGTCTTCGGTTCTTCACCTAACCGGGTCTGACCCGGTTTCGTTCCTCCGCAAAGTCTATTAGCTCCACGACGGAGACACCGCCTCGCTAAAGAGTACATTTTTGTGACCGGGTTGAGAATTCCGGTTAGGCATTGGCGTTTCCCGGTTTGGATTCTTCTACTTCGGATTATCCATTTGAAGATCTTGACGAATCTGTGTCCGATCTTGAAACCTCGAAGCCTCCTCATGTTGATTAGTAGATTCCGAGAAAAAACAGAGACCCAGAAAATAAAAATGAAACCTTTTGAAGAAATTATGAAATGGGTTTGTCTCGAGAAGATGATCAGATCGAAAAGTTCGAAGCTTTGGATTTTGCTATATGTCTTTCTCTCTCTATATGTGTTTTGTGTGTTACAGTAGAAGATGAAGAAGAAGACTGATTTGATTCTGAGAACAGAGAGCAGAGCAACCTTCTTTTTATAGCCTTTGAGGTGTGACGACCGTTGAATGGTTAATATGTGTGTCCGTGCGTGCGTGTGTGTACATGTGCATAATGATGTATAGTTTTCCAAATTTAACATGTCACTGATACAAAAATAAAAGTATTTTGTTTAAAATGTAAAAATATACTTTAGTTCATTGTCACAGTAATGAAGATTGGGTTTAACTTTATATTCTTTTTAAAGAAAGAAAAAGGATTTTACTTCTTCGTATCACGAGATGTTTATGTTTATGGATTCTTCCTTTCGATGATTTACGCCACGAGGCTACTTTTGTATCAAGACCAAACTCGTAGTTCAAGTTTTTTCAAATGGTTTGAATAAGAAATAACATGTTATTCACGATTTATGTATCAGAATTTGAGAACAAAAATTTGACATTAGGAACAAATATGTTGAAAAAAACTAACGTAAGGGAGTTGTTCTGAACCGGTTATCATCTATAAACCGGTGCTCGTTAGTATTTGGTGACCATACCTTTTTTTTTTTTTGTGTGGTGTGTTTAATCGGTGAATAGTCGTACCTAGTTAGCGTTTTCACGGTCAACCCCAAAATTAATGAGCAAAGCGTTTTTCATAGTCAATCTCAAATATTTGTACATTCGTACGGTAATGTGCCATTAAAGAGTTGACCTCCAAGTTTCATTTAGTTTTTTTTTTCCTTGGTCACAACTCACGAGTAAGTTGTTGTATATAATAATCTAATAGTATGGTTTAAGAGACCATGTATGTTTTGATTTGGTTTTGATATATATATATATATATATATTCTGTTTCGTCTTTTGAGTTTTGATTATACTTGAGAGGTCGGAACGCTTTTGGTTTTCTCTCGACATGTTGTGGTTAAAAACTCTTATTCCGATCGAAAGCATTTGGCATGTTATATATGTTCAATAGTACGTCCTTACACAACATAATAAAACAGTACTAGTCAAAAACACTATGATCATTAGTGATAATGCTTCTTGTTGTAATTGCATATAGGTTCCAAATTATAGCTTATTGTTTATTATATACTCATTTAATCATTTATCTGTTCAATATGTCGTCTAGTGTACATGCACATATGGGTTTTGTCAGTCTACTATGTATATAGACTAATTAAGTCTTACTCCAAATTTAATAATATGAACTTTTATAAGATATACTCGATCCATTTTAAAATAAAGGATAACATAAACGGCCATGTTTAAAGATATAAGCCCCAGATATGGAGATCAAGATGAAAACCTTCTACATGTACAGATATTAAATTATTTCAGGTCAAAAAGAAAATGATTATTACAAAGTTATTGATCTAAGAAAAAAACATAATCGGATAATGAAGAAAGACAAAAGCCATGCATGTGTGTTGGAGAGACATGGCGTTAGGATTTGGTCGGCAGTCGGCACGGCGCGTGCGATCTGCGTAACATGTTTCGGTTCACAGAAAGTGCCCTTCTTCTTCTTTCTTTTTCTTAATATCAAAATATTTCCACATTTTTTAATATATGTATTTGTATTTGAATAAGACATTTTCTTACACCTGTCTGAGATTTGCCTGGCCCAAAATTCCACTAATTTACAGACTTTTTTTAGTGTGATTTGTATCAGTATAACAACAAATGTATTGGGCAATTTCGTGTAATTTGATAAGCATTATGAAGGGTTAAGTTACTAGTCCTGTCAATTTTGTTAGATTTGGTCAGCAAATTTAACAAAATATTAATAAGTTTGATTTTGGATCAGAAGTGCTTAGACCATTTTCAGAAGAAGTGAAGAACCAATGCATTACACACAACTATTGAAAGAGAAAAGTAAGTGTTCGTTTGGCCAAAAAGAAAAAATATTGGAAAGAAAAAAACTGGGTGGCTTTATCGAAGGGGAGGATTGAAAGTAACAAATTTATGTACTTTTGTGTACCTAATTTTGAAGCATTCGGTACAATACATCCGTGACGGATTTATTCTTTCCAAATCTCTATTTTTGTAATATATTTATGGAAAATGTCATATATCATAGTTGAGTTGTTACGGCATACTAATGCATGCAATTAACTTGATAATATTTTTGTAAAGTAAATGATTTCTCTAATTATTACTGATTTACTGTACTGGTTTGATATCTACTTAACTTAACCTAGTCCAAGAAATTGAATATTGATACGGTATCCGTATGGATCATATATGATACTGCGACGCCTAAAAAATCCCATCAAAATGTTAAAAAGGAATAGATATATATTCACTACTAGCAATTTATCCACCAACAAAAGGAATAAAAATCTTGAGATATAACCAAGTAATCCAGGAGGAATATCTAGATAACCAGTTCGAAATAGCTTCACATGATACGTAATAATTGTATGTCTTCACTATAACTAATCGAGTTTTGATGATAATTTGGAGTTTTTAATTAGAACATGACTTAATTAGTTTATAAATCAAATACATCGCATCGGCTAATTAGTCGTGTTAATAACTTAATTAATAGTGACCACATGAATCCTCCCTAGCCGACCGAGAAAGGATTCAAAATATCGACAAATTTTAATATGTAGTTACGCATACAGGGAACATTGCAAGAAAAAAGAAAAAAGATATAGCAGTTCTTTATAAATATTCTTGAGATGTACTTAATGCAATGATGTAAACATGTTTTCAATCGAATCTAGTGATGCTGAATTATTAATCGAAAAACAAAATACAATTGTTTTAACGTTTAGCTACACTAAACATTTGTGTCATGAAACTATCTCGCCTTTGAACTCCAATATTAGATGTTGCGTATCTAATCTTTTAAGTCCGAACATGTTATACGTACTGATCCTAAATCTATGTTTGTTGAATCCATTGCAGATTCAATGTACCAAAGAGTTTAACTTAAGGTACTAGAAAGAGTAATTGCGATGGTGTTGAGCGTGTGGTTTGGTGACAGTGTGTTAATCAACACTAAACTACTTAAACATTTGCATAGAACAAAAATACGAACAGCGAATGACTAAGGTAAGTAAAACGTCAGATATGTTTGGGGACAAGAAGACAATCTTATCTATAAAAAAATAAAAATTGAGATGTAAGTACTTTGTTAACTTGTTGTTAATCCACCAATCACGGATCGCAATGTTTTTGTTGCTAAATCTCTAGCCATGTTCTTATCCTTTTGACCTTTTCTGCATAAATAATTTGCAAGAGTCCAAACACCAAACTTAACTAGTTAATAATTCATCATTAGTACTAGTCGTATAGTAAGATTCGCTTAGACCATCTCCAGCAGAGTATAAGAAAAAGTAGTAAAGAGAAAGAAACGTTACTTCTTTAAACTATTTAGAAAACGTTGCTCAACACTTGTCCATTATCTATTGGCTTGTTTATTTAAAAAATAAAAAATACTTGGGTTCACCAGTCTTAACTTTTAAATATAATATGATATGGTACATTGTTTTATTTTATTGCCTAACCAATAGAAGGTGAACAAGGTTGGCTAACTAATACAAGGTGAACCCTAGGAGTAAATCCAAAGAGTAAATCCAAGTATTGCTCTTTAAAAAAAATTATATAACTAAAATATAATTATTTAATTAGTTTTTGGGAAATTGCGGATGTGTGTCCAGTCACACCGGAGATGCTCTTATATGCCATATATATTTAGTAGATTGGTCTTTCAAAGTTATGATGATGTATGGTCGAACTATCCACTAATTTACTTGATTTCGGGGAATGAATAAATGATCATATCTCTACCAAATTAGAAGACAACAAAAATTTGAGAATAATGATTATAAAATAAACTTTTGTCATGGCTACACCCGAGATTATATTCCATGTTTGTTTGTTTGTTTTTTTAATTTACACACGATACTAAATATATATTTCCTACTATAAGTCACTATCTTGAAATTGCTACATTCCAAACAATTGAAATTGGAGAATTTTATATGGACGGACAACCAACCAGAAAGAAAAAAGTATTTAAATTAGTTTAAGTTAACTAAATCTGCACTACCACCATTTTTCATAAATGAGGATATTATAAGAATGTGTATTTGGCTTTTGGAAGAACGAATAGGTAAAGCTAGAGTTGGTTATTGACGAGAGAGCCTTAAAGAGAACCACCACTAAATGGCTCAAAAAATGCCCATTAAAGATCTTGAGTCTGCAACTTAAAAGCCCACTAATTGGTATGGCACTTGTAACTAAAGTACCAAAATGAGAACAAACCCTCAAGTGATCTTCATTCATCTTCACTCTCCTATGATTCACAAATCCTTTGTTTTACATACTCAAAACCAGTAAAATTCAAGTACCATATGATTCCTTTCCGAATTAGTGTTTTTGGGAGAATGTATCTCTGTAGTCTATTATACTTGAAAGATCTTCCAATAAATTAAAGTTTTTAATTGATTGTGAAACTTGCATTCTTGTGATTGAATGAGTCAAACCGGAATGGGGTATTCAATCACAGTTTCACCCATAAGTATGCCTAAAATTGGCATAGCTATGAAGAATTACATTATGTGACCAAATAAGAACTCGAAGAGGATCAAGAGTCAAAATAAAACTTACTATAAACTCATTTGAAACAGTTTTGATAATTTTGAAACGTTTTAAATGGCTTCAATTTATCATACGTGCAAGTCATAGTCTTCAACAACTATTTTAGAAACTAGATAAAAACATGACAATAACGTAGGCGTCGACCATCTAATTACGTATATTATATAATGTGACCCCTAGAAATAAACGAGGGAGTTAATTAATGTGTTGAGTGATTTACTCATGCCATTATAATAGTATTGAATATGGTCTGGCCAACTGGTGTGGTGTGTTATACACGACTTATTCTCGAGAATTAGTTGAATCATCTATTAGTGCCAATCACTTTCTTCCCATTTCATTATCTATATATATAAAGTTACCTTTTTCTCTCTTCTCCTTAAACCACATCATCATCCTAATTATCATCCACCTTATTTTATTATTTAATTTTAAAATTAATTATATCATTTTATCATATAATTTTAAAATTTAGACCTATGTAAATAAGTTTTCCAAAAAGAAATGTGAAAAGTCTTTTCTTATATTATACATTATAAAACTAAAAAAGATAATTGATTAAAAGTTATAAAAAACTTAATAATTATCGATTATACTAACAAATATATAAATAATAGATTATAGTTTTGAAGTGGATAATATATATATATTATATATATATAATTAAAAATAACATGACACAAAATTCGATTATATTTAAACAATTTAAACCTAAATTATAATGAGATTTAACGGGAATAGAAAAAAAAAGTAAGAAATTTTGAGTATATAAATCTATCTAATTTATGTCTCACAAAATTTTCCAACATAAATGAGATAGGTAGAAACGAAACATGAATTATCATTTAAAAAAACATATAAAAAGGTAAAAAAACCAAAAAATTATTTAAAGGTTTCCAATATGAATTTAACTAATATTTTCTAATACAACATATATGTTAAACTAATAAACAAAATAAAAAGTTAACTATATTTAATAAAAATTAAAAATTAAAATAAATAAACAATATTAAATGAAATAAACCAAATATAAAGTAAATTATACTAATATGTTAGATTTAAAAATTGTTCCATACGAAAAAACGAAAAATATATAAAACATAAAATCAGAAACAAATATATAATAGTATAAAAATGATCATAACGAGATATAAATTACGTCAAATCCAAAAAAAATGTAAAACAAAAAAAACTTATGACAATATATAAAGAGATAATGTAAACAATAAAAAATACAACAATCCACCCGAAACCCACAAATTATTTTCAAATTTTGGGCCAGCATATTAAAAAGACCCACAATATTAACATCTATATCTATATCTGGTAAAAACCCTAATAGCACATGTTTATGAGTTTCTCAATGATTCTCCACCGCACTTCCGTTTACACTCACACTTCACCTTATACTATACACATTTAATTTTTCAACAAATAATGAAGCTAAAACTCAATAGGTTTTCTATACAAACATAATATAAGTTAAAAAAATATATAGTATAGTGAAAAATTTAAGTAGAAAATAAAATACGAGCCAATTACTCATAAACAATGTAATAATACGCGCGGGAAACCGACTAGTACATATATAAAATTATTCACTTGACTTTTAATTAGACGTACGTTAGCTAGATCATTGTTAATCACATAAGCAAGCAAGCAAGTAAACTTTCTAAAAGACTATAAATCCAAGCGCTCACCTCCAAAACTAATTACTCAAAAATACAAGATTTATAAATAAATAAAAAGTGAGTAGAAGTTTCAATACATGGTTCAAAGAACACTATAGCTCTTTTCCTCACCATCAACCTCGTCCTATTTGGCTTCACGGTGTCCCAAACTCCGACGTGTCCCAGGGACATCGGAGCTTGTAGCGACATATTTGGCATCGACGCAATTATCAACCCTCGAACAGTGAGGCCATGCTGCGATCTTGTGCGTGGGCTTGACAGCACTATGGCATGTGTATGCATCTGCGATGCCATTAAAGTCAAAGGCTTCAATTATCCGTTTACTTTGGGACTTGCTGAGGTTCTTTACTTTTGCTATGTTCTCTTTCCACCAAGTGTTTACAGATGCGGTCCATCGTCTTCATCACAAAAGTAGCAGTCTAGCAGACCGGTTCTGTATTATCGGATAATAATGGTGCAAGTATGTTTCTCTGATAATTTATACGTGTGCTTAGCATGATTATGTTGTTTCTGAAATAAAGTGATAACATTCCTACTGTTAATTTTCACATGTTTGGGACAAGAAGACACTCTTATCTATGAAAAAAAAACAAAAATCAGATGCAAGTACTTTCTTAATTTTGTTAACTTGTTGTTAATCAACCAATCACGGATCTTAAATATCTATGCTGCTAAACACTGCCCACGGGAGCTTCTTTAAGTCACTATCATGAAATTGCTTCATTCCAAACTTATCATCTAAAACGTAGCACAATAAAACTTACAAGAAACTCATTGCAACAGTTTGTTTAGTTTTGAAACGTTTTAAATGGCTTTGGTTTATCATGCGGGCAACTCAAAGTCTTCAACAACTATTTTAAAGACTTGACAATAGGCGTCGACCAATTAATTAAGTATTAGTGTGACCCCTTGAAATAAACGAGGGCGTTAATTAATTGGGTGTTATGTGTTGACTGTTGAGTGATTTACTCATGCACTTTATAATAGTATTAAACATGGTCTGGCCAACTGGTCACATGTATCATACACGACTTACTCTCGAGGATTAGTTGAATTTATGAGTGCTAATCACTTCTTCCCATTTCATTATACATTTCATTATACATATATAAAATTATACTATAAATTCAAGCCCTCACCCCCCAGAACTAATTTTCTCAATCCAAAACACAACATAAAGTTTCAAAACATATGGCTTTAAAGAACACAATATCTCTTTTCCTCACCATCAACCTCGTCCTATTTGGCTTCACGGTGTCCCAAACTCCGACTTGTCCCAGGGACATCGAAGAATGTAGCGACATATTTGGCATCGGAGCAGTTCTCAACACTCAAACAGTGAGGCCGTGCTGCGATCTCGCGGCTGGGCTTGACAACACTATGGCATCTGTATGCATCTGCGATGCCATTAAACTCACAGGTCTCAGTTCTTCCTATACTTTGGGACTTGCTAAAGTTCTTTTCCTGTGCTATATCGACTATCCACCAGGTTTTAGATGTGATCCATTCTCTTCATCACAAAATTAGCAGACCGGTTCTGTATTATCGGATAATAATGGTGCAAGTATGTTTCTCTGATAATTTATACGTGTGTTTAGCATGATTATGTTGTTTTTGAAATAAAGTTTAAGCATTCCCACTGTTTTCACATGTTTGGGGGACAAGAAGACGATCTTATCTTTGCAAGAATCCAAACACCAGACTAGTTAATAATTTCATCATCAGTGATCTTTGTTCAAAAGATTATACTAACTTACGATATGTCATTTTCTAATGTTTTCTATGGACCTTTGAAATGAAATTACAGATTTGTATAAAATATCTAATAAGACTAATATATATACATTATTTGGCTTTTGGAAGAACGAATAGGTAATGCTACCTAGACGAGAGAGCCTTTAGGAGAATTTTGTGTCTTGTGTCTGCAAGTTAAAAGCCCACTAATTGGTGGTATAGACCTTGTTATTAAACCGAACTGAATCAATTGAATTTAGGAGAATCAGTTTGATTTCACTTAAACCGATACGGCGATTACACTGGTCAAGTTATATATATAGCCTTCCCTCTAAAACAAAACAAACCCTCGAGAAATCTTTATTCACAAAGACACAAAGCCTCCATACTCGTCGTCTTCACTATCCAAGAAATATGCCTTTCTCTTTCTTCTCCCGCAAGAAACCTTCTCGTCGGTTCAATGACTTCTACGAAGACTGGCTCAAAACCCTAACCGAAAACTGCCTCCCTCTCCTCCGTCAATCACTTTCCTCCGCCGCTTCAGCTTCCGTCCTCTCTTCCAACGTAGATCTCGTCCTCCGTCACCTAGTCTTGTACTACGAAACCCTAGACCTCGCCGCGGATCACAACACCATCCCTTACCTTCTCTTCTCTTCATGGCGCAACTCGCTCGAGACTCCGTTTCTCTTCCTCGGCGATATACATCCTTACCTCCTCACTAATCTCCTCCGTTCTTTCATCGACCGTGAGAATCAAGATTCCGATGAAGAAGAAGACACCTCTCTTGATCTCGTGAACCAACCGTTGAAGATCTCGACTGCGTGGAAAGACCCTTCTGATGAGCTGGTGCGAAGGATCCATCAGATTGAGTGTACGATGAGGCTTATGGTTCCTGGTTTGATGGATCGTATGAGGAAAGCACAGAGAGGTTTCGTGGCTCGTGTTTCTGAGAGTTGGGTCTCGTCGTATCAAGTTGGGAAGAAGAAGAAGCTTGCTGCGGTGGTTGCGACGGCTTCAGTGGCCGTGGATGAAGCGGGGAAGGAAGAGATGGAAGAGCTCGTGAGTATATTTGTTGATGCGAACCGTTTGAGGAAGAGTGTGATCATGGACATTGTTGGAGCTACGAGTGAGCATCAGGCTGCTCTGTTTCTTGAAGGTTTATGTCAGTTTCTTGTTGGCTTTAAAGATCAGGTCCTTCTTCAAAATTTCGAGATTCTTGCATTGCCCAATTAAGATGGTTGAATGATGAATCAGATTTTATTTCTCCGGTTAGGAATTTTTTTAGCAAAAAGAGAAAGTATGTTTACAAAATGTAATTCTTGTGTGTATTTTGCACTTGTGTGCTACGGTTTATAAACTTCTTTAGGTCAGTTTCTTCTTATTGCTTTGGTTTGATGCTAATAAAGTGTACTTAAAAGGGCTTTGAAGGAGTATAAAAAAATATTCTAATGCTCTTTTTGAAGCAGGTAATAAGAACAGAAATATTTGGGAATGATTTGAGATTTTGTTATGCCTAATTTGAAGCGTTTTATTGGTTGTGAATCTTGCATTTTAGTGATTGTATATGTTTAACCAAGATGGGTTGAGATTTGAGAAGCATCATGCGGCCCAAGAAGAAACCCAATAGGCTTGTAAATACCCTCTTTTGTTGTCGAAGAGGATCGAGAGTCGAAACTGAAAAAATGGTTTCATAGTAGTTTGAAGTCATCTAAAACGTGTAATAGTACAAGAAAACTTACAAGAAACTCATTTGAAACAGTTTGATAGTATTGAAACGTTTTAAATGGCTTCGGTTAATCATATGGGCAACTCAAAATCTTCAACAACTATTCTAGAAAATAATTAAAGACTTGACCATAACGTCGTCGTCGTCGACCAAACTAATTAAGTACCCCTAGAAAATAAACGAGGGAGTTAATTAATTGGGTGTTATGTGTACTGTGAAAGAGACATATCAACCGTTTTGAAATCATCAAATACTCATGCAATTTATAATACTTTATACTATTAAACATGGCCTGGCCAACAGGTCATATATTATAGAAGACGATACACGACTTATTCTCGAGGATTAGTTGAATCTATTTAGTGCTTCTCACTTCTTACCATTTCTTTAACGAGTAATATGCTTCATCTGTTGTTAGCTGGCATGTTCTACATGTGTATATATAAATGATCATTTTCATAATTTATTGTCACTCTCAGTATGATATTAGGAATGTTGATCATATGATAAAATATTATTTAATCGGTAGGTTGGGATTATTAACCATTTACAGAAAATATAGAAAATTGTAAACTCAATAATAGTCACGTAACATGTGGTATGCTCTATTTATAAGTTGTTTAATCTATTGGATCCTTAATATAGGATCTTGTAATTAATTATTTTTTGTGTTAATATTGCAATCAAATTTATGTTATATTCTTATAATTAATATTGTATTTTTGTGTGTTATGCTTGTATCATAAGTTGCATGATTTCTAGTGTATCACACAACATACTCTTTGGTAGATTTATGTGTATTTGTCACAATTTACCATGATACTGTTATAAAACAACTTAATCATCGCAGTAAGCCATTTTGCATATATATATCTCACTAACAAATTTATCCCATGCATGATCTATATATATATATATATATGATTGTTCACATATAAACAGACTAATTTTGTTTAGATTCTATTAGAAAACCTGTCGAGCATCTGAGTATATATAGAAGCCAGATCATGAAATAACTTGGGATATATACGATGTATGCTTTGACTGTACGCGTAAAGATACGTGGAGACACATATGCAAAATGACTTATAACATTATATGATAACCTATAACATATAATGTTGCCTTATCATTATCAGTCGATAACATGTGGACATTGACAAAATAAGCTTCAAGTTAGTGGTCGGCATGCACACATGATTTTTTTTTTTTTCATTATTGAACTAACATTTTCTACACACCAACCTGTATTCACACCCAAACAAATGTTTTTTTTTAAATGTAAAATTAAAATGGTTAACTAGTTACAGGCTGTTTATTTTTCTGCATTACATACAATAATATCGCAAAAACTATAAAAACAGAGGAAAAGTGAATGTGATTTCTATATTCAACCTAAGATTTACATCACTATCTTTTAACCTAAAGTTTTTTTTTTGTAAATAGGAAAGTGTGAGAAGGTGTATGAGAGTCAGCAATGTGTCATTCATATATATATATACATACATACGCTTACTCAAATGTTCTCTCCTTTATACTTGAACCTTTTTCGTCAAATACGAATTCATGGATTTGTCCGTTTTGGTAAAAGTATATAAGTTGTGTCATAATGTCGTCAGCATATGGTTGTGACTCGTCAATCGTCATATGATGCAGCGTAGGATACACGTGGTGAACCTTCCAAAGCCGGTGCAAAGACAAAAAACCAAATCTATCTCTCATTTTTTCTTTCAACTTTTTAAGTACTCTGACCAATTACATATTATTATTATTATTTCAAAAGCTGTTTATATACTGAAAATTTCTTCTTCCTTTTAGGGGCGGGGGGGGAAGATAGTTTTATATAGCTACCATGAAAACATGATTTAAAATCAATTACTATATGATTTTGTTATCATCCCACACCACCAAAAGGGTAATTAACAAAACATGCAAATGGCTAAACAAAAGTGATCACAGAGAACAAATCACAGCCGTTTGTTCAGTAATCATACATATTCATATAATCATACCTAACTTTACTCCTTAAAAAATCTTTCGAGTTATAATTATTGTAGGTCCCGTGATTTATAACTATTCATCATTTTAAACACCACAATAAGAGTTAGGACCCATGTCATTTATGATTTATGTCATGTTCATTACGAATTACACAATTTCAATAGAGAGTGTAACTCGTGTATATATAATTATTGTCCATCTTGTATGTAATTTGGTTGAACGTCAAAAGGTGTAATGATAATCAAATAATGGTGGTGACACCGGAACTAGAACAAGGCAAGTTCCTCGTCTCCTCGAGGTTAATGGGCCCATTCTAGGCCCAACTAACACGTGGTTACTTTACCCATTAGTAGTTTAACACGTGGCGCCTATGATTATTTTCACTTCACTTGACTCGTATCCACGTGTCCGTCAACGAACCAGCTAAAACAACTAACGGTTGTTGTTTTTATTATGGTTTTATTTTTTTTAGTGAACACGGTTTCTAATTTATTAGTAATTTCTCAGTCGATTTTTTTTTTGTTTTGGAAAATTATCATTCTAGAAATCTAGAGCCAGTATGACGGCTGTTTCACGCCGTTTAACTTTAAACATACAACATAATTAAGTATTGTTAAAAAATTATTTGTTTGGTCAAGTGAAAAATTAATTTTCTACAAATTTGGTATGCGACCAAAGATTTGAAACGTAAAATGAAATTGCAATGTAATATACAGTACATACATACTACTCGTTCAAAGATTCCACAAAATAAAAAAGTAATTAATTTAAGAAACAAATATGAATGATACAGAAAAAAAGAAAAAAAAAATGAAGATGGACTAATTAATGAGGAACTCGTGAATGAACAAGTAATTTAATGAGAAACTTGTAACGTGGGTCTTTGGTCGTCCGAATGGCAAAATTGGTAAATAAGTCAAACATGGGCGGTCTTTTCGAGATTAAACAAACGAAATAGCCTAAATAATTAACCTGGTTAACCACGTCTCTCTCTCTGTCTCTCTGAGATACTGACTTTTTTTTAAAATATTTTTAATTTTTAATTATAATAGTGTTATTAGAATGGAGAGAAGTCTATAAATACGAAAGCTCATCTCCTTCATTTTCTCCCTTCTCCTCCTTCCTTCGTCTCCTCCTAAATTCCTATTTTTTCGCAGCCTCTTTCGCAAGTTTTAGGGTTTCTTTTTTTCAAAAAAAGGAAACAATCCCTGATCTCTCTCTCTCTCTCTCTCTCTCTCTCTCTCTCTCTTTCTTTCTCCTTTCGCGATCCCTGGGATTTTGTTTTCGAAAGGAGAAAAATCTGCATTTTCTCCAGATTCTCTAAACCTCTGTTTTTTGTGTTTTTTTACACACAAAGCTCCCTTTGAATCAGGTACGTTCTCGTTATGTTTCTCGATCCGTTTTAGGTTTTATTGTGTGGATCTCCTTCGTATTCAAAATCCTCTTTTTTCTCGATTGGAAAATTCTACCCCTTTTGCTCTGTTTTGAATTCGGCTCTGTTCTCTCCTACCATACAGACACAACATTGGTTTCTGCAAAAACAAAAACATTGTCTTCGTTGTATTTGGGAGTGTGTTAAATGTGAAAATACTAGTACTATTACGAACGACATGTCTTGAATTGGTTCCATTTTTGTTTATACGCGTGATTTGGTCAAATATTTTTGAGTGATTACGCTGTTTTTTTTATAATTGTCGGTAGACAGAAGACTCTTTTTAAAAAAGTAAATGAGTTTAGCTGTCCTAAAGAAGAAGGCAGTTTGAAAATTTCGGTACTTGTCAAAATCAGTGGCTCCTTTTTCCTATATATGCATTAAACAACAGGATGGGTTACACATGACTCTCTTTTTTGACTTTTCTGTGTTCTTCTTGTTTCCTCTCCCCCTCTACTTTTGCTTTAATGCCAACATTAAATTACACCCTCTGTGATGGATACACCAAAAAGATTACTAAACCTTGGATTTTGCGTGATCCTGGTACATGTATGTACAACTACTTCATTCATGACATAAGACTGCTTTTGCAGTCTGATCTAACTCAAATCGTTTGTTGGACAATTATATAGGTTTTGTGGTAATAAGCTGAAGATCTAGTAGAGATGATAAGGTAATGTATAGAGAAACATCTGCTTTGTATTGGATTTTGTTTTGTCAATTTTTTGCTGAGTGTTCTGTTTTTGTGGTTACCTTTTCAGCTTTCAGGGAGCCTACTTTTAATGGATGCTTTACAAACAAGCAGTGACAAGAAAACACTAAAGAAGTGGTTTTTCATTGACAAGAGAGTTGGATAAAGAAGATAACGCAAGTGTGTTTTAGAAGAAAAGCCATCGAATTTAATTTGTAATTGTTTGTAGTTCGATGGATTTGAATATAAGTAAGACCAACCCTGTTCTTACTGACCCTACTACACCAGTCAACAAATCAAGACTCGGATCATCCTTCCCTTCTGGTAGATTCATGATGAATTCTAGGAAGAAGATTCCTAAGCTCGACGATGTTAGATCCAACGGTTGGTTGGATGCGATGATATCCTCGTCCCCACCGCGTAAAAGGCTTGTCAAGGATTTCAACGTTGAGATTGCTCCTGAAGATGATTTTGCTCAACGAGCCTGGATGGTAAATATACTAATATCTCAAAAAAAAATGTTTGATCTCTCTATTAAATTACTCTGTTTCACTATTTTCATTCTTTAATCTTGACAGCTCAAGTATCCTTCAGCGATTAGCTCGTTTGCACATATTGCAGCTCAAGCAAAGAACAAGAAGATAGCTGTGTTTCTAGATTATGATGGAACGCTTTCTCCAATAGTCGATGACCCTGATCGCGCCATCATGTCTGATGCGGTAAGAACTAAAACTCCTTTTTGATAAGTTTTTACTCTTTGGACTGAAACACTAAAAGGCTAAGTCTGCTCTACCTATCTCTCTCAGATGCGTGCTGCTGTTAAAGATGTCGCTAAATACTTCCCAACAGCAATCATTAGTGGTAGAAGCCGTGACAAGGTGAAACTTCTAAACCATGATTCATGTATTAGTTGTATCCAAGCTCAGTTCAACCAATAAAAACTTCTAATACTGTTTGAGTTTGCTTATGCAGGTCTACCAATTGGTAGGACTAACCGAACTCTATTACGCGGGTAGTCATGGGATGGACATAATGACTCCTGTAAATCTAAATGGGTCGCTTGAAGACCCCAACTGTATAAAATCAACTGACCAACAGGTGAGAGATCATTACTTTCATTTTTATTCAAATATATATGAAATCAAATCTTGTATCTTCTTATCTTTTTTTTCCCTTTTTCTTGAATAGGATGAGGAGGTAAATCTCTTTCAGCCTGCTAAAGAGTTCATACCCGTCATCGAAGAGGTATACAATAGCCTCGTTGAAATAACTAAATGCATCAAAGGTGCAAAAGTGGAGAACCACAAGTTCTGTGCCTCTGTACATTACCGTAATGTTGACGAGAAGGACTGGCCAATCGTTGCTCAACGCGTTCATGACCACCTGAAACAATACCCTCGCCTGCGTCTAACTCACGGGAGAAAGGTACTTACTTTACTTGAGGAACAAACATGCATCACTCTGGTCTCACGTTCGATCCAAATCTCTTAACACAGTTTTGTTTATATGATCAGGTTTTGGAGGTTCGTCCTGTGATCGGGTGGAACAAAGGAAAAGCAGTCGAGTTTCTGTTGGAATCTCTCGGATTAAGCAACAACGACGAGTTCCTCCCAATCTTTATCGGAGATGATAAGACCGATGAAGATGCATTCAAGGTACTGAGGGAAGGGAACAGAGGATTTGGGATATTGGTATCCTCTGTACCTAAAGAAAGCAATGCATTCTACTCTCTTAGAGACCCTTCCGAGGTATACTAATCGTTTCTAAATCATCATATAGTATTATCTTAGTATGTGGATTTGTAACATGTAAGTTTTGGTATTGGTTGCAGGTGAAGAAGTTTCTCAAGACTTTGGTGAAATGGAAGAAGATGGAAAACTCTACATCAAGTTTTTGATGATTGTGTAGGAGAATCAGAAGCTTCGTTCTACACTGCTTTTTTAAAATGTTCTTTTACCCTTTTAGATTTCTTTTCTTCTTCTTCTTCATAATTTCTACTTTTATATCTTAATTTATCATTTTTTCCCATATGATCCGTTAACTAAAGCTGTATTAAAAATTAAACTCTTTCGTAATTTCACAATTATCTCATGTGCTGTATTGAAACTTGAAAGTGGTACATAAAATGGATCCTCTATTCTTCGAATCTTTGGATTCAGATTAGAGTTTTAACCTAAGTCTTAAATCAATCTTTTATCATTAACAGAGACTATTTATATCTATGTTTTTATTTATTCTGAAGATAACACTAATCAGTACTTCAATTATCATAAATACGTATCTCTAAAAATATATGGATCTTCTAATTTGTTTACATAAATGTCATTTTTACAACTGAAGTAATCATATAATTATCATTGCGTCACAAACAAATTATGTACAGTCGAATTAAATTTGTTATAATAGTTTCTGAATATTGTTTATAAATTGAGATTACAAGATTAATATATAATGTTAGATTATCCAAATTTGGTCCCTTCAAGATTTTCATCTTAACAAACAGTTTTTTTTTAAAAAAATTTAATAAAATTTTTAATTAAAATAATTAGTTTATAAAAGTTATATGGTATACAAGAAAGACAAATGAAATTATATAGTTAATTGTTTAGCTGCTCAATTAACTCTTCTAGGGCTATTTCAACAAGTATCACACCAATTTCCTTGATAACAAGAATATTCTTAATTAAACCATATTCTCTAATTCATTAGTTGGGTTTATGAGTTTAAACATTTGTACCCATAACCAAAAGTTATATATAAGTTGTCACAACTTTGATCAAATCACCAACAACTTTCTTTCGGAACGGCCATTTTTTATTTAGTGAGGTTGAAAACAATAACCTAATTTAGTGTTGTCTTCTAGTTTTTTTATCGAGAAGGCTGAGATACAAATTCTATAAACAGTCAGTCTTGATTATGAAGTCACATTAGTATATAGCCTTTATGGAAAAAGTATTATATACCTTTAAAATCAATACTATTTAATTTTCTATAAAATGATATATTTAATGTGGGAGAAGAAAGAGTAATACATTCCTTAGACTAAAATTTATAATGTAATCATTTTAATAATCCATTAAAAACCAAAAAATTAAAGAAAATACAAATATTTTGTAAAAAAAAAAAATATAATATTACTCAAGACAAAAAGTGGTAGTTAATATAAAAAAGAAAGAAATAATTTGGAAAGTATTAAATATTATGACGTTATAATCATAGTAAGTGATAATGAATCTTAAAGATTGTGTGAAAAAGTAATCTTCGAAGAACCTAATGGCTAATAATGAAATATGACTAAAAAGAAAGAAAAAAAAAGCTCAAACAAATGTACCAGTGAAAAGCAAAGTGACATTTTGGGGATCGAACTCGTAATAACAACAACCAAGTTATAACCGAATTGAGGCCATACGACGGAATCTGTTTAACCAGAACCGAATCTAATAAATTCAATTTGGTTCAGTAAAATAAAAGAACCATACCAGTATAAACCAAATGTGGTTTTCATTTGCTTTCTTATTTTATAAATGGAAAAATAATTATTGAACAAAAATTACCCATTTCCTCCGAGACCGCGACACACACACACTCACACGAACCGAGTTTATCGTGTTCAAAATTCCACGAGCACCGTTAGATTCTCTTCTCTTCTTTAGATATCAAAAATTTATTTTTATGTTTTTAACCAGAAAGAGATCCACGATTCAATTATTGCCTCATAATTATAGAATTATAATACTTGAAGTCTATTTATTATGGGTCTATTATCTATTAAAAGTAATCTCGATCAAATTAAGTAATTCTTCTAAAGTTCATGGCTTCCTTTTGCAATTACCAAAAACATTTCCTACCATGAACAAAGAGAGAGACAAAGAAACTACCACTCTCACTCCGACAAACCTCCATAACAATGGCTTCCAAATCCACCGTCACAACATTGACCACCTTCTTCTTCTTCATCATAATCTTCATCTCCATCGAACCTAAAGTTCAGTCACAGCAAATCTCAACCGTCGATTCAGAATGCACAGGCCGTTGGATCCACATCCGTACACTCCCATCAAGATTCAATCTCGATCTCCTCTCAACTTGTAATCGTTACCCACTCACCGACGATCTCTGCCCTTACTTAGCCAATCACGGACTCGGCCCTAAAACCCATACCCGTACCCGAAGCTGGTATCGAACCGACCCGTTGCTTCTCGAACTCATTTTCCACCGTCGGATCCTCGAATACCCATGTCTCACACCCGACCCGGATCTCGCCTCCGCCGTCTACCTCCCTTACTACGCCGGCATCGATTCCCTCCGTTACCTCTACGGACCCGATTTAAACTCCAGCGCTGATCACGGGTCTGATCTCCTCGAGTTTTTGACCCGTGATCAACCCGAGATCTGGTCACGCCGCTCGGGTCATGACCATTTCCTCGTCATGGCCCGACCCGCTTGGGATTTCTCTCAGCCGTTGACCGTTGACCCTCCGGTCTGGGGAACGTCGTTTCTAGAACGCCCTGAGTTCTTCAACCTGACGGCGTTAACTCTCGAGTCTCGTTTCTGGCCGTGGCAAGAACAAGCCGTCCCTTACCCGACGTCGTTTCACCCACACAGCTTGCCGTTTTTGGAATCCTGGATCCGCCGTGTACGCCGCTCACGGCGAACTTCTCTCATGCTATTCGCCGGCGGAGGAGGCACCTCGTCTTCCCCGAACATCCGCCGTAGCATCCGGTTAGAGTGCACGAGCACAAACGTAACCGAACCGGAATCAAAACCGGATAAAATCTGCGATTTCGTGGACTGCTCAAACGGAATCTGCGAGCACGATCCGATCCGGTTCATGAGACCGATGCTACAGTCATCGTTCTGCTTACAACCACCGGGAGACACACCAACACGGAAAGCTACGTTCGACGGAATCATCGCCGGATGTATCCCGGTGTTTTTCGAAGACCAGACGGCGAAAATGCAGTACAGCTGGCATTTACCGGAATCCGAATACTCGGAGTTCTCGGTGACGATTCCTAAAGAGGATGTTGTGTTCAGAGGAGTTAGGATCCAAGACGTGTTGATGAGTATACCAAAAGAAGAAGTAGCGAGGATGAGAGAGAGAGTTATAGAGATGATGCCTAGAGTTATGTATAGAAGACATGGAGCTTCAATGGGTTTGATGAATAAGAAAGATGCTGTTGATTTAGCCATTGATGGGGTTTTGGAGAAGATCAAATCTAGAAGTTTGATTTGAGATGAGATGAGATGAGATGAGATGATTACTAACAACACTTTAAACAGGTATGTATAATGTTGTTGTTTTAAGTATACTAAATTCTTTTTTTTTGTATGTGGTTTTTTGATTGCTCATGTTGAGATCAGGTTTTATAATCTCATATATATATATATATATATATATATATATATACTAGTTGTTACATTAATACTGATTGTTAAGTCTTGGTAATCTCTATATGATTAGTGATTAGTGTGAAGTTTTAACTAGTCTATGAAGATGTTCTTGTTTTTAGGTGAGTGATATAATGTGATTGCTTTGTATCCGATCACTGCGATCTTTTATGTCTACAAAGCATCAACTATTTAAGTTAAGGGATTCATATAAATTGGGAACAAATCAGCTTTGTCAAATCACATTACAATTGCATGATTAGAGTAGTAACAGCATCCACCATACGAGGTTTACAAACACCAAATCTTTTGCATTTGCATGCAACTACACGTAAAAACACACACACACACACACAATTCTTACAATAAGTTTACAAGTTTTAATGAGTGATTTATCATCTCTCTATGTTTAAACTTTAAACCCATTTTTGTTAATCATATGGATATGGTAAGAATCTTTGTGCATTCTCGCAAACATGTTCGTTGCTATAGATTAACAGTAAAGCCATTATTCCAATAATGAACCCATTTACCTATTTGGGCCTAGTCCAATAATGTTTTTTTTTTTTTCCTTAGAGTTGTGACTGTTTCAAACAATATGCAAGTTATGGGGGATCACATACACTTTCTACTGTATTATTATGTAACAAAAACAACAAAAAAAACTAACATTTTATAAAATTTTTTCTTTGTATATAGGAATTTTGGAAATTTTCTATTATAGTTTCAAAAAGTAAATTTTAACATTACATATCACCTAAATATGGACATATTTAAGTCTCTTACAGTGTCATAAATTCTACTGAAAAAAAATTTGATTTGTTTCATTAAATAAAATTGATATGGCAGAAATTGACAGAACAGAGGAATACAACAGGAAAAAATATCCTAAGGAAAAAGACTTTTTTTTTTCTTAAGGAAAAAGACTTTAAAGATGTGAAAAAAAAATGAGGAGAAACCCAAAAAAAAAAAAAAAAAAAGAGTTAGTGGGGAGGAAGACTAAATGGGTTAATGGAGCACAAGGATTATAACAACTCATCCACATATAAATTTGTGAGATAAGAGTCCAATTGATTCGACTGATTATAGTACACTCCACTCTCATTTTACTTCCTTTCCTTTTGTCCCTTTTTTCCATTAATCCGATACCTTTTGTTTTCCTTAACCTCATTTTTTCAAAGATTATTTATGGGTTAATTTTCTTCTTAATTAGCTAAAAAACAAATTTGGTTAATACCTTAATGGTATATCAAGTTAATGAATTTTGAACTTTGTGATCTATAGTTTTTTTATAAGACCAAGGTTAAAAAAGCAAGAGAGAATCATTATTTGTATGAAAGTTCGTTCAATTGTATACAGCCGAAAAAATCGACTTAGGATTTTTTTCTGTCTTTTCTTTTGTTTTGAAAACATGTAATATAGATAGATTAAAAATAATAAGAATAACAAAAAATATACCATTTTCATACAAAAGTAAAAGTGGGAGTCACAATATGCTTACCAAAAGTGGTCATATGAAATCTAAGACATCATCCAAACCACGGAATAAAAAAGAGAGATTCGCCTACTTTTGCAGCCTACATATACCATTGTTGATGATGCTCCTCTGCTCTCTATTAGTTTGTAACTCTTTTTTTAATATAAATAGTTTCTGTTGATAACAAGGATTTGTATACATTATGTATTGGGGATTCTAGGTTTACGAAGAAGAAGAGGAAGTCATTAAATTGCTAAAGACGAATCAACATCACACTACTAAGTGTTGGACACATTTGTCCCAAGTTAGATTTTGAGCATGTTTCTCCAGATTTAGTGCAATAATTGAGGAACTAGACAGAATAAGAAACGAAATGACTCGTGGAGGGGTAAACTCGTAAGATGCATATTCGACTTGGCCTATCAAAATTCAAAAGGTGGTGAACTTTTTTTCTCATAAAATAAAATAAAAATCTATTCTACACCATGGACAGGTCTAAACTAAAAGCTCCATAAAATTTTTATTTTATAAAAAAATAGACAAAATATAATCTAAAATAGAAAAAGAAAGAAACATCGCTTTCATTTTTATGAGTTTTCATTTTCTTTCGTTTATAATATATACTCTCAATTTTCTACTTATCCTCAATTCCAAAAAAAAAAAACAAAATCTATTACTAGAGATTTGCCACCACACTCAAAAATTCCACTTAGACTTTGTGCAGTAAAGTGTGTTTTTAGATACGAAAGAGTTAGGCGAAATCTTCTAGGCTCTTTGCTCGATCGAACTAGTTGATGATATTTGTTTAGATTTTCTTTTTGACCATAGGAAAAAAAAAGAACAAAGACAATCATATAAGTGAATGACGGGAACCTAATTTATGAGTTTGGTGTTGAAATATCTATCTATCACCGAACTAAATTCTTCAGGACCATCATACTTAGATTTTGGATACACACTTTCATATTTAACCAGCTTATGAGAGTTACACATAATCATTAACAGAACATAATGTTAAGTAGATACATTTCATGGAAATAATATGAATGTAAATTTATTTTTAATTTTTTTGATCATAAATTTATATAATCGCTCGACATAGTTGAGCTTTTTTAATATGTAGTAATATTATACGTATATTTTTATGTCAATAATATACATGATTGCATATATATGATAGTGATCCACAACGACAACAATAGTATAAACCACTAAATTACAATTGTAATGACATTATTTTATCAATTAGAAATATTTTACATCTCTATATGTTTTAGCAACCTAATAATACATGAGAGTCGAATTTCTTGTATAAAATATATGGATTGCAAGAAATATAATCAAGTGGTATATGTGAAAATTTATCCAAAAGTTGTAAAGTTAAAATCACAAACTTATTTCACTCTCCAAGTTGAGGTTTGTTGACTATTTCTTTCCAATCAAATGAAATACAAATAGGAGAAACTCTAACCACATGTTTAGCTTTTAATAATTATAGGACAAACTGAAACAACAACAAAAATAAAATAAAGAGACAAAGAGAGATCAAGTTTATTCTAAAATTTCTAATCTTTGAAGATAAGATAATGAAACAGACCACTTGTTGTCTCTCTGCATTGATATAGCTCTCATAATTTTTAAACGAGGACACTTCTTCGTCTTAAACTTTTTGTATTTATACTAATCATCGTGATAATTGTTTGGTGATACACAAAAAAAAGAAGAAAAAAAGAAAACAATCGAGACAGCCCAATGTTTGAACGACACGTTTAACTCTGTGATCATATCTACTAATGAGACATAGATTAGATATGTCTTGTACTATCACAAAAAAAATAAAATAATAATAATAATAACTAAAATTTTAGAAAGATTCTGGTGTTCTATTTTTGGAGGCATTATTCAATAACCAATGTTAATAGAATATAAACCCAATAATTGATATTATAATAGTTTATTTTTACCTAATATTTTGTGTCTTTGGATTTGATATTTTATATTTATGATACTTCTGAATTAAATTTCTTTCGGTTAAATATTTAAACAACATTCTTTATAAAAATTGTAAGTTTATAACACATCTAATAGAATTTCATTTATAAATGGGTTAGAAAAAAATTATTATGAACCCCATCCACAAAAAATTTAATACAAAGTTTATTAACTTCTTATAGATGATATCAGTTAAAATGTCTAAGTCTTCAAACCTATATGTCATCACCACCTTAGAAACCTATCCAAATGCTTTTTAGATTTTGGAAGATTTTGTTGGATAGCATATTTATTATTTGTTTAGAAGTTTACAACAATATTTAATACAGTTTATTAATTACTATTTTAAAATTAAGTAAATATAAATTTTCATTTTTTTCCTCTCATTTTATTGGCTTTACAGTTGTACAAAGAGAGATTTTGAACACATTTTAAGCACAGGGAATCTAACCAAATATTAATTTTATTTTGTTTATTTAGATATATAAATAGTGGTAAGAAGAGTACTATGACTGCTACACTTTATTTCTCTCTCTCCCAAGCTATAACTTGAACAAGAAAGAGAAGAAGAGAAGATACCCTTTATAAAAACATAACAGAGGGTTTTTACATTCTCTAGTGTTTTGTTTTTGATTATTAGAAAGTCTCTTGTTTTTCTTCTTCTTCGTTGACAATGTCGGGAAACAAAGAAGAAGAGGATCCTCGTATCAACGGAATCAAGACTAAGATCCGTGTCGTTCCTGATTTTCCCAAGAAAGGTAACTTTCTTTACTTCCTTCTTTTGGAATTGTGGTGTGTGTAAGTATGTTATATCCAAGTGTGCTCTGTTTCATCGCATAGGAAGTGTTGTTTTGTGTTTGGCAAAAACTAGTTTTCCCCAAGAAAATGCAGGTGTTTTGTACAGTGTTTTGGTTTTGTTATGAAGTTTGTTGTCATTTGATATATTTTCTTGAAAAGAGCAAAAAAATTCAAGAATTGTTACATTAAAGAGAAAGAAGAGTAAAAAAGATATATTGTGTAGGGATAATGTTTCAAGACATAACAACAGTGTTGTTGGATCCGAAAGCTTTCAAAGACACGATTGATCTGTTTGTGGAGAGGTACAGAGACAAGAACATCTCAGTGGTTGCAGGTAAAATATATATCAAATCTTTTTCTCTCTTCTTTGCAAAATTCATATTTTTTATTTAATTTTGTTTTGTTTGACAGTTGGATATGGTGTAATTTTTATGGATTTACTATTCTAAGAATTCGGCATATTTGAGTGAACTGGATTATTTTATTGTTTTTCAAGATTTTCTGGGGAGAAAATAAAAGTGGGTAGGTCATGAATTTAGTGACGTATAGATTTTTTTTTCAATATGAAAAAAACCATTACTATTTATTTTTATTTTTCTCATATAGGCTAATTTAATGTATATTTTGAACTCGTGAATAGTTGAATTGTTTGGTGCGCGTGTTAAGTTTAGTGGAGTCTTGATTTTGTCTCCAATGCAAATGCTAATTAGTGGAATCTTAAAGGTATAATTCCGAAATCTTTATTTTACATTGAACTTAGATGAAGAATACTTAAAAATTAGGAATAGACATCTCAATTAGGTTGCTCAACTTGGTTATCATCCAAAGTGGTTGTTCTAGTACTTATTGTTTATTTATTTTTATTTTCTCTTTTACGTGGTTGTGTATTTTAAGATTCTTTTAAAGATCTGTTGTTTATAAAGATTAAATGTGTATAAATAAACTAACTTCATATGATATATATATATATATATAACTTCATATAAAGAATTTGATGGTCAATATATACTCAAGTACAAAAATTATAGAAAAAAAGAATCGAATACAGTTTTTTGTTATATCACATATTCTATATATAAAAGAAATTTGGTTGAGACAAGACTCACTCTTATCTCTGAAATCTAATCTTTCAGTGTGATTGAGTGACTGAATGAGATTGATTGCCTGGATCATTCTTCCTTCTAAATCATATAAGAAAAAAGTATACTTATTTTCTATTATATTCTTCCACCTTTTTTTTTATAACAAAAAGCTTATAATTGTTGATCTTACTTATGTGAAAAAGTGTTTGTGTGTGTGTGTGTATGTGGTGTGTATTGTTTGGATAGATGGGTAGTTGAGTGATGGATGTAACCTTTTAAAAAGAGTTGGCCCCCAAAAAACTTGATTTGGGTCTTCTTTCTTTTTCTATCATCATTGTTTTGGCCAATTCTTTTCTTCTCACTTTTTCTGTATGTCTCTCTTCTTCTATGTAATGAAGTACAAAAACTTTTGTAGCTTTGTTACTGTTGTAATATAAAGTATGATGAGGTACATCATTATTTCTCTTTTACTTTTTTTTCAGTTGCCTTTTCAAATCAATAGAATCTTTTGCCTAGACAGATTTAAAAGATAGAAATCACCAAACCTATATACAAAACTCGTTTGATGTATACCAAACTCTATAGTTTTATTTGTGCATGGCACATGGTAACATAACAAAATTTATGTATTTGATGAGTCAAATTCTTTTTAAGTATATGTAGAAAGATGTATTTGTATTTAATTATTAAGCCCATACAATACATGTGTAGACTACATCTACATGAAGCACCGAAACGTATCTTTTTGTGTTAGTGCTCTAGAATCTGTCTATTGGGATTGTTGTTGGGACAGGAGTCTTTCTTTATCTTTCCTTCATTGCTAATGTTCTTAGCTGGACTCTTTGTAATAATAACATATAACAACATACATAATTGTGTTTATCTATATACAAAGAAAGATTAAAGTATTGGGAGTAACGCTACTTAATTATCGAGACCTTCTTTGATATGGTTTCAGGAATAGAGGCTCGTGGTTTCATATTCGGTCCACCAATCGCGTTAGCCATTGGAGCAAAGTTCGTTCCCCTTCGGAAACCAAAGAAACTGCCTGGTTCGAAAACTCGAATACCACCTTTCATATAACTTTTTTTTAAACTAGTACTATTATACATTATATATGCCTAAACATGACATAAAATGTAACTAGGCGAAACGATTTTCGAGGAATACGAGTTGGAGTACGGGAATGACCGGCTCGAGATGCACATAGGAGCTGTCGAGGCAGGAGACCGAGCTTTGGTCGTTGATGACCTAATTGCTACTGGCGGTACTCTCTGCGCTGCCATTAACTTGCTCGGTAACTTAATTCACACATGAAAATTCAATTGAGTTGAACCTAACATATTTGCAAAGATATTCATTTACTCTTGTTTTTTGGTATTATTTGGGGACCATGTTAGAGAGGGTTGGAGCAGAAGTTGTGGAATGTGCATGTGTGATCGAGTTACCGGAATTAAAGGTTCGCTGTCGTGAAAATTTAATACGTTATATTTCGTAACACAATAAATTGAGATCCTCTGATATTGGTGTGACATTTAATACTTTATTTTGCAGGGAAGGCAGAGACTGAAGGGGAAGCCATTATGTATGCTTGTGGAGTACCGATGATGAGAGTTTTTAGCTGAGTTACTTATTTGTATGATGATGATATTATGGGGTTAATTAATTTGGTTTATGCTCCGAAAATTCGGATTATTGCATGCAGACTTTTTATTGGATTATTACAGTACTTTGATGATTTAAGTTCTGGGGATTAGCTGGAACAAATAATTCCTAATTTATTTACTGTTTTTAAAAGTAGTATTAAATCTATAGTATTAGTTACCCCTAATATATACTACTAAATTAGTTAATTTAATTATCGTTTTTGGAGTAACTTTATACATAGCAAGGTAAGATCAATGTGAATGTGCACATAGAGAGATCACATACACACATCATTACACTATCATGATTTTTTTTTTACATATACAACACATCATTACACTATCTTGGTTTATGGGTTGGAGAGTCTATGGGTTAGTGCACATAAATATATGTGTATGTAGGCACACATATATTTTCAAATTATATTTATTACACCCACAAAATTTCAACAAGAGTACAAGACTACAATTCTTTTCATTCAAGATTGAATTTGGAATGACAATATTTACTCTTTCATATCTAACCTTCTTTGAACATTAACATGCTCATGTATTGCTTAAAATGCTTATGCCGAGTTCTTACATATATACATGCATCATAAATGGTTCAGAAACGTAATTATAAGAGACAAATAAAATATTTCTCTAGCTAGAGGTGAAGAAGACAAAGAACTATGATTAGGATCTCCATTGATATTGTAATTATATATCATCATATTTAGTCTTCCACCAGATTGTCTTTGCCATGATTATGTTTTCTCCCAATCACATTTTCTGAAAGTCAAACTAAAACACGTATATCAATCCCCACAAAAGAAAAAAAAAAAAGAGTAGATTAATTGGCCGATGCCATATAAATTTATCTAAATGCTGCACTATATATTAACAAAGTAAAAACTCAAGGACATGAGTGCTTATATTTCTACTCTTATCTTTTAAGATAAAGTGTTTCTTTCCGTAAATTAATAGTTACACATTTCATAACAACACAAAGATATATGAGTCGGACATGTAACTTTTTGTTCAACAGGTTCATGGAGATGATCGATCACAGTATCATGACCTCCCAAACGCTTAAAGCGTTGTACTTAAGCCACTACGACTCAACCCGCAAGAAGAGTTTCATGGACATATATATCATCTTTCTATTAAAGTACTATGATGACCCTTCAAGCAATTCACAACGTTAGTTCTTGAAAACAAAATTACAGTGTTTAGAAAGAAGATATTTAATTATGAAGTGTATTTTTTTAATATATATATTATGTTACAATCTGAAAATGATTAGGAAACAAGGCAACACCGCACGTGTATCAAAGACAAACAACTCGCCGTCACGACCCATTACTGAGTCCGACCCAAACCCGATTCTATCATCTACCCGACCCACTATCACCCGACAAATCATCATCGCCTTCCTTCCTCCGCCGCTCGCGTACGCTTCGCCGCTACCGGAAAACGTACACACAGCCTGACTTTTCCCGCCGGAGAAATCCCACGCGCCGCCATTAAACCCGTCCGGGACAGGATAAAACCTCATCATCTCGTTACCATCAGCCAAACACCGTGCGTCCTCCTCCTCGCACGTGCCTCGGTTTAAACACGCACGTGACTTCACAGCCTCTCTGTACTCTTCGAACCGGGTCACAGTCCTCGACCCGTTTTCTACTTTGAAAATCATCTCGATCCGACCCGGAAACTCGTCGGAGCTCCAGCTTGACTGGAATATAATCTCCACAACGTTCCTCGACGGGTGACCGTCGGGCAGCTCGGTCAGCGTTTCAGACGCTCGGGCAGATTTGCTCCTTCTCGTCCGGGTTTGTGGGTTAACAAGAAGCTCTGTTTCGGTTCGACAAGACTTCAAACGCCTTAAACTCGGGTCGGGCTTCGGGTTTTTCTTGGGTAAACGTGTATCGATCACGTCTTTGACGCAATGTGAGCTCTTACGACTACAAGCGTGACTCGAAGAGATTAGTGATTTAGTAGCTCTAAAGTTGTAGACATCATCGAACGCTTTTGATTTGCATTGCCATGACTTGATCCACCCGTTTGGCATGTTCGTGTTATAGAAGACTTTATTTTGGTTTTGTTCTCTCTTTCTCTGTTTCACAAGTTATGATGAACAATACCCGCGAACGTTTTATTATGATCACTGCAATGACGATTTTACCCTTTTCTCTTTTTTTTTTTTCTTTTGGGCCTGGTCCATAATACTTGCCACTTGGTCCAGTGTGGGTGACTCAAATCATATGCAAGTTGATTTTTGTGAATGTTAAAATTGGTGGTATTAGATTTGAATGTGTTGTGTATACATGCGACTGATTTGATGATGCGGGTTATATTTATGGTTTTCTGTAAAAGTTACTGGTATTGAAGAAGGAATTTATGATTGTAGAAGAGGCAAAAGTGATAGGAGAAGTTAGGTGAAGAAGCCAAAAAATTTGTGTAACATTTAATGAGGAAAGCAAATTGACGCAGTGTTTCCTGATAACGTATCAAGAACTGAGTGGTTTTAAGTGTTGTGTCGGGTGTTATATTTATTGAGATATCGACAATAATAAATAGGAATCCGAGTGATTTTTACTGTAGTGTAATAACAAGGTAAGGGGAATCAGTAGGACCTATATTCTGATATGTTTTTGAACATTTACTTCAGAAAATAGAGAATTAATTAACAAGTATGAACACTATGTTGTAATGAAAGCATTTAGAAAAGGTTTTAACATGACTAATTAGGGATATTGATTGCAATAATGGCTGGTGGTTATGTTGTGCTTGTTTTGTAGTTGCGCTAACGACGATAACATCGAACGTTGCATGCTTGCATATAATAATGTCGCTAGTTCTATTGCTAATTTTACTACGAAACGAAACCTAAGTGAAGTAGTGAACCTTATTTGCTGGTCTTGTTAGTGAGTCTAGTGACGAGTGACTGATTTCTATTCTTAAGTCTTCTTTTCTCTATATGGGCTTTAAAAGGCCCAATACTTATATAGATACCTTTCTCACCTTTCTCCTTTTAGAAAGCGACGTCGTTTCTCTGGACTTGGCTTCATAATTTCAAAACATTTGACTATCTCTTCCGTCTCGAAAAAACGCCGTCGTTTGAATTTAGACTCAAATCTTTAACGGCAGTTATGTCTCCGTCGACGGTGGCGATTTTCGTCGGTCCAATCTTAACGGTTGACGCCGCCGTATCTCGCGCAATTCACACGGCGGCGAAGCCATTCCTCCCACCGTTTTTGCTCCTCCTCCTCGAAATCTCAGCTGATTTTAGATTCTCCTTCCCTGTATCCCTTTCCCTGCTCCTCTCCCCTCCATTACGAGCTTTCCTCGTCCCGTTCCTCCTTGGCCTCCTCTTTGATCTGATCTTCGTCGGAATCGTGAAATTGATCTTCCGTCGTGCTCGTCCCGCTTACAATCACCCTTCAATGTCCGCTGCTGTACCAGCTGATCACTATTCCTTCCCCTCTGGTCACGCGTCTCGCGTCTTTTTCGTTGCTGCATCTGTTCACTTCTTCTCAGCTGTTGTAGAAGCTCCCATGGTTAGTCCAAGCTACACTTTCTTAGATGGATGGGTTAGAGATCATAACGATGGCGATGTGAAAGGTGAGGTTGTGGTGGCTGTATGGATCTGGGCAACATTGACTGCGATTTCAAGGATTCTCTTAGGGAGACATTATGTTCTCGATGTAGCTGCTGGTGCTTGCTTAGGGATTCTAGAAGCTCTCTTTGCTCTTCGATTTCTGAGGTTTGATGAAAAGATCTTTGGAAGGTAACACAAAAAAGTATCCAAAATGTTGTTGTTGGTTTTCAACAAATTGTTATCTAATATTCTTGATGTAATTTCTCTGATCTTAGAAATCCTAAATTTGAAATTGTTTCGATTACATTTGAGAACAGGAATTGTATTGTTCATGAATCAAAGATTGTTGCTTTTGTTTCACTACGAGGATACTGTATGAAATCTTGTGTTATGTTATCTTTAATGTGAGTAATGAGAGATCTTATGCACTTGCAATGTTATCGAGCTAGGCCTGCAAAATGAAAGGCTAAACCTTTCACATTGATGTTATTGTTATCTGAGTATGGTTTTTTTACCTGGACCTGTGGCTGAGATCATCTATGAGCCATCTAAACTGTTTGAAAGAAAGAACTTGTGGATGGATGTTATCTTCTTAGCTTACTCTGTACAGCCTTTTACTATCTCTTTCTATGTAACCTCTCTCGGTTGTTTTCGAGTTTCAAAAAGATAAATTGAGGTAAAAGCACTGGCATGTGGAATGTTGGTAATTAGACTATGACTGATTGATTAGATGTTTTTCGTTACTGGTGAACATGTTATGCTTGCCAATACCTGTGGTTACCTCTGCTTTTGGGAATATTTACTACCTGTGAGTGGGTTTCTATTTCTTTGCTCTCTTTCTTAGTGTAGCCAGCATGTTGTGTACTATGTTACAGAGTCTTTTGTTTATCGTCAGAAAGAAAACCGTTCCTACATACATTTGCTAGATTCATATTATTCTTTCAACCGATGACTTCGCTTTGTTGGATATACTTTTGCAAGCTCGGTCACAGGTTTTCACTCGAATCTCTGTCTCTTCATGTTTCATTTGGTTTTGCTAATCTCATATTTTGTCTAAGATTGGTGAAAGTTATGCATCTGCTACTAGATATAGGTTTATAGGGTATCAGTTTCAACAGGTTAATCTAAGTAGTTCAACGGTTTAGTAGTAGTAACTTAGAATGTTTAAGGTTGCAGGAGATGTGTGTGCAATTGGACCCACCCTGCAGTATGTAAGAGTCTGTCTTCTACGTCTACACTCGTGGAGCAAACTGGGTGGAAGATATTATTTTTAAAATGGCTATAAGTGAAGCTTGAATGAAAGGTCCAAGATTGTTTTATTCTCGAATAGCTTTTTCACCTTCTAAATATTCCTCTTAATTTTTTTTATTTTTTGAAATGTATACGCTGGGTATGATGAATGTAGTGATTGATTGATTTTGACATCATAAACTTGCTAAATTATCGCTGACAGAATTTGTTATGTGTCAGCTGTTTCTACAGCAATTCCTGCAGGGAACTCTGTTGATTAGACTGAGAAAACAGAGTCAAGCTTAGATGGCAAGGAGGTGTAAAGTCCCGATCTGATTATTCAGTTGACATGACTCTTTCACGGTAAAAATTCTCTCTTTCTAAGTTTTATCCACCATATTGGTTCTCGGATTGGTTCTTGATGTTTACCAAATAAACCCGATACCAGAAGCAACCTGTTATGAGTTTGGAGTGAGAGTAGGAGTGTGCTGTGAATTATGGGATTGGTATGTGTTGTTTTCCTTGGATTGGTTCCTGTCATCATTTATGAGGGAGTGTTTTTGAATTATGGGATTGGTATATGTTGTTTTCTTTGTTGTTATGTATGCTGCAAAAGTAGAGGCACAGAAAGTAGGATGGTACATCAAGAACAATGCCCACCATTGGAAAACTCTTTTATCATGAGTTCACATGGTTCTCTCCTGTAGATAAAACAAGGACATACCTTGTTTCAACCTTAATGATCGCTCTTAGTGTTCTGTGGCTATCAAACAAAACCTCTTTTAATATTTCAGTGTCTCCTCATCAGACCCTACCACCATTTCGAGCACGCGGGCGTCGTAGTTTTTTGACAAAACAAAAACTAAGAACAGCCCAAGTTTTATGATTAGCTTAAGAGAGTGAGTGATTAGAACACTAATAAATCAGACTCAGTTACAAAAAAAAGAAAAATAAAAAAAGAGAAAAAGGAGTGGGTATATTGAGTTGAGAGGTGGTGATGGAACTTTGTAGCAGTGAATCTCCTTTTACATCTGAGAGTGGCAGAGAGTTGAAAGAAGGTCTTCTGGTATGGTCATCTCTTTGTTACCATATTTGAGGTGAATTATTGTTGTACTAGAGTTTCTTGTTTTTGCCCTAAATTTTGCAAGTCAAGCACTCCCTCTGTGACTGTGACCACCTAGCTCAGGTAAAAAAAAGTGGATCTGAAGCTAGAGAAAGAGATAAAGGTCTGATGCTGTTTCTGAGTTCATCATTATCATGTCCTGCACTAACCTCCCATAAAAAGCAAGAATATTGTTTGGAAAGAAAAATTTGATTACAGACATGTGAGTCCTTTTTATTAGAAATTCTGAATGAGAAGAGGATAAAATAGTACACACACACACAGTGACACACACACACACCTATAAGAAATACATTTCTTCTTTGAGGCTTTGTCTGATCCATATTCTTTTGTGAAAGTTTGAATTGATTTCTTTATTACATATGATAATTGCAAGTTATTAAGAGGTTTTAACAGCAGGATTTGGTATTAAAAAAAAATATCATAAAACTGAGATTTCTTTTCTTTTTTTTTTTAGGGTGTCATTGTTGGGTTGTCCTCCACTTCCTAGTTTCTATGGCACTCGTGTTCTCATAAACTGTGTAATATTGTTAAAGAAATAAGAAAATATAGACATAGTTTTTTTTGAAAAGGACCACTGTGAGAGGTTGGATTCTACAATAGCAAAGAGAACCTGAAGCACAGAAAAAGAAAAAAAAAAAAAAGGTCAGAAGAGATGACAGACATATTACATTTCTCTTTTTTAACTTTACGTTTGTTCTGTTCATATCTTTGACAACTTATTAATTTTACCACAAAAAGAAGAAGGATTAATTCTTGACTGAGTAAAAACTAAAAATACACCAATCATGAATATTACATTAGAGTGTGGTCGACTAATTGGGGAATTGGGAAAATTGAAGTGATTCATTTAGGGGTCCAAAAGCATATTCTTTAGTTTTTTATATGCAAGTACATATCCCTATTTCTATATAGTTTCATACTTGAATTTTTGGAAAAATGTAACGTCTGCTTTAAGAAAAGTGCTCTGGAGAAACTTTAAAGGTTATCGTTTTTTTAAATGTAAATCCCATATGGGGCAATTGCAAAACCTTTTTCTTCAAAGTCACGGTAAGTAGCAAATCCGTACATAAACATTAAATATGTGATTTTTTTTTTTTGCTTTCTCTAGTAACAACATATATAGTAAAAAAAAAAAAAACCTTTTAATCGATCTTGGTTTTGGAATAATGTTGGAAGTTTTGGACATAACAAATTTTTCTTTGTCTGTCAATTTTTTTTTTTTTAAATGCAAACGTGATTATGATTTTCGTAATCTCTTTCACTAGTTTGGTATAATCCCTCAACAAATTCTACGACAATCTTTCGAAAGTCGAACATGCATTAGCATAGTTCACAAAAACGCTTTCAACTCGGAATATATTGTACACATATTGGAACTTGCGTTTTCTTGAAATTGAAATTATGGAAGAAATGTAATACATTTATTATACACTCCTAGTACATCTATAATAAGAGTCGTCCATACTATATCATATGTGTAAATTGAGTTAAAAAAAAAAAAATATTACTAATTACTAATACATATCTAGATTATTGCAACAAGAAGCTGCAGGTGGTCATGAAGACTTGGAGGTTACTGAATATTTAAATACGTATAGATAAATTGAGTGGGGGAGTGGATGAGTGTGTAATGTTGAGTACTTATGAAACATGGATTTGATATGCAAGCTTTCTTTTGTGTGTGTGTGTGTGTGTATTTCTATTTTTCTTTCTCTTGACCCACGTTTTTGCTTATTATTTATCTCTATAATCTCTTCCTTCCATTGTAATTTTTCACAAATTTAATTCATAAATCAAGCTTTCATTGGATTCCTCTAGATTCAAAATCTATGACACTTTAGTCATTCGATGTCTTGCTTTGGACTCCATTTACATCATACAAGATATTTTCATGCAATTATTATACGTCTATGTTTTATATATACACACCCAACAAAAAAATAAAGACATTAATATTGAATTATTAACAATTTTCACAAGTGTACTATTATCATAAGTTATAGAATTAGTTAGATATACTGGTTTTTGAATGTGTTGTTAGTTGTATATATTTTTATAAAAACTTGTAAGTCTGTAGATTTGCTACACATTTTATTTTATTCTTTATTCGTTAAGATGGGTTCCTAATTCTTATAGATCATCATTTGTTTTTTTTTTTTTTTTCTGATGTAAGGTTTTAATTTTCATCATTGTTTGGCAATTAGATGGAAGTATAGTTGGACATTTAGTCAAAGCACTTTCTGGACAATTATTGAAAGCAATAATATATATTAGAAATTTATCTTCTAATATAAAGTTGGGATAGATAGTACTTAATTATAATAAAAAATATCTTAACCTTCACATCAAAAAAAGTTGAGAGGATTACATGGTTTGGATTTTTTTTATTTTTTTTTATTTTTATTTTTTGTCTTTAACTCTATTTTTAGTAGTTTGCTGGTTCGAATTTTTTGTTTTTCTTTCTGAACATATGTTCATACTATTATAATGTATATTTAACAACATCTTATCTTGCATTGTGATATATTAATAAGATTAAAAGACTCATCAATCTTCCCACCAAAATAAGTAACTAAAATAAATGTGTTATTATATGACTATATGAATCATCACAAAGCAAAAGGCTAATGCAATCAAATTATTATAGCCTTTTGTCATTTTTGTTAGCATTATGCACATGGCAACATATATATGTGGATCCCTACATTAAACCGAGTCCATCACTTTCCTTGGATGGAAAAAGCACCTCTCACAAAAGTAAGCTTCTCAATTATTCATTTTTGACGTCAATTATTCCTATTTATGTTTGCATATAAAAAAAAGATGTGAAACATTTATAACTATTTAATCCATTTGAAAATCCGATTTTTCTTTTTCATTATATAGAACTCTAGTTAACTTCGTTACTACAAAAATTTTCTAAAGATTAGTCTTTATTCCATCATGTAATCACCATTTACTAATATGTAAAACTCTACATTCAATTTGTACTTCCGCATATCAGATCTTTGAATATGTATATCTTAATTAGTCAAGGCAGAAGAGTCGTGCAAATATGATAAATGTTTCGTGATATATGAGATACCTTAATTTAGTTAGACTGTACATACATTAGGATTTGATTATATACAAATATCTCATCGTAATTTGGAATAAGGTAGGAATTTTATGCAGATTTCTTACTAAAAATAATAAAATATACTAGTATTAAAGATATATTGAGTAAAAAACTTTGTAAGATGCTTGTTGGAAATAGAGATGAAATTGACACAAAACGGTTTCAAAGTATATTTTTAAGTTTAGAATATTTGTAGAGTAAAGATTATCTTACGTATATATCTAATTAACTACCAATCATCCATTTCAAGAAAACACTCTCAAATTAGATATGATAAAACTTTATATGTTAATAGTATTACCAATGAAAAATGGTTACTACTTTGAGTAACAGAGTTCTCTTAACTTAATAAGTTAACTATATAGATTAGACATGTGACTGAGACTAACTATCTTAATAATTTAATAAAGAGTGGAATAAAACTATTTGGGAACAAAACCACATATATGGGACATATAGCCTTTTGTGATGTTATCTAAAGATAATATTGGTCACAGACACAAAGACACGAAAGAGTTACCATTATTGTTTATAATTATTTTTGGGAGTTAGTGGTTTTCGAATTGATTCCATCTTGGTTTCGTAATAGGATGACAATTTGTTCCCTGTTTTCATTTATTTTTTTTGTAAATAATATCGTGTATTTATAATTATGAGTTTCATTATTCATCAATATGTTATGTAGATCAACAAAGGATCGTCTTCAAAAAGGCTAGGGAACTTTCAAACAGAGTACTATTATTACATGCTTACTATGATTTTAGGGCAGTAAAAGTGACTTGACACAAATTATACAATGTTTCAAATCATTATACACGGAGTTTATAAACTATTGTATAATTTTCATACGGAAACAAACCAAATCAAACTAGAAAGATAAAGAGAACAATATGGTATGTGGTTTAATCATAGTATCGTTGAATAAATGTTGGTTTTATCCACGCGGTATGGTTATGCACTGACTGAACCATAAGGTATGCTTGTCAATATCGATCGTTTTCCAAACTACAATGACACTTAATAATGTCAAGCTTTTGATTTGTTTTCTTTTCTGGCTAGAGATGGTTGTGACTTGTGACAATGAAAACAATTTTATATAAGCTTTTTTTTTTAATTAATGGACAGTCAAGTCAGTATACCAAGAAAAGAATAAAATTAGTTTTTAAACTTAAAATTGTACATTTTTTTTTTTTTTGCTAACTTGTAAATATCATAAATATGAAAGGTTAAGTTGTACATGAGCACTAACTATAAGAAATGTAATCCTGGCAAAAAGAATAAAAACAAGATTACAAATAGGAGACTTATAAAGTCACAAAAGAGAAGATTAAGGCTTTGGTTTAACAAACAAAAACGAAGTTAGTGCTCATGTACAACTTAACTTAATAAAATTGTACATTGATATTTATTAAGTTTAGTAATATTAAGGCTTTGGTTTAACAAACAAACAAAAACGAAGTGTATATATCGTGACGTCGGGACAGACACACACGGGCTTAGAAAGCAAAGTGACAAAATACAAGAAAGCGTGGGGAGTGGAACGTCGAGCCTCACAGAATAGCATAGACCCGAGTGTGTACGTCTAACCAGAGTGTTCTTCTAAATATAGACTTCTTTGAACTATATTATCGTAGTTTCACACCCTTCTTCATATTTTTGAGTTTGGAGTGAGTTTTCCAAGGTAACATACACTAGTTAGAAATTAAACCCTAACTTATAGAGAACACTAATTCAGATTATTCCACTAAACTAAAGAGACACAATTATATATACTTTAATAAAGATTTGCTGTAATGTTGTATAAGATAGATAATATAATACTATCACAAAGGTATATATCTACTAAAATAGTAATAATATATGGGTTAATTAGCTGCAAGGGAAACGAGAAAGTAAAAGAGAAATGGAAGAGGTGACCCGTGTGAGACAGTGGGACAACAAGCCAGTACCGGGTCCTCCACGCCACGCCACGCCGGTCCTGTGCCTCAAACATCCCACGGTCCATGCTATATTTGTAATTAATGAGAATATTAAACATTATGCTTTTATACATCTGACATCCATAATTTATTATATAATTCGACTCCACAGCTTTTATTATTCAAATCTACACATACTCTTCTTCTTCTTCTTGTAAATAAATAGTACCAAACAAAAAAAACCCAACGTACATGGTACATTTAAACGCTATAGTTTGACACAAGAGTTGATATGAAATGAACTTAAAATGTCTTATATAAAATGGCATTTTAGGTATGATTATGAGCCACAAAATGAGATATTCTTTTCTAATTATACGAATGAGTTACTCTAATTTCAACGTATTCCTCTATTTGTTTAGGTCGATATAACTAGAATAGTTTTGAGTGGGCAATCTTATTCCAAGAAAAACAAAAGTGGGCTTTTCCTTTATGTACGGTTTGTATTTTACTATTTAACGAACTACGTGATTTATTTTTATTTTTCCCCTCAATGATAAGTCATTTTCGCCAAACAAAATACGAGAAAAAAAATGATTATAGTGGTTCCTTTTTTCTTTTTTAATCTTTGGAAAATTTGTCTCCGTGTTTAACCTACGGATCTACCAGATTTTACCAAAATTTCATTCTCGAGCTTCTTATTCATATTTATAACATTTTGGTCGAATTTTTTTAGTTTACTACTATAATTTTAATTTTTTTAATGTTACATAAGATTTCTGTAAATGCTATAATATATACAAGTATTAAGAAAACCACTTCAAAATATATAATTTCAAATTTTCAATAAGCTTCTTCTGTTGTCACTTTTTCTCTTATCTCTTTTGAAATGTCATTTTGTTTTCTTTCTCTTCTTATAATGCTTTCGTCTGTTTAGGCTATTCCTTCTTACGTTCTTCTGTGTGCGTTACATTTATTTATACCTTTTGCCCAACATTTTATAGATTAGATTGATGATTATGAGGTTAGGAGTTACATTACATGATTTGGGTTTACAATTTCGGACATTGGATTGATATTTGTTGTTGAGAAATAAATATTCTGAAGTTCTGAATAATCACATCGTATTAGTTAATGTCTTAATGATTATACATTCCCTCGAAAGAGTTTCGAAAAATGAAAATGGCTTACACGTCAAAATAATTAGATAAGACATATTGAGGCAGTCCATTTCAGTTTTCCACAAAAGTGACAACCTAGCATCTCAATCTTACATTAACACGTCTCATATACGATTCGGTATCAAATTTGTAACAACCGGAAGAAAAAAAAAACTATCTAATGTGTAAACATTATTGCATGTTCATGTATATAATCTATAAAAACAATAATAAGAAACTACAACACCTTTTATTTATTATCCCTATATTAGTAAAAGAGAAGTACAAAAAGTGTTTCCGGGTCGGGTCAATTTAAGAAAATTACCCGAAATTTGTAATTGGATCTTTTAAAGTTGGATAGATTAATGGTTTTGGATACATACACTGGATACTTTCCAAATCTAATTTTAGGATTGTATTATTTCCATAACTAATTATAGGATTTACAAATATTTCTCTAACTAATTTAATACAATCTATTTAAAAAATATTATTCTTCTTTCACTTTTATTTGATATTATTTATAATTTATGATATTATACTATATAATATAAATATTTAATAAAAATTTAATTTTTTTTTGCATATGTTGCAATTTGAATTTTTCAAAACGGACATATAATACTCAACTACACTCGATTAAATATTTTGGACAATGATTTAAAATCATTAATAGTATGACCAATATTAAAACCATTGTTACTTGGGCATATTTAAAATTTCAAATAGTTTCAAGATATCATAAGTAAAAGGTTCAAATATATAAAAAATTTAGAATTTAAAATATTGAAATATTTTTTTGAAGACATAAATGTAATTTTGGAGACATAATTTTTATTGATAAAATATATTATATATCAAACTATGTAAATTTTAGATAGTTCATGGGTAGTTTATTAAAATCACAATTATAATGATAAAGCGAGTTACGAATAATGTTTTTTACGAAATGAATTATGTTACGGGTTGGACCTTCAAAAAATATATTGTAAACATGTAATTTTTACGTATATTCCTACTTTTACTACAAAAATAGTTAAAATGAATAGTTTATCGACAAATATTATTTCGTGCAGTTAAATTTTCACCGTGTTTTTAATTGTATCAAAACTCAATATATGAATATTTACTCAATTTTTCCTTTATTATTTTATTTAAACTTATTATACAAATATATGATTTATTGTAATTGACTGTACTGTAATAAAATTAAAATATAACATATTATAATCCGTTAAAAGTTATATATATGTAATTATTTCCCCCGCGCTGTAGCGCGGGTCCGAATCTAGTCTTATTATATAAAGTGATCATAAACCTGATTACTAACAAGAGTTTGAACTATGGTATTAGAGATAACTCAAGCTCCTCTTCAATGCTTGTATTTTATTTTTTTTAATCTAATTTTATTTTCCTTGCTTTTTCATATTATTATTATTATTATATTTTTAGTTTCATTTTTAAATCGTGGATAAAATAATAAGACGTATAGATAAATCGATTTTTCTTTTTTACCATATCTTGTAGTATAATAAAACACTCAATTTGAGCTTGGAAATCAAGCTATGTGGTTAATTAATGTTTGTGGACCTTTTCCTACTTTAAAGAAAATTAATTATAAAACAAATCCTCCTTTGTTAGAGTATTCTAAATTAAGGATAAAATAAATAAAAATCACGATATTATATTCCCTTATATAACCTCTTAAACATTACAAAATTACAATAAAAAGCCATCGTCTTAAATTTTTCCAACTTCGCTCCCAACCTCTTTCTGATTCACCATCACACATATACATACATATACACACACACAACTATATAATATAACACATTACACATACAATGTATATATAAGTTTTAATTTACATAAAGCCTTTATAATTGGGTTTCAAGCTTACGCAGTCTCTCATTTAAGCAACCTCTCTCTCTCTCTCTCTCTCTCTCTCTCTTCTCTTCTCTGAGAAATCTCAGTTTCAGAGCTCTCAGGTTCTTTTATTCTTCGTCTTCTTCTTCTTTCTTCTCCTTCTTCAAACTTCGATTCTATCCCCAAATCTGCATGCTTCGATCTGCCATCATCACTGTTTCAGATTCAAATATGAATGTGCCTCTCCGTCGTTTAATGATCTGAGCTTTTTATAGCTAAATCCCACGGCGGCGGAGGAGAGATTAGGAAAAAAAAATGCGGGTGAAGGAGTTGCATCCGCTTTGCTGTATCACTCTAGAGAGTCCACACGGGGATCATAACCAGTCACCGGAAGAGCCGACGACGATGGCGACGACGGCTTTGACTAGGTCGAGGAGTTTACCGGCGAAATCGTTGTTGACAGGTGGTGGATCGAGAGTGGCATCGATTGGATCGGAGGCTGAGACGGTGGCTGGGATCTTGTATAAGTGGACTAACTTTGGTAAAGGATGGAGATCTAGATGGTTCCTCCTCCGTAACGGAATCTTATCTTACTCTAAGATCCGGCGGCCGGAGAATTTGAATCATCTGTCTCCGTCTTCGGATGATGTGAGGTTAATCGGAGATATCTCCGCCGATCGTCTCTCTAGGATGGATAGTTGTAGTGGTCGCCGGAAACAACCCAAAACCGTCGGCATTGTTCATCTCAAGGTAAGAACAATCACACAAAAAAAAAAAAAAAAAAAACTCAAAAAATTTGATTTGTTTATTTTTTTTTTGATTTTTGAAATGAAAAAAAAAAATACACCTGAGATTATTTGTTTTTGTTAATGATTTTATTGATTTCTGTTCTTGTTTGATTCATCATTTATAAAAAGGAAAAAAAATTGTGACTCCAGATTTTGATTTTTGGTTTTTGGGGAAATGAAACAACTTTTTTTTGTATCACTCTTAGTTAGAGGAAAGAACCAGTGGTTTATAGAATTGTTCATCGTGTTCTTGGTGAATAATATAAACCCTAAAATGTGTGTGTCGTATGACCTTTCATCATCATCAGATTCATCACCACTTTTTTTTCCTTGACTCTTGACCAATTTTTTTTTTTTTTGGGATTCAGTTTTGAATATTTGGTATTGGTGTGTATTAAAATTAATCTTAATTGATGGTGTTTTCCAGCTTTGAACTTGCTGTTTAATCTCTTAGTGGGTCACATCAACAGGTGCCTTGTTTTGGTTTTCAAAATTTAAATATTTTTGGTGGTTGCAACAATCTGGTTTGTTTTTGTAGGTTTAGGGTTTTTGTTCAGTGGTCACATTGTTGTTTTTTCTTTTTGTTTCTCCTTCATTCTTCTCAAGTTTGGTTTCTTAGTGTTTGTATGTGTTTATAGGTCCTCTCCATCATTTTTTAATTGGTCTTTGCCATCCGTCAAAAAATTTGGATTCTCTTCTCTTCTCTTCTTTTTTTTTTTTTGTTTGGGAGGGAGGGAGGAGAAAAAGCCAAAGAGAGGCTATATAAGATATGTCAATTTTTGGTTCACTGCAACTAAAGAACCTTTTTCCAGTTGCATAACTAAAACCAAGTCTTTTGAAATTTTGGACACTTTTGACAATTTTGTTCTTTGGTGCTCCCCTTTGCATGTGCTTGCTTTGATTTGTCTTGTTGGCAACGTAAGTTTAATGGCTTTTAAACCTTTACCACTGTCATCTTTTACTTTGGAATTCTCTCCTTTACACTATAAGAAGGCTATCTACATCTATTATATAGATTACTGAAATGGGGTCTTACTTGTATACTGATTTATTCTGTATGGATTCAATTATAAATGTATTTTCTTTTTTTCTTTCTTTCTTGCGTTTTTGGACATGTTTGGTGTGTAGAATTAGTTTGTTGGAAATAATAGAGGTGTGGGGTATCGCCAATTATAAATAAAAAGAATTGTGTTGACATGCTCGACAATGAGAAAACGATTGATTGTTCTGTATTTTTTTACAGGCATATTCTTTGTTGAACTTTCAAAATTTGCATTTGCCTAATCCTAAAATACACCAAAGATGATCCAGACATATAATAAGCTTTAGTCTTTTTTTTTTTTTTTTTTTGGTTACAGATAATAAACTTTTGTCTTTCTCAACCTCTTGTATATAGATCTAACGTGCCTTATCCAGTCCTAAAGTAATTCTTCATGGGCCCATCAGCTTGATTTGTTCCTAGTTCCAAATCTGTATCTTCAAAACTTTTTTCGAAGTTGAGGATACCTTCTTTTGAAGTTTTTAGGGTCCATTTTTGCTTTTTATAGGATGCAACTTTAGATCTTTCATCCAGAAACTGATTTCTGGTGCGTTGTCTTTTTCTAGTTTGATGAATTTTTGTGTGGTCACAACCTTTCTTTCTTTTTTCTTTGCTTTTGCTTTTGTGGTTGGAATGGTCCTTGCTGGGTTTTTATTTTTTTGTTTGTTTGTTCTCTTACTGGTCTTGATGATGTGTTTCTTTTCCAGCAGGTTTCTTCTTTCAGAGAAAGCAAGTCTGATGATAGAAAGTTCTATATATTCACAGCAACCAAGACTCTTCATCTGAGGACTGATTCTATAAGTGATAGAGCAGCTTGGTTACAAGCATTAGCATCTACAAAATGCATCTTTCCTCTGCGGTCACTTAATGGGGATTTCTCCTTCATTTCACCAAAGGATTTGTCCATATCAACTGAGAGGCTAAAGAAACGGTTGCACGAAGAAGGAATGAATGAGAATCTTGTAACAGAGTGCGAACAGATCATGCTCTCAGAATTTTCTGAATTGCATGGACAAGTTAAACTTCTACATGAGGAACGGACGAATTTGCTTGACGCATTGAGGCAGCTGGAGGTAAACTTAAGTTTATAATCCTTACTGCTTTTTCTGTTTGGTTTGTGTCATCGTGATGCTGCTCTTTCTTTCTTGTGAATCCCCTGTGCATATCTCATAGCCTGCAAACCATATATTTAGTGAAAACTATATTTGGTCTTGGTTGTGGCTGAGCTATGGAACTGGTCTTCACTTTGCTGTTGACTTGAACAGTGTTTAGCTATTTATACGTTTAGTCTAGAGGATTCTTCTGATGCTTTCTAAGTCTATATACAAAGTTTTACAACTGCATAGTACAGTGAACTCCTAAGACAAAGTAAATATAGTTTTTCATCTCTTTTTCTGAACTCATGAGAGAGATGGGCGGGTAATTTGGCATTATTGTTCAAGAATTAAATAAGAGTCCCCTGTTGTCTCCTTGAAAACTCCTAAAACAGGTCATAATCATATCACCTTGTATAAACTATTGGTACACAGGGAAAGGATTGCAATAGTTCTGGCCAAATATGAGTTGCTGTCGAGTATCTGTTTCTCATTTATTTTGTCCATCTCTTATGTGGATGTGTGGACCATGGTGTTGACGAAATTATGTATTTGATACATCTAAATAAAAGCCTAAACCGTGTTCGTGTGTCATCCATCCTTGTCTTAAATGTATGTGTGGACCATGGTGTATTTGCAATTGGAGTGAGAGCTCTAGTCATGTTACTGTTTTTTAGCCAGGTTGGCTACTGAATGATGTGAGTAATCTTCTGTACAGGCAGCTAATCTCGAAGCTGGTGCATCAGGGAAGCATGAATTTCCAAGCCTAGGACGTGGAAAGTATAGTGGTACATACTCTTAACGCTTAATCCCTCCTCCTCCTCTGCACCAGTTGCTTTGTTTCTCTTCATGTGATTCGTTTTCTCAATGTCCTTATTTGTTCTTGTGATCTCTATGTAACGCATTGAATTATTTCAGCTATTTTGCTTAATTGCGTAGGCTTCCTTTGTGTGTTTGCTTGACACTGTTTGGTTTCTAGAATGCAGCACAACTGCTTCATCTGATGGTAAACAAGAGTTTGAGGATGTGTCTGAGGAAGATGAGCCTTCCTTCCATGACACAAAGGAGTACTTTAATGAACCTACTGTTGGTTCTGGATCAAATCTATCTAATTCTGGATACCCGAATATCAAGAGAAGAACAAAACTTCCTGATCCAGCTGAAAAAGAGAAAGGTGTCAGTCTTTGGTCTATGATCAAAGACAATGTTGGAAAGGATCTCACCCGAGTTTGTCTCCCTGTGTACTTCAATGAACCAATATCATCCCTCCAAAAATGTTTTGAAGACTTGGAGTACTCGTATCTTCTGGACCGAGCATATGAATATGGAAAATCTGTAAGTGACAGTAAAGGCTCTTAATACTTATGTAGTTGTTATATTGTGTGTTCTCTTAATCTTAAATTGACTTAAGACATGTTGGATTATTAGGGAAATGGTCTCCTAAGAGCCTTATATGTTGCTGCTTTTGCGGTCTCTGGATATGCTTCCACTGAAGGCCGGCACTGTAAGCCATTTAATCCTTTGCTTGGGGAAACCTATGAAGCAGACTTCCCTGAAAAGGGGATCCGTTTCTTCTCTGAGAAGGTATGTCACAATTTTTTTACTCAAAATTAGAATGTGATGAAAGTTATTGGTAGAATCTTTCCCAAGACTATGGAATATCATTCTTTTGGTTATAATAGGTCAGTCACCATCCAACTGTTATCGCCTGCCACTGTGAAGGTAAAGGGTGGAAGTTTTGGGGTGACACTAACCTCAGGTCAAAGTTTTGGGGGAGATCGATTCAAGTTGAACCTGTTGGAGTTTTGACTCTTGAATTTGATGATGGAGAAGTATTTCAATGGAGCAAGGTATTTATCCACTACTACTTTTGAGTCACTTTTGCAGATTTTGCTGTGGTCATTGAAGTAAATTTCTACTTGCCTTTGTTCTTAGGTAACATCAACTATATACAATATCATACTAGGTAAACTCTACTGTGATCATCATGGTGTGATGCAAATTCGTGGGAACCGTCAATATTCTTGTACACTCAAGTTTAAGGAACAATCCATTCTTGAGAGAAATCCCCACCAGGTGAGTCACAGGGATATGCTCTGTATATGTAAATAATGAATCTTAGAATTTCTAATGTATGTGGCAGCCGAATGCTTGAAATAACACATGATAAAATATACACATAGGTAAACGGATTTGTAGAAGACGTAGCTGGGCAAAAAGCAGCAACAATATTTGGTAAATGGGATGATAGCCTTTACTATGTTTCTGGTGATGGAATCAGCAAGACAAAAGTTAGTGATCCCGCATCAAATGCCTCGTTACTGTGGAAAAGGACCAGGCCACCGCCTAATGTTACCAGATACAACTTAACCTCTTTCGCCATTACTCTGAATGAGCTAACACCTGGTTTGCAGGTGTGTTTAGATGTATTGATCTTGATTATATTATGTATATGGAATCCTGTTTCTTATTAGGCATGCTATGCCTAATCGTTTTCTATAGCCTTGTCTGATCTTTTGTTGATTGGATCATACATTTAGGAGATTCTTCCTCCCACAGATTCAAGGCTCAGACCAGATCAACGACATCTTGAGAATGGTGAATATGAGAAGGCGAACTTAGAGAAACAACGGTTAGAAAGAAGGCAAAGAATGGTATGTCACCTTAGCATTTCACTAGTCCATGAACTTGCAATTGTCATATGAAACCCCTCAATGGATTCTGGATTCGCTGTCATAGAACATGATGGCTAAAAAGTAGAATAAGCATCTGTCTAGATTTTTGCAGCTCTTAACTCTTTAGGCTGATCTCTACCTCGAACTACTGTCGTTAGTCTTTTACATATTCAAAAATCTGTATCGTTAAATGGTGAAGTTATGTACTAAGAATTACAATTGCTTTGTTTTTCTGCAGTCGCGGCAACTTCAGGAAAGCGGGTGGAGACCTAGATGGTTTGAAAGAGAAGGAGAAAGCGAAACCTTCAAGTACACAGGCGGTTATTGGGAAGCACGAGGTCACCGAAATTGGGATGATTGTCCCGACATCTTTGGGGAGTTCACAGAAGAGCTAGTGGATTCCGCTTAGAAAGTTTCTTGATCTCATTCCAGGTACTATAACTCATTGAATGTTATAATAGAACCTGAACCACCAAAGCCTAGTGTGATTTCAAAACAAAAACATCGATCTTCCGATTAATTAATTTGTTTCTTTCATTGAATCTTCTTAAGAGAAGATCTCCATCCGGACCGCATTGGAGTATGTTTACACAGCAGAATACGTATTTCGACCATGGATCAAAAGTTCTGATTTCAGCTCTCTCCATGAAAAGAGGGCACAGATCAAGATCAGAATTCAGAAAGCCTTTGGTTATCCTTATCTCCTATAGGGTCCTCCTCCTTTTGAGTCCTAGACCACTGTAAAGTCCTCATCTTCTCAAAGTCCTCATCTTCTCTCTTTCTCTACCACTTTCATTCTCTGTCTCCCCTCGTTAAATAGTTGAGATTAAGCGTAGGTTGGTCATACATTTGGACAAGTTCATTGTAATCCATTTGTATTTAACTAAAAAAAAATATGAGCAATAAATATAAATCCAAGCAAGGACTGCTTCATATATATTTCACATACTCCTCTCCTCTTTTACAAACTACTGTAAACCAAAAATAGATTTAAACCTAATTAGCTGACCAAAAAACAAACCGGTCAACGTCAACGAGGAAATAGCAAAATTGGACTTCGCAACTTGTCATCTCCTCCTCTATTAGTAAGAAGATGAGAATGAGAAAGAAGAAGCAAATAAAAAATGTCAGGAGTTTACGATAGTCAAGCTGATATTTACTTAGACGCACGCCCAACTTATCCCACCGATTGGTACTCCAAGCTCGCCGCACTCTCTCACCGTCACAATCTCGCCTGGGACGCCGGAACCGGAAACGGTCAAGCTGCCATCGGCGTATGTATTTTTCTCCTCCCTCTCTTTCTTCTATACTTTTTGTTTTACATTTTCCGATCTAAGTTTTTCACTTATTTTGTATTGTTCGTGCTTTTAGATCGCGGAGCACTACGAAAGAGTCGTCGCGACTGATGTGAGCGAGACGATGCTGAATCTCGGGAAACCGCATCCGAAAGTAACGTACCACCATACGCCGTCGTCGATGACGGAGGACGAGATGGTGGATCTTATCGGAGGTGAGAACTCTGTTGATCTGATAACTGTAGCTACCGCCGTACACTGGTTTGATCTCCCCAGATTCTACGCGATCGCGAATCGTCTCCTTCGTAAACCAGGGGGAATCATCGCCGTGTGGAGCTACAACACTGACATGGTGGTGAGTCCCGAGTTCGACTCTGTCATAGCTCGGTTCAACGCTGAAACGCTGCCGTATTGTAAATTTCCGGAGAGTGATTATTTTTTGGGAGGATACAAAACGCTACCGTTTCCGTTTGAGAGCGTGGGCCTGGGCTCAGAGGGAAAGCCCATTGAGCTGGAGATGAAGAAAACGGTGTCGTTTGAAGGATTCTTGCGGATGCTGAAGTCGTGGTCTGCCGTTGGTGCTGCCAAGGAAAAAGGAGTAGACTTGTTATCGGATAATGTCGTGAAAGAGCTCGAGACGGCTTGGGGTGGACCTGAGCTGGTTCGAACCATTATTTACAAGACGTTTATGCTCGCAGGAACCGTTCGTTAGAATCTTCTTTTCTAAATTGGGATGGCTAAAACCTTATGAAATTACCAAAAGAAGAAAGAATAAACATAGAAAGATAAAGTTTATTTTACCTTTTCATTGGAAACAACAGATACAACAAACATACTGAAATCTAAGTTGAAGAACATCAAAACGAACGTGTGAAAACATTACACGAGTGTTTTCACTTTATTTCAACAACATACATTAGAAAAACATACTTTGCACCATTAGTTATTGATCCGATATTACGGAACTTGTCTGCTTATATATAGTCTTATGAGAGGATTAAGTGCAGCTGAAACCAGCTGGAGGAGTAAAATTGCAGAGTCTAAGAGCCTGATTAAGTCTCAGGTTGATCCTCAAGAAATTGAGGACTGTGATTGTAATGGAATTGCAGATGCAAGCAGATGCCACAGAGACGTCAAGCCCAGCCAGTACAGTGCAGCATGGCCTCACTGTTTGAGTGTTGAGGATTAGGGCGAAACGAATCAGGTTGATGCAAGCTTGTAACTGGACTGGGGTTCTAGGACACACTGGTTGAGGTGGTGGAGCTTGGGCCTTTGTGAAGCCAAGGGAAATGAGGTTGATGGTGAGGAAGAGAGCTATGGTGTTTTTCATCATCTTCTTTGAAGCCATGTTTTGAAAATGCTAAGAAAGCTTCTTTGTGAGTGTTGAGTGATTAGTTTGGGAGGTGAGGGCTTGTATTTATAGTCTTTTACAAGGTTGGATATGCGTGGTTTAAGATTTCTCTAACGTCTTATTAAAAATAGTCAACTGAAAAATAGTGATAAAGGGTTTATATCTCTAGTTAACCGAGTCTCTTGGTTGTATGGTTTCGCATTTTAACCATAAAGAAAAAACTAAATTACTAACAATAATAAAAAATGTAACTTATGGTCTTGCAAGTAGCACAAGTTGCATTAGCTCTAATTTTCAAGATATCTAAACCTCATCTAGAGAAGAGGTTTGGCACGCAAGGAACATATTGTCAAGCCCTAAAACAATACAAAACTCTTAACACAGTTGTTTTTCTTGCTTGACACACTATTTTGTATTACTTTAACATATCGGCCATAGCCTTTATTACAATAGAGATTCTACGAAAAAATAAAGGTTTGGCGATTAAACTAAGTGCATGTAAAAACTTCGTCTCAGTTAAAGTCAGACTCCTCAAACTATAACTTACTTAAATCGGTCATAAATTTGCAATATAATTGACTATCATGTATAGATCGTATTATCAATTCTTTTTAGTGATATTAACACATTTTCAATCCTATCCAAATTCCAAAGTTTCTATTAGACGACTACTGTAACAATTTTGTTGGTATTTAATTTATTTAATAGATTTCTAGCTACAAAGATATATATACATTTTTTTATGGATGAACAATTTTTTTTATGGATGAATATTTCAGTATCATTTAGTTTAATCCTGATTAGTTAATATATAGCTTTGTTGTTCATTTTATGTTTGGTTCGGGGTAATTGCTTACCCCATAGAACCAAATATATATCCGGTTCCACTAACTCTTAGTCTGGTTTTAATTAATTTGATCATATTTTTTTTTTGTTTAATCAGTCCTAGTTAGAACTTGACATCGCAATGGAATTTGAAAATTCACGAAATAACAAAAATAGAACAATTAAAACATAGAAAAGGTAAAGTGTACATTTTATTATTCCATCTGAAATAAGAGACACAACAAATGGAAAATTTTAAACTTCAATAACACAATTACGAACATGTGAAAACAGTAAGTTCGACTGTTTTTCACTTTATTTCAACAACAACATGGATCATACTAAACACTTATTAGAGAAACATACTTGCACTTTTATTATCAGATAATACGTAAGCGGTTTTGTTATTTAGTTTGATGTGAGGAGAAAGCGGCAGATGAAACCAGGTGGGGGAAGGATACGGCAGATATAGAAAATCCTATTAACTCTTTGAATGTAGTACAATATCTCGCGGATTGGGATTCTACGGGTATTGCAGATGCACACAGAGGCCAGAGAGGCGTCAAGCCTAGCCTGCAAGAGAGGGCAGCATTGGCTTAGTGTTTCAGGACTGATGATCGCATAGGCTCCAAGCATGTCAACACAAGCTTGGATGTCTCTTGGACACGACGACTGACCTGGATATGGATATGGTAGAATTTGATTTTGGGCTACGGTGAGGCCAAAGAAGACGAGGTTGATAGTGATGAGGACGAGAGCTATCTTCTTTTTCATCATGTTTTGAAAACGCTACTTAAGCTTTCTGCTTCTTCTTATATTATTAAGTATAGGGAGAGGGTTTGTATTTATAGTATAAGATATATATGTAAATATGTGTTTAGGGACTAATGTGTAATTAGCTTTTCCCTAAGTCCCCTTCTGTATATTATTAGTGGATAATATAAGGTGAAACAATACACACAAGGCTGGTCCAATACGGTCGTTCCTCTCTGATGCTGGGAAGGAGTCTTGACTTAAAATATTGGCTCTTGCATTACTTGTTCGCACCATGAATAATTTTAAATTACCGATGGTAACATGCAAACAAAAAAAATATAACGTGTATTGGAAGAATACTGGTGGAGCAAAAGATCCGGTTAACGCCCAATAAACGAACTGGGACTACGTACCAAAAAGAAAGTGTATTAGATTTTCGAGAAAATTTCAACGTTGCAATGTTAGGCAAGCAGGCTTGGCGAATCCTATACAGACACCTAATATAGTTTACTATGAAGATGAAAAACGTTGAAAACAAGAAATGATAATTCTCTAAAATGTCACGCTTGTATTTTGATAAAAATGCCACGTAAGTTTCGGTTTGTCAAAAATACCAAAAAACTAAAATTAAATTTTCGACTTTGAAAACTAAACCCTAAATCTTAAACACTAAGCCTCACCCTCTAAAATCTATACCATAAATCTAAAATAGCTAATCCAAACCTAAAAATTGAAATTCCAAATTTTTGAATATCATTTTTTTGTTTGGAGTAGTTTTGGAATACAAGTAACAGTTCGGTTTGGATATGACAATTGCAATTGGCAGTAAATTGTGAATCGGAGTATTCTACAATTTTGTTACAATCGGAGCACAGTTATATTATCTTTTTGTTGTCGTTGTTGTTGTTGTTAATGAATGTAACTTGGAAAAAACAATGAAGGTATTATATATCCGGCCGCCTGGATTCAGTTCAGACAAACTTTTTAGTTTTTACGATATGCATTTGGACAAACCCTAACCATTGCACACCAAGTGATTATATATGATCGATCCTCAACCTTTCCAAATTAATTAAGTAGCCCCTCTAAACTTGGACATAGAATCAAAACACAGTCAGTCCATCCGGTTTTGAGCTAGCTTGATATCCCAATCGTATATGAAACTTGAAGAGATGACCAAAAAAAACAAAAAACAAAAAAAAATAGAGCAATTAAACATAGTGTAATTTATGTTTTTTTATTAGCCGAAATAAGAGATACAACACATGTAACTTTAACTTGAAGAACACAACTACGAACATGTGAAAACAGTACAAAAGTTTTCACTTTATTTCAACAACAACATAGATCATGATGCTAAACACACATATAATTTATTAGAGAAACATATATACTTGTAGCATTATTATACGATAATATGGTTTTCTTATATAGTCTTATGAGAGGATTAAGCGCATGTGAAACCAGTTGGGGGATTGATACGGCATAAATCAAGAAGCCGACCAAGTCTTACACTGACGAACAATAAATTGAGGATATTGACTCTAACGGCATTGCAGAGGCACACAGAGGCCACACCGGCGTCAAGCCCAGCCACGAGAGTGCAGCACTGCCTCACTCTTTCAGCATTGAGGAACACGCTGAGGCCAAGCACGTCGACACAAGCTTGGATGTCTCTGGGACACGTCAGAGCTTGAGGTGGTGGAGCTTGTGCCACGGTGAAGCCAAAGAAGACGAGGTTGATGGTGAGGACGAGAGCTATCGTCTTTTTCATCATGTTTGTTGAAGCCATTGTGTTTGAAAAGACTGATTAAGCTCTTCTTTTGCTTTTGGTTTTTAGGATAGGAGTGTTGAGTTATTTTGGGAGGTGAGGGTTTGCATGTATTTATAGTGTTTTTTGTTTTATTATTTTTAGTTAATTTTACATTGACCTAATTGCCGCGCACTTAATTTGTAATATACATGTGTCATGTATATATGTACGTTAATCTATTTACTGTATGTAATAATAAAACCAATATTCTTCTGTCAATAGAGATTTGGCAGCCAAGGTAATCTAACAGTCTACGAAATAAAGATTTGGCACAGTGTAATTAATGAATAATGTCCCTCCAACGTACGTTAACCCTTAACTTCATAACTTGCCTAATCAGTCATAAATTTGCAATAGAATTGAGTTGACTGTCGATTCGTGTAAGTTAATTTACATTTCTGTTTAGTTTAGTTTTAATTCTTAATTAGCTGTTCATTCTTTTTGGCTCATGGTACAATTGTTATAGAACCAAAAAACACTAGGTTCGGCTAAAATTTGGTTTGGGTGTAGATAAATTCTTTTTTTTTTTTTTTTGGTTCGTTTTAAGATGCAAATAATTAATTATCTCTCGAACCTATACTATATTGATGAAGAACAATATCATCTTTTTGTAAAACTGATTGTGATTGAAAACCAAAATATATTTCTAGGTTTGATTTGATCAAATTCAGTTTCATGTTCGAGCAGTCTGTATAAAATTCTACATGCTTTTATTATCTCTCCCTTTTTAACTGAGTTTGACAACTCAAGCTACATGCAAAGTACTAATACACCTACAAAAACACTGTACATTACATTTGAGGACTGAGTTTTGTTGAATTAAAATTCACCATCCGTCATGAAAACTTAATATTGAAGTACTAATTAAAGTACGAAACACATCAAACTGAAGCATTAATGCACGACAAAAGGCTTAATCGCGATCCCTACACTACAGCTTCCCTAAACGGATTCAACTCTCTCAATCACGTGATTCACGTCCATAACTCTCTCTAAACCCTCTGTCGCGCATTTATAGCTACAACTCTGATTACAAAACTCTGAGTCTGTGAAGTATTCTGTTTCTTATATAGTTACATTCAATCTGCGAAAGCAATCTCTAGAAAAAAAAGTTCCAAGTGAATATTTCATTGATATTTCCAATCAGAAATGATCTAAATTAAAGACGAACTAGCTAGTGGAAATATATATGAGTGTCATTTTTATTCTTTTCTACCTATCTTATCACCAATGTATTTCTCCGGGACTAGCTAGGTTCTTAATTTTGCACGTTTGGTTGTCACAGTGGCGTTTGTTTGTATTGGCGTTTAGTTCAAGCAAACTTGAAGAACATATACAGTATATAGTAGTTTGTCCAAAAAAAAAATACAGTATATAGTAATGGATCAGCCGAAAAAGTGAAACAACATATCCATATTTCCTTTTTTTTTTTTTTCAAATTAATCATAAATAAGATAAAAAAAAAATTAGTTCTTTTTATTAATAACACATTACACATATATAGTTGCACCATGAACCGATATATTACGGAACGTGTCTGCTTATTTTAGTGACCTTAATACAAAGTATATATAAGATTAGTTCTGCATGTTGTTTACTTATTAAAGGCAGAGGAAACCAGTTTGTACTGGCAAACCACAGAGACCGAGGATCTCAGTAACTCTCAAAGTGAGGTTGACGTTGAGATTGATGCCGAGAACATTAACATTGAGTCTTACGGCTTGGCATGCACATACAGCAGCAAGAGGAGTATCAAGCCTAGCTAAGACAGTACAACATGGAGCCACATTTCGGGTGTTGAGGGGGATGAGACCAAGTACGTTTTGACAAATCCCGGCGTCGGTGGGGTTAAGGGGACACACAGGTGCGGAAGTGGGTTGGGCTGAAGTGAATCCCAACAAGACGAGGTTGAAGGTAAGGTAGAGAGCCATCATTGCCGTCATGTACTTTGAAGCCATGTTGTCAAAGATGCTAAATAAGATTTGGATGGTTGTAATTGGAGAAATCAAGAGTAGTGTGAGTTATATTGGAGGTGAGGCTTTGTATTTATAGTGTTTCATTAGTTTGTTTACGTGGAATATTGTGACTAAGAATTATCTAACCTAACCAAAAAAAAAAAACTTAAAAAGAAGAATTCTCTAACTTAGTCTTTTCTTTTTTGGTTTTTGATAAAGTCTATACGAAAAGTTAATTGACTAATTCATTCATTCAGCAATTTTCTGTAATTAAGTTTGTAGCTTTTTGTCCCTCTACATATGGTCCAAGTTATATAGTTTGAGGGAAAAGGTTTGGCAAGTAAATTTAGTGATTCGGACAAACATTTCGTGAAGGACAAAAACTCTATGATGATAATTATAAAGTTAACATTTCTTCATAATAAAGTTAATAGGATATTAATGATCAAATACACTCATCAAAGTACATAATCTAATGATGTAAAAAAGAAGTACATATCTAATATGTGGTTTTGTACTAATATACTTATTGTATCAACATACACTAAACCTGCATAGTGTACGTTGGCGTATGGTAAATTAAACTCACACTAATGGACCACTAAATTTAAATATATGGACTTTTTTTCGCCTACAGAATGGCCAAATTAATTTAATATTATTAACCATTTACTAATACTAACTTAGCGTTTCAAACTGTATTAGTTAATTGTTTAATTAATGATATGGTGGTCTAACTCAGTTTAAATTCTCATTCCGCCGAAAATAACACCAAAGGTTTCTAGAGACGTTACAAAGACCAATCTATATTTTGCATTGCTAACCAAGGAATTGCATTTCATAGTCCCATGCATGTCTTCTACGGCTTTATGCAAAATAAACTTTTAAGAATTTGGTGTCCATTATCTATTATTCTAATATATCTTAAACTTAAGATCGTCTAAAGAACTGTTAACAATATGAAAAGTAACAAAGTCATGTAATATGGAATAAAAGTGGGAAGAATACATTAGCCCTTCTAAAGACTTAACGGTCCAAGGGTACGTAGAGTGAAGCCCACCTCAATGCCTAACATGAAAAAAGTTTGTCAATGGAACAAGTGGTACAAAACCGTCGAGTGAACGAACATTTAAAGTCCTATAAATACCCACAACCTCACTTCATTTTATTTCACCAGTACATCCATACATAATCCTCCTTTGAGGACATGAAAAAAATGGATAAAAAATGTACAAAAGCAACCCTAGCTTTCGTCATTGCGCTGATCATCCTCTTCCAAGGCCACATCAAAGCCAGCGGACAGCCTCGTCCCCGCACACCACCTACACCATCAACCCGAAGACCACCTACCCCTCCACGGACACCACCTGTTTCTCCCCCAAAGAGTCCACCAACTTCTCCTCCGCGTATACCACCAGTTCCTCCTCCTAGGACTCGTGCACCACCAGTGTCTCCCCCAATTTCTCCTCCACGGACACCACCAATTCCTCCTCCAAGAACTCCCCCAACCACTCCCCCACGGACACCACCGGTATCTCCACCAAGGAGTCCACCAACTCCTCCTCCGCGTTCACCACCACAATCTCCACCAAGGAGTCCACCAACTTCTCCTCCGCGTTCACCACCACAATCTCCACCATCTTCTCCTCCCCGTGCACCACCAATGTCTCCACCAAGAACTCCACCAACTTCTCCTCCAAGGACACCACCGGTATCTCCACCAAGGAGTCCACCAACTTCTCCTCCGCGCTCACCACCACAATCTCCACCATCTTCTCCTCCCCGTGCACCACCAATGTCTCCACCAAGGAGTCCACCAACTTCTCCTCCACGTTCACCACCACAATCTCCACCATCTTCTCCTCCCCGTGCACCACCAATGTCTCCACCAAGAGCTCCACCAACTTCTCCTCCGCGTACGCCACCAATGTCTCCACCAAAAACTCCACCAACTTCTCCCCCGCTTGCACCACCAGTTCCTCCACCAAGTAATCCACCATTGCTTCCTCCCCGTACTCCTCCAGTGTCTCCACCAATTTCTCCTCCAAGGACTCCCCCACAAACACCACCGGTATCTCCACCAACTTCTCCTCCGCGTGCACCACCAATGTCTCCACCAAGCACTCCACCAACTTCTCCTCCGCGTGCACCACCAATGTCTCCACCAAAAACTCCACCAATTTCTCCACCGCTTGCACCACCAGTCCCTCCTCCACGCACACCATTAACACCTCCTCCACCACCGCCTCCCCCGCGTGGCACATGCCCAAGGATTATTGGTGCCAAACTACGAATATGTGGCACTATCCTAAGTATTATTGATCGTTTCCTTGGAATTGGAAGGGCACTACCATGTTGTTCTCTCATTCGTAGTCTTTCTGATGTTGATGCACTTACGTGCCTTTGCGAATCAGTGAGAGCACCACCTCGCAGTCTTTCTCCTAGTATCACGAACCTTTATAGGATTTGTGGTCGTAGGATTCCCCCACGCTTCACTTGCCCATAACCACCTCCTTTTAACCCACAATAAACTAAAAACTTACTTATTATATACAGTCCGTCCGTAATGTTCTTAATTTTGTTTTTATTCCAATAATCAAATAAAACATAAATAAAGTCTGTATGGTATTTTGCATCGTGTCTTGATTTTATTTTTCTAAACACGTTGGAGTGTACAAATATTGCTAAAGGAAAAGAAAAGTAATTAAAGAACTTGATACATACGTAAGATTAGATTAATCTCAAACAAAAGGATTGCGACCACAAAAGGCTGCCATTGTATATGTGTTGCCCTATTTGCGACCACATATATTGTAACGTGTTTTTATGTTCTTAGCCATAATATAATCTAACTTTAATAAATAAAAATAAATTTTGAGTTAAACTTTTCTCTTAAAGTTTACGAAATTTGGTTTTACACTAAGGATGGAAGCCTAACAAAGATGTACATTTTTTATCAGTTGATGTTCTCTCTGTCAGAATGTAATTTCAATTTTCAAGTGCGTTACTACTATATCAACTGAAAATTAAAATTACACCCATTAAATTCATAACTAAAACATATATACATCCATAATCTTATATTTATTTATTTTAAATGTAAAAGAGGATTTTTTTTGGCTCGTAGAGCTGGTTCTAGTCCACATATTGTCAAGTTTATAAACAATTGCCTTTCGAATTGGCTCGTTTGAGTTTTTTCTTTGTTTTAGTTGATGACCAAAAAAAAACACATAACAGAACAAAACAAAAACTCATTTATGGTGTAAAGGTGTGATCAAAAGAACACTAAACTAAACTAGAGATTTGGCGGCGTAAAGGTGTGATTAACAGAGAGAACGAAATACTTGCCTAAATCTTTAAAGCCTCATTAATACAGAAAGAGTAATGTTAGGCAAATAGAAATTAAATGATAAACAATCAAACAAGTGTTTTTTTTTTTTTTTTAATTCCAGTGCCTCTTTTTCTTCTATAAATACCCACACAACCTCATCGAAACGCATCTACAGTTCTTTCATATCCACAAAATAAAATAATAAAATGGCCTCACAGAGCTCAACCACCGTCTCTTTCATCATCATCATCCTCCTCATCAGCCTCGCAGAAGCAGACCTCCTCAGCTCGCCTTCACCGACTACCACCGGCAACTTTGGCACGTGTCCCAGAGACCCATTGCAACTACGCGTATGTGCCAGCGTCCTTAACCTAGCCAATGTCACAGCTGGAGACACCAGAGCAAGATCGTGTTGCGCTGCCATCAATGGCCTCACTAATGTTCAAGTAGTCGATTGTCTCTGCTTTATCTTCAGGCCAATCCCTTTGGTTTTCGATATCGATGAGGCTGTTAGAGAAATCTTTTTTGCTTGCAACAGGGTTTTTCCTATTGGGTTTCAGTGTCCACCACAACAGTAATTACCCCTTAATTCCCCTAATTAAAAGCCCTACATATCCAGTATTTCCTTAAACTATATATAAGTTCGCTTGCACCACAAGTATGATGTTTAATGGATTACAGTGTTAATCTGTGTTTCGTTGTTGACTAGGACGTAATAAGGACTATTGATGTTTACAAGAATATGGACTATTGATGTTTGTATGCATATCTACTATATTGTTCACGAAGAAGAATAATAAATAAAGTTTAATACTTTTGTGTTTTTTGTTTCTTGTCTCACATATGATATTATCAATATCAAAACGATAAAAAATATTGTTCGGCATCATAATCTTTATTTACGTTAATGGATTCATTTAAAACACATATAATTATTTTTTGTCAAAATGCAATTAAAACACATATAATTACACAATAATTATATGTTTTATCATTATTTGTAACAACTTCTCAGTATGCCATAATGTAAAAATCGGGGTCACATATATATATTTGTTTATATCATTGTCTTGTAAATGTAATGAGTGATGGTCAGAACTCAAAAGTATGTGATTCCATACTCTGAAGTCTGAATTCATTAATAAAGAGCATATTTTATATCATATGGTTTTAAGTTTACGTATTTTCGGGGTCCAGTGTCCACTAGCCAATTTATACCCCACTCTGGGAGGCTAGAGTCGATGTTTACGTACTCAAAAGTCAAAACATGCATACGCCACTTGCCTAAAAGCTTTAGCTAGGGATCGGATCATATATGGTGTTTAGTTCTATTTTTTCAAGAAATAATGAAAGAAGCATTCCACATTACAGTTCAGAAAGTAAATGCATGTGGTCCAAGATATAAAAAAAAAAGAAAAAAAAAAAAAACAGATGATGATCTCTATTCTCTATATACAGTGCATGGTCAGATTTATACAATACTGTGATTATTTAATAACCCTACATACTTAAGTAGTGCGTTTTTAGTTTATCGCTAAATGTCATGTTCAGTGTTTCCTTTTTTTTTTTTTTTTTTCTTTTTTGTTTGTAGAAAGGTCCGTTCCGTTGCTAAAACAGTTTAAACATGTGTGAAATATATTTTACGAACATACGTGAATAGAAAAGGAGAAGAGAGTAAAATCATATATGTAATAAATAACACTGTTAATATGTTCGATATATAGCCTAACCATATAGACTCACGGTTGCCAAATTACCTTAGACCATCATCAATGGTAGCCTCTTAGGGCTAAGATTTCCTTAAGAGAGTACATTATATAAGGTACTCTCTTAAGGAAATCTTAGCCCTAAGAAGCTACCATTGAGGATGCCCTTAGACTGTCCCAATCTGCCATCCCTAAACATATATATGAAGACGAGAGCATGGGACAGGGAATTCATGAGTACATGCCAAACTTATTTACTCAAGCTACACAACCCCTCACGACTTCATCAGGCGCTTTTTTTTTGTTACGTGTGCATGTATCATCTAAAATCAAATGCTAATTAGTTTTCTTTTTGACTAAATAATTTTTAGAAAATGAAAACCAGAAACGTTTACGTCTTACCTTTACGTTCATAAGTTTCAAATAAAATTTCAGAAATTAAGTTCATATTGTGTATATACTTTTAAGATAATTAACAGATTACCTAAACTTGTGTGAGTATGCCGATGTAATGAAGGTTCATTCGGAGTTTGAGTTTCTAGCTATATGCCCTTTTTTAAACCATATGGTACAAGTTACGAATATTCTCAACATCGCCTCATTTGTATTCCCAATTCCTATAATTGGCCCTTTGTGAGAACAAACTGTGTTGAATAAAATGGCACTGCATATATGGTTTAATAAAAACCCTAGTAGACTAGTAGTTCTCTTCCTTGCACTCAACATTCTCCATCTCTCCAGGCAGCCCAGCACCGCCTTCTATAATGACACCACCACCACCGTCTCCTACAACAAACCCAGATGAATTTCGTTTCTAATTTTCAATTTCTGAAAGAAAAAAAATTCACTTTTGAATTTACTTGAATTATAAAGGAAACCAGATTGGTTGATGAGATGTTTAAAAGAATAAACATTGATTTATGAACGTCTAAATTTTCCATTGTTTTAATGAAAAGTCCAAAAAAAACCATGCTAATCTGTTTTAATGAATCACAGACTTTATTCATTCATGATCCTACAACCATCTTCAAGCGAAGCCAACCATAAAAAAAAATGTATAGAAAAACAAAGCTAATATAATTTATTTACCTGCTTGTGCCGAACGAGTAAAATAAGTAAATTTCACATTTATGTTTAGCCTAACAATGTAAGTTACAATGCCCCCAAACCTAACCCAAAAACTAATTAATTTCAAACAAAATTTGGAAGATGGCATTCATGAAGCATGTGCCCACTCATGTACTCAAGCAACAAACTGCTCAATCGATCGATCACAGTTTTGGGATATAATTAATTGATCGTTACGGATATATAATTACTGTCCAAACTTTGTTTTGGGCAAAAGTTTAATGTCCAAATTTACTGAAATGTATAGTACTTTAAAAAAATTGTCATACTTTTGAAATGGATCAATAGAAAAGCATAAATTTCAGTATCATTCAACAGAAAACGTCAAGACTTCGGTAAATATTTTTTTTTTTCCTGCTAATCCACTCTTGGGTAAAGCCATTGGACCAATACAAGCGATTGAATATAGATCACCATTACAAAAGCAAACCCAAGAAATAAATCCAAGACAAGTCTGGTTCATGGGAGTGATATTTCTAACTTGAAACCACATCTTATATCACAGTCTGTAAACAACACAATATATGCGAGTAATCTTTATCTCTAAAGACCAATTAGTGCATGACCGAGTATTCCGCATTTCGAAAAACTGATGATTGCCACCTATGACCGAGAAAATGCGGAACTTAAATATCGACCAGCGTAGGCCTTGTGAGCGAATTTTTTCCATTAGACCAAAGACTTGAAGTATAAGCCACCTATGACTAGATGAATGAAGGGGGTTTGGCAAAAGACCAAGTGGCAAAGTGCAATCTATTCAAGCTCCAAAAGCGGCTATAAATACTTACAACCTCACTACACCTCAATTCACCAATTTCCGTACACTTCTCCTTTCGTGAGGACAAAGATTGTCTTAGGACAAAATGGCCGCACATGGTTTAACAAAAATCTTAGTAGTCGTCTTTGCAATACTCAGCATTGTCTTCCTCAGCCAAGTTAATGCTCAGAGCCCTCCCCGTCGTGGCCCTCCTCCATCTCGTCTCCGCCCGCCTCCACCCCCTCGCGGTTCTCCTACACGCCCTCGTCGCCCGCCCCCACCACCACCACCAAGGGCATGTCCACCTTGTATTTGCTCACTACCACCCCCTCCACTAAACACCCCACCGCCAATTTCACCACCAGACACATCACCATCCAAGACTCCACCCAAAAACTCACCACCCGAGATTTCACCACCCAAGACTCCACCATCCGATAATTCTCCACCTGATATTTCACCACCTGAGACTCCACCACCAGAAATCATAGTAGCTCCTGAGATTTCACCATCTGAGACACCACCACCTAATAATCCACCACCCGAGACTCCACCGTCCGAGAATTCTCCACCTGAGATTTCACCATCAGAGTCTCCACCACCTGAGATTTCACCATCAGAGACTCCACAACCAGAAATTATAGTAACCCCGGAGAGTTCTCCATCTGAGACACCACCACTCGATAGCCCACCACCCGAGACTCCACCACCAGAAATTATAGTAGCTCCTGAGATTTCACCATCTGAGACACCACCACCTAATAACCCGCCACCCGATATCTCACCACCAGATACTCCACCATCCGAGAATTCACCACCAGAGATTTCACCATCTGAGACTCCACAACCTGAGATTTCACCATCAGAGACTCCACCACCAGAGATTATAGTAACTCCGGAAAGTTCACCATCTGAGACACCACCCGAGACTCCACCATCTGAAAATTCTCCACCTGAGATTTCACCATCAGAGATTCTCCACCTGAGATTTCACCATCAGAGATTCCACCACCTGATATTTCACCATCAGAGACTCCACCACCAGAGATTTCACCATCAGAGACTCCACCACCAGAGATTATAGTAACCCCTGAGAGTTCACCATCTGAGACACCACCTGATAACCCACCAAAACCTTCACCACTTGAGACTCCACCACCCCAAATCCCACCACTAGAAGCTCCACCCCCAGAGATTTCGCCGTCTGAAACCCCACAACCAGAGATCTTACCAACGCTTCCACCAAGCACACCCCAGCAAACTCCTCCAACCACACCACCGGAAACTCCTCCAGGCACACCAGCACAGGCTCCACCAACTCTTCCACCAACTCTTCCGACAAACACACCACCAATAACTCCTCCAACTACACCACCACCACCTTCACCAACATCTCCACCAAACAACTTAACACCACCTCCTCCTTTGAGCTCTCCACCACCACCGCCCCGACCTCAAACTCCATCACCATCTCCCCCACGTGGTACATGCCCAAGGAATGCGAACCAAATAAGGGCGTGTTCCAATATCCTAAGATTTTTTGGTAACTTCCTAGATTTTCGGTTGGCGAAACCATGTTGTACCCTCATTCGCGATCTATCTGATGCTCAAGCAGCTGCTTGTCTGTGTGATTTGGTGAGAGCACGACGTTCCACTCTTTCTCCCAATATCATTATCCTCTGTAAGGCTTGTGGTCGCAGAATTCCGAGGGGCTTTACTTGCCCATAACTATTTCCTTGTTTCCCATCCCTTGTTATTACCTAAAATTACTAAAACAAACTTAACACTTAAACCACAACTAAAGTCTTGTGACTTTTACTTTCTGCCAATAATAATGTAATAAAACATCAATAAATTTTGTGTTTCTTTTATTTATTTTTATATAATTCAGTTTACAATCGTAAACTAATGAACATACCATAGGTAACAAAAACACAAACAAAATGTTTTATACAACATTAGTTAAAACGTACTATCACTCACCAAAAATAGTTAATACTCCCTCCGTTGTATAGCTCCTCAAATATATAAACTCTTAACGATATCAGCAAAACAGTTGTCTTAAATATACAAGATAACCTTGTGAGTTTTTTCTATTATTTTAATTTGGTTCGAGTAATGTAATAAAATACCAATGAAAATGATGATATTGTATATTCCTTGTCTTACTAAAACATTGAAGTAACCTTATACCAGACAGTAACACAAACATCAAGAACCGCCGTAAGCCAGAATCCTCAGGAATTAATTACAAGGAAAGTCTCTGACTCTCTGTAAATACTATAGTCTATACAGAGAATCTTGTAATTAACAAGATCAAAATAAAATGTTATTAACACAAACAAATAGAAACTTCATTTTTCTATTATGAATAATAAAATCCATTTTAGTATAGCAACTACATACTCAGTTCCAAAGATATGCTTATCGCCAGCTAAATTCCCTAGGGCTAGAACGTGGTCGGTCCAAGTAAAATATAACCACTATTATTAATCAAATCATTCCGCTTATAATATATATATATATTTTTTTTGGACAAGCAATTTCGCTTATAATATATGTCGTTTAATTCTCTACTTGAGCTATCCACTTTCCCTATAAATACACACTTAACACTCTTTACGTTTCTCCACCACAACTCTCTACGCACTTCTTAACTTGAAAGAGTTTCTTTAGGGCTTTGTTTGTGTTTCCTTAAAGAACCAATGGCTCTTAAGAACTCTCTTGCGCTCTTCCTTCTCTTCAACATCCTTTTCTTCACTCTCACTACAGCCACTCGCAGTACTGGCTGTCCTCCTCCACCACGAAAACACAACAAACATAAACCTAGTACCCCACCAACCACACCAACCTCTGCCGGGACTTGCCCTAAAGATGCCTTAAAGCTCGGTGTTTGTGTTAACGCACTAAACTTGTTGAAAGATGTGACTCTCGGAACTCCTCCTGTGACTCCATGTTGCAGCCTTATCGAGGGTTTGGTCGATCTTGAAGCTGCGGTTTGTCTTTGCACTGCCCTCAAGGCTAGTGTTCTCGGCATCAACCTTTACCTTCCCATAAACCTTAGCTTGCTTCTCAACGTTTGCAGCAGAAAGGCACCACGCGGCTTCCAATGCCCTTAAAAATCATCAATACACTCGATATATAAGTTACGAACCATGCATGGAAATCTTGAATCTTTGATCGTTATGTTATATTTTGTGCTCGTTTATTTGAATTGGTGAAGTTCATGAAGAACAACAATGAGTTTATGTTGTTCACTTTTTATTTTATTTTGTGGCGAGTAATTTTTTTTCCATTATGTCTTATATATTGAATAAAATACCAATGATTTGTTTCTTGTTATCAACATGGTTTTTTTTTAATTAACTTTCAGCATATGGTATTAATTTATTACATTATTTTACTTTTAATAAATACAAGATAAATAAGAAAATCAATAATCAATAAAGGAAAAAAAAAGTAAAGATAATAATTCATTATGTTGCATGGCCGGTGAGTCTTGTTGTTGCATGCACACATGGATAATACGATCGGGATTTAATTAATTGAGATGTAAAGAATAAATCAGAACAATTATTCCGTAATAAGAATTTGGTGGGTACAAAAAATTCAACTTGGTGACATGACATCGATCGTCTCAATTATAAAACCTGCCACCCACAGGTACGACTAGAGTCAAATTTATCTCTCACACATACGAATGCTAGTTCCACCACTTAAACATATGTTCCTTGCGATGTTACGTTATTTAGAGCGTTTTAGTTGTTTCTTTTTGGCTAACATTTTTCGTAATAGTCAGTATTCCGTCTTTATCAGACTCCTTCGCACACTATCATGATTTAGTTATGATCCCGACCATCATTCAAGTCTATGCCACGTGTCATCAAAGGAGAATGCTTTCATTCACTAATTCAAATCGTAATCACGTGAAAAATAAAAAAACTAATAATTCGGTTTTCAGATCTCACCCATAGGCCATAGCCACTAGACCGCTCCCCGTGAACCATCTTTGGCATGTATAATCTTATCTTTATACTATAACCCGAATTAATTAATACATATGGTGTGATATGAATATATAGTTTACGTGAATAAAAGAAAAAGTCATCTCTATATTGATGTTAGTGATTCAGTTATATATATGTATGTATTAATGTATCTACTAAATCATTCACATCAGTATAGATCTGGCTTTGTTCCTTTATTATCACGTAAATTATATATGCATGGGCTTTCCCGTGATCTCGATTTGGCATTTTCAGCCAACAAATGATTCTAGAAGTATATTTGATAATTTACACATAAAATTTTGTATTACATCGTCATTACTATTAGTGTGCGTTAACGCCGCTAAGTAAATTGATGGACTTCCACATAATAATTGTAAGTGGCATCATGTTTTGAAAATTCCAAAATACGTAGTGCTGAAAACCATTTCTGTGAAGATGCTAATCGTCGAAGTTTTCTTTATAAAATTAAAAATTCAATACAACATTAGTTAACAATAATCTTTACATATAACATTATATATATATATATATATATATATATATATTAGTTAATTACTAATAACAACTAATTAAGTTAACTAAATAATTACTTTACTATAATAACATATATATATATATATATATATATATATATATTGGTTTAAATTTCAATACAACATTAGTTAACAATACTCTTTACATAACATTATTTTGGATCTAATTTCTTAACTTCCAAGTTCCAACATAAGAATACTAAACGTTTATCATCCAGTATACCAAATTATTAGAAGGCGTCTGTCCATCATATATTCATTTTCTAAAAACTATTGTATGACTCACATTAATTTTAGTCATTAACATCCTCGTTCTAAATTGGTTTATCAAAGTCAAAATGAAAACAAATTCATAATCTTCATATCTTGTTAGGCCTTACAAAGCCCATACGACCAACAAAAGACCAAATTCTTTGATCTAAAGTCTAAAACCATAAGCAACATGTCAAGAGGCCCATCCCAAGGTAATAGTATAAACTTCGATTTGAATCTAGACAAAACTTAGAATAAAACTTGGAAGCAATGCAAACACATAGCACTACTGTTTTTTTTACTTCTCTTATCATCTGGAGAAAGTATAAAGAGCGTTCTTTTGGGGTCTAAAAGCTCATCACAAACCAGAAACATGCACTGCCTCAAAACCCCATCACCATAAAGAAAACGCACCAGATTTGTTGGAACGAAAAACCTCAATGTCCAGCTCACCACCAGAGACAGCAGGAAACATAAACCTAGAGTAAAGATATCGTACTTCAAAGTTTGTAAATTCTTTAAGCTTACAGACCCATTGCTAATCTTTCTTCGTTGCAAAACAAGTCAATAGGGAGATACTTTGGATTCTTGTCTGTCTTCCGAATTGTCAGTGGATCTGATAAGCCTTTGAAACCGTTAAATAACAAATCAGAATATTCTTATTTATTTGTTGAAATTTAAAAAATAATAATATTCTTTACTATAAATTATAGAAAATTAATCTTTGTGGAAGATGAAAAAATCTCAAGATATACCTATATTGAAAATTTGAAAATACTTGATGGAGGAGTCCTACCTTCTTATTTACGTTCATTTTCCTCATATCATTAATCAAATAATTGATTATTTTCAATGCATGTTCCTAGATGTGATGATACTTCAAATTATCAATGCATCTTTAATGTGCTTATAGTAGAATATATATTTAATACATCAATTATAATATATATCAAAATGGTTCTTAAATAGATGAATTTCAAGTGCAACCTTAGTTCAACTGGTTGACGATTAATATTTGTGGCTGTGTTATCCGTTGGAAACATTGCTTTCCTTTTCGTCAATATCTCAGGGGTTTAGGTTCTTGAGTGTAATGAAATATTGTAAGATATAATGTTCTTCTTAGTATAAAGGAAACATATATTTATATCTTATGGAGATGTGGCTTTTTAAAGTATAAATCTCCATATTTAATTATTTTCCATAATATTTGTCACCACCTTTAGGAAAAAAAACTTGAGAAAAAAGCCAAACTGGAATTAATGAATTAAATATTACTTATATAGTTATATTACAAAATGCTTTGGTATTAATTTTTAAAATTTTGCATTGTATTAATTAGTAATTCATCCTATAGATTTTCTGTCATATTTTATCAATTTGAAAGAAAACCATTATTAGAATTTATTTAAAAAATAATATAAAAGATAAGGATTGGAAAAGAGAAACAAAAATTATGTTTAATAACAAGATGGAAAGAAGGAAATCAGAAATTGTATGGAAAAAGAGGGAAGAAAATATGAAGTGGCAAAATATCACAAGTGTATATGTATGTATATATTGGTACTAATTAATCATAATAGAAGAATTTAATAGGTATATTGGTCAATATTATTGAATTAAATATAGAACAGTAGGAGTTTAGCAAAAACGATCTGCAAATGAATTTAGAGAAGATCAATACACATATGGTTTGAGACAAACTTCACATTTTGGAACTGAAATGATATGAGATGAGAAGAAAGAAACACAAGTACAGAAAAAGAATAAGAATCACTTCCTTAAATAATTGATGTCCAAACATATGTGCATCTGTTTTTCTTCTTCTTCATCTTCTCTTGTTCTTATTCAAAATGTAGCATGCTCAGCTCATATGCATTGGATCAATCGAGGTACTAAATATTGTTACTGAACAAGTTTTAGCTGACGTTTATGACAAAAAATACTAGACATCAAAACACCGAAGAATCTAGCTAAGCCACCATCAGAAAACAAAAGAATAGGAACAAGCTTTGATATAAGAATGCTGTCTCTACCACACAAGTTGTCTCGAAACGAATTATGCTCGTTGCTCAGAACGGGGTAAAGAACATTCATGTTGAATTATGTCGAGACAATCCTTCCATGCACAGCACTTCAGGCTCTGAGGACAATTTGCATCAGGCTTGGACCAAGATCGAAATTGCAAAATGTAGAAAGATTCAAGGAAGTTTTAAAGAATTTAGACGCCAGAAAAGACGAATTCATGAATCGATATGCGAGGAAACAAAAGAACGGTCAAATGATGCACGATCGATCGAGATGGTAATACATATATTCTTTGATGCACCGAAACCTAATCCACCCATTTGCATCATTCGTTGCTTGCTGTATAAGAAAAAGAACACTTGCAGTGACTAAAGAGGAGGATTCACCAAGAAAGTGGGAAAGCTCAAAGGCAGACTTTTAAGGAAGACGTTGTGAACTAGTACCATCTGAACACGAAAAAATATCATCTCCAAGTTAGTGATCTTATGGAGAATCTCAAAAAAGAAGCTTTGGTTAGCAGCAAACATAAGAAGCAATAAAGGAGTAAACGAAAGTAGATTTTTGTGAGAGATGAGTATGTAAAAGTATCTGTTTCCGACACTGATACCACCTCTAAGATATTTCTGAAATTTATCTATTCTTCCCATTCTTCTTCTTCTTCGTTATCTTCGTGTTCTTTCGGCAGTGAAGAAACGTAAGAACGCAGTGATTGTTCCATAGTATTTTTAAGTTGTATACCATCATTAGTGTTCATGAATCTATGACAGAGATTAGTTCCTTGAATCTCTCCCATGTCCAAACCTGAACCAACTTAAACAAGGCAGTCACACCAATGTCGACCACCTCTTTTCTTGAATCTCTTATGTGTTTTTGCAAGAGAGCTAGTCTGCATACAAATGAGCAAGAACAGGAGCAAGAACAGGAGGAGCAAAAGCAACCCTAATACCCCTAGAAAGATTATTAGCAATTGGAAAAACAGCTTGATAGTTAGGGAAGCATGATGAGAACAGGAAGTAGCTAAGCCACAAGGATAGGAACCCAACATGCTCAAGTTCATTCACTGGTGATGAACTTGAGCATGTTGGGTTCCTTTCCTTGTGGCTTAGCTACTTCGTGTTCTTATCACGCTTCCCTAATGTTTATAAGACTGTTTTTCCAATTGCTATTCATCTTTCTATGGGTACTAGGGTTGCTCTTGGTCCTCCTGTTCTTGTTCATTTGTATGCAGACCTAGCTCTCTTGCAAAAGCACATCAGAAACCAAAACCACCCATTTGCATCATCCTTTTGAGTGTCATCAATTGCTGCATAAGAAACAGAACACTTACAGTGACTAAAGCAGATTCAAAGTCAGAAATTTTGAGGAGGATGTTGTGAATGAATTAGTATATGAACACTAACCATTTTCATCTTCAAGAATGAGACTGAATAAGCCTCTTAATCCAAACAAATTTAAAAAGTACCTGCGACATGGAAGAACATCCCATAAAACAAGAGGTGTAAACAAAACATACATAAAACTATCATGTGCTATTCTCTATGTAACGAGATACATACCATGATCGGCTGCTCACGTAGCTAACATCAACAGTGCTCATTTATGAGAAGAGATGAACAGCAATTCACTTACCTGCTGTATAATCATTGACAGATTTTTCTTCATCATATCCATGGCCATGTTAGGATCAGAAAACATTTGGGCTTGAGGATTTTGAGCTTGGTCCTTGGGAACAAGTAGCAATCCATTTTCCTGCAGAAAACAATATTTCTAAGTAACCATATCTGAACAGCACACAAACTATACTATTGAGAAACCACTGGTAAAAATTTTTTACATTGCAATCTTGCCTTAACGCAAAACAAAGAGACAACACAAGAACGAGAAGAAAAATAGAAAAAAAAATCAAGCTATCATCATGCCAAATGAACGCAACAACTCTTGGTAACTAGTAAAGAACAATAATTCAAGATATGGAAGACATATGATTCTACGTAATTCCACAGAATCATTGCTCAGACGAAAAGGCTTTCCTTAAGGTTTTACCCAATCCTAAAAGCCAAAACCTTTAATGCATTGGAATGTTTTCAAATTGTCATAAAATCCTAGGAAATAAAAAGTCAAAAAGCTAGGAACTAAACTAGATTGCACACACATAAGTTTTCATCAAGAATTTGAAACTCTAATCACCTCATACAGCTTGGTAATTACGTAGAAGGAAATCTTGAAACTGAGAAACACAAAAGGGCAAAAATCACAGAAACCATAGCTCATTGTTGAAGTAGAACCTGGCTCTGATACCAATGAAACAATAAAAATGGATTAATAATCTCAAACCAAAGATCCACCGTGAACCTAGGATTTGAGAAAACCTCACGCCAAAGATGGTCAAAGAAAGAGAAGAACCATCTTAGAAGCGAGTTGGTTTGATAATGGAGGATGGTGTAGTGATGGCGCACCGAGAGATAGAGAGAGAGGGAAGAAGATAAGATGAAGAAGATATGTTTTTCATTAGGTTTTCCGAAATGGCTAAGTGCCTTACAAATACTAAGTCGTAAACCGACTAAATGTACCAACTAAAGATTGAACCAAGAGGCTAACCCGGTTAGGCGGGATAAAATTAGCACCGGCCTTAACTTGCCCTTATAACAACTTGTCTGGAAAAATCAAACAATATCAAAACCCAATTTTCAGCTAATTTTGACACAACAATCTACACAAATGTGACAAATAAGGAGAGCAGAAGATGAGTCACCCTTCTTTGACAATCTTCGCATCTGGAGTCGGAGAAGATCGCATGAGCTTAGATACGCAGTAACAGAGAATTCCAATGAGAACCATCGCGACAGAGAGAGGGATAAAAACCCAATCTCTAATCGCCGTGTCGAGAACTAGATCTTCCGCCATTGATAATTCTGTTGTGATATATTGTGTTTTTATCATTGTACAAATATAAATCATTACATTTTTTTGGTAGGAATATAAATAATTACATAATATATATAATATTTGTATTTATATATATAACATACTTTAAGTAGATGATAGAGTCAAAATTTAATATATATTTTGATGATTTCAAAATCAAGATACTTATATATATATATTTAGTCTTAGCTTTGTTCAGTTTTGACATTTATAAATAATAAAAAATATTGTAGATAAAGATTTTAAAAGTAATAAGTAAGGCTAGTAAGTAAATATGAAAACTATTTCATTAATCAAATCTTCTAATCAAACTAAAATATTAAAAAATTCAAAATATATTTATTTCAGGGTTTTTCGGGCCAGCCCGAACCCGACCGGGTTAAGCCTAAAAAACCTTTTAACCCGAATAGGCTTAACCCAAAAGACCCGGTTTTTTCTGGACATATATATTTAAGCCCGAGCCCAATGTTTTTCAGGGCCGGGCCAAACTAGCCTGCGGGCTTTATCCCTAATTGACATTCGTAATTTTTTCCTGACATGGCAAGGTTTAGTTTTGATTTAGTTGTGAAACTTTTTGATATATAAATAATTTTTTGCTTCTCAATCTTATTTTTCAGTGTGGGCAAGTCTTCTTTCTCCAGAACCTAGAAGCCCTAATTTATTACTGTCGAAAAAAAAAAAAAAAGGAATTTCCAATGGAAACACCAAAAAATACCGCACAATATCTCTCGGAAGCCATAGTGACAGAGATTGTAGCGAGGTTACCATTGAGAAGCATCTCCAGATTCAAATCTGTGTGCAGAACATGGAAATCAGCACTAGAATCTGCGTATTTCCGCCGTCTCTTTGTGTCTTTGCACCAAAACACCTCTTCCTCTTGGTCACTACTGGCTGGGACAGAAGAATTCATAAGCATGCATGGATGCGAGACATGGGATCTTCCAAAGTCTATAGCGTCGTATTTTCGTGGTATTTTAACTCGTAAAAACTTATATCATGTGGCTTCTTCATCTGGATTGATATTGATGGAATCATCTGATGATGCTACTTATGTGGGTAATCCAGTATTACAACAGTGGCTTAGAATCCCTGACCCTCCACATCCAACTGTCACTGTTGTCTTAGGTTTGGTGACAAGCCTGGACGAGGACGGGGTTGTTCTAAGCTTCAAAGTTGTGAAGATGGCTGCGTTGGTACCGACTAGAGATAAATCCTCTACTTGTATGTTTTTGTGGGTCTATTCGTCTGAGACTGGCATTTGGACACGCAAGCGACTTTACTGCCCTATTTGCTTCACCAGCTTCCGTAACACTATCAGTTTGAATGGGACGTTTTATGTATCCCAAACATGTTTAGATGGCCTTGCTACTCAACCCGGAACACTTATGGCTCATGATTTCTATTCTGAATCCGATCTATGGCGTGTCATACCTTTCCCTGATCATAATCTGAATCACAACATGAACTTCAAAAGAGCCTTGACCAAATCCCGCGGATATGTCATGTATATAAAAACGTTAGCTCAAGAGGGAGACAATCTTTTGAAGGTTTGGAGGTTGAGCAATGATTCAGGGGATGAATGCTGGAAACTTCTTTGGGAAATTCGCCTCCCGTTTGATAATATCAGAAATTATGCACCCATGGCAATGCATCCCTTGGAGCACAATATTGTGTATTTATGGAGTGAAGAAAACCATTATATGATATCATGTAATTTGCAAACACAAAACTACAAAATCCTTAGAGATGATGATCATCAAGATTGTCTTATAAACAAGTCTCGTTGTGACAAGTATATGGATGAGGCTTTGAAGTCAAGCTCAGTTCAAGAATATGGAGTACTGGTCAACCTAGACCAATTCGTGCTCCCAAAGTGGATGAAATCATTGCCTCGCCCTCCCCAAGTTGAGATGCTAGATACAGCTTCACTGATTTCTTACGTTTCTTCACTGCCGAAAGAACACGAAGATTACGAAGAAGAAGAAGAAGACGTAGAAGAAGAATGGGAAGAAGAATGGAAAGAATAGATGCAAACAAGGTTTTTGGATTCAATGATTCATTATGGTTTTTGGTTATTTTTGCCTTTTTTTTTCTCAGCTTCTTCATATGCTTTTTTGTCTTCTGACTGGTACATTACAATTATTAAAACACTATATACGAATATGCCACTAAGCTGTGCAATTTCTAATAGATCAAACATTAAACGGGGCAACATCAAAGCTAGCATAAGGAATCATTCTGAAATTGCATGAAAGGAAGCGGGATCACGGTTTAAGCCTTAAACTTGAGACTTCCCCAAGCCATTTATTTGTTAGTTTGGACCTATGATGACTCTCTCCCCACGCAATGCTGGTGGCTGCATCACCACCCTTGTATCCAAACGATGGATACTACTTCAAAGCTTACAATCAGCTACCAGAACAATGACCCCAAACTTTAGTTTATCGAGTAGCCTTACACCCTCCCTCTTAGTCACCTTCGCTCTTCATTTTGTCACCGGAAAAAAATTGATCCCTGCTGAAAGCACCAATTAAGCAGGTGTCTTCTTCTTCGTGTGCTTAGTAACATTCCATCTAAGACTATATACCACCATAACAACCTCGGCCATATTTTTTGTTTTCATTTTATTGTTCCATGTTTGTTCACTACCAGAGATAATAGAACAATATATAAATAACTTCACTGACATAGACACACCTTCCTGGTTCATCTCATCTAGGCCTTCTATAACTTTCTGGAGCTACTACTTTTGCATAAATAAGACAACCCTAGAACATTTTCAATATCATCACCTGCATCAGTTTCTCTACAGCTTGGCAGAGTCCGTTAAGTAAGAGACAACTATGAAAGGAATACACGACATCTCCATGATTTGTTTTCTCAATGACATGATAAAGCTTGTTGGCCAAGAGTGAGCAGATCGCATTGTGGTGGGATGATGAAATATGGTTCGAAACAAAAACAATATATCCCTCTATAGTTTCCTAGAAAAATCTTAGCTCTTTATTAATAATAACTCTCTTAATCATGTTTAGAAAATAACTCAAAACTGGTGTATTCAAAGTAGCATTTTAAGAGATTTGAGTTTTATTGAAATTTTGATGAGTTTAAGGAATTTCATATGATTTATGTAAAATCCTTTCAAATCCCACCTAAAACTATGAGATTTGGATTCTTATATTTTTAATTAAGGAAGTTCTCTGAAATCCACTAAAATCCTCTGAAATCATTTAAAATCAAATCCACAAACTGTTTTCAATAACAGTGGATTTTAAAGTGGATTTTAAAATGATTAGTTCAATAACACTAGATTTAGACTTTTTAAAATTCATGATTGAATAACACTGGATTTGTAAACTTTTTACAAATCACTTGAAATTCCACTTTGAATACACCCCCATATTCTCACACATAATTGTCACAACTTATTTATAGTGCTAGCTATTTCTATTTGAATTAGATAACTCCTAATTCTTCTTAAGCCTTATCTTAACTTAACCCAACTTTGTTAAGGTCTCTTACGCTTCAAGTACTAATGTTGAAGCTTATCCAACACCATCATTTAATGGAAAAGGGACAAGGACTTGTGATGCCATGACCTTTTAGTCTTTAGCACATCAAAGACATCTAAAGGCGTCGTTATCTTTTCTTCATCATTCAGCACACGCCAATTTGAAAGTTTTTGTTAAAGAAAAAGGTAAACCGATCTGTGACAGTCTGACAGAGTATCCTGATTCCCTAATTCGGTCTAGCAAACTGGGAAAATTGCTCAGTCTCTACTCTCTAGCCACCATGGATGCCACCACAATGGCTCTCAAGACCTAGTTCTAGTTCTTTCTTGATTGCAACCGGGAAGATCATATATTATGCTATATAAAAACTGCTTCAAGGTAGGTACATAACCCTTTTAATAACAGCGATCACGTCTAGCATACTTTTTTCACTTGAATTAAAATCAGGGTACTGTTTTTAATTTTCTAAAGGAATTGATTAATAATACCTAAGTTCAATGCGAAGCCGTATTAATGTTCGCAGTTGGCTTTATGACATGGCACGGTTTGGTCAAAAAGTACATCACAAGAGTTCAAAAGTACATTATTTGTTGTTTTCACCTCTTTTTGTATCATCAAAATTCTGAACTGCTATTAAAATTTAGGTTTGTTGATTAGCCGGTTAATTTTGAGGTAATTAGTTTGTGTCTTTTTTGGTCCGAGTAGTAGGTATGTGGGTTTGTAAAATTCATCATGTCCATGAATAGAAGTTAAACTAAAATAAAAGAAGTTGATCAAATTACTAAATCGAATAGAAAAAATTATTTGGGTTTCCGTAGACATAAAGCATTGTCCTATACTCCCACTTGGAAGAGAGAAGATTAAATATTACAAAGAAATAATAAAGGATTGGAACAAAGTCAAAACTAAATTAGAGAAGTAAAACGAACCTTTATTTCAATAGTAGGAAAAGGAAGATTATGTGAAGGAAAGCATACGAGGATGTACAATACAATAAGGAACTGCAACAAAGCCAAAGCAAAATGAGAGAGACGTTAACCAAGTGATATATTCTGATGTTGCACTCATTGCTATACCGAGAGAAACAAGGTTCACTACTTTTAGAAAAATCTTAATGAATTGACTATTTAAATCCTTTTTAATAACCAACCAGCGTTGACGCGGAGCATACCTTTTCACTTGAATTATAAAATCAGGGTAATGTTTTATTTTTCTACAGGAATTAATTACTAATGCAGGAACGCCCATGTTCAATACGACGGCGTATCGCACTCGGTTTTATGACATGGCACAGTTTGGTAAAAAAGTACAGTACAAGAGTACAACCGAACTAAAGTGTTTTGAAGGGGACATAATAAGTGCCACCTCTAGATATCCTATGTATAAGTACAACTAAAAGTGTTTTGTTTTCTTTTTATTTTAATTTTAGGACACTGATATCACCCACCTCTCTAGCTATCCTATGTACAGCTCAACCGAACTGGAAAACACTTGTTGTTTCTCCCTTTTCCTTGTTTTTTTTTTTTTTTTTTTTCAAATTTGGAAAAGTTTGATACATTATTAAAATCAATTATTTAATTTAATAATATGAGTGATATTGTGAGGTTAAATTATGGAACAATCAGTTAACAAGGTGAGTATTTCTCTTGCCGAAAAAAAAACAAGGTGAGTATTTTCCGAATTAATGTACATAGAAATACATTTAATGGATTTCCTTATAATTTTTTAAAAATCTTTTTACTAGTTAAAAAGCTAACTAATCGATTTAGTCATGAATTTTATATGAGTAAACCGACTGCTTGGATTCGGTTCCAGTGCAGTTTAGACATAACCAGGTCTCACAGAAATCTGAACATGTCTTTTGCAAAATTGTCATCGCTTAATATGTTGCAATAGATTGACAGCCGCTAAAGCAAATTTGACATGTTTCGCTTCCGTCGAGCATTTTCAGTTTTTGATATAGGATTGTAATATTTATTTTTCTTTTTTGAACAAACAAAGCACTGTAATTTACCTTGTAGTTATAGATATTTTATCTTGTAATCATTCACATAATCAAAATTTGAGCAAACCAGTAACGGTTCATTTAGAAGCGTTTTAGCTGAGCTCCAACTGTCCTTGGTAATTAGTTCAATGTCACTTGTCACTAGTTACTACTGACTGTTTTGGAGATAAATCACTTTTGGCAGAGGAATGCTGACTAAGACTTAGACCATGTTAGTTCAACTTTTGTATTATCTGAGCCACTTGCTGAGTTCTTTGGCGCTGGTGAGATGGAGATGACAGAAGAAGGTTATTATCCGCCGTGTTTAGGATCGCATCATACTCAACTGTTCCAGATCTCCTTGTGGGTGTTGAAAATACTCTGGTTGCTCCTTTATTGCTTCCCAAAAATTTTCCTTTTCCTGTTTGTTGCTAATCTAAGAGCTTCATTTGTTAGATTACTCTATAAAGATCATTTACTTGGAGATGGGAACGGTTGGTGTTCAGATTCTACTAATTCACAACATCTTCCTCTATAACTCTGCCTTTGAGCTTTCTCACTTTCTTGGTTAATCCTCCTCTTTAGTCACTGCTAGTGTTATGTTTCTCATGAAGCAACGAATGATGCAAATGGGTGGAGTTAGTTTCGATGCATCAAAGGTAAATATAACATATTACCATCTCGACCGTGCATCATTCCATCCTTCTTTCATTTCCTCTGAATTTTGCTATTTCGATCTTGGTCCTAGCCTGTTCTTTGTATCGTTGCATTTGCAAATTTTCCTCAGACCCTTAAGTTCAGTCCAAGGAAGGATGGTCTCTACCCCGATTCAATAGCACCAAGCAGAATCCGTTTTGAGACAACTTGTGTGGTAAAGACGGCAATATGAAAGCAAAGCTTGTTCCTATTCTTTTGTTGCTGCTGGTAGCTTAGATTTTTCTGTGTTTTATTTGCTGTCTAGGATTTTTGCCATACAACTGTTACCTCTACTAAATCTTCTTCAGTAACAATGTTTGTACCTAGATTGTCTGCTCATGATCCCATACATGAGCATTCTGCATTTTTTAATAAAAACTAGAGAAGATGACTTTCCCAGTCTTCTCTTATTACTTAACCTTGAGGCTCTGCTCTCTCTGTTCTTGCATTATATTTCATTTGCCACGTTGAGAAATAGAACAAAATCATAAAGAACACTTCGGAAAGAAAAGAAACTTTTTAGAAGAATCACCCTATGATTGTTGTTACAATTAACAGAGACTTCTAATTGATCAACTACACTTAATTAAGCTATACCAAAACCAGTACTAATCCAGTTTTCCGTGACGTAAATGAGCTGATTTTTCATAACGTCGAATCCACTGTAAACCCGAAGCTGTAGTTGTGAAGAGCAGGTTTGAGCCATGGGGAGAGGACGATTTCTATCATGGTCGAAGTTTCTACTGATTGTAAGCTTCTCCGGGAAATCTTTAAAGCCTCCCATTGGCAAATACTTATATGCTGTCCAGAAGAAAAGGAGTTTGCGCCTCGTCTCTTGGTCCATTTCATTAACAATCTAAAGAGAATATTGTTATAATACCGACAATTACAATTACTAAACATAAGCTACATGAAGACAAGACAATTACGTACCTGCCAAAACCATTTGATGGTGGCGTCGGTTTCTTTAAAATTCACGTAGGCCGTGTGAGACTTCCACTCATCAACACATATAGCAATCTGCTCTTTACCACGGAGTAGACAGTCAATGTCTTCGGGGTTCAGTGTGTTGAAGAAAACATCGTGTGGAACGGAGATCATCTCTTCAAAACCTTGGATAAACTGTGACACTTGATCTTTTATAAGTGTCACATAGCGATTCTCTATTCTCATATTGATGTAACTCTCCCGGTTATCATAGGTAACTGCTAAATCTGTACCTTGTTCGCATAGAGGAATTTCTAGTTTCTTTTTCAGATTGTCCTCAATCTCTACAGAAAAAGTTAGACCAAGATCGGCTTTGTCGAACTCTTCTCGACTCAACTGTAAAATCTGCAAGCAACTGTTATACTCAGCCTCATCAGTGCGTCTGATGTCTTCTAACGAGACTCTTTTCCCTGCTAGCTGGAGATAGAAAACATGGTCGAGGAGAACACCTACTTGGACATCATTCTTCAACGCCAAAGCAATGAATCTACCCGCGAACTGGAAGTATTTGAGGAGGTTCTCGTCGTGATAGGATGCTGCAGCAAGAAACAAACTTATTTACCTAGAAATTCACCTAAAAGAATTCAAAAGCATCGACAATTAGCCAAACCTGTATCCGGAGTGAACCTTCTGTCATCATCAGTGGAGTGAACGAACAACTTTCTTCCCGGCTCAAAAAGCTTTTCGCAGACCAAGTAAAACCATTCACGAAGGACGCCTTCACCCACTGCTGTTTCTTCCTCAAAATAAACAGAGAGGTCACCGTGAAGTAGTGAAGTAGGGCTTGCATTGGCCATTTGCTCCAATGATTCAGTCAACAAATTTGGCCGATCAAGGATGATATAGAGCGTCTCAGACTCTTCACGGCGAAACATCATACTGGCAAAATGGTGTCTTACTTGGAAGTTTGTATAGTCTCTCTGCCTAAACACCCAGTTTCGATCCTGCAGACTTGAAAAAGCAGCTACAAGGGAGCAGAATGCACTGAGCCTAACTTTTACGATTTCCCGGGTTTGTTCCATCACATCTTGGTCTGATTCCGAGATGGCAAAAAGCATCTGTACGTGTGAGAAATACGGAGACCAAGTGGCCGGCATATGTTCAAGAAATGAGAATCCATCTAACTCAGCCATCATTCTAGCAATGATATCAAGACTGATCCTTGTTGTAAACAACAGATCTGTGATGATATCCTCTCCACCGTAAGTCATGTAGAGGAACCCATCTTCATCTTTGTGTTCTTCGTCGATTTCAGACATCAGTGCATCTGTTAAGAAACAAAAAAAGAGAGACAAGCAGAGCCAGGTTAGCAGAAAGGAATGAAACTTTTGTTCTTGAATGGTGTTAGAGAGTTAACCCCTTACCAGCTGGAGGCAATGTGTTATTGACAAAGACAAAGATGGCTTTCTCCGAGTCAAGGTTAAGGTTTTCGCGAATTTTTTGTTTAAGAACGCCTAGAGTAAGATTTGGTGACAGACGTTGCCTATGCCTAAGTTTAGGAACATGACTGTGCACATACTTTTCCATTATCACCTACGATAAGATTTCCATATTAAAACACAGTGCTTAACCATATTTAGTTAACTAAACCAACTAAGGAAAGGATCAGCGAGCATACGGGGATATCGCCAGGGTACTTCTTTCTGACGCGAGTAGCTTCACTCGTCCTTGCCTCTGATTACCGAAACAAAATAAACAGAGAGATTTCAGAGGATTCTGAAAAAGGCAACTTGTTAAATCAAAACCCTAATTTCTAAGAGCGTAGCGATACTATGCATCCAGAATAAGAAAACTCGACAAGTTTAACCAAACAAAAAAGAAAACTCAACTAGATAAAGAATCTGCCCTTGATTGAACTGAAAAACGTAAAAACTATAGTTTATCGATATAGGGTTTAAGGTAACCAACCAATAGATTTGGAAACCTTGAACGAAGCCATGTTTATGGATATCGATTCTCCTCTGCCGGTACCGTTGCGATAAGTCCGTTCTTGCTTCTAAGTTCTCAAATTTATACTTCCTTGTAAAGGAAGATATTTGTTTGATTGGTCCATTAAAACACTAAATACGATATGATAATTAGGCATGTCAATTAGGGCTAAAGCCCGCGGGCTAGTTTGGCCCAGCCCTAAAAAACATCGGGTTCGTACTTAAAAATATATGTGCAGAAAAAACCGGGTCTTTTGTGCTAAGCCCATTCGATTTAAAGGGTTTTTTGGGCTTAACCCGGTCGGGTTCGGGCCGGCCCGAAAAGCCCTTAAACAAATATATTTTAGTTTTTTTTAATATTTTAGTTTGATTAGATGATTTGATTAATGAATTAGTTTTCATATTTACTTACTAGCCTTACTTAATACTTTTAAAATCTTTATCAATAATATTTTATATTATTTATATATGTTAAAACTAAACAAAGCTAAAACTAAATATATATATATATATATATAAGTATCTTGATTTTGAAATCATTGAAATATGTATTATATTTTGACTCTATCATCTACTTTAAAGCATTTTAGTTCCATGTTTTATTGGGTTAAAGTGTAAATAATATATTTGGTTTTCATTTTTTTCTCTTAAATAAAGTTAGTTTTATTGGATATTGATATGTTATTTAAAATTTGATGCATTGTTTTTATAATAGACCTTTAAATATTGTTTTTGAAAAACTATTATAAACTTATAAATTTTTTTTTTATCGGTAAATAAAGCCCAAAAAACCCCGAAAAGCCCTGTAGCCCTGCTAGGGCCGGACCGGGCTTTGAAACATAGGCTCGGAAATTTTTCGGGCCGGGCCGGGCCTGGCTCATATATATGAAGATTTTATGTGTTTTGGGCCGGGCCGGGCCGGGCTAGCCCGATTGACATGCGTAATGAAGATTAACTCATTAAGCATATTTATTTTATACCAATGAAGATGATATTTAGTAATAATGTTTTAACTAATACTTAGGAGTCAGAGAAGATCGCATGAGCTAGATACGAAGTAACAGAGAATTCCAATGAGAACCATCACGACGAAGAGAGGGATCAAAACCCAATCCGTGATCGCTGTGTCGAGAACTAGGGCCCTGTTCGTTTGGTCATCTAGATGCAGTTGCCAAATGCACTTATCAGTTTTTGTTCGTTTTTATCAAATTAAGAAACGCGTCTAGATGCGATATCTGGTTGCAAAATAAAACTCATCCAAAAAAACTACATATTTTGGATGAGTTTGAAAGTTGAGTTTGGACGCACCAAAGTGCGTCTCAATTTACAAAAGTCTAAAATACCCTTATTTAGCTATAACTATAATTATTTTTTATTAACTTTTTTTCTTTTGTAAAATTCTTAAAATAATGATTTCTAATACAAATAACACAAACCACAAAAATCTCAATTTCCTACCAAAATCGCAAAATCTCATTTTCCCGCCAAAACTACAAAATCTTGTTTTCTTACCAAAATCGCAAAATCTCATTTTCCCGCAAAAACCGTAAAATCTCGATTTCCCGCCAAAACCGTAAAATCTCGTTTTCCCGCCAAAACCTTAAAATCTCATTTTCTGGCCAAAACCGTAAAATCTCGATTTCCCGCCAAAACCGTAAAATCTCATTTTCCCGCCAAAACCGTAAAATCTTGTTTTCCCGCCAAAACCGTAAAATTTCGATTTCCCACCAAAACCGTAAAATCATGTTTTCCCGCCAAAATCGTAAAATCTCGTTTTCCCGCCAAAATCGTAAAATCTTATTTTTCCGCCAAAACCGTAAAATTATGATTTTCCGCCAAAACCAAAAAACTTTTTAAAGTTCATTTTTTTTTGTTTATTTTTATATTATAAAATTAGTTTTATTTATAAATATTTATTAAAATTTAATATGATAATTATATTGTTATAAACATAATTAGAACTATTAAAACATGTTCAACACAAAACAAAGGGCATTTTGGTCATTTGGCATGTATTGTATCCAGATGCACATACCAAAATACAAAACAAACATAAATACACCCAAATACAATTTCTGAACACATGACCCAAAAACTGAAACGAACATCATTTGGATACTGCGTTCAGATACCGCGTTTAGATACTGTATCTTGATAACTCATCCAGTTCACCAAACGAACAGCCTTTAGATCTTCTGCCATTGATAAGTCTCTTCTTCAACCTCCTCTTTCTCGATTGATTCAAATTATCTTTACTTCGTCTTTTTAGCTCAATCCGGTGTAGAAATTACAATAAGTGAGGGAGTCGAGACTAACCAAATTGGAACTTAAACCAAACAGTCTGAATATAATAATCCCTGTTCGTTTGGTCATCTAAACGCAGTTGCCAGATGCACTTATCAGTTTTTGTTCATTTTTATAAAATTAAGAAACGCATTTAGATGCAATATCTGGATGTAAAATAAAACTCATCCAGAAAAACTGGATATTTTGGATGAGTTTGAAAGATGAGTTTGGACGCACCAAAGTGCGTCTCAAATTACAAAAGTCTAAAATACCCTCATTTAATTCTAATTTTAATTATTTTTTATTAAATATTATTTTTTGTAAAATTCTTAAAATAATGGTTTTTAATAAAAATAAAAAAACCGCAAAATCTTATTTTTCCGCCAAAACTACAAAATCTTATTTTCCTACCAAAATCGCAAAAAAAGAACGACTTCTTGCTAAAATCATAAAATTTTGCTTTCCCGCCAAAACTGTAAAATCTCGTTTTCCCGCCAAAACCGTAAAATCTTTTTTTCCGCCAAAACCCGTAAAATCTCAATTTCCTGCCAAAACCGTAAAATCTCAATTTCCCGCCAAAACCATAAAATCTTGTTTTCACGCCAAAACCGTAAAATCTTATTTTCCCGCCAAAACCGTAAAATCTTATTTTCCCGCCAAAATCGTAAAATATTGATTTTCCGCCAAAATCGTAAAATTATAATTTCCCGCCAAAACGAAAGAAGCTTTCTAAAGTTCAATTTTGTTTGTTTATTTTAATATTATAAAAGTTTTTTTATTTATAAATATTGATTAAAATTTAATATGATAATTATATTGTTATAAACATAATTAGAACTATTAAAACATGTTCAACACAAAACATAGGGCATTTTAGTCATTTGTCATGTATTGTATCGAGATGCAAATACTAAAATACAAAACGAACATAATTATATCCAAATACAATTTCTGAACGCATGACCCAAAAACTGAAACGAACATCATTTGGATAGTGCGTTCAGATACCGCGTTCAGATACCGCGTTCAGATACTTTATCTTGATAACTCATCCAGCTTACCAAACGAACAGCCCCTAAGACCAAACTGAACTGGCATCATTTCGGTTCGGATCCATTTTCACCCACCCGAATCAATCGAAACCCGAAAACTTGACCCGAATTATGCACAACACTCTCTCAGAAGTACTTTGAAATGAATCTTCTCCTCTCGACTCGAAATAATCATTTCGCTCAAATCCTTTGAGAAACCCTAATTTCTCTCGCTGTCAAAGTTCTCCGGGGAACAAAAATGGCGGAATGTCCGATGGATATCATCAACGATTTGTTCCTGCGTCTCTCAGCAGCTACGCTTGTACGTTGTCGCGTCCTCTCGAAGCCATGCTTCTCTCTGATCGACAGTTCTGACTTCGTCTCATCTCACCTCAGTCGCAGACTCGAAACGGGAGACCATCTCATGATCTTACTCCGAGGACCTCGCATTCTTCGTACGGTGGAGCTAGACGCGCCGGAGAACGTCTCAGACATCGACCACCCTTTGCAAGCCGGAGGTTTTACAGAGATTTTTGGTTCTTTTAACGGTGTCGTCGGGTTATGCAACTCTCCCCTTGACATGGCTCTGTTCAATCCGTCAACCAGGAAGATTCACCGGTTACCGATTGAGCCGCTTGATTTCCCAGAACGTCACATCACTCGTGAGTATGTGTTTTACGGTCTGGGTTACGACTCTGTCAACGAGGACTTCAAAGTTGTGCGGATGCTTCAGTCTAAGCTTAAAGGAGGCAAAGAAAATTTTGGTTACCGTGTTGAGATCAAAGTTTTCAGCTTGAAGAAGAATTCGTGGAAGAGAGTCCATCTTCTCTTTGAGTTTATGGGTCTCTTCATCTATTTCTATTACCATCTGTTGCCTCGCCGTGGATTTGGTGTTCTAGCGAACAACCATCTTCACTGGATTTTGCCTCGAAGGCAAGGACTCATCGCCTTTAACACCATAATCAGAATTGATCTTGCTGCTGATGAACTCGGAGTCCTCAGTTTCCCACGGGAACTTTACACTGCAGATAATATGGATATAGGTGTGCTAGATGGCTGCGTTTGTTTGATGGGTTACGACGAGATTAGCCATGTTGATGTTTGGATATTGAGGGAATATGAAAATATAAGATCTTGGACTAAGCTGTTTAGGGTGCTGAAACCAGAGTGTGTGGAATCTTTTGATTTCGTGAGACCTCTGCTCTATTCCAAGGATAGGAGCAAGATTCTGCTGGAGATTAACGATGCTAAGAATCTCATGTGGTTTGATTTGGAAACTAAGAGTCTTACAGCTGTTGGAATAGAGTGTGATAGTTCATTCACCGCAGACATCCTCGTGAGTAGCCTTGTTTTGGGATGTAAAGGAGATCCTACTGAAGCTCAGCGTAGGAAAGATCAAATGATGCAGAAAAGTAACAAAAGGGGGTATGCTCCTCTCTAGTCAGTGTTTTCTTACTCGTTTTGTTTCCTTGATAGAATTGTATAAATGATAAGAAGGGAAATCTGAGTCTTAGGTATCTTCATTCTTTGATATGTTAGGGTTGCAAATCGTTAAACATCTTATGTTACAATCTCAGGGGTGGGTTTCTGTCCAAGGGATTCAAGCTGAAGTTATGAGGAAAGCAGGGGAAACTTCTGAGCCCAAACATTAGATCAAGGTAAGTGTAATGAATCTACTGATAATATGATATGAGTATTTCCCTCAATTCGGCACTCTCTCTTCTTCTCTTTTCGATGTGAGATTTCTAATCTTATCATAGATACATTATTTGATGTCTTCCGAGGTGGAACTTGTGTCAACAGTCATAACGTAATCCTAAATAGTTTAGGAGCTTCTTCTAAAATCTTACTATTTCAAGTGCAAGTGTAATGAATCTAAAGATCTTAATATATCACTCAAGCTGGCAATCTTCTTTTCCTTTCCATGTGAGGTTTACATCATTGGCTGTCTTAGGAAGTGGAACTTGAGTCAGCGTTATAGTTTATGATAAATAATTTAGGAGATTCATCTAAGATCTTACTATATTTCAAGTGTTTGATTATGAAACATGTAGATGCAATCTTGATATGTGTTTGATTTTCAGGTGCAGTAGCAGTAACAGTAGCAGTAGTAGTAGCAGTCGCAGGGTGAAAGGAAATGGCAAAATCCTAAACCCATATATGGACATCGTAATAATTTCGCTTAACATGTGTACGTAGTGGGTCGTAAAGGGAAGATAGTGTTCTTATGTAATTGACTGGAATCTATATGTGAAACTCTTTTCAGTTGTCTGTTGCAGTTTGATAAACTCTCAATCTTAATCAAAAGTACATCTGGTTGCAAATATTGTTATTGAAGAGGATTTACATAATGTTTTGAACAACATCGTAGTCTCTACCGCACAAGTTTTCTCAAGTTTTCTCCATTCATGTTGTCATGTTGAATAATTTTGAAATCATCCTTCTCTGCACTCAGCTCTGGGCAGAATCATTCAAAGAACTCTGTCTAAACGTATTTAGAACAGAAATACAATTAACCGAACTAAACCGAAATTATTGAATAAGACAGAAATAACCGACAATAAAGATCCGTTTCGGGCCCATTATCACCAACCCGACCCGAATCATGTTTCTATATATACCTTTTTTTTTGTGGGTAAAATATATTTCTAAACATTGTCAAATCCTTCAAAACCCTAATTTCTTACTCTGAGCTGATTTGAGAACGAAGATGACGGGAGAGGCAGTGAACCCTAAGGCGTATCCATTAGCAGATGCTCAGCTGTCGATAACGATACTTGATCTTGTTCAACAAGCTACAAACTACAAGCAGCTCAAGAAGGGAGCTAATGAAGCTACCAAGACATTGAACCGTGGGATCTCTGAGTTCGTTGTTATGGCTGCTGATGCTGAGCCCCTCGAGATTCTTCTTCATCTTCCTTTGCTTGCTGAAGATAAGGTTATCAATCTCTTTCTCTTTCTCTCTCTCTCTCTCGTTGAGTTTGTTGCAATTTGATTTCAATTAGCATTATTTGAAACAGTCTTTTGCGTGAAAGAGCTTCTTGATGCATCTCCTGTAGAGCTATACAGCTTTTTGCTTGAAAGTTTCGAGATTGTGAATCGTTAAGCTATTGTTTGTCAGATTGTTGATGATTGTGTTAGATATCTCAAGATTCTTAGATGCATAATAAGCCAATCTTAGATGCATTTTGCTTTCTGCAATTTTCTCTGTTTAGTTTAGTTTGGTCCTCACATGGTATCTATATTTAGTTATTGTGGTATGCTTCAAATTTACTCTTGGGGAAGAAATAATTGGTTATATCTATAGTTTATATTTAAAAAGGGTAGCTTCGATTTCACTCTTGAGGTAGACATGATTCATCATAGCTGTAGGTTAACCTAGCTTATGTATTGTAGCTTTGAGTACATTCATGAGGAAGACATGATTCATCATTGCTATACATCATGCCATCATTATGTGGTCTGACTTTGAACTAACTCTTCTTTCTCTCTATCTGAGTGCAGAATGTGCCATATGTGTTTGTACCTTCGAAACAAGCATTGGGAAGAGCATGCGGAGTAACAAGACCTGTCATCGCTTGTTCAGTGACATCGAACGAGGGAAGCCAGTTGAAATCGCAGATTCAGCATCTCAAGGATGCTATTGAGAAGCTACTGATCTAAGGATTTGTGCTCGGTATGAAGAGTCTTTAAGCAAAGCAATTTGGAATGGCTCTGACTGAAGTTAGTTTCTGCAATTTACCTATTTGAAGATTGTATTGTGAGCGATATTATATAACTACTAGTGCGAATGCGAATTAATGTATGTGGAACATCACTCATCTATGCAATTGAGTTTTTTGAAACATCATGCCAGATTTAAGAAATCATAACCGATCATGAGCTCTTCATTGATTCATTAACTGTCCATTAATTACACTAACGATCTACTTAAAGACCAGTTATGCATATTTGATAATTATTCTTAGCTTCACTCAGTCGCTAGTTTCTACTGTTTCACCGCTTTGCTTTGTCCACACACTAACACATTCTTTATTCGTCTTGTCCATACTTTGCTTAATACAAAATGAAATATTTGTTCTTCACAAAGCTTTTTATAAAGTATTGTAATATTGTGTGATCAGCAAAACCAATCCATTTTACAAGCAATGGCGTCCTCATATATGTCTATTACAGAGACGGTGGTTTCGTCTAGACTATGTTCAGGGATAAATAGCTTTAGCTCATGTTCAATATACACGAAGAATTCTCGTTTGTTACCAGCAATATGGAAGGGTTCTATCAATCTGAGTTTTCATCTGAATCTGTCAAACTCGAATCAAAACACTTTGAAGCATTACACAAGGGTAAGAAAATCAGAATCAGATTGGCAAGAGAGCAAAGATGAAGAAGAGAAATCAAATCAGGAAGAGAGCGAAGATGAAGAGAAATCTGATTGGGAGGAGAACAAAGACGAAGAGAACGACAACAAGAAGGAAGAACATGGAGAAGAGGAGACAGTTCTAAAACTATTCATTGATATCAAGGACAGGAACATTAAGGAGGAAGACAATCAGGCGGAAGAGACGGTTCTAAAACTATACACCGATATCAAAGACCGAAACATGGATGGAATTTCAGAAGTTATTGGAGATGAATGCCAATTCTTTTCCAACTTTTTATCCAAGTATCGACTCTTACAAGGCAAGAAGGTACACATGTTGTATTGGTAACTCAATAACTTTTCTTTTACAAATCTTTGTTTTCGAAATCCATGTGTTATAAGGTAATATGGTTTTTCAAATGCAGCAAGTAATGGCTTTCTTCTACTGGTTGATCATGAAGCTGGGAAAAGATATAAAGATTATTGTTAGACCAACGTTCAAAGATGGCATGACCGTTGGAGTTCAATGGCAACTTGGTTAGTCTTCTTTAGTCCCAAAATCCTAATCCGATTAACTAATAAGTAAAAACCTTACATGCAAACTGATCCCAAAACCAAACAAAACTTCGATTGGAATGATTGTTTCTCACGATGGCTTACCGATAATGTGCAGAATATGATAAGTCACACATCCAATTGGGGAAGGGATTCAGTTTCCACTGTTGCCATATGTATCAGGGAAAGCTATTGATAAAGTCAGTATTTGTTCCAGCCTAAATTCACTTCATACAGATTATATTATAACCAGTAATGAAGACCATATTTAAACCAAAACAATGCAGGAACGTGGAGATGTTCATGGAGCCAATTTTCAACATAGAACCTCTAAGACTAGTGAGTCTGATCAATCAGATTAATCATGCCATGTTCATAAGATTTAAGTAACTTAGTTAATGTAATATATTATTTTTCTTCTGATGCAGAGAACAATGGCACTTGCAGTTAGCTTAGCTGAGAAGATAATCACTTTCTTGAGACCAGCAGAAAACACAAGGAAACAGGCAATGACATTCCTACTACTTGCTCTTCTGCTGCTTGCTGCAGCAGCTTTCTACTTCACACGACTGAGATTCTGATACAAACACAGCATAACATGGAAGGTAGCAGGAATAAAACCATAGAACATAAGACTATTTCTATCAGTAGTGCAAATATTTCCAACTGGGAAAACATAGATAAACACATTGAGTTTTTTGTTCTTCCTACAACATTCATGGGTTAATGGCGTTAAATACAAAATATCTGCGCCATTTCACCCTTACACTAGAGTTTCAGTAGTAGAAAATCACAGATTTCCTAAATACTGTAAAATATTACATACAATATCAACCTAACCATGTCATACACAACCAACTAAAACAAAGAACCCAACAGAAGATGAAAATAGCATTAAAGGAAGTTAAAAGTGAAAAGGTTCTTTTCTTCCCTATCAGAGTTCTACACCCAGTAGTAGTCATAAGTAGGTTCCCTAGATACACCTGCAAAAGAGTTGTGATACCAGAAGTCAGTTTCCGTGTTTGGAATGCTAATGTATAAATATCATAATCTGTGAAATCAAACTCCACTTACACTAGTAGTTCCTAGTTAATTAAGTCAGACCAGAAGGTATCACGACTGCTTGTACATATGGCGCCTCAGCATCTCATTTATCCCCACAGCTGAAATGCTTTCACATCCAAGAAGTTCGCGGAGCTTTTCATCACACTGAATTGCCATTGGATTTACTGGGTCCTGCAAAACAATTGAAACACAGAAAAAAACAATTCTTAGTTTTTGTGTACATGGTCACTTAAAAAACTCTAAAACATACAGCAATGTGAAAAATTAGACTGTATGTTGAACTGTAGAGTAATCACACAAAACAAGCTTTTATAGCAGCAAATTGGAAACTTTTGGGAAGCAATAAAGGAGCAACCAGAGTATGTCAACACCAACAAGGATCTTAGATCAAATTCCCACCTCTAAGTTGTTGAGTTTGATGTATTCCCAAACACGGCGAATAATCTCTTCGTCTGTCATCTCTGTCTCACCAGTGCCAAAGAACTTAGAAAGTGACTCAGATAATGTAGCATTTGAACTACCAGCAACTGTACTAAGAGGCTCCGTGGTGGTCTCAGTCTTTGTCTCCACCTCAGCTTTTGCCCGTTTTGCTTGACCAGAGTCCTCTGCCAAGTGTTATCAAACAGTCAGTAACATTGAACTAAGCAAGAACACTTGGGTTTGAGAAAAAACGCTTGTAATGAACCATTACTTGTTGGATCAAGCGGGAGAATATGCTTAGCAAGCAACTTATTCATTTTGAACATGTCAGTGCAATCAGTCTCAAAAACTACACGCAATGCATCATCACAGATGATCTTCCGCTTGTTACTCGGGTCTTGAAGGTTGTTCTTCCTTATATAAGCCCACAATTGCCTCACAATCTTAAACCAAAAGACAAATATTGCAACATATAAACAACAATCCAATTGCTTATACAAACAAAAATGACATATGTCAAAAACGTGAATGGAAGACAGTGACAACCTCAGTTCTGGGAAGAGCAGGTTCACCAACAACGACTTGAAGTTCCGGTGAAACCCTACAGACTTTGTTAAGTCCTCCAGGGCCACCCTTTCTTTTAGTTCCAGCTGGAGCACTACAACACACAACATCAAGGGAAAGTTAACAAACCCAATTAAGTCATAAAACTTTCATTGATGTACCAAATAGACAATGAAACTTTACAAGGTCAAGCATTACGAAAATAACCACTATACTAGACCGGTGTGTATCAAATGTGCTAAATATATCACTGGATGATAATTCTAAACTTGGGCATGTATGTAAACCTAAAAACCAGTAAATGAACAAAATTGACCTAAGATGTAGACATTCCTAAAATGGGAAATCATGTTATCCACGAAAGTAGCAAAAAGCCCTAAATTACAGCTATCGAAACAACCCATGAGCAAAATTTACTAACATTTGAACCTCAAATTACGGAAATCGAACCCAGGAACATGTATTATGTTAGAAACCCTAAAAAAACCCCAAAAAAACGGACCTTTCTTTTGGAGCTTGATTAACAGAGAGAGCAGCATTAGCGCCTTGTGAAAGCAACACAGAGGATTGCTGTCGCGGAGACTGCTGCTGATGATGCTGCGGCTGCATAAAAGCCGGATACGGCTGCCGGAAATTTAGGTCATAAGACTGATAAGGAGGCTGGAGAGCGAAATGTGGAGGATACTGCTGGGATTGAGAAACCGAGAACTGAGACGGATGCTGGAGCGTGAAATGCCCTTTCGCCACCGGAACATTTACACCGGAGTGCACATTTTGCTGCTGATGTTGATGTTGATGCTGATGCTGATGCTGTGAAGACGGCGGCGGAGGCTGAGATTGCACGACTGATGCGGAGGCAGAAGCAGCTGAGGGGTTAGGATGAGCACGGAGGAGGATATTGATCTGATCTCTGATGAAAGTCGTCTTCTCCGTGAGGTCTAACCCTAACTTAGCTTCAAGCTGCTGAACAACACTGTTTAACGATGTGAGAGAGCTTGGGTCGGATTGCCGAAGCAAAGTCTCGACTCCTTTCGCTAGATCCTGGTCCGACACCATTGACGATTGAAAATTTCAAAGCTTTTTTTTCATATACCAGAGGAAACAAAAAAAAAACAAAAAAAAACAAATACCCCACAAAAGAAAAAAAAAATCTCTGTATCTTTCTCTCTCTTATCCTCTTCCTTTAGTTTGCTTCCTCTTTCTCTCTACCCTTGTCTCTTTCTCTCTCTTAATCGTCTTCTTCGTCTCTGTCTCTCTCTCTTTTTTATAACTCCATGAATGACGAATATGCCCTTCAGGGTTGGTTAGATTTATCGAACTGATGACAAATGTCGATCTTACCCTTAGGAGTCATGGTATCTATGGTTTATAGGTAGAGGGTGTTGTCGTCTTTTAGCTACTTCTTGGCCAGCTGGCTTTTTAAACGTAGAACTCATCTCTTTACTCAATGTAAATGTCGAATATGTCCTTGTGGAGATTGACGCGTTTACTGTTGTTTGTTTCGAGAAGCTTGAGGGTATTAATGGTATTTTCATCAGTATCGGATCGTGAATACAGACAGGTCGATAGCACATACTGACAAAATAAGATAATGGAAAAGCCCATTATCCTGTGAAAAATTGCTATAAGGGTAAGACAATACGGCCCAATAAGAATATTTGGCCTTGGAAGCGAGTGAATTGAATCTTGAAGGTTTTAGATCCCTTGAAATGGTGTCTGCGTCGTCGTGAATTTTCGAGTTTCCTCGGGAAAATTGCGTATGAGTGATTTGTTCTAGTAGATTCTCGACTATTGACTCTTCTGATTTGAAGTCTAGGGAGTTTGATTTTGAATAATCGTTGCTTTTGTTGGGTTGAGGATCTTCGTGAATCGCTGGGATTTTGTGTATTCTAGGGTTCTTTGAAGCAAGTTGTGTGTAAAGAAGTTTTCGAGGATGAAAAGTGAGAGAGAAGTTAAAAATGGTGTTTCTGAGGAAGATAGAGAGGTTAAGAGGAAGAGGTCTGATTCGCCACCTCCACCATTGGGTTTTAATAACCCTCTTTTGCCGTTGGCTAATGCTTACGATGACGATGATGAGGATGAGGAGAATGAGAAGAAGAAATCGCAAGCTCGTGGTAGTGGAGAGCTGGGTAATGAAGCTGCAAAAGGAGAAGGGAACAGTAACAAAGCTCAAGAGGAGGTCGATGACGACGAAGATGATGAGGATGAGGATGCCTTCAAGGGACGAGGAAATCATGCACGCCATGTTGAAGTTCGTCGTGATTGTCCTTATCTTGATACCGTGAATCGTCAGGTAATCATCATTTATCAACTTCTTGTGTTTTAGTACTTGTAATTTATCTAATCTATGGTCGAATTTTATGTGTCTGCTGAGTTCATTATGTTAATGTTCTGGGATGAGCATCTAAAACCCATTTCCTTATGTTGAAATTTCAGGTCTTGGATTTTGATTTCGAGAGGTTTTGTTCCGTCTCCTTGTCAAATTTGAATGTGTATGCGTGTCTTGTTTGCGGAAAGTATTTCCAAGGAAGGAGCCAGAAGTCTCATGCTTATACGCATAGTTTGGAAGCAGGGCATCATGTTTACATCAATCTTCTGACAGAGAAGGTTTATTGTCTTCCTGATAGTTATGAGATCAATGACCCTTCTTTGGATGACATTCGTCATGTTTTAAACCCAAGGTATATTAGATCTTTTGACTACTACTTCATACTGCATTGTGTGCAATCCTTCTTTTTAACAATTGTTTTTTCAGTTCCTTTTTATGAAGGCTTCGGTGCTATCCATTTACAGGTTTAGTAGGGCTCAAGTAGAAGATCTCGACAAGAATAGGCAGTGGTCTAGGGCTCTTGATGGCTCTGACTATCTTCCGGGAATGGTAAGACTCGCTCTCTCTCTGATTACAGTTTTGAGTAAGTTTGTTTCCTGATTGGACTTCGACCTTCTATTATGTATAGGTGGGATTGAACAACATACAAAAGACAGAGTTTGTGAATGTTACAATCCAGTCGTTGATGAGAGTTACTCCTTTAAGGAACTTCTTCCTCATTCCTGAGAATTATCAGCATTGCAAGTCTCCTCTTGTTCACCGTTTTGGAGAACTCACTCGGAAGATTTGGCATGCTCGAAACTTTAAAGGGCAGGTCTGACTCAATTATGCCTCTCACTTTTTTAGTTTTTGCCATGGCCCCTCCTCGATTCAAGTTTTACTTTTTCAATGTAAACTGACTTCTTAGGTTTGCCTTCTGAGGACCTCACTAATTTAAGTTACCTTGTGTAACAGGTGAGTCCACATGAATTCTTGCAAGCTGTCATGAAGGCCAGCAAGAAACGATTTAGGATAGGGCAACAGTCAGATCCAGTGGAGTTTATGTCGTGGCTCCTTAACACTTTGCACATGGATCTTAGACCTTCAAAGGACGCAAGCAGTATCATCCACAAGTGCTTCCAGGTATGTATCTGTCCTTTGACATTTCAACATAATATCGATTGATATAAATGCTTACAAAAAGCTGCATGCTCATGGAACCAGCTAACTATTACAGGGTGAGTTGGAGGTTGTGAGAGAGTATCAAGGCAATGAAAACAAAGAAATCTCCAGGATGCCTTTTCTGATGCTTGGGCTAGATTTGCCACCGCCTCCTCTTTTCAAAGATGTCATGGAGAAAAACATAATTCCGCAGGTATACACCTCTTGCCTTAGCGGTTTTGGCTATTTGAAAGCTTAAAAAGCATGCTATTCTGGCCCATTTACATAGTGCATTCCAGAAAGGGGAACATTATTGTGAATTAGGTATGTGAAGTGCTATGCTAGAAAACTTTTAATTTTCAACATACTACATAATAATGTCCCATTCTGTTGAGATACCATAATATTGAGTCCTAAAGAATGCTTTTTACTGTTCTCTAGTAAAATGTCGTTTTGGAGTCCAGTTTATGAGTTAGGAAGGGAAGAATTCTCTTTGTCCTCTCTGGTTTGGGCCTTGAGTAGCCATTATTGGTTGCTACCGTGTATATGCGTCTTTAAGTCATTAGTTTGCAAAGTGAAATAGTAGAAGCTAATTTTTTTGATGTTTGGGTCAGGTTGCTCTGTTTGATTTATTGAAGAAGTTTGATGGAGAAACTGTGACAGAGGTGGTTCGCCCAAAGCTAGCCAGAATGAGATATCGTGTAACCAAATCGCCTCCTTACTTGATGTTCCATATGGTTCGGTTCAAGAAGAATAACTTTTTCAAGGAGAAGAACCCTACCCTGGGTGAGTCTCAACTTGACCTTGTTTGGCGTTATTGTTTACAAACTAATGCCTGGTTAATTTGACCCAATTTTTTTTTTGTCAATGCCACAGTTAACTTCCCTGTGAAGGACATGGAGCTGAGGGATTACATACCATCATTGCCTACAGCTCCGGAAGGCGAGAAGGCGTGTTCTAAGTATAATCTAATTGCGAACATTGTGCATGATGGTAAGCCTGAGGACGGGTACTTCAGAGTCTTTGTGCAGAGGAAGTCACAAGAACTATGGTAAGCTCTCTCATTCACTAACATCTATAGAACTTCTTTGGTATTTTCTTATAACTTCCTTGAAATAGGGATGCAAGGTTCAAATGGCCTTTTTTTAGCATATCACAGTTCGAACACATAGTGATGGTTTTATGGTAGTAGCTTAGATCTGTTCATGAAACTGACATAAATACATATGGGGATAATGTTGATTTTCAGGTACGAGATGCAGGATTTGCATGTTGCAGAGACACTTCCCCAAATGGTAGAACTATCGGAAGCATACATGCAGATATATGAGCAGCAGGAGGTATAGAGCACTGGAAGAGTGAGATTAGAGACTTGAAGTTCCCAGACTTTTCTTGGATGAAGAGTAAGATTAGTGATTTGTTTCTCAGTTTTTTGGTTTAAAAAATCCTGAACCTCTTTAAGTCTGTATTTGCAACAGTCAGAGGCTAGAGAACTTGTAGTAGCTGTTTGGAAATATCATATTGAAAGACCCAGAGCCAAAAAGAAAAACACTTTGTTGAAAAAAAAAAGTAAAGGGATTCCCATTTCCACCAATACCTTCAGGAAAAGAGTTTACCGTTTAATTTCCAAAGCTCTAATTTTCATGTTTGAAACTGTCTGATTAAAGATTGGTTTAAAATGAATTACGGAACACTGAGAAACCGATTACGACAATAATGAGAAACAATTCAGGTTTCTTCACTCTGTCTGCAATAATTAATCACTGATAACAACCGAAGTTACACATCAGTTTACCATCTTCTTCTCTTAGGAATGAGATGCTGTTAGAGAAAATAATAAGAGGAAGGATTGCTAAGCCAATCCGGTAAAGTTATGAAGACTCTGATTCTTGTGGCTAAGAAAAGGTTGAGTTGTGTCTGATAAAATGAAAGTAGATGGTTCAACTGAGCTGTTTGTGAGTGTCCAGTGTCTATAATATGCTTACATTTCCTATACGCTGAGATCAAACTTATACTATGGTATTTGTTCAAACGTGTATTGAGCTTCAGAAGGGAAAAACTTCAATGAACAAAGAGACAAAGACTCTCTGTTCTCAAATCCAACAGACATAAGAAAGTTGTAAGACCGGAAACAACAATGCCGGTAACAGAAGAAGAGATTAGTGCTGCACTGTTGGGAAAATGGGACAAGTTACAACTTACAACAGTGCAGCACTACTTAGAATGATGTTATTCTAGTGTACTAACCGAATTTTAGTTTTAATTTTTATAATCGGCCTAAGTTTTACGCTAAGATTTAACGCTTTGTTTGTTAATTTGTAGTTTTTTACTAAGCAAAAGTTAAATTTGTGGTGTTGGATATGGAAGCTAGTGTCACTGTACCTAAAATAAACAAATTAAAACTACAAATATCAAAACGTGAGAGAATAATATATAGTTAAAAACTGTATTGAAACAAAAATATAAGAATCTGATTCAGTATTTCCTCTTTTGGAATATCTATATATACAACTCCCTCATTAAAAACAACATGTAGTATATATATCTTTTAATTTATTTTTTCTAAAATACGAATTCCAGAATTATACTGGAAAATATTATTGTCCTTTCCTCAAAAAAAAAAAAAAAAAAATTTGTTAAAAAAATACTTAATTTACAGTGAGTATCATAATTTCTATCGATAAATTCATAAACCAACAATATTTTTTTGTAGAAACAGTTCATAATATTCTCTTTTTCCTTTTTGGTCTTTATCAAAAATAAATATTCTCAATTTTCATTTTAAAAACAAATTAACTACACATTCTAGATAGAACATTATTAATTTGTCGCCTCTAAAAGAATAAAAAAATGAAAAACAAATTAAAAGGATTCGGGAAATAAGGAATCGTTTTCGTCTTCTACTTGCTCGATTCTCTTGCTCCCATCTTCTCCACCATCTTCACACTCTTTCTCTTTCCCAGTAGTAACTCTCAGCTCGCGAACAGGTTTACACCTCTCTGCGTTTTATTTAATTCATTCCTGTTATCCAATATATATTTACATTTGTTTTTCGTATTGGTGTAAATTATAAACACGTATCTCGTAACCTCACTTTGCTAGATCTCCACGACATCTTTGGTATACTGTTTTATTTGCTCTTGTGGTTCATTTGTGAATTTTCCAGTTTATGTCTTAAGAATTTTGGATTTTGCTCATATATGTTTGGTTTCTTTGTTTGATTGTAATTTGTATATGATATGATACGTTTGGAGCTGAGAGTTTCGAGTATCTCTTATTGGTTCATCTCATTGATTTGATTTTGTAGATGAGTTGCTATTTTTTTTAATCAAAGTTGATTCTTCGAATTGGTATATTGTTGAGTTTTTCATGTGCTCAGTGATTTGTAGTTTCCATATTGGTATGATGTATCATATCATCAGGAGAGTCTTTTAACTGTCTTTCTCAGTTTTGTTTCCTTTCCTTGATTTGTAATTTTAATAAGGTGATGCTGGATGATGTAGTGAAATGCAACCTAATTTTCACAGGTAGTTCAGTGTTTTTTGTTTCGGAACTCGGGCAAAATGCAGAAGGGAATTGCTGGTGATGCTCCATCACCACCTACAACTCGTGTTCGGCATCGTAAGCGGAATAGTGATGTACGTCTGCTTATTTCGATTTCTATAGACTGTCTTCTGTATAATTAAAGGGACACAGATCAAGGCATATTCACATTATTCTTTGTTTAGCTAAGTTGTGTTTCTTCTGTTAGGACTTGTCTGTTTAGTGGTTAAACTAGCACTATGCGATGTGGAAACTATTCAAACAGTAATAGCTTTTTCGTTATTGCTTCATTATCTCTCTTTTTTGGTTGAAATTTTAACCAATTTTCTGGTTTTTAGATTGGTGCAGGGGCAGGCAAAACAAATGGGAACCATTTACTTGTCAATGACAGTAGCAAATACAAATCTTTTCTCGTTAGAGCATACTCCACTATCTGGATGATAGGTGGTTTTGCTCTAATAGTTTACTTGGGTCATCTCTACATTACAGCCATGGTGGTTGTTATTCAGATATTCATGGCTCGAGAACTGTTCAATTTGCTGAGAAAGACTCATGAAGATAAACAGCTCCCTGGGTTTAGATTACTGAATTGGTAACTCCCACTTTCCTCAACCTTTCGAGTTTCTTTATCGTTTGCATTTATATGAACGATGATGCTGGATTTTTTTTGAAAAATAAGTACTTCTATGTTGAAATGATTTTGCATTTGATTATCCAATTTTTTTCCCTTATGCAGGCACTTCTTTTTCACAGCCATGCTCTTTGTATATGGTCGAATACTTAGTCAACGTCTAGTCAACACTGTGACTCCAGACAAAGTCCTATATCGGCTGGTCACCAGCCTCATCAGATACCACATGGCAATATGTTACTCCTTGTATATTTCCGGTTAGTTGTTTTATGATCTCTTGGGTTTACTCATTTACTGTGAGGAACAATGACTTTTGTCCACTGCTTATGTTTAAATAGTCTCCCCTTTTCTTTGCTGTGGAATTGTAGGCTTTGTTTGGTTTATTCTGACTCTGAAAAAGAAGATGTACAAATATCAGTTTAGCCAATATGCATGGACGCATATGATCTTAATTGTGGTGTTTACTCAGTCCTCATTCACAGTTGCCAACATTTTTGAAGGAATCTTCTGGTAATCACAGAGTAACTTATCTCACATGTGCCTTTTCGTTACATTACTGGCATTTGTTAATGACCTGACTAAATGTTTGTTTCCAGAAGATATGAATTTTTCAAAATATATGTAAGTCTATTTACTTAATATCCTGGTTTCTGGTGCAGGTTTTTACTTCCTGCATCACTTATCGTCATCAATGACATATTTGCATATATCTGTGGTTTCTTCTTTGGAAGAACACCGTTGATCAAGTTATCACCAAAGAAAACATGGGAGGGTTTCATTGGAGCTTCTATTACCACAGTGATTTCTGCATTCCTGGTAAGCTTGTTTGATCAGCTAATAATGATATGTTCTTTGATGAGTAGTAGAATGGATTATAATATTGCTTATTTTTGCAGCTTGCAAATATAATGGGTCGGTTCCTGTGGCTGACTTGTCCCAGAGAGGTACGTGGAACTGTGGAAGTTTTAGTCATGTCCTGCCTTCTTTTTCATACAAGAACAGTAGTATTAATTCAGTTACAATTATGTTATTGGGTGGAAATTATTACAGGATCTATCAACTGGCTGGCTTCACTGTGACCCTGGTCCATTGTTCAAGCAAGAGACACATACTTTACCAGGATGGATTTCTGATTTGGTAAAGGCTGAATTGAATTGTTTCATACTAAACAGTTAACTCGAGAAACATTTATTGCTTCTAAACACTAGGCGTTTACTTTGCAGTTACCTTGGAAAGAAATTACTATCTTACCAGTTCAGTGGCATGCTCTATGTCTTGGATTATTTGCTTCTATAATAGCGCCTTTTGGTGGCTTCTTTGCCAGTGGTTTCAAAAGAGCTTTCAAAATCAAGGTGGGTTTCAGATAATATTTGATATATAACCGCAACATAGATTAACTGTTAGATGTTGTCGAACATTCAGGACTTTGGTGATAGTATTCCCGGACATGGTGGTATGACAGATAGAATGGATTGTCAGGTATATTATGGGCGCATTGACTTCAGTACACTCTTATAACCTCCTAAAATCCTTAAACATCAGTATGGTTCAGAATTGTACTTGATTTATTAGATCTAATATGATATTTCTTTGGGTTTTTAGATGGTGATGGCTGTTTTTGCATATATATATCATCAATCGTTTGTTGTACCTGAAGTCCTCTCTGTGGATAAGCTCTTAGACCAGGTAAGTTGACTGCAAATGAACCAACACAATACAATGAACTTCTCTTATTTTGGCTTTTGATGATTTTGAATCATTACAGATTATCACAAGCTTGACATTAGAGGAACAACAAGCTCTGTTCATGAAACTTGGCCAAATGTTGCAGGAAAAGGTTATTGGATCTTAGATCGTCACAACCCTTCATTGTACTCTGTTCCTGTGTTACCAAAAAGTTAGAAAATCATTGGATACAAAAGAAAGAAAAAGGAAAAGTAGAATAATAAGTTGGTTATGTGTTGCATCTTGGTTTTAGCTTCTGTATAGTAAATGGTTCACCTTTAAGAAAGTAAAGAGCTCATTACAACTTGAATTTGACTGTTTTGTTCTTTGCACAAGGTGATTGCTGAAGCTTGAAAAGCCATATTCTGTCTTATACGACCTAAATAGAGTTAGTCAACAGTGTTTGGAACGATCTCAAAAACTGATTCTCAGTTACAATCAAAATCAAGACCTTAAATTTTAAGACCTAATTAAGTTCTAAACACAGAGCAAGAGATACAGAAGAACGCTACAAATTCATAGCTATGGTACAAAGAGAAATTGTAGAAACAAGAGCTTTTCAGCTAGTTAAAAATCAATTCTTCTTAAGATTGTTCCCAATAACTAATACAAAAGAGAAAGATAAAAAAAAAATCTAGACTCTGTATCTAGAGAGTTGCACTTCCAAAAAATAAAATAAAACCGAGGTCGAGATGATTCTGACAAAACGATGAACAAAAACTATATTTATGATCTTCTGCTTCTGGGCTTTTTATCCCCTTTTTCTTCTCATTGAGTTTTTGGCTTCTCGATCTTGACGTATGGAAGAACTCCCAGAAAGTATTTTACCTTCGGATTCCATCCACGTTGCTGAGCTCGACAGAACATCAAGAATGTGTTTGCACAGTAAGAGTTGAAACTCATGAACACATGCCATAGAGCATGCCCCTGGGGATTCACAGGCCACTGAGATATTGTCTTGCAGAAGACACGGTCACAAAACCAGCAAACACTTCCCACTAGGATCGTAGCAACATACCATTTTGCAATCCTTTTGGCTGCAGTGTCCTCAGTGTGAATGTAGTACTTGTACATCCGAGGGATGCATAGAAGACAGAGGATCACGTAGTGGACCTTGAAACCAATGCCAAACCTGAGGAAAGCATGGACTGCGGCAAAGGCAGCACCGTAGAGGAAGAGAAAAGTAGGCATTGTGCTTCGGTAATGCCAATCTGGTGAGTAAAGGATGTACATGTAAAGAAGTATCTCCCACACCATTGGGGTCTCATCACTCTGTTGTTGTCTGATTGAAATCAAGAAAGCGAGAGTTATAATCCAAAATTTGGATTGGAATGCAAATAAGAATCTGGAAAACGGTAATGCAACAATCAAACAACTACACAGAAGTCAAAATACATCAGTAAAAGTGAAGAGAAAGAATGAAGGTCGAAAACTGACAGATACTTACACGTGTTGCAAAGTGGCATGGTAGAGCATGCTGCCAATAGCGAGAATCATATTCGAGATGTGAAGAATGCTAAACCTCTTTTCAAACCGTTGCCTTAACGCATTGACAAGACCAATGAGAGCCAATAGGATTCCAGGGACATTGGAAATGGTGTTATAGAACTCTGCAATGTAGGATGAGTAGGCGTAGTTCATCTCACAGCACTCTATAGTAGAAGTCACGGGACCCCAAAAGCTTGATATCCCATCAGCCATCTTCTATCCTCTCTCAGTATGAATTATACTCCTTAGTGAATGCCTTTAGACACTAGAGAACCAACAAAAAAAAAAGCCAAAATGGCAAAACAATCAGAAACAACAAAAAGCTTCTGATACAGTCAAAAAAAAAATGAGAATACAAAAGAAAGAACATGGGCTAATATAATTTTATATTACCAATCACCACACCAAATTGTTTCTCAAGGCTCCAACACAACCGAAATGGACACTTAAGTTGCAGAAACAAGCAACATACCAAAAAAAGTATAAACTAATGATTTGAACAAACCAACACGCTAATAGTAGGCACAAAACTTTTCCCATGATATGTAAATAACAGTATCAAAACACAAACACAAAGAGTGAATAATCAAAGTCAAAGGAAATTTGAAACATCCCAAAACAAAGTTACAACAATGTACAGGAATCATGAATACCTTCTCGAACTTCATTAATCATCACCAACAAAAATCACAGATATAATCGTCCGAGAATTCAAATACATCAAACACTGAAACACTTAAATTTCCGAATCTAAAACAAACGAATCTAGGTCACAGTAACTAGAAATAATACAAATGCTTGCTAAGGTCAAAGGCAGGGGAGATCCAATACACAAATCAGATCCACGACGTCAAAGATATGAAACAATATGATCCCCAAAATGAACTCGAATAAGCAAAACCCGATCCAAATGAACTAGCAAAAGGAACAAAAAAAAAACAAACCGTGTTCTCGCGATACAAGAGATCTATCTCCTTCCTTCACCGCGTCTCACTCAAATCGCGCAAATCTCTTCTTAAAGCCTCTCAGCAACGTCCGGCCATGAGAAGATCGGCGGAATCAGATGAGAACAAAATCTTCTCAGAGTGAGGGATGATGATGGGAGGGGGATGACCTTTCTCTCTCTCTCTCTCTCTCTGACGATCGTTTCGTCTTCTTTCTTTCTCTCTCTTGCCCCTTTTTCTGAATTTTTCGCAATTGAGGGGTACTTCCGTCTTTTACCTGCCGTGATTTTGGATTTTTAAGTAAAAAGAAATGAAAAAACAAAAAAACTAAGAGCGGCGCACAGTTAAAAAGTTAAAACACACTACACTGTTCGTCGACATGTATTGGTAACTTAGATTAGGTGAAATAATCTGTGCTTGGGGGTCCTTAATTGTTCTTTATTTCTTACTTAATGAGGATATAAAATGATACCACTTTATAGTTTACATGCATACGATTTGGGCAATTTTGCTATTTTAGAGACGTCATTTAAGGAGTTGGCATATATTTTTGGAGACAATTAACTTTTTAACCAATCATTTAGAATTTTGACTTGTTGTTGTTGATCATCAGACTTACTTTGTTTTTTTTTTTACATTGAGATGGAGAGAGTTTAGTAGTACATAGTTGTACATTGTTTCGTAACGTAAGAGAATGAGTCCATATTGTTTTTTTTTTTCTTTTTTCTGATCTCATGTGTTTAACTATATTTTGACAATAAAGTACAGAGGAATGTTTGACTGTATTTTTTTGGTCTGGTTACAAATTATAAGCACTTAATTTTCGGTCTGGTTACAAATTATGAGCACTTACAAGCATCATACAACTTCATTGATACACACAGGGTGAAACTGTAAGAGCAACTGCGCTTACAGTTGGAATATATTGTGGACCAAGTGGAGAGGGTTACATGATAGTTTGAGACACTGATAATTTCCTATTGACAAATTCGTTCGTGTTTCCACAAAGTTTACATGATATGACTACTGAAACACACCAACGTACAGAAAAAAAGTTACGATGTAATGTGCCTTTTGAGATTTAGTACAAGTAACTTTGCACCGTAACATGTAAAGCTATTTATGTTTATTGTAATGTGTCCTTGTTTTGCTATTTATTATCTCATTCAAATAATGCCATCAGCAATTTCACGATAGGGTGTTCGAAATTTCAACCCTTAATTTCGGATATATGGATTAATCCAGATTCTCAAAACAAACTCATAAACCTGTATCCCACAGATATTTTTGTACACCATGCATTGCCAGGTATTAGAAACAAAGAACAGGTTATTATTTATTTCTGGTTTTGTTAACATCTAAACAGTTTGTAGACTTCAATTGATTATTAAACTCTACAGTCATTACAAATGGTCCTCTGTTTAATGTCATAAACACAAAATAGATGAAACGATTGTCTAAATTTGTACTAGACTAACAGTATTAGATCAGATAATTTGGTTAAACAAACCCGAGATGGATACACCACCACTGTTATTTCTGAGGTAAGGTCACGATTCACATCAAAGCAACTTTACTCTTTATCAAATCCACTTACATGGGCAACACTACTACTACAGTTTCATCATTATAAGACTATTAATCCTCATAATCAAATTTTATAAACGAAGTTAATCCTCAATCAGAACCAAAAGAATAGCGATTCGATTCAACAACATGTAGGCACCAATAAGACACATAACTGCTCATAAACAAAGATCAGATCGCCTGGAATGGAGCCTTGAATCTAATCTACGAGAAAGGTCTCTTGAAAACCGCATTTTAAAAAATTTGCTATTCTCATTTATTATTATCCTTTCTCATAAAAATAACTATTGTATCTACACATAAAAAGATTCGGTGAGAGTAATCAAACAAAAGATGTAAGAAACTCGGTAAGCAGATGAATCGACCGGAGAGATCTAAACCTCTCTCGCGACCACCGGCCAGATAGCTTCTGAATTCATCTAGCTACAGCCGTATTTTTTGGCAAATTCAAGAGTAAAGGCATCGAATCAACCCTTCTCTCGGTACAATGTAGCCCTCAATTATACAAACTTAATCAATAAGCAATAGAACATAAAATTAAACTGTAATCAGATGAATGAACACTAAAACCCTACACCTAGCCGTCGTATAAGAGATGATGTTGATTCTAAAATGTTGAAGCGAGTTTTATATAGGAGAGAACATTAGGGGTATATACGTCTTTTACATTAAACTATCAGAGGGCGCATTCTAGGTCACCGAGTACCCGAGAGCCTCTGGAGCAGAGAGAGTCTTCCACTTTCTCTTAAACAAATAAGCCTATAAGTATGATACACGTGTCTATTGACAAAACCTCTAGCTTAAGGAGAGTCTTCTTCTTGCATCGAAACCAATAAAATTTGGTCGCTTAACAAAACTTGAGATCTGAGAGAGTTCTTAATTCTTTGTTCTTCTTTACGAAGGGAAGAGACGAACAATTAAATTTTATCTTCTTTTCGATATTTCTTAATCACTGGAATAACAAAGTTTCGAAATCGGATTTGGGATTTGAAAAAGTTTGGATTTTGATCAGTGAATCATCAACGAGTCGTTATGGAAGGAGTTGGGGCTCGGTTAGGTAGGTCCTCGACTCGGTACGGACCTGCAACGGTATTCACCGGTCCGGTGAGGAAGTGGAAGAAGAAGTGGGTTCACGTCTCTCCTTCCACCAAGAAGGACAATAACAACAACAGCTCCTCCTCCACTCCTTCCGCCGCAGCCTCCGTTGCTAACGGTGGTTCGAATTCCGACGGCAGTAACGGATCGCATTTGTTGTTCTATAAATGGGCTCCATTGTCTCAGGCTAGTAACGGTAACAGTAACGGCAATGAAGATGGTAAGAGTGAGAGTAATTCTCCAAGCGATGAAACTGTGACCGCAGCGGCTGAAGATCCTCCGCGACGGAGATTCAAATACGTGCCGGTTAGTTTGTTTAAGTTTTTTGGTTGAGTTTGTTGTGTTCTGTATGTCTGCATTGAATTGAGAAATGGGATTTTTGCTACAAGTTTAATTGCTTAGGTGACTGCTACAGTGATTAGGGTTCTAATTGTGTTAACATTTATAAAAGTATTAGTTTTTGAGAACTGTTGATGGACTAATTGGACTGGCCTATGTCTCTGTTTTTCCATTTTGAATTCCTGCGACTGATGTAGCTGGATTAGCATGAATTGGGAATAATTTTGTAAGATTTGGTGCTATGGAGCCAATGTATTAGTAGTAGAGCCAATGAATTGGGATTTAGTTTATCTGAAATTTTGATGAGGTCAAGCAAGAAATTTGACGATCTTAGCTTAAGACATTGGAGTTATCTTTTCATAGTATTGACTGTCAGGGATCCATTTATAGTGAAGTGTGATTAAATGGTGTAGATTGCAGTACTCGAGGAGCAGAAGAAGGAAATTACAGAAATTGAGGAGGATGACAAGATTGAGGAGGATAACAAGATTGAGGAGGATGACAAGATTGAAGAGGATGACAAGATTGATGAGGATAACAAGGTGGAGCAGGAAGACAAGGTTGATGAGGACAAAAGTGTAGATGAGGACAAAAGTGTAGCCGAGGACAAATGTGAGAAGAAAAAGGAAGTGGAAGAAAAGCCTGACATAAATGATGTTCCCATGGAAGATAATCAGGTACAACTCTATGTACCTTTATTCTACCACACTGAACTTTTGTTTTCTTCTGAGTTTGCTTGTTTATGTGGATAACCCCATCGCTCATTGATGAATTCTAGAACCTGCCTTAACTGTCATTTCCTTTGGTAGGTGTATGTAAAACTGTTCATTTTATCTTAATCTATTTGAGTTCTTGGTTTATAGATTTTGTTCTATCGCCAGCTATTACTGTAATCTTGTCTAGTTTCCCTTGTCAATGTGTTGAATTTAAATACAGAATGCTTCATGGTCTTTTGTGATATTTTGCTATAACCCAATGTAGATACTGAACCTCTCATTTGTTTCTTATTATCAGGATGATGAAAAAATGGTACAGGATGAAGAAAAACTGGTACATGATGAAGAAAAAATAGTGCAGGATGAAGAAAAAATAGTGCAGGATGAAGCAAAAATGGTACAGGATGAAGAAAAAATAGTGCAGGATGAAGCAAAAATGGTACAGGATGAAGAAAAAATTGTGCAGGATGAAGAAAAAGTGGTGCGACAAGATCTGAATGAAAGCACAGTGGAATTAGGACTGAACTTAAATGCTAACGATGAGGATGCTGGAAAGGAACCAAAAGAGGGCAAGCCATTAGAAGAATGATAATCTGGGTGTTTTGCAACCCATGCAACTCGGGTTAGGTTCATCTCCCTCAAGCCTCAATGTCATTAGGAAGAAAGACACACAGAAAGAACAAAGCAGTCATTAGATGTGGATGCAGATCCATGTTTTGGTCTGTTATCCCATGACTTATTCCTTTTGTTGTTAATGGAACGACTCATTTATTCAGACTACATTCAATTCATAGGAAATTTCTTGGTACTTTTGTCTGAATATTTTGATTCATCTGAAACACTTAATTTCTCTGTGGAGTACTTTCACTTTGAAAGCATCATATGAAGGGAGCTTTTGATCTCCTTTATCATTTGAACAAATATCAAACAGGAATACTTAAAAACCTTGAAAATGATATCGTAATCCACTCAGAAGATCTGGGAATGTAAAGAAAATAAAAATATTTTGAACTAGATTTTCAAACAGAAGCAAGAAGATATCCAGTTTTTCGTTTTGAAAGCTCAGCTTCGTCATCATAATCATTCGTTTGCAACAGCAGGCTCGGCTTTGGTTGCAAAATCGTGCCTGTAGTTCAAAACAAGTGTTTCAATTTGGCAAGTGAGAAAACATCAATTAGTCAACCTAATGCTTATTTGACTAAGATGTGTGTTAAGCACAAGTATGTTCATTAGGAGAAGAGCATTTTGTGCACATTTCTCTTGGCCTTACTTTATTTTACGAGTAAGCTGATATATGCCTGTCCCTGCCATAGCAACATTAACACTGAAGAGATTCCAGTTTTTCTGTAAGCAAAAAGTAAGAATCATACAAGTTACCATAAAAATCCAAATCACAAATCACTCACGGCAAAAGCAAGCGAGAAGATCATGATAAAACAGTATTACAGTATTAGTAAGTACAAGCTCCAAAGCAAGAAACCATTCGAAGGCTCGATTGTGAATTTGATGGCATTATGAGGAGTGTAAGGGAACTTACCGGATTGATTACCATGCTGTAGCGAGACCAGATAACTCCAGTGCATGTAACAGCTAATGCAAAAGAAATCAATAAATACCATCAGAACATTGAGGCAATTGCAACAGAGGTGAAACTGATCATGGAACAAATGAACAACTATGGTCAAAATATTTAAGGTTACAAGACTAAAGCAAGTCCACTTTTCAATAGAGAGACGCGATCTTTTTATGCACATGAAGAGCAGGAAACAGCTAAAGAATACGACATACCGATTTGTTGAGGATAGGAAAGTTTCTCTGGAGGCTTGGCAAAATCAGCAATGTTGGCAATGCTAATACCCCACTTGAACGTCGGTGCCCAGAAATGAACTGAGAAAAACAAAATAAAAGTCTTATTCACCACAACGCTGGAGATTTATTTGATCAAGCTACTAAAAAAGCTCTTGTGCTGGACAGTTAAGAAACTGTTGTGTTATGAGGAAAGAGACGTGAACTTTGGTAAGGGAAGACTTATAAAGAGATCAAGCTCGAACATTCTCAAATCAACATACAGCAAAGACTGATTCTTTTCTTTTGTATCATCAAAAGTTGTTACATTTTCATAAACTTAGTAACAACATATCAATCCAAACAAAAATTTGGATTAACAAAAAAACATATCAATCCAAAAATAAACATAATTATCAAAACTAGTCGAAAGTCAAATCCATCCAATAGTGAGATTCCAAGACCATGTTAGATTGCTCAATTCGATTACCAAATTTTATCCGGGAAACAAAAAAATTAATCGAAATCGATGAAAATAAGCGGAATTGACTCACTGGTTTTAGGTCCGGCAGGGTGATTCCAGAGAGCTTGAAGCTTCGAAGTCGCCATTGAAATATTTTCTCTCAATCCCCAAAAAAAGATGCTCCAAAAAAAAATTCACCAACCAATCGTCGCTTTCTGTCTCTCCCGAGAATCTCCTCTTCTCTCTCTGTCTCTCTGGCTAGAAAAAAAAAAACACTAACCAAGGGCTGCAGCTAATATACGATGTCGTTTCAATCATAAAGCGAACAGTCAAGGGTAGTTTAGTCATTTTAGCTTCTTAACTCCTTGTCCCATTTGACTTTTGTTCTTTGATTGAAGTCGTCGCGAAGACTTTGAGAGAGAGAGAGAGGTCACACTATAGAAATGGCAAAGATACAGGCGATTTTAACATGCCAAGGAAGAGGAATACACAGACGAAGATCTCGTTCTTCTCTCTCAGGATCACGCTATATATTGACCATTGCTTTCTTCCGATTCGAACCTTTGGTTATCAAACACCATGGCTCGAATCTTCATCTTGTGGCTTCACGGTTTGGGAGATTCTGGACCTGCCAATGAACCTATCCAAACACAATTCAAATCCCCGGAACTGAAGAACACTATGTGGCTCTTCCCTTCTGCTCCATTCAATCCGGTTACTTGCAACAGTACTAACCTTCTTACCTTTTGTTGTACTTCGATTTGTATATTCATGTTGATTGGTTTCGTCTTTCATGGTTTATGGTTTGATTTGATTTGGTTAAAGGGTATGGTTTATTTTCCTTGGAGGAAGTTGCATGATTTGCCTGTGTTTGGTGATTGATTTATAGTAACTAGACTAAGCTGTTTTGGTTGTTTCGTTTGATGAAGTAGTTCTGCCACTTCTGTTCATTTTAAAGAGATTGGTAAAATGCTAAACACAGGACTGAGTGAAATGTATGATTGAACAGTTTGATTATATGTGTAGTATCTGATGGTTTCATGCCTCTTAATGCTCTTTCTTGTACAGATGGTGCGGTGATGCGTTCTTGGTTTGACGTCCCTGAACTTCCTTTTAAAGTGGTATTTACTTCTCTGTTCTCTCTTGATCTAATGTCTATATGATATTATATTATGACTTTGTGTTACTTGTTTTCTAAGCTGGTAGCTCCAAGTTCTACTTTTGGCTTGTTAGACCTTGTGAAGTAATGTCCATAATTAGCACTTGTTTATCAGACTTAAGAACAGACCGATCTTGCATTTCAAAGTATGTAACTTTTGTGTGTGTAGGGATCTCTAATTGATGAAAGTAGCGTGGTTGAAGCAGTTAAGAGCGTGCATGCTATTATAGACCAGGAGATTGCAGAAGGAACCAATCCAGAAAACGTTTTTATCTGTGGATTAAGCCAAGGAGGTGCTTTCTCTTTTCCCACCCTTGGACCGTTTTATATCTACCTTAAATCCACTTATATCTTGAGAATCATGTACTGTTGGCTCCTAATAAGATCTTCTTGCAGGAGCATTAACTTTGGCTAGTGTTCTTCTTTACCCAAAAACTCTTGGAGGAGGAGCAGTCCTAAGCGGATGGGTTCCATTCAGTTCTTCAATCATCAGTCAGTTTCCCCAAGAGGCTAAGAAGGTTCATCACTTATGTTTCTTGTAAAACATTGATCTCATATCATTGTTTTATTTTAGTTTCTGAGTCATCAGATTTTGCAATATGCAGACACCAATCTTGTGGTCTCATGGCACTGAGGACACAATGGTACTCTATGAAGCTGGTCGAGCTGCTATTCCTTTTCTCAAAGAAGCGGGTGTTACCTGTGAATTCAAGGTAAATATTCAATTCAATACTCTTTTTTATGCATGATACAAAACTAATGTACCAATACTGGTCTGATGAGACTTGTTTCTCAACAGTCATACCCTGGTCTCGGGCACTCGATCAGCAATAAGGAGCTGAAGTATATAGAGTCATGGATTAAGAGACGGTTGAAGAGTTCGTCGCCTACTTGTCTTCAACTTAATTGTCTTAAGGAAATGTTCCAGTCAAGCTAATAATTATAACTACATGTCGTCTATGAAGACAAGAAGAAGATTGACAATTCTAAGCTCATCCTCTGGTTTGGTCTCTGGAGTTTGTGATTGTATTGATTTGAAAACTATGTATATGCAAACATTGGACTACATTTGCAATCTTGAGAGTATGATGAAAAACATAAAACATAGCCAAAGTCTTCTAAAGAATTTGACACTGGGGACATTTTAGTCATTTATGATAGTCTCTTGACTCTCTCCTAGCTTCATCTTTTACGGAAAAAACAAAACTTTTTGAAAGATCGATCTCCAAATAAAATGGTGAAGGGATGCGAACAAGTAGACTGACGAAGCCGATCGTTCTTTTCACGACCGCACTATTGAGCAGTGTCTTCGTAATCTTCTTCTTCCAACACAAACCTTACTCGCCATCTATCTCTTCTTCTTCTTATTCACGGAACCCAGACTCAATGGCTCGAACCTTCATCTTGTGGCTTCACGGACTTGGTGATTCTGGACCTGCCAACGAACCCATCAAAACGCTTTTCAGGTCCTCTGAGTTTAAGAACACTAAGTGGCTCTTCCCTTCTGCTCCATCAAATCCAGTCTCCTGCAATTGTACGATTGACCTTTTACTTTCTTAATTTAGGGATGGATCATTAGAGTTGGTGTGTTGTGCGTTTCGTTCTTCTCTAGGTTTTGATCAGTGTTAATGAAATGAATTGAGCTGAAAGCTTTGGCTTATTGCATTTGGGAAATTTGCATATTTTCAAGCTTCAATTCGAATTTTTAGGTCTCCACCTCATTTTGGAGAAGTTTGCTATTTGACATTATTGTGTGTGTCTTGAGTTTGGGATCTAGCATGGTTTTGAATATAAGCTTGCCCGTTTTTGTCCTTCCTCATCCATTGTGAAGAGATTGGTCCTTACTAAAGATTGTGTCTTCTCTTAAGTTATTTGGCTTTGATTTTGTCTTGTGCAGATGGTGCAGTCATGCCTTCTTGGTTTGACATCCCTGAGCTTCCTCTTACTGCGGTAAGTGGTAACACTTCTTCACAATACTTACTGCTTAACCAATCAGTACTTGTTAAAGTAGAATTTAAGGTTTATAAAGTAGAAAGAACAGATTCTTCTTACATTTTAGGGAGCTGGCTCTGTTCTAGAGGTTTTATATGCTATCAAGTAATCAACTTTTATGTGGTAGGCCTCCCCGAAAGATGAAAGCAGTTTGCTTAAGGCAGTTAAGAACGTTCATGCTGTAATAGATAAGGAGATTGCAGGAGGAATAAATCCGGAAAATGTGTATATCTGTGGATTTAGCCAAGGAGGTGATCTCTCTTTGCTCTACCATAGTTACTCATTACCATGGATATACTTACTAATATAAAAAAGTCTACAATGTGTTTGCGACTCATGAATAAGATCTTCTGCAGGTGCATTAACCTTGGCTAGTGTTCTTCTTTACCCTAAAACTCTTGGAGGAGGTGCAGTCTTTAGTGGATGGATTCCATTCAACTCTTCGATCATCAATCAGTTCACGGAAGATGCTAAAAAGGTTTGATCTGTTTTTTCTTATAAAGGGTAAATGTCAGATCTTCTCGTCACTGTTATTTGGGTTTCTGAGTCTCCAGATTTTGCATATGCAGACACCAATATTGTGGTCTCATGGAATAGATGACAAGACTGTTCTATTAGAAGCTGGTCAAGCAGCTCTTCCTTTTCTTCAACAAGCTGGTGTGACTTGTGAATTCAAGGTATGATTATGAATTCAAGCATACAAACAGAGCAGTCAAATCCAAATACTGATCACATGGAAAGATCTTAGACACTGATTCTTGAGAATGTATAACTGAAGAGAGATGGTTTGTCTGCAGGCATATCCGGATCTTGGACACTCGATCAGTAATAAGGAGCTGCAGTATCTGGAGTCATGGATCAAACAACGGATGCAAAGCTCATCTTCTTCTTCTTCTTCTTAAATTGGTTTCAAAAGGCAAGATTGCACTCAAGGTAACAACCTAATAGTTAGTTATCAACGATTAGAAGAACAATGATAACATCAGCTCATCTTCTTCCGATCCAGTTTCTCAGTAGTGAAAACCGGTTTAGATCTGTCTTGTTTCGTTTGGTTATGGAACTTTGTGTGTTTTGCCCATGAATAGTATAAACACATACAATTTGCCAAGTCGAAGTTTTAATTAATGTGTCCAAAAAAGAGAACAGTAAATGTCTTTGTTAAGAGCCCAGTGACATCATATAATAGTTTTCAAACATGTTGTGAAAATAATGTTATTGACTGTAACTATACCAAATGATTTATCGTTGGAAAAAGAAAGACAAGCAAGAATTGTCACCATATGAAGAAAGATCTGAATAATGAAAGTTTATGTGTAGCATAGCATCATATGTCGATATCTCAAAGTTTTGAAACCATATATAAACGTAGACAAAAAAAAAAAAAAAAAAAAAAGAAACCATATATAAACAGCGAGAAAAAAACATATTAAAAATAAAAAGATCCGACCAAAAAAGAACACAAAAAATCCAAGTGAGTTTGCATGGTCTGTTCCCTTGAGGGTATTTTCGTCAATGCATCTTATCTCCCATTTGCGCCCATATCATCATCTTCTTGGATTCTTCCCTTATCAACCCACCGACTATAGATTTCCAATAATTACCCCTTGGCCACTTCTAATATTACAGAATCTTTACACTATAGTGACAGCTACTACAGAATCTGACTCCAAAAAAACAATATATATAGTGATGCTTACTAGTATTATATTTTGAAGTTTATTATTATTATACTCTAAAAAATTGATACAATATTTTTCATCAGTCTACTAACTCTACTTATACTGTACTGTATATATAACTTTTTTTTATAGTAGCTTTCAATTATTGCAATCATTCGAACTTTAAAAAATGCTAATTAGCAATTTATATACAATTAGATCACGTGTGGTGTATATTAGAAAGTAATGTTTTTGAAATTCACAGTTTATACAGTATATATATGTGTGTGTGTGTATGCATGAACTTGTTATGATTAAATGAAAGCGCTGGCATTGGGCCGTTGGATATGGTCCTACTCCTACCCCAAAGATGAGTCTATTATTTTTCGTTTCGTTAATAACAAATCGAATCTATCAATTCTTGTGAACACCAAACAACTAAACTCTAATAATCATCTTTTTTACAAACTATTAAAATATAATAATAATACTACTAACTATAGTGTCCATATTTAAACTTTCTTTGAAGCTTTGTATTGTAAACAAGGGTCAAAAGCTACTTACACACTTTTTGTTTTACCAATTCTCGAGGCAAAGATATTGGAACATTGATACGTGTTTTTTTGCAATCTATACAATGACCATAGACTATGTGTGTATAAAGTCGTTGGATTATTTTATTTTCGAAATTCAGAATTGGAAAATTTGAGTGTAAAAAGATTAAAAAAAACGAATAATATGGGGGTAATTTGTAAATGATTTAAAACAAAGGTTAAAAAGTGTAAAGTTTAAATTTAAAAAAGCGCCAACTATTGTAGGCGATTACTGTTACAAATCAACCAATCAAAAAACAAAAAGCCTTTCTAACTAACTTAGCCTACTCCAAAGATTCACGCAATCGCCTGTTTTAAGAAGAACACACACAGTGGCAACTTCGTAATAACATATCCCTGAGTTACACCTTTTTCGTCATTTCACATCCTTCGTCTTTCTTCTTCTCTCCTCCTCTCCACCTTCACTGCCACTCACACCTACACGCGCGACTACTCTCTCTCTCTCTCTCTTCTGAAGCACTCAAAGAGTAAAGTTTTCTCTCTGCATTTTAGCTTTATCTCTCTCTCTCTCTCTTCTCTGTCTATACAAATGGCGGGTCGGATCCAATCCCACCAGCTGCCAAATGGACTCTACGTATCGGGAAAGCTCGAGCAGCCAAAAGAGCGACCACCGACAATGGCGGCTCGTGCTGTCCCTTACACCGGAGGCGACATCAAGAAATCCGGCGAGCTCGGGAGGATGTTCGACATCTCCGTCGTCGATTCCCAAGGTCCGCCGCCGTTAATCGTCGGTGGTAATAGCAGCGGAGGAACGTCGAGGCTTCAGGCGCCGCCACGTGTCTCTGCTTCTTCTTCGAACCCTAATAGTGGATCCGTTCGATCTGGTCCCAACTCTGGCTCGGTTAAGAAATTCTCAGGTCCGCTCTCTCAGCTTCAGCCTACCGGTTTAATTACCTCCGGTTCTCTCGGTTCTTCGGGTCCGATTTTGTCCGGGTCTAGGCGGTCGGGTCAATTGGACCACCAGTTGAGTAATTTAGCGTCGAGCAAGCCCAAATACGGGTCGTCGGTGACGAGCCTTAACGTAGACCCGGTTCGGGTCGGGTTTAAAGTACCAAAGGCGGTTGTTTGGGCGGTTCTCATTGTGGCGGCGATGGGATTGCTTGTGGGAGCGTTTCTTACCGTGGCGGTTAAGAAACCTGTTGTGATTGCGGCGGTTTTAGCGGCGGTTATTCCAGCAATCGTGGTTTTGATTTGGAATTGCGTTTGGAGAAGAAAAGGATTGTTGAGGTTCATCAAGAAGTATCCAGATGCTGAGCTTAGAGGTGCCATTGATGGACAATTCGTAAAGGTTACAGGGGTAAGTTAAAACCTAATTTTCAAAATGTTAAAGATCCCTCAGTGTTAAAATTCCAGTTTTAGTAAGTGACTTTAATTATTCTGATCAAACTAAATTGCTTTCTAATTTAGCTTTTTGATCATTTTCAATTCTGGTGAAGTTAAAATGTCGTTATCATCATTGGCTTTTTCTTATGGATGTTATATTCTTGGATCTCTGTTTAGTTTTTGTTTTTGCTCCGTTATGTTTCTGGGTGCTTGATGATGATTTTTTGGTTTTCTCTGCGTTTTGAAATTTTATATTATTAAACGATCATCAGTTACAAAACTAAAGTATGCTGCTTGTGGTTTATCATAGATTTATAAATGGCTTTAATGAAATTAAGACCATTTATAATTCGACAAATTGGAGTCACGGGTCGTCAACAGCTAGTTTAATGCGTTGGACAGACCATTTATATTGTCTGAAATAACAATGTTGCTGGAGATATGGTAAAAAGTGTGGTAGTGTGGTCATTGGTGTATTTCTTATTTGCTTGAAATGTTGAAACTTTTTGTTTCTTTTTTTTTTGTATGTAGGTTGTGACATGTGGGAGCATTCCTCTGGAGTCTTCATACCAAAGAACACCGAGATGCGTTTATGTATCCACGGAGTTGTATGAGTACAAAGGTTTTGGTGGAAAATCCGCAAACCCAAAACATCGATGCTTTTCTTGGGGATCTAGACATGCTGAGGTTAGTTTCTTTTTCTATCTTTGTAATGGACCATATAACACTTGTCTTAGTGACTTGGTCAAGTTTCCATAATTCTATATGACAAGAAAAGATGGTTAAGTTTGATGTTTCTTTGGCAGAAATACGTCTCGGATTTCTACATCTCAGATTTCCAATCTGGATTGCGGGCGCTAGTAAAAGCAGGATATGGATCAAAAGTTTCTCCTTTTGTCAAACCGGCGACAGTGGCTAATGTAACAACGCAGAACAAAGATTTATCACCCAGCTTCTTGAAGTGGCTGTCAGATCGTAACCTTTCAGCCGATGACCGTGTCATGCGCCTCAAAGAAGGGTATGCGCATCTTTATATTTTTGTGTCAGAGTCACTGTCCAAACCTTAAAATCTAGATCTTACCTGAAACTACCCAATATACGACCTTCTAAACCATGATTCCAGTATGATCAATTGAAAGTTCATACTCTGAGACTGTTGATGTAGGCGTTTCCTTTGACTGGTAGCGATGGATTTTTCTTCCACACTAAAAGTCACAATCATGGAAAAAGATGTGATAAAACTTGTATAGTGGGAAGAAACCCGTTAACTTTTGTCAAAGTAAACGGCTTAAACATCTCACATCAGTGTTTCATAAATCTGAAGTTAATTAAAGGGCTTAGATTCTTAGAAGGTTGAATTAGGACTAAAGTTAGTGAGACCCAGAAGTCACAGTTTTGTTAGTACAAAGGAAAGATCATTTTTGACTACTCTCATCATGGTACATTGCACTCAAGAAAGCTCATTAGCTGCATGTTTGCAATGAAAGGCCCTCTGTTACTGATTTGAATCATATTTGATTGTGTGTGATGATCAGATACATAAAAGAAGGAAGCACGGTGAGCGTGATGGGGATGGTAAGAAGACACGACAATGTGCTGATGATAGTTCCTCCGGCAGAAGCAGTCTCTAGTGGCTGCAGGTGGTGGCACTGCCTCCTCCCGACCTATGCAGATGGCCTGATCATCACCTGTGACGAGAATCAAAACGCTGATGTCATTCCTGTCTAAAAACCAAATATGTATGTAATGCTTCTTTTGCCCGATATTAAATATATAAATGCTACAAGAGTTAGGCTCACGAGACTGAAGAAAGAAGAGAGGGATGAGAGGAGAGCCAAATTGGTTCAAAAAAAGGAAACCAAATGGGCTTTGCCTTTTGCGATGATCCTATTAGTTTTTTTTTTGCCCCTTCTATGGGGTTCATGTGTAGATAAAGCACCAAAATGTAAATGCTATTTTCTGTTTAAAATAATTATTATGTTTCCATCTACTAGTGACTAGTGAAAATAGGCATGTCTTGATGTGATGAATCTCTGTATCTATACTATTAATTGGGAAAGACAACTTGAAGCCAAACACCCCCTAAGTGAAAAAAAAAATTTCATGAAATATATTCCAGTTGCCAAACAGAACTATTGACAGCAAAAAAAAAAAAAAAACAAAAAAACAAAAACAATCTATATTTATGGAAATCATAATAATCTTTTACCATAAAAAGTAGACAATTAAATTAAAAATTAAAAATATGTAAACATGTCTATTTTGAATATACATAAACATATTTAATATTAATTTAATATTTTAATATAATTTCAAAATTAATAGTATAGATATATAATGAAATCTAATAAAAAAAATCATCATATATCTAAAAAACAAAGATAACATTTTTTTAGATTAATAAGATAAAAAAAATATGTTAACATATGAAATAATCAACTAATCAAATTCTACATAGTATATATACATAACTGATCATATCATCAAATTTTAAAAAATTATATAATTTTTAAATATAAATAAAAATTAAACAAATCAATAATTAAATAAAATCATGCGAATAAACATTTTAGATCACATAAATTTCTTATTTTTACATAAAAAATATTCATATTCAAAAAGCAATCTAGCAATTAAAGCACAAAAGATATCTACAAAATGTATCATTAATTCAATTAGTTAACAATTTTTTATTTGGTCAAACAGTTAGCTTATGATTATTCTAAACTTCTTTTTTCTTATTAATTTCACACAATCTTAAGAAAATAAATCTTCATCCATTGGGAATTTGCATATCATTACTATTATCAAATATTAAATAATTGTTTTATCAAATCATTAACTACATTTTGAGATTATAAACATATAGAATTTCTATTAGGATTAAAACTAAATAACAAGTGGATATATCACATTTAAATGATTTTAACGACTTATCACCAATTTTTAAATAATAAATGGATTATATTTTATGATTTAATCTAATTGAAAACAAATAAAATGTCAAATTGGTATGATATAATAAATAAAGATGATCTTGATGTACCTTATCACATTGGTATGATAAATATTTGGATTTAGTCATGCTGTAGTAAAGATAATCTTGATGTACCTTATCAACCATATAAAAGTTTATAATTTTTCATATTTGAAAAAGGGTATTTTTGAAAATGGATTGAAAAGAGTGGTATTTTTAAAAAGGGGTACACCAAAAGGGGTATTTCTCAAAAATTCTCATAAATAAATATCTACAAACATTATCTCACATATACATACAATTTTAAACTATCCTTGAAAAATATGATATATAAGTTTTGGATAACCGGTTGAAAAAAAAAATTGGTAGTTATATTTAATTGTCAAAATCTCAAAATATTGTACAAAATTCAACATTGGGACGTATAAATCTCTACTTTTGGACGATTATATGAAATTTTACATATATTAAAATAATATTTAGTTACATGTAAATGGTGTTATTTATTAAAAAAAATATAAACTTATAGGAATGGATACAAGACGGGAACTTATAATTCGAAAACAAACACTATCTGAATTATTTCTCATAAAAAAAAACATGATCAGATATAATTGTTATGAGACATGGTTATAAAGTTAAATTCACTTTCAACTTTCAAATATAAAACTACGAGTATGATACGGGGACATGTAATTTAAATTGCTAAATTTAATTTCCACTTTCCTATTTATTTTAAATATTTAGACATGATATGACGGGTACAAGAAGATAACGTATACTTCGGATAACAAAACTACAATAAATCTATGTATTAAAAAAATAGAAATACCTAAATCTTTAGAAAACAAAAAGGCTAAAACATGAATCTTTGAATTGAAAAAAGTAATGAGAAATAAAGATGAAACGGAAAGATCAATAAAATTAAAAATCGAACAAGGATTGTGTATGATAGGATTACAGACAATGCCTTGTGAATGAAAATGGTGGGAGCATGTGACTTAGATTGATAATTAGACTTTTATTAGTTTGATAAAAATAAATATTTAAACGCGGAATACGGGTATCCCGTCTAAATATTTTACCAAGTTTCTTATAATAAACATTGGCAAATGATTATGTTTTAAAAGAATCGATTACGGGACAGAAATTTTATGACAGATAGAAGACGGGACGGGACGGGACAGGGCGGGGTGGGACAGGACGGTTCAGGACAAGACGGAAAGGGACAGGACGGGTTTTCCATTCTAAACTACACATAAAACAGTTCAAACTAAAGCCAAACCCAAATCCGATTTAACATCTCTAAGCAAACAGTGAAATATTTTGATTAGTTTAAAAAATAAACAAGTAATATCATTTATCATTTAAATAATTTTAAAATTGTATTATATAATACAATATCTATATTTTACAAATGTGTGTCTATATATAGTTTATCAAATAAACTCATATAACAAAATTTTACCAAAATAACATCTACTTAACAAATCGTAATTTTGTAAAAATAACTTCGCACGTACGTGCGGGTCCATCACTAATACTTAATAATAAGGCGGTAAAAGTTTCCTTCTTATCAATTTCTAAATAAATAAAAAAATCAAATACAACGTAACAAGCCAGATTTTGCAATGGAATCAGATTTCTACTTGTGGGCCTCATTCAAAACCCGAAACTAAAGCCCAATAACGAATGACGTAAAAACATTTTACCCATTTACTCTCAATTAACAGCAGAACTTGTCGAAAAAAGCAGTAAAAAGTAAAAACACCAAACTCGAGCTCGCTTCGTTTGCTCTGTCCCTGTCTCTCGAGTCTCGACCCGTCCTGGTTAGTTTTCTAGCTCACCGTATGACTTGATTGAATTTTTGCTTCTTCGGATCCCATCGGATTGATTTGGTTGGTGTTTGCATCGAACTGTTTTGACTATTTTCTACTGCGATTGCATCGAGTTTATCGACTCAAAAGTTCTGAGGGTACTGAATTGAATAATTGGGTCTTGACGACATTTCGTTGTTTGCTTGTAAAGCTGAATACTTTATTCTGCATCTCTGCTTCCTTTGGTTTTAGCTGGTGGGTTTGTCTAAATTTCACTCTTTTTCTCCCTTCATACTGTAATGATTGAGAGATGAGAAGTATGGTTCTGACTTCTGAGCGAGAATCCATTGAGTTGCTTGTAAAGTAATATACTTTATCTTTGATTCTGCATTGATTTTAGCTTTTAGCTATGACTTCTGAGCGAGGATCCATTGAGTTGCTTGTAAAGCAGTATACTTTATATTTGATTCTGCATTGATTTTAGCTTTTAGCTTTTAGCTGCTGGTGGGCTTGTCCAAGTTTCATTCTTTTTTTCTGATGGAAGTTATATATTTTTTCAGTTTGATTCAAGTTAGTGGGTGATTTATCTACTTTGGTGGTTGATGCTGAGGATCTCTTGTTCAGATTGATCACGCCTGAAAGGTTTATTTAGGGTTTGGCATATGATGGATAGGATCAACAGTCTATCAGATGATATTATTTGCCAAATTCTATCTTTCCTTCCATTCAATAAGGCTACCTCAACATCTGTCCTCTCAAAGCGATGGCGTTATCTGTTTGCATTCAGACCGGATCTTCGTTTTGATGATCACGAATTGGGAGGAGGACCAAGTTTCATCGATTTTGTGGATAGAATATTGACCGTGTCTGGCAATTTCCCCATCAGAAAAATCTCGATAAAATGCTGCAAGAGTATCGACACTGGTCATATCACCCGCTGGATGGTCGACGTGCTGAAACATGGTGTCTTAGATCTTGATATAGAAATTATCTCCAATGATGATGTCGTTTTAGTGCCTCTCGAGATCTTCACTTGCAAGACATTGGTTGTGCTGAAACTCTCAAACGGGTTTGATGCTATGATTCCTGATTATGTTTCTCTTCCATCACTTAGGACTCTCTCTCTTAGCTCGATTTATTTCTACAATAGTGATTGTTGCGTTTTGGGAAAGCTTCTTTCTGCTTGCCCTGCCCTTGAGGAATTAACCATTCGTGGTGAGAGCTGGCAATGTATAGAATTCTGTCGCAATGTGTCCTCTTCCACCCTTAAGAAACTTACTATTACGCCTTCTTTTCGCTTCCACTATGACTTTTGGGACATGGCTTTCGATACACCGAGTCTTACCTACTTAGAGTACTCTGATTTAGTTCAAAAACACTATCCGTTTGTGAATCTTGAGGCGCTTGTTGAAGCTAAGCTTGATCTTGATTTATTTGGTGGTGGCAATCCAACAAATCTGATTAAGGGGTTAAGAAATGTTGAGGTCTTGGAGTTTTCATCTGGGGACACTAGTCAGGTAAAGAATGAACTCCCCTCTTTTTCTCTTTCTGTAAGATTTATGTTTTATTGCATAATGAGCATGGAGAAGAATTTTGGGAGCCCTCGTTCCGTTTTTCTTGAGGTTTTTGAATCTAAATATTGCAATTGCGTGATGATTGACTAAGTAATTTTGTTTTGTTTCGTTTCAGACATTCTATGATTTCCATGAAGCAATCCCAGTTTTCAGCAAGCTGCTTCGTTTATCTATTACAGTCGATAACCGCCACTACCATTGGAGAGCTTTGCCAATACTTCTTAAAAAATCTCCAAATCTACAGACTCTCGTCATCAAGGTATATAGCTAAAACCCCAAAGGCTTACCTGACAAACACAAAATCTCTAAGCTACCCTCTTGTGTTCAGGGTCCACTGTACGCCGATATATATGAACGAGAATATGGATTGTCATGTCCTGTGAGAGTATTGAAGATAACTGAGTATGGAAGAACAATCGGAGAGCTAGAGCAAATGAAACGTCTCCTAGAGAAGCTGCCATGTCTTGAGCTTGTCAAAGTTCGTGCATATGCAATAAACGACAAGGAAAAATCACGAATCACCAACGATCTGCTAATGGTTCCTAGACAATCCAATTGCAAGATCAAGATCAAGTTTTGTGAGAATACTAACTAGTACATGAAAGAAAAAAGAGTTTGTTACCTCCTAGTTCACTAATTAAGTCTCTTGGAACATAAATTACCTTCTAGTTTTACAATTGCTCTGTTTCGTAATGGTTTGGATGTGAATCAGAATGGTTGATTGGACATATATCTTTCTCATTTGACCGGATGTGTTGATATGTGCAAATCTTAAACTACCGCAAGTCTTGTTAGCAAGTGAATGCAAGTTCCTTTGAAGAAGTAACCAAGCATTTTGTGCGTCTTCCCTGCTCACGGTAACTTGTGATCTACAGCCGAGTATTTGGAACAGTTCTTGAGATATTTGGAAACAACTCAAAGTTGGAAACTTTACATATGAATTGATATAACATTTACACCAAAACCAAATATGTTAAGTTTCCAAAATAAAATCTGATAGTTAATAATAGAATGGCAAAAACCTAAGAAAGGCACGCTTCGTTCTCTCCCTCCGTCTCCACTCTCACCTTATGACAATTTGAACTCGGATCGGTTTGGTTGGTCTTTTGCATGGAATTTATCGTATTGACCATCTTCTGCTGCTGCGCTCAGATGTTCTAAGGTATTGAATTGATTGTTTGCTTGTAAAGCAGAATACTTTATTTTAGATGCCGCATTGATTTTAGCTGGTGCCTGGTGGGGTTTATCCAAGTTTCATTTTTTGAACAGTAGTCAATTGATGAAATTTATACCTATTCAAGTTTGATTCAAATTTACAGATTTTTGGATGCAAGCAATCTAGTCTCTCTATAAACTCTATTCAGATTATCACGTTTATTAGGAGGTTTTGGGGTGTGGCCAAAGGATGGATATGATCAACGGTCTATCAGATGACATTATTAGCCACATTCTATCTTTCCTTCCATTCAATGAGGCTACTTCAACATCTGTCCTCTCAAAGCGATGGCGTTATCTGTTTGCCTTCAGACCGAATCTTCATATAGATGATCAAGAAGTGGGTGGAGAACAAATTTTCATCGATTTTGTGGACAGAGTATTGTCCGCGTCTGGCAATTTCCCCATCAGGAAAATCTCATTAAAATGTCAAACGACCATCGACACTGGTCATGTCACCCGCTGGATGATTGACGTGCTGAAACATGGTGTCTTAGATCTTGACATAGACGTATTACCCACTGAGCCGATTTTAGTGCCTCTCGAGATCTTCACTTGCAAGACATTTGTTGCGCTTAAACTAGCACCTGCGTTTGATGCTCTGATTCCTGATTATGTTTCCCTCCCATCACTCAAGACTCTGTCTCTTAGTTCGATCTGGTTCTACAATCGTAATTATTGTGCTTTGGAAAAGCTTCTTTCTGCTTGCCCTGTGCTTGAGGAGTTAACCATTTATGGCGGGAGCTGGGAAAATCGAGAATGCACTCGCACCGTGTCTTCTTCCACCCTTAAGAGACTTACTATTCTCTGCACTGAGCGTTTGGATTACTGGGACATGACTTTAGATACTCCGAGTCTTGCCTACTTAGAGTACTCTGATATAGTTCCCAAAAACTATCCATTTGTGAATCTTGAGTCCCTTGTCGAAGCTAAGCTTGATCTCACTTCCACTGTTGGTTATAGCAATCCAACAAATCTGATTAAGGGGTTACGAAATGTGGAGACCTTGGAGTTAGCTAGTCGTACTTGTCGGGTAATGAATGATCTCTTTTCTTTTTTTCTTATATACGTTTTCATATTATTTGCATGAAAGTTACAAGTTTAGGACTTTCCAGTGTACTAGGATCAAAATCTTTGAGGTTTTTGGATCCAAAGATTGCTATTTGTTATTTGCTTAAGGCGATCAAGATCAAGATCCAAAGATTGCTTTCCAGAGTTAACTTTTGTTTTGTTTCAGGCATTCTGTAATTTCCGTGAAGCAATCCCAGTGTTCAGCCAACTATCTCGTTTATCTATTATAATTGATTCACTCTACCACCGTTGGGAGCATCTGCCAGTACTTCTAGAAAAATCTCCAAATCTACAGACCCTCGTCATTAAGGTATATAACCAAAACCCTGAAAGCTTATTGGAGAAACTCAAAAATCTCTCTCTAATCTTCCCTCTTGTTCCAGGGTCCATTGTATGCTGATAGATATGATGGAGAATATGGACATTCATGTCCTGTCAAAGTATTGAAGATAGCTGAGTATGGAGGAAAGGTTGGAGAGCTAGAGCATATGAAACATTTTCTAGAGCTACTGCCACGTCTTGAGCTTGTCAAAGTTCGTGCTTATGCAATAAACGACAAGGAAGAATCTCGAATTACCAACGATCTGCTAATGGTTCCTAGACTGTCCAATTGCAAGATCCAGATCAAGTTTTGTGAGAGTACTAAGTAATGCATGGAAAATAAAGAACACAGTAGTTTGTTACCTCCTACAGTTCACTAATTAAGTCTCTCGGATGTTTAAAACCGAATATACAGAGAAAGCAAGTTCACAAATTACTCTGTTTTATAGTAAACTTCAAGATATGCATTAATATAGATAGACCCTTATACATCAATAAACCTATTTTTTTGCGATCTTTATTCAACATTTCTACACGACTAAGCATACGTAGAGTCAGTAACTTTGAGTTCGATCAAAACAGATCAGACATCTATATAGATACATACTGTATATACAACCTCGTACATGTTTGTATTTATAGATGAACCAAACCAAAAAAGTTGTCATATCTTCAGATTTGTAATTATACAAGTAAGGAGGAAGACACATCTCCTTGCCTCTATGAAAATCTCTACGGTACTTCATCATATCTTCGCGAGAAACATCATGCCAAAACGATTCAATGCTGCATGCATATATATATATATTACCAAATACTTGATTCATGGTATATTCACTGTCAAAAAGCCAAAAACAATATATTACAAAGATTAAACATTGGTAAACACAAGAACCTTTTCCAAACAAGAGAAACCGGTTTAAGCCAATATACCGATCGTTTTATTGAGCAACCATAGTAGAAGAGCGAGTTCAATGCCGAAAATTGTGTGCAACCATGATCTATCTACTAGGAATCCATACACAGTGATCCCAGCTTTGTTGTTCTCTAGGTAGGTCACTGCAAGAAAGAACAACAGCCCGATAAATATCGATCTTTTTTGTGATATATAGTTGAATGGTATATCAAATTATCCATAGAAAATATTCTTACCAAGAGCTTGACGTTTTTGGTATGAAATTGTATTGGCGTAGATGGGATGTATCTTGGTATTATCAAGATCATCGTCTCCTTCTCCTTCTTCATCATCAGATGTATCCACCGCATTAATGCCACATGGAGAAATTTGTGATTCAACCATGGAAGCAGTAGGAGTTTCCCCATCAAGATGGTCGAACGAGTCAACTGTGGCGCAAACGTTCCATTTGGCTGCAAGGCTGGTTACAGATTGAGCTTTGTGAGTTATCTTCGTTGCACTTCTCAAACATATGAATACTCCTGTAACCAAACTCAACGAACATAACTGTATACATACCACAGAAAGAAAAAACATTACAAAAGAAACTTATTAGTGATGATTTCAATCCGAATATACAGAACAAAAAAACAGAACCGGAGAGAGAGAACTCTTACCGCGAGCTCGCCAACTTCATAGATATTAACAGCAACACTAGCCCTCGTAGTGGTAAGCAAAGCCATGAACTGAGTAGCAGTAACAAGAACCAAAGACAAAAGAATGAATCTCCTGAACCGATGGCTAACAATCCTCAGATTACGACGGATCTTCTGATGCTCACCAAGAGCTGAGCTAACGTCAGTGATCTCAGAGGCGAAGCATCTAGCGAAATCCTCGAGACGAAGAGTCTGAAGATGGCATGTGATCTGGTAGAGAATGCAGACGACGATGAAAATGGCGTTACGGTAAAGCCAAGAAGAGAGCTGGAGAGTGCATGCAACAACGTGGCTAAGAACAGGGTTGATGATGTAAGGAATCTGGTTAAAGCCAGAGATGTACCACCAGATTCTGTAGATTGCTTCGAGCGTTAGCGATGGGAAGACGAAGATCATTAGCCGTTTTAGCGATCTCTGCTATCATCAAAGAAACAGAGCAAAAAATAGATTATTAATTATAGATAAATTAAAGTAGAATGAAATAATATCCGACCTTAGCTCAGTTGGTAGAGCGGAAGACTGTAGTCTGTGACAGATAAATCTTTAGGTCGCTGGTTCGATTCCGGCAGGTCGGATTTTTTTTTGTTGTTTAAATTTTTTACAAAACGTCACACTGAACTTTAACAAACAAGACAAAACACTGTCGGCCATAGAAATTAAAATTGTTCAGTGACGTAAATTTCTGTTCACTGAACTTATTTTCAAATACTTATTGATTATTTTCCATCATTTCAAGTTTCTTTCAATGATATAAGAGAAAGAAAAAAAAACACATTGCTAAAATGAAATTAATAAAGTATTATTTAAAGCTTTTAAAAATTTGCAAAATTGTAAAATGTTTCTTACTAAAAACAAAATTAGTAAATGATTATTTGTTGCGTTTACTAAAATTCTGGAATAAAAAAAAAGAGACTTAAGAAATTAATCAATTATAATATACGTAACAGTTTGGTAAAGGTTCTGGGTTTTTTTTCTTTTTCTTTTTTTTTTGAATCCTAGGTTTGCAGAAACATCTCCTAACAAATTTGAATCAAATTTTAGCTGGTGAGATTATAACCAAAAGAGAAGGAACAAAACCTGAATCTCAGCTTCGTGTTCGATCCTAACTTTGTCGCTAACATCCCAAAGCTTATCAAGGAACAAGAACTTTCTCATCCCAAACTTCCTCGACCAAATCGAGAGGCTAAAGAACGAGATTCCTGCGAATATCGACAGCGAGAGCTGAACAACGGCGTCGTACGGTCGGCGGTGATGGAAATCGCAGTCGGAGCAGACGAGCAAGAAGTGAGAGATCATAGGAACGATGACGACGAGAAGGAAGAAGACGGACCACGAAAGCAGAGCCGTGCCGCAATTCGACTGGTCGAACCAGAGCACGAGGGACATGAACGTGAACCTCGACGATGGAAACTCCGGTTGCGATTGTTTGTTGTTGATCGCGCTCGGCCGTGTCGTGTCCCGGAGTAAATGTTCCCGAGATCCTCGCTCCGATGATGTGTTCGCCATGAGAATTTTGGGAAAGATTCAAAAGAGGGAAAAGGCAAAAAAAAAAAAAAAAAAAAAAAAAAGTCGCGTTTGATTGGTTTTTTTTGTAAGCTATCTCTATACCTGTAAAATCTGTTTAAATAGTAAAGAAAAAAGATTTACGACAACTTTTTAATGTCTAATTCAAAGATTAAACACGTATTTAAGATATTAATTAACATAGGACTTGTATTATATTAGTTTTCAGATATTATGTGGTTTTTTATTTTAAATTTTGTTTGGCTAGTAGTTGGAAAATTGGAAAGAGTATTTTTCACTTTTGTTTTAATATCTTAACTAATAATTAAAAAGGATTGTAGACTTGTAGTACAGTTTCTTCAGCTAAATTATGAACTATTTTATTCAGGTGTTTACTGTTTTATGAATTTGTCTCCATATGCTGCTAACTGCTGAGTAGTTTCCAGCTAAATTTGGTAAAATAAAATAAATTATCTTCTTTATTAGCTCCAAATTTCGGACAAATTAAATTTTGAAATATTATTTCTTAGCATGAGCTGAACTTAGCTTAACTGATATTAAGGTTTTTTCACATTCGTAATTAGTTTTGATTTTTGAAAATTACAAACGTCGTTGATGAATTCACGGGATTAGTAAATATCAGTAACCTAGTCATACAGTAGTTAGAAATGTTAGTTATTTTCACGGGTTATAAAATCAGTTCTTGATGACGTGTCCCATAATTTAAGGGCCTCGAATGTAGCCCATTGGTTATTCAAAAGCCCAGTATATGATTCGAATCGGATCATTTGACTTAAGTCGGATCCTATTCTTGGTATGGAAATTTCTCCGGCCGTGATTAGTTGGACGCGTCGACGTCGATGGGGATGAGAAGTAGTGGAGAACCCAGAATATCCGCCTACCTTTGGGAACCGTCATTATTCGTCTAAAACCCTCAAATTTCCCAAAATTTCTCCATTTCTACCAAAAAATCTCACTTTAATTCCCTGTGAAAGATCTGCTCTCTCTGATTCCAATATGGCGGCGACGGTGGCGATCTCAGGCATCTCCTCTCGTACGTTGGGGATTTCACGGCCTTTGGTTACTCCTCGACGCTCTAGAGCCGCCGTTTCGTACAGTTCCACTCACCGGTTGCTCTGTCATCGTCCTGTCTCTTCTCGTCGCTTGCTTTTGAGGTGTGCCTTAGCTGCAGATGAATTTTTAATTGATTTGTTCACGTGTGATTATGAAATGGGTTTAATTTTTCTTTTGCTATGATGAAACAAAAATATTCAGGAACAATCATCAGGTTCAAGCAACGATTTTGCAAGACGATGAGGAGAAAGTTGTGGTGGAGGAATCATTTAAAGCCGAGACTTTTACTGGTAAAGAACCTCTTGATGAGCCAAATACGACTTCTTCTTCAACTAGTGCTTTTGAGTCATGGATCATCAAGCTTGAGCAAGGAGTCAATGTCTTCCTTACTGTAAGGTTTTACAACCCTTTTACTTATCTTAATTCTTAAACGTTGTCACTTGCTAGAATGTTTGATTGTTTATTCACGTCACAAACGGAAGTTTTTTCATTTTTTCTGATGTTGGCTTGTTTTCGTTTTCCCCTTCTCAGGACTCGGTGATTAAGATACTTGACACACTGTACCGTGACAGAACCTATGCAAGGTTCTTTGTTCTTGAGACCATTGCTAGAGTTCCTTATTTTGGTAAGTGCATCTACTTGTAGCTTCAGCTTCTTATAATATGTACAAGTAACATTTAGCAGAATATTAAGAGCTAGTCACCAGGTTTTATATTTTTCATTAGACAGTAAGATTGTGGATATCACTTGAGATATGTGCAGAAGAACATGGACAGAATAGTGGAATGTATATTTTCTCTTTCTTATCTCATTTGAAGTACAATTTAACTCTTAAGAATAAAAGGGAGATCCATCCAACCATAATCCTCTTTGTGGGATATAGGATTTGTGAAAAATCAATTCTTGTTATGAATTTGGACGCCAAATGGGAATTGTTTATAAGCTAGAACCTTATGCATGTTTCTGTATTCTCCTTGCAGCTTTTATGTCTGTGCTACACATGTATGAGACCTTTGGTTGGTGGAGGAGAGCAGATTATTTGAAAGTACACTTTGCTGAGAGCTGGAATGAGATGCACCACTTGCTCATAATGGAAGTAAGAACTAATATTTCCCTTCTCTACGAGTTGCATACACTTTACTTGCATAGTTAATAAAAGTAAAACGCATGATTCTGATCACAGGAATTGGGTGGAAACTCTTGGTGGTTTGATCGTTTTCTGGCCCAGCACATAGCAACGTTCTACTACTTCATGACAGTTTTCTTGTATATCGTAAGCCCTAGAATGGCATGTAAGTTTCCTTTTCACTAAACTAAAATCTAATTGTGATCTTCTAGAAAGTAGCAGAAAATTGATGGAACAGAAAAATTTGGCTTCTGGTTTATATGACTTCATCAATGGTTTGTTACCAATGCAGATCACTTTTCGGAATGTGTGGAGAGCCATGCATATGAGACTTATGATAAATTTCTCAAGGCCAGTGGAGGTTTGTTACTGATTTTTCTACTTTCTCTAACATTCCGAGTACCATTTACATTTACCTGTTAATGGATTTATTTGCCGTGAACTATAACTCAAAATTCCTTAACGATTTTTACATTCTGAATTTTTTTGCTTCATCTTTTTGGTTTCCCTACTCAGAGGAGTTGAAGAATATGCCTGCCCCCGATATTGCAGTAAAATACTATACCGGAAGTGACATGTACTTATTTGGTGAGTTGATCCATCTGGATTTGGTCACAATTCTTCAGGTTGTTAGAGTTTTTGTTTTTCCATTGATTAGTAGTCTCTCAAACTGGCCCATGTGTTGTCTGCAGATGAGTTCCAAACATCCAGAGTTCCCAATACTCGAAGACCAGTAATAGGTAGCACATTTACTTCGTTCTTTCAATCTCTGAATACGTCATATTCACTAAATGCTAAAAAGGTTTATGTTCCATACATTCTAGAAAAGAACTGTTCTTTTGACTCTAATATATGTACGGATAGTGCATCGTTCTCAGTTTGTGACTTGCTTTGGTGTTGAATTTAGAATCTGTAACGTCGTTGTTGCTTTGTGGTTATGGTTGGACAGAGAATTTATACGATGTGTTTCTGAACATAAGAGACGATGAAGCAGAACACTGCAAGACAATGAGAGCTTGCCAGACTCTGGGGAGCCTGCGTTCTCCACACTCCATATTAGAAGATGATGCTGAAGAAGATTCAGGCTGTGCTGTTCCTGAGGCGGCTCATTGCGAAGGTATCGTAGACTGCATCAAGAAATCCATTACGAGTTAGATAGAAAGGAAAAATAAAGAAGATTTGATTGTAACTGTATCAGCTTATGAAGAATAGATATATAAAGTGTAAAATTCCCATCATTATGTGTGTGGGAGAGAATCAAATACCAAAGTGATGTAAAGTTACAAAGATGAGCTTTAATATTAATCATCTAAGTTGTTGGATGAATTTGAAATCACAGCCATTGTGATAGCATAATTTGCATTGCCGGTTTCAAATTCACATTTTCTAAAGGTAGCATTCTAAAAGCTCAGTCATGTGTAGATGTCAGATGTACTGTTGTCACTGACAGTATTACAAATCCTTAAATTGTTTGTTAATTTGTTTCTATAGAACAACGATACATTCAATGATTTTGTAGTGTCAGTCTTAATGTTGTCGTCATTGACATGATAAGAGAAGCTTAAGAGCAAATGCCTAACTCTCTCATGGTGCCAGAAGAGAGGCATAAGAGCAATACATCAGATTATTTAGGATCGTTATAATACAAAGTACAAAATCATTGAATGTGTCGTTCTCTTTATGAAAAAAAAAGTGTATTGGTATTAGTGTTTTAGAATCTCGCGTTCTCCAATTTTGTAACTTTTTGTTGGTGGTTAGGTTGGGGAGAGTGTGGCGCAAAGACGACGTCGTTACGGGGGACATTTCACGTGGGGATAAAAGCCTTGCTTGATTCATGCGCTCTCTTTAATTTTCTCTTTTCTTTGTTTCTTTTCTTTCGATTTCAAAATATTTATTATACGCGGGGGTTTTAAATAACAAAAATAGTTTCCCGCCAGAAAGGTTATGCTACTGAATTAATTAACAATCATGTTTCGGTTGCGAGATTTCCTCAGGCTGGTTAATTAAACTTAATCATCGCCTTTTATTTCAGAGTTAAACGTCATAATTGCATCTTTTATGTCTTTAATATGGGTCTGAACTCCTATGCTGGACTTTTGTTTCGTTGGTAACATAAATCCTCATTATTATTCTACGATTTTGTTTTTTTTTTCTATTGTAAAAAAGAAAAGAAAAAAAGAAACTAATGGTACAGTTACAGATATAGCATTAACTTTTTTCCTCTTGAGTAAATATATATTTTTGTTCTATCAGAAATTCAGAAGAACTAACATTATAGTTGTACGCACCGATTGCGTAAGGTACGGATTTGGCTGGTAATGTAATTCTACATACTTGTAAATTGATTCGTCCTTTTGAGCTTTAACAATGAGGTAGATCAACTTTTACGAATATGGTTTTGAAATTTGAAAGTACATATATACTCAAGTTTATTCCATAATAATATTTGATTCCCCTAACAATGTTGTTGTTACTTGTTACTAGGACTGGTCCAACTAAATAGAATCGTTATAATTTGTTAAATAGAATACCATTAATTCGCGGGAAATCAAATATTTCGGAAACTACTTTAACAAAAAAAAATAATAATAATAAAGAAATGTGAGAGAAGAAAAAGGGAAAAACTCTGAAAACTTGCTTTATAATGTCATCATCACTGCGAGACCCAAAGATCTAAACAGTCTCCTCTCTCGGAGCTCTCTCTCTCTCTCTCTCTCTCATGGTGGCGGAGCTGATCTGTCTCTTTTACTGGTGATATATTCCGTTTTTCTTTTCTGTAGCTGTTCCAGTCGATGATGAGTGAAATCGATATCGGAACGACTCAGAGGATGACTGAGACACACCGCACGACTACGACGTTTCTTGATTTGCTCCGTCGTCAGATGAGCGGTCACGATCTCACCAGGAGGAAACGAACTCTTAAAGAACGGTTGCGATTCAAATGCATCGGCGGCTGCTGCGGTCCGACTTGGAGTCTCCCTCTTACTAACAACGCTGATCTCCAAAGCCCAAGCGACGAAATCGAAGAACAAATCGAAACCGGTCTCGTTCCAGAATCGGGTACGGGTATGAATCTCGCGACGGCGTTAGAGGCGGAGAGATATAACCGCGGAGAATCGACGGAAGCGGAGGTAAATATGACGCCGACGAGAGTTTCGCTGATGAGATTGCTTGAGGAGACGGCAGAGAGAGCCGCTGACGACGGCGGAAAGGAGACGGAGATATTAACGGCGTCAATGGGGACGTTAACGGGTAATGATTCGGTGTGCTGCGTGTGTATGGGAAGAAAGAAAGGTGCTGCGTTTATCCCATGTGGTCATACTTTTTGCAGAGTCTGCTCTAGAGAACTGTGGCTGAACCGTGGATCGTGTCCTCTTTGTAACCGTCCGATCATCGAGATCCTCGATATATTTTGAGAAGCGATCGGATCGGACGGCTAAAAGTCCTCGATTCACGTGATTAAGTGAGATGATCCCTAGGTATACGTTCCAAATTTTTAACTACGGTTTTGTGTACTTCGTACGTTTCTTTTGGTTGTGGAAGAAGATGATGTAAATGCTAAAAACAAAAAAAAAAATTGAAGAGGTTTCTGTTCACACGGCCCAGTTTATCTATATAAGCCCATTAATCGTATATTTTGCAGTGTGTTCAGAAACAGCCAGTAAAGACAATGTAAAGTAGTACGCTGCGGAAGCTCCTAGTCTTTTTTACGTTGATAGTAACATTTGCATAATTGCAGGACGCTTATTTTGAAGAGATAATAAAATATGCAAATTATTATCACTCAGATTACAACATAGATTATGATTTTTCTTTTAATTTGGATACAATTTAATATGATATTATCATGTTAGTATAGAATGAAACTATTAATTATCCTTTATACTATTTAGATTTAGTAATAAAAATTGTAAAAGTTAAATTAAATTTTGGATTTTTCTAGCCAAAGACAAAGAACCAAAGCAATACTCGCCTCACACCATCCGACGACGCGACGGTTAGAACGTCGATTCTCAGCCGTTGATCTTAAGTCATCACGTGGCAGAGCCGTAGGCGAATGTGCATGATCTTTGCGCAAAAGTCGATACTATCCCTCTAATTTTTGGTTGTGTAGTTGATAACAGGAGACCATTTACGTAATTTACGTTTTTCAGTGACAATATGTCTATAAATTAAGTACACGGCTCTTCATGTTCACTAGCTTCGAATTTGTAATTGAAGAAAAAAAATGGCGGCGATACAATTGTTCAACCAATTCCCCTGCAAAACCAGAGTCTCAACCTCATCGAAATCTAAATCCATCTCCAAGCCTCTGATTACGGTACCGATGAGCTCAATTATTCACCGTCCGGTGTTCTCCACCGGAGGAATTGCTGTTTCTCGTTCCGATTTCAGAGTCCGAGCCACGGATGCGGATGACGAATGGGGTACAGAGCCGGAGGCGAGAGGATCAGCTCTATCGGTTGCGGATGAAGCAATTGAATCCGTGGAGGAGACGGAGCGGCTAAAGAGATCGCTAGCGGATTCGTTGTACGGAATCGATAGAGGTTTGAACGCATCTAGCGAAACCAGAGCTGAAATCGGAGATTTAATCACACAGCTCGAGTCTAAGAACCCTACCCCAGCTCCGACGGATGCTCTCTTCCTTCTCAACGGCAAATGGATCCTCGCGTAAGTTTTTTTTTTTCCTTTTCCGGTGAATACTTTGTTCTGTAGATAGCGATTCTGGATTCAAAATTCTTCAAATTGCAATCGAGTCCTGCTCTTTAATTTGGTGAAATATCTATTTGCAGATATACATCGTTTGTGAATTTGTTCCCGTTGCTTTCACGAGGGATCTTGCCGTTAGTAAAAGTCGATGAGATCTCGCAAACCATTGATTCAGATAACTTCACGGTCCAGAACTCTGTTCGTTTCGCTGGTCCTCTAGGTACAAACTCGATTAGCACCAACGCAAAATTCGAAATCCGAAGCCCTAAACGTGTTCAGGTAATTGAACCATCCTCCACCTAACTAAGAACTGATATCTAATATCTTGAAAACGATTCAGTGAACGTTTTTGGAAATCATTTTTATTTGCAGATTAAGTTTGAGCAAGGCGTAATTGGGACACCTCAGCTAACGGATTCGATTGAAATACCGGAATACGTAGAGGTTCTTGGTCAAAAGATCGATCTTAACCCGATCAGAGGGTTACTTACATCGGTGCAAGACACAGCCTCGTCAGTAGCTAGAACCATATCGAGCCAACCACCATTGAAATTCTCTTTGCCAGGGGACAATGCGCAGTCGTGGCTCCTCACGACTTATCTAGACAAAGACATCCGGATCTCTAGAGGAGACGGTGGAAGCGTCTTTGTGCTTATCAAAGAAGGAAGCCCTCTCTTGAATCCTTGAAACCTGTCTATGTCTATCTCTTGTTCTTGTGTTAAGTGAGACAAATAAAATGTTCAATATATAGTGTTGTTGTAGGTTTACTACTTATTGATGATTACGAACTTAGTGTTATTAACGCAATACATACTGAAACAGAAGCAAAGCAGGCCCAGGTACAACAAAGTAGAAAGGCAAAAAGACTCAGATATAGATATGAGATTTATTTCAAAACATGAAAATTGCAAAACCACACAGACACACACAAAGTGACGATTGTTTTCTAATCATCTGCAATCACATGCTTTCCATTTGAGCACCTCTCTTTGAATCATAATCATGGCAGCACCAGCAGATCCCTTTACCACTGCCGACATTTAAGCATTCGCCTCCATGAAACTTGCTGTCCAATGCCCTGCATGGTTCATCGCAAGTAGAGCTCTTGGCCGCAGTACTACATAAACCCATTCGGTATTCACAAACTCCCCACCCTTCCACTTCTGTCCGATCCATTCATAGAGACCACATTTAGTAAACATGTATTTAAATATCAGATCTTGGAAATAAAGATTTTGGTTTTGCGTACCTGTAGGAGAAATGAGGAGGATGGAGAGACAAACGACTACTGCAGCAACAACTGTGCTCAACCTTAAGCTCCCCATTTAGTTGCTGATCTCTCTTAGTTCTTAGCTTCTTTTGTTTCTTTCTTTCTTTCTAGTTTGTTTTTCTCTCTCTCTCTCTTTCTATCTTTGTGATTGACTTATTTAGCTAAAAGGCGAAGTTTTAATTTATAGCACTGGCTAGGTAGTTGGGACTTGGGACTTGGGAGTTGGGAGAGAGCTCAATCAAACACGTCGCCTTCTTTAATTTTAATAATATACACTTGCCTGTTTGTAGCAAACTTGCAAAATAGACAATACTACTATTAAACTTTTAATCGTTGTTTGTATTGTTTTAATCAGTAGTTTGTATAATAGAACATGTGGAAGTGAAAACAATCACCAAAGATGTTGTATTATTTGATTTAGAGTTGTTAGTGGGAGTAGATAAACATAGATATTTAGAATATTTCGTTTGATTTCTTCTTTAGAAAACGTTAAAACACATCTTTTTTTTTTATAAGTCAACTTCAAAAATTGTTTTTGTTTTGCCAAAAACATGATTCTCGGAAACACATGTTTCACGATAGATGGTTATAAATTGTAACCACAACTTAATAATACATAGTCTACATGCTACTTACATATTTAAATATCATGTTTCTTAATTGCTCTCTTGCCAATGATCTTTTAAAAACTCAGATCTAGATCTCAGCTTCCGATCCATTTCGGCTTGTCTTTTTCATTTTCATGTTTATAAGTTTTGCATATTCATGCTTACAGCCAAAGATACGGATGCCGTTGTGTCATGTATTGCGTATTTGCGTTACGCTTACTTGTGAAATGTCTAAAATTGGTTCACTCTTTCATTGTTCCATATACCAGTTACTGTACTTCACGACTGTCATCTCATTTTCTTTTGAGGGACTCAGTCACTCGACTTGGTTCTATTTAGTATGGGGTGACTACTGATTAGCATAGTACTGAAGGTATGTTTTCTAGCATATGCCAACATATACAGTATATGGCAATGTTATGTTCTAAGTTTTATTATACGTCTTAAAAAGTTTTAATGCCATTTCTTTCTTTCAATAGGAAGAGTCATGGGAATCGCAATATCTGGAACTCGAACCTTGAATTTTTGGTGTATAACGTTTTAATGCCAATTTTTTTTTTTAATTCATTTTTAGATTTATGTAATGTTATTTTCTTTTTATCGTTTTAATGCCTATCTAAAAGCAGGTTATACAACAACAAAAAATTTGGAAATATAAAAAAGTCAACTAATCTGAAATTCTCCTCAAGTTAGCTAAAAAAAGGAAATAGCAAATATCCGAGAACCATCTAAGTCGTCCACGTGTCCCCTCGCTTATCTCTCTGTCTGAACCAAACCGCCTCCTTCAGTTAAAGGAAACCCTCAAATTTCGATCTCATTTAAATTCCAATATCCACGGAACATAAAATTACTTTCGAAACCCTAAAAAAGACGACGACGACGACGACGATGATGCTCAGGCAAGCTGCGAAGAAGGCTCTAGGGACTACGTCACGTCAATCAACGCCGTGGCCTGTTGGTATCTCCCGTTTCTACCACGAGAACGTCATCGACCACTACGATAACCCCCGCAACGTCGGCTCCTTCGATAAGAATGATCCCAGCGTTGGCACGGGACTCGTCGGAGCTCCTGCGTGCGGCGATGTTATGAAGCTTCAGATCAAGGTCGATGAGAAGACTGGTCAGATCGTTGATGCTCGCTTTAAGACCTTTGGTTGTGGTTCAGCTATCGCTTCTTCATCCGTCGGTATGTTTTGCCCCTCTATCCAATTCATATTGCCTTGTTTCGTGTTTTTTTTTCCGATCGAGGATTGAATTAGAAAGAATTTGATGATTTGAGATACGAATTTTTCAATTAGGGATTTTGATTAAATTTTTTCTTAAATTGAGGAATCAGGTTTCGAATTGATGGATTCATGTGGAGGCCGTGTTCAAATTAGGTTTCAAACTGACACATTAGTCTTCTTTTTTTTTTTTGTGAAATGAGACCACAATTAGCTAACGAGTGTTTTTAGAAATGATTCAATCGTGTGTTTGTAATAGTCCTAATGTCATTGAGAAAGATTTTGCCTTTTTGATCCGTCATCATATTCTGGCTTGTCTTCTATGTGGTCATTTCTGATTTCACTTTGAAACTTGCTGCTTAGTGCATTTCTGATCCTAGCGGGGGATATGTTGTTGTTATCTATAGTTGATTTGATTTATGTTTTCTTTCAGCTACTGAATGGGTGAAAGGCAAAGCTATGGAGGATGTCCTGACCATCAAGAACACGTAAGTACTGTTTATTTCTCTCTTACATAATCTGGCATTCATAGTTCCCAAGATATGGATGCCTTGTGTTCCTAAGTCACTGGACTTTGGATCTTGGTTTAACTTTTGGTTCCTGGTTACTGGTTAGTCATGTTTTACAGATATTATCATGTGTGATTCGTTGCATCATGCACATTCATGTTATCTAATCAGTTCACTCATTGATTGACGATTGATGATTATCTATTTGTTACTGGTTAGTGGTTAGTATGGTACATGACTTCTTTCTGTAATTTATTTTGCCAGCGAAATAGCGAAGCATCTTTCTCTCCCACCAGTCAAGCTCCATTGCAGTATGTTGGCGGAGGACGCCATCAAGGCAGCTGTGAAAGACTACAAGGAGAAGCGTGTGAAAACAAATGGTACAGCAGCAGCAGCTGGAGAAACCACGCAGGCTTGATTCCTTTTACTAATGTTTATACCATAATGTGTATATGATGGTGAAAACAGGGGAGAAGTAGAAGAGGATACATGCAAGCTATCATATGTAATGAAATGTTTTTTTTTTTTTTTAAGTAAGTTTCAGGTTTTAAGTATTTTGAATAAAACTCTGTTGACAAAAACCATCCAAGAATGAGCTTTTGCCCTCTAGTTTTCTACTTTCATATTGTGTTGTAATGGTTTCTTCTTCTTTTGGAGATGTATAACTTTTAAAGGCAAGACTATAATATTTCAGTTTTGGTGTTTTCTCATGTCCACATTAGAACTACCTCTTTGAAGCCGTTGCTATTTTTACTATCTACCGAGAAAATGGTTTTCTAAGACTTGAATTTGAAAGCCACTGTGTGTGTGTGATGTGAAGTCTTAAAAAAGCCTATTGTAAGACACAAGTTACACAACAATAACCCTGTTCATTTCAACTATCGGAGAGCCCGATTCTTTCCTTGGATATGATCTGTTTCAACTACTGGATCTGACTCTTCCTAGAAATAAAAAGGATCGGATAGCAAACTCAATCTCGGTCTAGTTCATACTTAGGCAACAACATGGTGAAGGAGCAAAGTAATCTAGTTCATACTTAGGCAACAACATGGTGAAGGAGCAAAGTAATCAGTGTGATTCTTTATGGGATCTCAAAGGACATTACTCCTATAACAGAGGGACAAACACGTCGGTCGATTAAAAAGTCTTTCCTCTTTGCCCTGTCTTTTCTCTTAAAGCTAACCATTTGATTGCTTCAAAAGCTAATATATATCAATCTAGAATATAAGTTCAATCTAGATGAATACTATACCGAAGATGACTACACGAATAGGGAAATATTTATATATCACCTTTCTTGTTCGCCTAGAATATGGTCCCGGTTTAGAATCTAATTCCATTTATCTCTCTCTCTCATTTTCTTCTGCTTCACTTACCCGCTAGTCAAATGTTAATAAGTGCACACAACATTCTCCTAGTATGTGGAGATTGAAGCATTAGCATGTCCTCTTAAATCTCTAAGTATATTCTCAATAGAGTTTATAAGTTGTTAATGGGGAGAGTTACATATTATGGACCCTCAAGGGCTTCTTAATATGCCACGTTTGATAATATAATTCTCTTACTCAACCTTTACCACTCTCTATCTTTTAGGGCCCCAACTTTCACATTTCATACCTTATCGCCAAAACATAAAATCAATCAATTTTGTATTTTTATTTATTTTGTTGTTTGCCTTATTGATTGTGTTGGATCCCTCTAAAAACAAAACTTGTGTCCCCCACAAAAACTTGCCCAATTTCACTTCAATCTTAACAAAAAGGACCACTACCACCACCACGTACGGTTTGCACCATACAAACCACACAAACTTCCCTCTTCCTTGCAATAATTACATCATCTACTAAAACCTCTCTCTCTCTCTCTCTCTCTCTCTCTCTCTCTCTCTCTCTCTCTCTCTCTCTCTCTCTCTCTCTCTCTCTCTCTCTCTCTCTCTCTCTCTCTCTCTCTTTCTTGTTCTTAGTGTTAACTTTTCTTTTGTTCAGGCCACAAATATAATGGAGCTCAAGTATTCAGCACCTCACTGCAACTTATCTTCAGACATGAAGCTCGGGCGTCTTCATCAGCATCGTGGCAAAGGGAGAGAAGAAGAGTACGATGCTTCTTCTCTCAGCTTGAACAATCTTTCAAAGCTTATTCTTCCTCCACTTGGTGTTGCAAGCTATAACCAGAATCACATCAGGTCTAGTGGATGGATCATCTCTCCCATGGACTCAAGATACAGGTACCATTCCTATCCATTTTATCTATGAAACAGAGAACCATATGATACTTGAAGAGAAAACACATCCTTTGTATCTCTTTTGTGTGACACAACAAAACAAAACGATCTTGCGTTTATTAGTTTCTCAGTGATATAAAAGGATGCCTGAATTAGTGATAATGCCATTAGCTATGAGCCTATGATATACCTCATTATGATCTTGTTTACCTTCAAGGAAAACGTAAAGAAGCTAACTATTGGATATTTTGATTATGTGTTTGTTCTGACTCAGGTGCTGGGAACTTTTTATGGTGCTTTTAGTTGCATACTCTGCATGGGTTTACCCTTTTGAAGTGGCATTTCTAAATTTCTCACCAAAGAGGAATCTTTCAATAGCGGACAACATCGTTGACTTGTTCTTCTCTGTTGACATTGTCTTGACGTTCTTCGTTGCTTACATAGACCAAAGAACACAGCTTCTTGTCCGTGAACCTAAACAGATTGCAGTGAGGTCAGTACATATTTTTTTGTTGTTGTTTCATATATGATCTTAGTTTTCACCTTTTTGATTTCACCTTTACTCCATAAAAGATGTGATAACTTTTATATTTTAAAAGTGGAAGAGACGACAAGGTTTTTAGGTGGACTACTGTGCCCACACCATGTGATTCTTTTATTTTCATCATCAGTTAGATAAATTTCTGTTTATGGAAAGAACATTAAGATTCCATTTATAATAATATTTGGTGAAAAGAAAGCTTTTTTAATAAATGTGTTAGTTATTTGGCTTAATGCTATTTTTAATATCTCAATTAAAGGTACCTTTCAACATGGTTCTTGATGGATGTTGCATCAACTATACCATTTGACGCAATCGGATACTTAATCACTGGCACAGCCAAGTTGAATCTCACTTTTAATCTCTTGGGATTACTTAGATTTTGGCGACTTCGACGCGTCAAACACCTCTTCACTAGGTACCAAAGTCCCCTATATGACTCCATGTCATGTACTCTCTGATCAAAATGTTGTTGAGAAAGTGACAAAACTATCATATTCTTTGTCTTGTTTCAGACTCGAGAAGGACATAAGATACAGCTATTTCTGGATTCGTTGCCTTCGACTTCTATCCGTGAGTGAAAGAACAATATCACATATGTTTAGATGTTGTAGTTGCAAAACATGATGAGGTTTTGAGTATTTTTTTTTACAGGTGACATTGTTTCTAGTGCATTGTGCTGGGTGCAGTTATTACCTAATAGCAGACAGGTATCCACACCAAGGAAAGACATGGACTGACGCAATCCCAAATTTCACAGAGACAAGTCTTTCCATCAGATACATTGCTGCTATATATTGGTCTATCACAACAATGACCACTGTGGGATATGGAGATCTCCATGCAAGCAACACTATTGAGATGGTTTTCATTACACTCTATATGTTATTCAATCTTGGCCTCACTGCTTACCTTATCGGTAACATGACTAATTTAGTCGTGGAAGGGACTCGTCGTACCATGGAATTTGTGAGTCTCATCAAAACTCTCACTCCAAGATTTGCTCTGTTCTGTTCTGTTTGTATTGTTTTCTTAAGGAAGCTTGTTGTTGCTGCAGAGGAATAGCATCCAAGCAGCGTCAAACTTTGTCAACAGAAACAGATTGCCTCCAAGACTAAAAGATCAGATACTGGCTTACATGTGTTTGAGGTTCAAAGCAGAGAGCTTGAACCAGCAACATCTTATTGATCAGCTCCCTAAATCTATCTACAAAAGCATTTCTCAACATCTTTTTCTTCCATCTGTTGAAAAAGTCTACCTCTTCAAAGGCGTCTCAAGAGAGATACTTCTTCTCCTCGTGAGTTAATTTGCTGACATGATTTGGTATATATACACCATATTAATTAATCATGAGTCTTGGCTGAACATGTGTATTGGTGTGATTAGGTTTCAAAAATGAAGGCTGAGTATATACCACCAAGAGAGGATGTGATTATGCAGAACGAAGCAGCAGACGATGTTTACATAATTGTGTCAGGAGAAGTTGAGATCATCGACTCGGAGATGGAGAGAGAGTCTGTGTTAGGCACTCTACGTTGTGGAGACATATTTGGTGAAGTTGGAGCACTTTGTTGCAGACCACAAAGCTACACTTTTCAAACTAGGTCTCTGTCTCAGCTTCTCCGGCTCAAAACATCTTTTCTTATCGAGACAATGCAGATTAAACAACAAGACAATGCCACAGTGCTTAAGAACTTCTTGCAGCATCACAAAAAGCTGAGTGATATAGACATTGGTGATCTAACGACACAACAAAATGGAGAACACAATGGTGTTGTCCCTCCGAACATTGCCTCAAATCTTATCACTGTTGTGACCACAGGCAATGCAGCTCTGCTTGATGAGCTTCTTAAGGCTAAGTTAAGCCCTGACATTACAGATTCCAAAGGAAAAACTCCATTGGTAATATTTTGCTTTCACTAAACACCATTTCAAAACCATACTCATCATCATCAGTCATTAATGGTATTTCTTATTTCAGCATATAGCAGCTTCAAGAGGATATGAAGATTGCGTTTTAGTACTCCTAAAGCACGGATGCAACATCCACATAAAAGGTAAAAATGTCATAGTCAAGAAGCGTTACACATCATACTCAAGAAACGTTATACTCCATGTCTTACGGATATGTAACTTAAACACAAGATTTTGAACTGTCTTGCAGATGTGAATGGTAACACGGCTCTATGGGAAGCAATCTCAACAAAGCATTATGCGATATTCAGAATCCTTTACCATTTCGCAGCCATATCTGACCCTCACATAGCTGGAGATCTTCTATGTGAAGCAGTGAAACAGAACAATGTAGAAGTAATAAAGGCTCTGTTAAAACAGGGGCTTAATGTCGACACAGAGGACCACAATGGCTTCACAGCTTTACAAGTCGCTATGGAGGAGAATCAAACATACATGGTGAATCTCCTAGCTATGAACGGTGCAGATGTAGTTGGTGTCAACACTCATGACGAGTACACACTAGTGGAGAAGAAGTTAAGAGTCGTGGAACAAGAAGAACGAGGAAGAGTGAGTATATACAGAGGACATCCATTGGAGAGGAGAGAACAAAGTTGTAATGAAGCTGGGAAACTTATTCTTCTTCCTCCTACACTTGATGACCTCAAGAAACTTGCAGGTAAATTACAAAACACAGACACAAGTTACGACGGTTTAGGTTCTGGTCTTGGACCGGTTGTGATTGGTTTTGGTTGATTAGGCTAACCGGGTTCGGTTGTTTGTTGTTTGTGTGGTGCATGTGCATGATAAAACAGGAGAGAAGTTTGGGTTTGATGGAAGTGAGACGACGATGGTGACGAATGAAGATGGAGCTGAGATTGACAGTATTGAAGTGATTAGAGATAATGACAAACTCTACTTCGTGGAAAACATAATGATTTAGAAATATTATTAACGAATTGAAAGTTTGAGATAAGAACGAGCGTGCAAAAAAAATTGTAATATTTTATATGCGTCCAATATTGAGTGAGATGTAACGTAACACATAGTTGAAGTAAGATTATACGTTCCATACACATATTGACAAAAGAAAAAGGAAAAAAAAAGAGTCGTGAATCTGAAATAACTATACAAAATAAATGAGTTCAAAATTTATTGAAAAAAACCTGATTTAAAACTTTTTCAACTAAGGTATAGTTTCTATCAAAAACATGAAAAAAGTAGACGTGACTGTCGTAGTATCAGTATCACATGCTATTGCTATGGTTTTCGAATTTAGCTAAATTATTGAGTTTTTATTTATTTTAGAAACCTATCTTTTTTATTTTGAGGTTGTACACGTTATTTTGTTTGCAAGGGAGAATTTTTATTTATTCTTTGGTACTGTGGAAACTACATAGTCGCTAAAAATTGAAGGAGAATGATCCACGCGACGTTCACGTGGATTAATAATTTTTATGATATTTCTTTGTCAAACGATGCGACTTTTTATTTATTTATTTTGCACCACTTGAAGTTTGGACATATACACTCCAAAGTCCAAACACAACCTTACAATTTCTAGTAATTCAACACTAATTTTATCCACAGTTATGATCATATGTGTATTTTATACAAATGAGCGAATGTGGAAGTGAAATAATTTTAAAAAATTAGATGAATAGATCATAAGATTAATAAAGTAACAAAGGAATCTAAATAGAAAATGCGTATACAGGTTTTGTTGAGCTGAATTGTATATAACTCTGAATTAAAATATAAAGTAATAAACGAATGTAAATAGAAAATGCATATACAGGTTTTGTTGAGCTGAATTGTATATAACTCTGAAATGAAATATAAAAATGTGAACTAATGATAAAGTAATGTCGAGATGAGTATAATGTGAAATGGCCAAATAACATTATTATTATTTTTGGTTAAAAAAGGGCCAAATAACATAGTACCAAAATAACATTCAAACGGCCATATCCTTTATATTTGTGATTAGTTATTGAAAAGTATATAATTCGTTGACTAAAAAATCCATGCATGTACATGCAGCTGTATATTAAGGACCTACAAAAGTTTATAATTGCATGAACCGTCGTCCACTCGTCGTCGTTAAAAATTTAGCTCGCTTAGCATTTTAATTTTTATCCATCGTGCAATTTAGATGTAATCGTGGAAGTTATATATAATACCATAAATTTTTTTTTTTTTTTTTAAAAATCGTGCAATTTAGTAATAAACTATAGTTATCATATTTGGAAAAGACAACACGGTTGAGCATACCAAACCTTTGTTACCTATAGTCATATATAATTGTACAACAAATTAAACTTGCATGTTCAAGTTAAAAGATGCTCCAAAGTCGTAACATGGGGGGGAAGTGTACGGTACGGATGGTGAAAACCTCAAATACCAAATCTATGTATTGTAATTTGTAACGTCGACGTTTGCGTTAGGGGGAGAGGGTGTTTACGACATTTTGCATCAGAAGAAGCAAAGACCCTACGGGACATTAGAGCATCTTTAATGGTATACTTGAAAGGATGCTTCTTAGTGTTGTTTTTGTATATTTATAATGAAATAGTGTTTTTTAAGAACCATACAAAAACAAGTAATTATAGGTTGAACCTTTAGGTTCTTATATTTTTAAGAATAAAATATTATAAAACATAATAATTATGTGTTAAATATATATTTTTTAAAAACTGTAAAGTTATATAAATTTACATACAACATATTATTTATTAGAAAATAAGAAATAGATAATACAAATAAATAAATAAATGTATGAAAAATAAAAAATTGACCTATCACAACTCGCCACGTCGCCTAAGACTCGCCCACCAAAACATTTTCGTTTCGAACCGAATGGACCTTGATTTTAGACTATTCGCATTATTTGGGCTTTTTATAATAGGCTAACATCCGAACGGATAGCCCGTTAAAGATGCCCTTAAATGAGACTTTGCGAGTGAGAGAGAGAGAGAGATAATGCTATCCGTCGTCTCCACATGGCCTTACATTATCTATGTCTTGTTTCCAGACACTAACCAACCACCAAATCTTTTTGCTTCTTTTGTTTTGTCTTCTTTTTAAAAAAAAAAAAATATATATATATATATATAGGTTTCAGATTTGGTGTTTTTTAAGATCTTGTAAAAATAGGTTTTCTTTTTATCTTGCATATTTTTATAATAATAAAAATATCTGAAGTGTAAATTGAGAAAAAAGAAACAGAAAAGACTGAAGATAAAAGAAAAGGAAAAATGGAGAGCCACAGGTGAAAAGTGGAACCGTAATGCTGGAGCAGAAAGAGCTAAACAATACGTTCAAAAAGCGTTTATTACGTGTGGGGTTGGTTCCCCCGTCTCATTCTTTAATGGGCCTCGTTTTGGCCCGTTTACACCCCCCTTCTTCTTCTTCTTCTTCTTCTCTAGCTCCTTTTTTTTAAAATCTATATATTTGTTTATTTGTTGGTGTCGTAAACATAACATAACTTGGCCAGGTTTGACAAATGGGAAGAAATTAAATAAAGAAACAAATAATTTAAGCAAAGACAAACCAAAAAAAAACATAACAGAACAAAGGAATAAAACTATTCGTGGTTGTAGAGAACATATATCAACTGTTTATGATAAGTTTCATTCATTCATTAGAAACTTCATTTTTTTAAATATCCAAAAGATGTAAACTCAATTTTTTAATATAAAACAAAGTATATACTATAGTGTAAATTATAGACTTTCTCATGTTTGATATATTCATTTTCTAGGTTCCGCCATCCTACGGTGATTATTTTTATCGTAATTAATAAAACCCACTTTACGAAACAATTTGACTATATTGTAAAAATATTAATCAAACAAAAGTCAAAACATTTGATTTTGTCGTTTTATATTTGGAAACGAAACGAGTTAAAAAGAGAGACTTCGGTGATCACAAGTATAAAGATTAGCCTGCGTGTACGTCGGTGACTTGGTGGTTGTACTTTTATATCCACAACAATTAAACAAAAAACTTCTTAAGTACTCTTTTTTTTTTTGGTTTAAGTAGAAACCCTTAACCCTTAAGTATGTGCTATATTATTCTCCATGAAATGCGGTAGAGAAAATGTGGTTTCGTTCGTTTAATCATTTTAGTCAAATTAAAGGTTTCAATCACATGATGGATAAATAATTTATACAGTTTTAAAGTTTTTGAAACTTGATATCACCAACATCACAATGACATCATACTATTTATTTATTTATTTTGAAAGTAAATAATTATGAAGACGAAAGTGTAAGATGAAATGACTTGTGGGTTGAGAGGGTAATGATACAACTGCAGAAGATTTTAAACATGTAAAAAGGGTCAACTTCGATTTTTAGAGTTTTTATTATTATTCTTGCAATCAATAAAGTTTTAACATCACTTTTTTGCTATTTTCTAGGGAAACATTCACCAAGAAATCGAAATTTTTTTTATCAAGTTCCGAGAAGACTCCATGAATTCATATTTGAGTGGAGTTTATATTCACCATCTCATTTCTATGCCTCCCACCTATACAATAATATGAGAATTGATAACTAAAATATAGTAGTATATATTTGCTTTTGTTTTTTTTCTCGAAAAACATATATTTGTAAAAAGTGTAAGCCTTGCCTATTTATAGAATAAGTATGCTAGAAGAGTCTTCTAACATGGAGTTGGTTTATTATGATTAAGAATTTTGGCGTTTTACATCATAATTAAGACCTATAATTTGGGTTTAGCCTTTGTCCCTTGAAATATAGAAAACGATTCATTCCCTATTTAATTTTATACTAGTAATAGTAGTATTTTGCTTTAAAAAATCAAGTTTGGTGAGGAGAGTTAATGAGTTGGGTGGTATATAGAAGAAGAAGAAGAGAACAAGACACATAAGGCTTTCTTCTACTTTAGGCTGTTGAAGATTTTTTTCTTTTATTAACGTACAAATGTGTAATGATGTTACTGTTCCTGTGTTAACACAAAAACTAGTAGATATCTACAACTGTTGCATTTGCATATGATCAGTCCTAAAACTTGACTAATCACATTGTGTCATCAAAAGGGTAAAAATGAATTTAGAGTTAAATGTCCACGTCTAAAGTAATAAATAAAACTAAATGTTTGATTTGTCCAAAAAAAAAAAAAAAAAACTAAATGCTTGATTACAGAGATATTTTTCCAATCACAAGCAACAAAACAACCCAAAATATTTATTATTCTAATACTATAAATAAAACTATTAATTTTTTTTTTTTTAACGCTGACTATTAATTATTATGAAGCTAATAAAAAAGGAAATAAAAAATAAATAAATATGGTACATAATATTGCGTAATTAATGTACTGGTCTGCAAAAAATATACATATATGGTCTACACTACACCTGCTTCGCTCTCTCTCTCTCTAACATTCCATTAATTTATTATCTTCTTCAACCTTCCAAGTTCCAAAGTCTCTCTCTTTCTCTGCAACAATGGATAGTCCGACGAGCATACGTAGTAAACCACCACCGGAGACTCTTTCTCCTTGCGGTAGCCAACGTCGGAGAAGCAGCTGCGACTCTAACCCACCTGAGTTCGAGTTCTGGCGTCTATCCAACAACTCTTCGTTTCCTCAACCCGACTCAGATCTCCTCTCCGCCGACGAGCTTTTCCACGACGGCGTTCTTTTACCTCTTCATCTCCTCTCCGTCAAATCAGAGCTTCCAGCCGACCCGAATATCCCGGAATGCGACCCGGATCCATCTCCTTCTCCCGCTGCTTTGATTACAGAGCAAAAAACAGAGCTTGAACCCGGTTTAGGATCCGAGTTGACCCGAGAGACTACGGTTTCGAAGCGGTGGAGAGATATTTTCAGGAAGAGCGAAACCAAACCGCCGGGGAAGAAAGAGAAGGTGAAGGAGAGTAAGAAGAAGGACAAGAAAATCGGGTCGGGTCCTGGTTCGGGTTCTGGAGCGGAGCTGAACATCAACATTTGGCCGTTTTCAAGAAGTAGATCCGCTGGGAACAACGTGACCCGGCCGAGAATGTCTTTCGGAGCTCCGACGACCCGGAAAGTCAGCAGCGCCCCGTGCTCACGTAGCAACTCCACCGGAGAATCTAAGTCGAGGAAGTGGCCGAGTAGTCCAGGTCGTAACGGTGTGCATCTTGGACGGAGCAGCCCGGTTTGGCAAGTCCGTCGTGGAGGTGGAGGAGCTCCGGCTGGGAAAACGGTACCCGAACCGATGGGTCGGGCTGTGGGCAAAAGGGAGGTTCCCGAGACACGTAGGGGTAAAACGGTAATTGAGAGCAATAACAATAAAGCAAAAGTGTTGAACTTGAACGTGCCTATGTGCATCGGTTATCGGAGCCGGTTAAGCTGCAGAACCGACGAGAGTGGTGGTAATAGTAACAACATTGGGAGTGACAACAACGATAGTAATAACAACGCCAATCCTATGAATCCTAATCCTAATCCTAATGGTTTATTTGGCTTTCGTAATCTCTTCGTTAAGAAAGTTTATTGACCTTTTATTTGTTTTGGCTTTTGTATGATATTATACTAGTAGTAAATTAGTAATCTTTTGTAAAAGTGTTCATTTTATCAAAAAGACCCTCTTATTATATAGTCCCGAGGGTCCATTTATATTGTTCTTAATCCCTTTGTTGCTACTTTTGCTGTTTAGTACGATGTGTGTGTGTGGATTCAGGCAGATTGATTATATAATTATATCATGTAAATTAGAACTCGATCGCTTTTTAATATTATCATGGGTTGGTTTCATGTTGACGTAATCTAAGGTTTTTTTATCTATAAGATTGTTTTCTCATTGTTTTTAACTTGCTTTTTAAAAGTAGCTTCGAATAATATATCTTTGGAGAGGTTTCACAACAAATCTTCCAAGGTGGTAATAATGCTTCTGAAAATGTTGGAATATATAGGTCCTCTTTTTGTTTTCAACCAAGTAAATTCATAGACAAAACTTGTAGTCACAAAAACAGGAGTCAGAAGATGTTCTCAAGGTTGAGGACCTAGCACTGGAATCTGTTCCTTCTTGGTCTACAAGGTTTATTCATGGGTTTTAAGAAAATATGACCAAGCTTTAATATTGGATTCTAGACATTGCTATGCTCTTTAATAAAATTTCATTGGTAGTCATGAGAATAACATAGGTGATGTCTTTAAATTCAGTCTCATGACAGAGAAGGTGGAGCCACTGCATACATAACTGATTGTTCCTCAGTTAAGTGCTCGGAAGGTTCTTACCAAGTTCCACATATACATGATCGAGTTGCGATTCTTCTTGTATAGTCTATCGTATCTCTAATCTCTTTAGTTTTGCGCTTTGCAAGTTGCGATTTTGACAAAGTAAGTTGTATAAAGGAAACATTTTAAAACAACCAAAATTGTTCCTTCTAAGAAAAACATATATAATATAGCCAAGACCATATTTTCTAGCCTAAAAAATCAATCATGAGTTAGAGAAAAAAAAAACAACCATCAAGGTCTAGAGAGTTGAAAGGATGAACAATCATGCTTGTGCAGTTGCTCCATAGCATAACAAGAGAACAACATCATTTAAGCGTGAAACTAGGTACGAACCACTGAGCTCTATATAATTGAAATGAAGAATTACCAAATGTGTGCAGCGGGCTCCGTCTTCTATGTCTCAAGATTGAAGGTAAACATACAACGAATCCATCAATGTCATTGGCGAGCACAGTGATGCCTTGATCCAAAAGAATCGACTCATCTCTCAGAGAATGTATCCGACGTTGTGGTTTCTTTTGTAGGTCTGATGAATGAACCTCAAAAACCCTGAAGGACCAGTTTCTAGAACCCATTACCCACATTTGTTCAACCTTGAGGATTTTTCCTGTCAATGTGACTACAAGTCTTGTGATACTACTGTACCATTCCCTAGGTGGTGGACGAGGCTGACATTTGTCCACAGAGACCATCCACTGAAAGGTTTGTTGTGGAATCTCTCCAGACAAATCAAAGATTTTGAAGACATCATTTTTGCTAAGGAAGTAAAGCTTGTGATCCCTGTAAACCATGTCGAAACAACCTAAAGTTTCCGGAATCTTGTTCCACAAGGTATCTCCTTTCTTGGAATAAACCACACACCATCTTCCAAATCCCCATATAACAACGTAATCTTTGGTTTTCTCGTCAATCCAAAACACAGGGGACCGTACATTCCTACCTTGGTATATCATTTTTTGCCTACCTGTAGTGTGTAACTCATAATCTTCCCATAATAACTTCACGGGAGGTAGATTGATCCTCTCGTGGGTAAAGAGGTTCACAATGTACATCTCATTTAGAGTATATTTTTTCATAAGGAGCCAGCTTCCATAGGTTGCCTTACATACACTCTTTGCAAACTCAACACCAAGATCTTGCGTTTTGTAATGTTTGTATTTCTCATCAAGATTGAACAACGTACATGAATAGTTGTTGTTGTTGTTGTTGTTGTTGACTTCAGGGAAGAGAATCAGCCAGTGGATCTGATTTCTGGGCACGGATTGTCTCGAAGCAGAGTGCCAAGACGAACACACCGATTTAGCTCTTTGAAAATTAGCAAAGCTAAGGCGTTCAAACACCGAGTTCAAGAGGTCTAGAGGAAGCTCCGACCAGGAATGGGATATATGAGGTTTAGTGTTTCGTTTCTTCTCCATAGTAATAAAATGGAGAAACAGGGGAATGGTAAAATGGAGAAACAGGGGAAATCTAGGAAACTATATTATATAGTCTAAAAACGAATGACTTGGTTTGCCTTTATCTTAAAGTTTAAAATCCTTGTGATAATAATAGGGTTAAATTTGACTATATCTCAATTTTAAATTAATTACGAATGTTAACTATATTATATCTAGAGATTAGAGAGAGATACACGTTGATTTGGTTAGTTCTACGTAATTAATTAGTTGTCCTTTTTTGCATACTAAAGATTTTATGACTCTGCAGGAATACAAATATACAAAGATCCTTTGCTCTAATATAAAAGTGCTATACTTTGAATATATTGCGAGCCATTGGATCAGAGTCCAAAGATCGCTCTCCAAATTGTGCTTTGATGAAAGTTTAAATTTAAAACTAGCACGTCATTAATATATATTAACAGTGTAACCAAACATATTGACTAGCTAAAAACCGAAAAAAAAATAAAAAGAAGAAAGAAACAACATAATGGAAGAGTTAAAACATTGCTAAGATCAATCACTTGTGAGTGAAACTTGGTAAGAACCACCGAGCTCTAGAGAGTTGAAGGGGAGAACAATCAAGTTTGTGCAGTAGCTCCATCTTCTGCGTCTCAAGATTGAAGAGACATACATTAGTCGTCTTTCTTTCATGACTAAAACCGAAATAGATGGAGTTTTTATTGAATCCCTCAATGTCACTGGCGGGCACAGTAATGCCAAGATCCAAAAGCATTGCCTCGTCACCCAAAGAATCAACTATTTCACAATGACCATAGAATTCTGATGAAGGAATCTTGTAAACTCGGAAGGACCAGTATCTTGAGCCAGGTCTCCACAATTTTTCAACCTTGAGGACTTTTCTTGTTACTGTGACTACAAGTTTTGTCTCAGTGACGTACCAACACCATAAGTTATTTGATTGAACAGGGCAAGAACCTAGTATACAGAAGCTTACCACCTTGAAAGTTTTGTTTTCCATCCCTCCAGAAAAATCTAAGACTCGCAAATTATCCTTGTTGCTTAGGAAGTAAAGCTTGTGATCCTTGTAGACCATGTCACAGCAATCAAAAGTTTTGGGAATTTGATTCCACGAGGTATCTCCTTTCTTGGCAGAAACCACACACCCATCTTCAATAGCCCACACTACTACATAATCTTTAGATTCCTCGTCAATCCAAAACACAGGGGATATTATACTCATAGCTTCGTACGGGCTTACGTAGTCATGGTGTGAAAAGCGAAACCAATCATTAATGGTTCTTTCAACCTTTACCATACCAAGTTGTGACTCCACAGGAGGAAGATTGATCCTCCCGCCGGTGAAGAGGTTCAAGATGTATAGATGATACTTTGGATCTTGCATAAGAAGCCAACTCCCATAGGTTGCAATACAAACACTCTGCGCAAACTCAACACCATGATCTTGTGTTTTGTACAGTTTGTCTTTCTCCTGGGGATTGAACAACAACGTGCATGAAGAGCTGTTGTTGTTGTTTTTGTCTTTGGGGAAGAGAATCAACCAAGGGTAGATCTGTTTTTTGGGCACGGATTGTCTCGAAGCAGAGTACCAAGACGAACACACGGACTTAGCTCGTTGAAAATTAACAAAGCTGAGTCGTTCGAAAACTGATGTCAAGAGATCTAGAGGAAGCTCAGACCAGGTTTTAGGGTTACGGTTCTTCTCCATTGTGTAAATAGTGAGAGAAGCGGAAGCAATCTCTATTAATATTTTACAAACCAAAACGATTGATGAATGAATAAATATACATTATGGTCTCTACTCTTTACCATAATGCAACCTACCACTATGTAATTTCAGAATTCATAGTCCTAGAATAAACTGGGCTGATGAGGCCCATAGAAAAGATTACCTCAATCCTAGTATAGGTTGGAGTTAGACGGGTCTGGGTTATATATAGACAAATACGGAACATAGAGAAAACAACATTCGTGTTGACAAAGAAAATACAAAACAAAACAAAACAAAAACAGACAAAACAACATTCGATCATAATAATGGAGAATAAACATAACCCTAATTGTCACGAATGTCTCAGAGGAGATGCATCAAGTTGCTGGTCGGATCTTCCTCAAGATCTCTTGATTTCAGTGTTGGAACGCCTTGGCTTTACTGATTTCCAACGAGCTAAATCCGTATGCTCTTCTTGGTACGCTGCTTCCAGAAACGTCCTATCCAAAAACAATCAGATCCCTTGGCTGATTCTCTTCCCGGAAGACAATAACAACAACAGTTCATCATGCACGTTGTTCAATCCCGAGGAAAAACACAAACTCTACAAAACGGATGATCTTGGCGTTAAATTCCCCAAGAGTGTGTGTATAGCAACCTATGGAAGCTGGCTCCTTATGCAAGATCCACGGTATAATCTCTACCTTTTGAATCTTTTTACCCACGAAAGGATTGATCTGCCACCTGTGGAGTCACAACTTGGAACAATAAAGGTCGAGCGAGTTTTAGATAATTGGTTTCTCGCTTCTGACGATCACTACACAAGCAAGGTCAAAGGTATTACTATGCGATCCCCTGTGATTTGGATTGACGAGAAAACCAAAGATTATGTTGTTCTTTGGGGTCTTTGGAATTGTAGTGTGGTTTATGCCAAGAAGGGAGATACCTCGTGGAATCAAGTTCCGGAAATATCAAGTTGTCTTCACATGGTTTACAAGGATCACAAGCTTTACTTCTCTAGCAGCAAAAATATTTTCACAATCTTTGATTTTTCTGGAGAGATTCCTCAACAAACCTTTCAATGTGTTATGCAGCTGTTTAGATTTGTGTTAGGTCATCGTAGACGTAGTGCCCGACCAAGTAATGAATGGTTCGTTGATGAGACAAAACTGGTAGTCACCGTAGCAGGAGATGTCTTCAAGGTTCAAAGAATGATAAGGCCTAGGTCTGGAATCATCTCATTCCGCGTCTACAAAGTTTATTCATCATTAGGGATCCCCAAATATGAACCAGTTGATTCTTTGGGCGATGAGGCAATGCTTCTGGATCTAGGTGTCACTGTACTCGTCAATGAAGTCGACGGACTCCATAGAAACTCCATCTATTTCAGTGGTAGCCATGGAAAGAAAAAGAAGGATATCTTTATCTTCAATTTGGAGACACGAAAGATGAAGTCGCTGCAAAAATTGGATTGTTCGTCAGTTCAACTCTCTAGAGCTCGATGGTTCTTACCAAGTTTCACGCCTACGTGATTATTCTCAACTATTACGTTTTTCTCTTCGATATGTTCTTCAGTTTGGTTGTTGTTTTAATCAAATATTTTGCCTTACTCTAGTTAATGATCATTGCGTGCTAGTTTTTTTTTTTTTTAAAGTCAAAAGTGAAGTATACGCAAAGGATAACAATACAAACTCAAACTAGCAAATGTTTACAAAATGATATTCTTACATGAGCTTATGTTTTGTTGGGATAGAAGAAAAAGCTCTTTTGGAGACTCTGGAACTCCTCCAAGTTCAAAGAAATATTATGTTTCTATAAACTTCCTATGGTAGCTCAAGAACCGAACAAGACATGAGCAAGAAAAAAGAATCCAGTCCATTTAGTGGAGGAACTCATGTGAGGTACCTAAAATTAATACAAAATATAATTATATATATATATATATATATATATATATATATATATTTTCTCATAAGCCAATTATATACTGCCACATACTACCACCCGTTGTGTTACAATTGGGACCTACTCAATGTTTTATTATTTAATTTGGGCTCATATCAAATATAAGTACCCTGATAAAAAGCTCGAGTGGAGCTGCCCTTAACCCCTTGAGGAGTCTTTTCACATACAGTTTATAACATTTATAGAGAACTCTTTAATTTGACCCCTTGAAGAGTTTGGTTGACCAAGATGGGTGGTTGAAGATGATTATAAACAAGAGATTGTATTTTTGTTTATTTTATTTTTATGTGTCTTTAATTAATGGTAGACTTTTAACTTGTGGTTTTTAGGGGAAAACTATTAATTTAAAAATAAAATGAAATTAAACTTAACTATTCAAAAATACCTTTATTCAAATACCACTATTCAAAAATACCAATTTTCAAACTTTATAAAAACCAATAAAAATGTTGAAAATGTTAAGATCGAATCCACCAAAAATGATCACTCCATTTTCGTCATCTAGTGGGTTGTGATATTTTAACCCTAACGGAGCAAATGTGTTGTTGAATCAGGCCATGTCTTCGCATGTTCTCCCTATAGTATAGCATATAAAAACATTTATCAGTGCTCGGAGTAAGACAATTTTTCAAATGATACAGCTAGTTGTAAAAAAATACAAAGAATAAAACAGATACTTTACCAAAGAGGGACTGAACGTTTCATAGAATGCTCTTGGAATCCCAGCCCAAGAATACCATCCAAACCATCATGATGATCGCATCAATCTGGGGATCAGAAACCACAAAGGGGACAACGATCACTATAAAACTAAGAAGATGAAACCTGCAGAACAGTCAATTACCACAGTAGATGTGCTTTCAAGCTCAAGTGATGTGGCTTATTAAGGCGAAATAGGAATTGGAACACCAGAGAGATTTTTCCAAGTCCTTTTCGATACATGAAATTCTGATATTTGGGACCCGATGTAAATAGGCTATTCTTAGTCATGCGACATGTATCCAGCAAGTCATCAATCTATGCAGAGCACGATACATTTTCCTACTCATGTGTTTTCTATTTTAAATATCCCATAATCTAATTAAAATTCTTCCAGGAGAACATGTAACATATAATATACAAATATGTTACATGTTACATGTAAACATGTTATCCTGTAAGAATTTTAATTAGATTATAGGATATTTAAAATGGACAACAGTAGCATAAAAGTACTGAACTCCCATAGTTAGCTGACAAAAAAAAATAAAAATACAGAGAGATCAAGATGCGTTCAGTATGGACAACTTTATGCAGATATATTTTACTATTTAAATTAACATTTCATGCTTACTATATGACTTACCCAATTCATACTTAATTTGAAGAACATGAACAACGTATTGTGAAATTGTTTAAGAAGATAATCAAGCTGGTGATCCTTGTAAAACATGTGATGACAATATGGCTTGTGATTCTTGTAAACCATGTGATGAAGTTTAGGAATCTGATTCCACGAGATATCTCTCTTCCTTGGAAATAAACCACACACCAACTTCCACGTCCCCCTAGAACTTAATTACATAATCTTTGGTTTTCTCCTCATTCGAAAAATCATTGGAATTAGAAGAAAGGGGACTGGTTACTGAAGAACTCAGCTTACTTTGGATTTTGTATTTGTAAAAAGTATTCATTAAAGGTTGAACAAAAGAGTAAAGAACTATCCTTTCTCCTACACATAAGACTATACAAGAAGACGCACACAAACACAAACACAAACACAGGCTTAAGACAGTTTCTGTTGAGTTATTCTTCAGACGTTGACTTCTTTGACTTTGAATTCCAACAAGAAATCAAAATTTAAGTTGGAGTAATCCCAACAGAGCTAAAACTTTTCCTGCATTGCATTACAGAGCATTTGTTATTAGAGATTTGTTAATGTCTTCTCTAATTCGACTTTTAACAGTGAAGGGGTGTTTTGAGGTTAAACGATCTATCTTGTGGAGGAAGGCTCGTGTTCTTCAGCTCCTTCTGATCTCTTTCTCTTCCTCCTTGCCGGAGGCCTCTTTTGTTCTCCGACGAGTAACGACGCCGCCGCTTGCAAATGAGTCTGAAGCACCATCTGAGTCAACTCTACTTCCATTTCCAACCTTCTCTTCTCAGCTTCCAACCTAGCTGCTTCACGAGCCTTGATCATCTCCATCTCCGCCAATTCCCTTCGAAGCATAGAATCAGACAAGACCCTTATGATCGCCGCGAGTCCCGTCGAGTCAGAGCTCATGTTCGACTCTGTCCCGGAATCTAAGCTTGAGTTTGACTCAGTCACTGAGTCTGAGCTATGAGTCCCCGACAAGTCACCGTCGGTCGTTTTATCCTCAGACGTTGTAGAGGTTTGGCTCCGGCAGGGTCTTGCCGACTTGCTCATGATGAAGTGTGAGTGATCAGTTTGAGCAAGAGACGACAGTGGAACATGGGGTGGTGTTGATTCTTTCAACTTTATAAAACTGATTAGACTAAAGTGGTTCCACTTTCGATTTAAAACAAAATCTTTTTTTTTTCTCCTTTCACTTTACTACTTTAGTGGGTTGTCTTACGAATGTTGTTGTTCATAGATTCATTAATTCCATTATATTCGCTATAAAAGATTATTCGTTAATAATAATACAAAGATTCCTCCGTCAGATCCCATTTTCTCAGACAAATTATGTGAACAAAAAAAGAATTAGTAAATAATTAGTAACTAATCCTCTAAAAACACACGCGCACAAGTCAATTAACAAAGGCACGACGAGTCATGAAGTGGATTCCACGCGCTTAGTTAGCGTAGTTTTGCATAGTTAGCTCGATTTCCTAATTGCTAAATATATATTACTCTCTCTCAAATTCGTATTTTCTTTTTTCCGATCAAAGCATCGGAGATATGGCGTCTAAGGACAAGAAACCGTCGAAGCCAGCGACTGGTCGGACTGGTGGTATCCGTACGCTTTCCGATCTGAACCGACGATCAGGACCTGATTCCGACAGTGATTCCGATGGACCTCAGGAGTATTACACCGGTGGTGAGAAAAGGTCGGTGCTTTTAAACCCTTAAGTTTGAAGAAGATTTTAGATTTTCCGGTGATTTATTTGGTTTTTCAGTATGTTGTGCTTTTTCTTTGGATCCTATGGTTCACTGAATTAGATATGAACGCGATTATTTGAGCTTTTTGGTTACAAAAATGTTTGTTATGATTCAACTATATAATGGTTTTATCCAATTAGTGTTTAATAAAATTATACTTCTTAGCTTTGTGTAGTTTAGATGGTTGCAAGCTTTCTAGGAGTTTAGTAATTAGTGATTTACAAGAGACTCGAAGCTTAGGCTTGTGTTTAAACTCTGTGTTCAATTAAGGATTAGTAAAAAATTGGTAAAATGTTGAAACTGGATCTTTCTTTGTTTAAGGTATACTTGTTCAGAATCTTTCAAAACTTGATATGTTTTGTTTTATGTGTTTGCAGTGGTATGCTTGTTCAGGATCCTTCAAAAGAATCGAAACATGATGACGTTGATGAGATATTCAATCAAGCAAGGCAACTAGGAGCTGTGGAAGGACCTCTTGAGCGTCCTTCAAGTTCTAGAAGCTTTACTGGAACCGGGAGATTGCTTTCTGGAGATAGTGTGCCAACCGCTCTTCAACAGCCCGAACCTGTGGTTCACAATATTGTTTTCTGGTCTAACGGATTCACTGTAGATGATGGACCTTTGAGGAAGTTGGATGATCCAGAGAATGCTTCTTTTCTTGATGTAAGTGTGCTTTTGTCTGGTTAATGCTTACAGTTTAGCTACTGAATTCCCATGTTAAAAACACTTTAGTTTTTATTTGGTTTTGAAATGATTGTTTTTTGTTATTGCAGAGCATTCGAAAATCTGAATGCCCAAAGGAGCTTGAGCCTGCTGATAAAAGAGCTCCGGTACATGTCAATCTAATGAGAAGAGACGAGAAATGCCCCGTGAGACCTCTTTGCTCTCTCCTTTTTGAAAGACAGTTAAAAACCAATTTATGAAAATAGTGTTTGGTTTGGTGTTTAGCATTTAGCCTTTTAGGATGTTTAATCCAAGTTATTTCAGTTCATGATTGATAAAAAACCAAAGTACAATCTGATATATATTAGGACTGGATCAGTTTATATGGATATAACTCTCCATACTTGGTATTGAGACACAGTAACTGCTATGGTACACCGACACTGAAACAATTTTTTTTTTTTTGTAGGAACAAGAGAAACTTACGGTTGCATTTCAAGGAGTCGGAAGGACTTTAGGTGGTGCCAGCTCATCAACAGCTTCAAGCCTAGAAAACCTAACCGATGTAGCAGCTGTTCCAACACCGTCACAAAGCTTTGTAGTAGATGAAACTCTTCCATCCACATCAATCCAGCTTAGACTCGCAGACGGAACACGCCTGGTGGCTAAGTTCAACAACCATCACACGGTCAATGACATTCGTGTGTACATTGAGTCTTCTCGACCAGGGAATCCAATCAATTACACCCTTCAGGTCATGGGGTTCCCACCAAAGCCACTCACTGACCCTTCTCAGACCATTGATCAAGCCGGCCTTGCAAATTCTGTTGTCATTCAGAAACTCTAGAAAAGTCTCGTTTCTTTTTTCTTCTTATACTCATATACATTAGAGAGAGATTTCAAAAACTTGGTATTTGTACTGAAAAATATCCCCAAAAAAAAAGAAAATGTTTAATCGGCTTATTGTGGCAAGAGAAGAAGAAAAAACACATCATATGGTATGTTTTATTGGTTTGAATATGTGTTCTCACTTACATACTTGTTACATATATCATTATTGAGATACATAAGAGTGGCAAAAGAAGAAATAAAAACACATCATATGGTCTCTATGTTTGTTTGGTTTGAATATACAGTATGCGTTCTCACTTTCATACTTGTTACATATACAAGAGTGGAAAGTTTTACTTTAACTTTAGGTAAGTTCTAACCTTTTTCAAATCTCACAAGAAATAATGTTTCAATCTTAAACAATTAGTATGTGACAGTTTGGTACATAATTGAACTTTTTAATTAAATTATCATGTTATTGGTGTGCCAAACTGGCTGTTTTTGGACGTACGTACATCCATGATTCATATAGTTTCCATTCACTAATGTTTAGTGAAATTTTATTTAAGCCGAAAGATTAAAACACGCGTGGTAGTGTGGTACCATTCTCGATTTATATATAAAACATTGATCTTGTCAGTATGGCTCTAACAACATGATAACATAAACAAACAAGAAACATTTAGATGAACCATGAAAATTTTGTACGTTTTTCACCGATGATGAGTTCATCTTTCGAATATCTCAATAATTTCAAAACGGCAGTAAAATTTTGAAAATCAGGCTACTTTTTCCCCAATTTATGGTAAAAACGTCTGACGTAGGAAAAAGTAAAAATAATTCCAAATTTGTTACGAAGAAAATAAAAAATAAAAACGAAAAAGGGCAGAAAAATAAATTGGGCTTGGCAACAGTAAAACTCCTCAAATATGCAAATGACTCATCTTCTTCACCTGGAGAGAATCTAGGGTTCCAGATTTACTCCTTCGTCTTCCTCTCTTCTTCCCCACTAGGATTTCCCTTTTTCTTTCTTCTCCTTCTTCCTCTACCCATCGATCTATACATCCTGATCTTTTTGAAAGGCCCAATCTTTGTACATTTCGGGAACCAAAAAAAAATCCTACCTTTTTTTATTCCGGCTCACTTTGAAAAACCCTAGCTTTGCTTCCATGGCGAAAACTCGACCTGGTGTTGCCTCGAAAATTAAGCCGGGGAGGAAGGAGCTGGACTCTTATACCATCAAGGGCACCAACAAAGTTGTGCGAGGTAGTCTCGTGTTATCTCTATATCGTCATTTGTGAAATTTAGACATTTTCTGCATCTTTTTGGGCATTTTAGGGTCGAATTATATGTCTTCAAAGGAAGGGATTGCTTGAGAGCTTAGATATGGAGTCTGTGTCGTTCAATGTCTGCTTTTGTGTTTTAGATTTATCCTTGTTTTTGGTCCTTTTGTTCAGGTGTGTGTAGCTGTTAGCTGTGTATGTCATTGCTCTGTAGATAGGCTTTGGATGTGTTTGGTTTATGCTGTGACGCAAAATGTGACATTTGGTAGCTCGCGTTGTTGTTAAAACGATGTTACATTTCAGAGAATTGTGTTGATTTGGGCTTTTAATCTGTAAATTTCCTTACTTTTGATGGTTTCTATAAAAGAAGTTTGTGTTTCGCTGCTTGAATATTAATCGTAGATCCTTTCTTTTGTTTGGTTTGGTACTTAGAGCCATTGCATCTCTATCATCTGCATTGTAGCTCTTTATGTTTCTTAACGCAAAAATGTGTGCTTTCACATGTGAAATGTCTGCATATACCTAGACTTCTGTTCATTCTTTTAGATGCATAAGAGTTATGGTCTAGGCATTTTTCGTAGAAGGGAGTGATCTTTAAAAGCTTCAATGTTGAAAATCTCTGCTTTTAAAATTGCAACCTATACTTTGTTTATTTAATGTTTATACCTTTTGTAGATGAAATAATGCTAGTTAGCTGTGTAGTATAAAAATTTCGCAAGATTCATAACAATTCACTTATGTTGAGCATGTGAGATGAGCTAAACTTGGAGGTTGTTTTCTGCAGTGGGAGATTGTGTGTTGATGCGCCCATCAGATGCTGGTAAACCACCATATGTGGCCCGTGTCGAGAAGATTGAAGCTGATGCCAGAAACAACGTGAAGGTGCACTGTCGATGGTATTACCGTCCTGAGGAGTCCCTTGGTGGTAGGAGACAATTCCATGGAGCCAAAGAGCTTTTCTTGTCTGACCATTTTGATGTTCAAAGTGCACACACCATTGAGGGAAAATGCATTGTTCACACCTTCAAAAACTACACAAGGCTTGAAAACGTTGGGGCGGAGGACTATTATTGTAGATTCGAGTACAAGGCTGCTACTGGGGCATTTACACCTGATCGAGTTGCTGTGTAAGTGGATAAAATGTTTTCAATTTAGAAATACCTCTTCATACCTGGAATTCCCATGATTTTTATAATGTTGTGGATTGTCTTTGCTTCTGAAGGTACTGCAAATGTGAAATGCCGTATAATCCAGATGATCTCATGGTGCAATGTGAAGGCTGCAAAGACTGGTAAATGTTGATGTTTGTATTTTTACTAACTTCATGAAATCAGTTTCAATAGAAAAGAGATTTCAATTTCTGTTTTAACACTTACGTATTCTTTTCCACATATTATTGATATAAAGCATTGCAATTTGATGCTTTAGGTATCATCCTGCATGTGTTGGCATGACGATCGAAGAAGCAAAGAAGCTTGATCACTTTGTATGTGCTGAATGCAGTTCTGATGACGATGTCAAAAAATCGCAGAACGGGTTTAATTCATCTCCAGCTGATGATGTCAAGGTCCGTTTGTCTCTCTTTAAGTCATCTGTGTGCACCCATGTCATTGTCTTCAATTTGAGATCTGGGAAAAGTTACTAAACCAAATTTATGCACTGGCTTAATGGTGCTTGCTGAGTGGGGGATGGCCAGAAAGATACAATTTATGGTTCTTGATCCTATAAGGATCTGATCTTTGCTAAACGTTCCTCCAGGTCTTTCTGCAAAACAATCTGTCTGTTAAGGTTGTGAAATATTCATTTTGTAATGCTTCCTACTCCCATGCACATAAGCAGACTATAGAGATCAGAGTTAGAACTTTCTGTGACAGTTGACGGAGAGAAAATGATTTCAAATCGTTTTGCTCTGTGATATTAGCTTCTGAAATGTCTGGCACTCAAAGGAACCCTTCTTCTCTTCCTGTTTTATGCCCAAAAGCTTGTCTCTGATATTAACAATGATGTTGTTATCTTCAGGTGGAACCGAAGCGCAGAAAAAGATAAACGCAGGGTCTTGGAGATAAAAGGCACATGGGATCGTAAGTTATAACATGGAAGCTCTTTGGTGCAGATTTTAGTAAGTTAGGGTTTTATCTTTGTCGTGGTGGTTGTGATGATGTTTGTATGGTGCGTTCCAAAACTTAGAGAATGTGAAAGGAGGAGAGAGATCGGAGAGATGATGGAGAAAATTGTGTTGGCAGAGTCGGTTGTATAGACTTTCCGTGGGGTTTAAGTTAACATTAGGTTTGTTTATTATGGTCTGTTGTTGTTATGTCTGATGAGAACAGATGAACATGAACAACGCTTTTGACATTGGGTCATCTCAACGAAAACTAACATCAGATCGATCTTCTCACTTTTTGTCAATCATGTTTCACTTTTCTTAAAGAATCAAAGAAGGTTTTTCGAAATTATTCAACAACCAAAGTCTTAATCAGGCAAAATTTGAATTACTATTTAGATGCAACAATAGTCTCAGACTTCATTATTCGACAAAAAGGAGAAAAAGGTACAAGAAAGATGACTGAAACATGGTTATGTACTCTAATTTGATCCTCGCAGAAATACACAAACATAAAAGTTCTTACTTTCGTCTGCACCAAGAAGCTTTCTTTACTTCTCCCTCCTGCATCCCATGGATCATGTATTAAGCAAAACTCTCTTCCTCTGGAGTTTTCAAACTGCATTTTAGCTTCCAAATGCCAGAAATGGCTCGAGCTTAATGTTATGGGTTATTACTCAGAATGAGATATCAATGTGCTCGTGTTCAGGTGTTCTGTAAGAAAATCCACTGTCATCACTAGATCTTCGTTTGACAACACTTGCTCTTTGAACTAATCTCACTAGCTGTTGCACCACCTCTGACATTGGAGGCCTGAACTCAGGTTCCGGCTAAATTAACGAACAAAACAGAGAGATATGGTTACTTTACAGACAATTTCGGTTTTGTTCAACTCGGACAATATCCAGAGTATGGATGATATACCTGAATACAGAGAGCAATGATATCTGCAAAACGAGACAGTGACTTAGCTGGATACATGCCATTAAGAGAAGGATCAACCATTTTAGACAAAGCATCTATATCGTGAAGCTGCGGTGTGGCCCATCTCACTAGTGATTGCTCTGCTCTCGTCCTTGAGCTATCAAACACACAAGAAAGCATAATTACTTGAGGAAAATAAAATCCATCGCTTTTGCTCAACAATGGCTACTAAAACATGAAAAAGAAACCTGTCAAGAGGCTTTCGACCAGTTAAGAGCTCAAGCATGACTACTCCAAAAGTGTATACATCACTTTTGACAGTATAAACTCCAGACAATGCAAACTCTGGAGCGCTGTATCCAAATGAACCCACTACTTGAGTTGAAACCTGTTTGACATACATAAACCATGAACGACTTAGAAAATGTTTCAGCAGTAGCTCAAAAATCTGACTCTCCCTATTGCTATTACCTGTCTCTCAGTGTTAGGTGTCAAAGCAGCTAAACCACTGTCTGATAAGTGAGGATTAAGTTCTTCATCAAGCAATATATTCGCCGATTTGAAGTTTCGATGTACAATTGAAGGCAAGCAAACTTCGTGCAAATACCTATTAAAACAAAAACAGAAAATTCCGGTTTAACATGAGTGTTGTTCATTAAAGAGATGATCATAACAATTTGCACATACTCTAAAGCCTTGGCAGTTCCAAGTGCCACTTTAACACGCGCATTCCAAGTAAGATTCATGCTTCTATCATCATTCATGTGAAGCATGTCATCTAGATTCCCATTTCCCACGTATTCATAGACTAGAAGGCGTTGACCATGCTCGGTGCAGTATCCAGCCAAGGGAAC